TCCGTCCCACTTTTCATGTTCACTATTCTATTTTCGTCCGTCTCATTTATTTTATCATTTTTTTTTGAAAAATAATTATACACTTTAATCTTATTTTTAAAATTTTAATTTTTTATTTTTTTAATTTTAATTATACTAATCAATTATTTTAATCTTAATTTATAATTATTTTTATTATACGATAATTATTTTCACGAATATATTTTTAATTATTTACTAATTATATCTCTCATAAATTCCTTTGTCTACAATAATGTGGTCAAATTATCCGGGACCGAGGAAAGTAATATTTAAATTAGTTATCATGCATGATTTTTCATTAAGATATATTATTTTTTATAAAAAAATTATATTAAAATAATATTTATATCAAAATAAATTAATATATAAAAGTGGTAGAAGTAAATGGATTTTTTTTTTTTATTTATTTCAAATTAAAGATAAATTAAAGTGGTTATTATTGATTATTTCCTTTTATAATTACACTTCAGTAACACACGTGTGATAATGCACGGCCTTTGATGATGGCCTCATAACAATGTATTTTATTTTTCTTATTATAACAATGTATTTTATTTTTCTTATTGAAAATAATTATAGTAATATACTTATATATATTATGAAATATATTACATTTTAAAATTTATTATACATTAAGGAAATTTCAAGCACATAATAGATCACTTTGTTTTTGTACAATATTAAGACTGTATATACTTTTAGTGTGTTTTTTCTACTAAAAAAAATGATAATTACTTTAATTTTTTTTAAAAAAAGAAAACAATACAAAACAAACACACAATTTATATATTCTACTTTTTTTTATATTATTTAGTCAGACTATTTTATTTTATTTTATTTTCCCTAATATTACTCTAAACTTTTAACTATTGTATAAAATACTATATATAATAATAATTCTTTATATACATAATTAATTTTAAAAAAGTACATATTTATTGAAAAAAAATTAGTATTTTTTAATAGCAACTTCAAGCCCGATTTATATAAAAAGTGAAACACGTTTTTCTAATAAAAACAGAACAGTAAAAAGTGCAATTGGTGATTTATTTCAATTATTTTCTACATATAATTACAAACCCATCAATTTTATTTTAGAAATATTGGAAAATATAAATTACGATATCCATAAGTTTTAATTTAAAAAACAAAATTAAGTATTTGTGTTAAAAACAAAAAATGTGTTCTTTTATGTATATTAATTTTATTTTAGTATATTTTAAAAAATTCCACGTATGCTGCCGACGTCTATAGGAAATAAATTATTAATTTAAAAAATGGCAATAAATTCCGTCTTCGAAGCTGTCAGAAATCATTTTGTCCAACTAAAAGCCAAATAAGTTTATATTTAATTGTTAATTAATAAAACTTAGGTCTTTTTCTTGGTGGGTACCACAGTTAGAGACCATGACAATACAAGCAAGTGTTCCTAATTTTAATCAAATTTGGTGTACTAAATTCGTATTTTTGTCTCAATTTTTGATATACCAAATTTATATTTATATAAATAAAATAAAAATACTTGACTTAAAATAAAATAAAATAATAATTAAAAGAAGATGTGAAGTAAAGTCACGATGAGTATAAGATTTATTTACCAAAATCTATTTTAATATTCATAAATAATGAGCCAATTTTGTATTCTATTCTTATTGTAAAAATGCATTTATTTTATTTCATATTTATATAGAAAAATAATTATTCTGTAATTCTATATCCATCATTTTCTTATCTATTTATGCAAATATTATGATCTCATATAGGCTTTTTTTACATTCATTATTTTTTAATAAGAAAATTACATTATTAGTCATATAAAAATTATAATTCTACTTTTTATACAAATATAATATCAAAATACTTTATAATACGCCTGAGCAAAATATTTGAAGATACATTTACAACATTAATTATTATTATTATTGTAAACCTGATTATTATTGATTTTTAATTTAACATGTATGATTAAAAGTTGCCACTTTCCTACTAATATTTTTATAAAAATAAAATCATAAAAAAATACTTGTAATATTTTATTTTTATATATGTTTTAAATAAAATATATATTTATATGCATTAAAAATTTATAAGATCATTCATATTAATTAATATATAAATATATATATTTGTATATCAAATTTTATAATTTTTTTTGTAACTTCAAACACAAATTTAAATTATTTAGTCTGTATGATTCATATTAAAAATGTGAGTAATATTTTTCTTCATAAAATGTAACATTAAAAATATTTTTAAACCGAATAAAAATTAATTTTAAATTAAAATCAAACAAGTTTTTTTAAATAATATTCATATTGAATATTTACTTTATTGAGTATATTTTTTGAAATATTCAAAATATATTTTTAATAAAATATAAGTATATAGATTATATTATAATTTAGCTTACAACAAAATAATATTTGATTAGTTAATTATAACTACAACTTCTAAGTTACAATTGAACCAACAATAGAATATTTGATTGCATGTAACATAGTATTGTTTAATATAACATTTAATTAGATATATTTTTAATATTAATCAATATTGTAAAGGGCTCATTGCTTTCTTGAAAGGGCACATTTGTTTGTACATTGAATTAGTGTATTTGTATGTTTTTTAAATTGTTTTATTTTAATATATTTTCAAAGTAAAATAATAGTTGGATATCATATTTTAAATAAAGATCATTCTTTAAAAAAAAAAATAGAGATATTTAAGATTAAGTATAATTTTAAAAACACATAAAATAAATAAATTAGGAATTAGTGGATTTGTTTAGATTTCAAATCGACATCAATATTATTTAATGTTCTAATAAAATACTATATTATTTTACATCACAAAATATTATCAATATACTTAAAGTATTATTTAAATTTAAATTCAAATCGAAACCAAAATTAAACAACCATAGGTATCATAATTTTTTTTTATTTCAAATAAAAAATTACTCAATTCATGTAGTTTTTAATAACATTACATTATTTCTCTCATAAAAAATTAAATTAAAATATTAATTAAATCAAAATGAAAAAAAAAAAAAAATCAAATTTAAATCAAAATCAAACAAATCCATATTTTTATGTTTTTATTTCTCATTTCTTTTTAATTACCTAATTTTTTTTATCCAAAATATTATATTTAATGTTTAATTTTATATGAACCGTCGTAATACATAAAATTATTATTTTTTCTATTTCCTATTCAAATGAATTACTATATTTTAAATACTAGTTTGGTATATATTTTTTGTATCTAATAATAGGAGTACTTAATTTTGATATTTCAAATAAAAATTAGTGTTAAATTTAATATTTCAAATCTTAAAATAAATAGTATTTTTTAAAATACAAGTTAATACATCCTTTATTTTAATTTATTTTTTTTATTTAAAAAAAGGGTAAGAAAATGATTTTCTTTAATTAGTTGGGTGGGTGCCTTTTTGTTAGATGGTAGCTTTTCTTTAATTTTGCACTTGCTTTTATTTCCCATTTTGTAAAGGGAAAGTGAAAGCAGAATCTTCATCAACGCATTTATATATATATAAATATATATTTCTATTTTTATTGTTATATTTTATTTAAGGTTTATATATATATATATATCTTCAAATATTTAGTATTTAGTCTTTAATTATTTATTTAAAAAATCTTATTCAACATATTTTCTTTTCAAAATAGTAAGTTCAATTATTATTTTACTACAAATATTTTAAAACACACACACAAGAAACTGTCAAATAAATAAACTTTATAGCTCTTAGACTTTTGTTTCAATTATTTTACTATACAACATTTACGATTATCTATATAAATATATATATATATATATTACAAATATTAGTTTAATATTATTATTTAAACAAAAAAATCAAAATAAAAAACTAAAATGCAAGTAAACAAAACCTTTGGATGTTCTCTCTAACTCCTCTCTAGTTTTTCTTTTTTTTTTTTTTATCATGCAATTTCATATTTTTTAATAATTTTTTTATACATATAAAATCTTATTTAAAATTAAACTCAAAGAGAACATAATACAATATATATATATATATATCTTTCTTTCTTTTTCTATTGGAAATATATTGTATGGTTTATTTAGAGATTTATTTGAAAAATGTTGTTGAGTTAGCATTTTTTATGGGCCATACTCATTACATTGGGCCATATTGAGAATTGGCCCAATATGAAAATTTATTATTTTACTTAGATTGGGCCATATAGACCATTAGCCCATATTGGTATGATATTTAGATGATAATATATCTATTAGACATATTTTTATAAATTAATACTCCTATTTTCAAAGAAAAAGTTAACATTTATTTTTATGTGAATATTAATAAAATTATTATTTAAATAGTACTTAATACTCCCTCCCTTAATAGATATAAATTTGGTGCACGGACTGAGCAAGTAATATTTTTTTGTATAATGATTTTTTGTCTTTGTGTTTTAATTTGATTTAATATGATAGAAATAAATAAATATAAAATTTGAGAGTATTTGATCCAATCGGGACATATAATTATTGCCAACACATAATTTTATATAATATAATATAATATTGTGGTATATATTATTCTGTATTTTATAAATATATTTATAATGTTAAAATCAATTATATAATATAAGATATGGAATAATATTGTATATTGTAAAAGATATGTGATGTCTGTTTTTATAAAGGTGTGTTATTTTAGCATTTTTTATCGAGTTTTTATTATTTACCAATTTATTTTTAAAAAAAAAATACCAAATATTTATTTTTTATTTTAATATTATATTAAATATTAATTTTACATTCAAAATATCACATCAATACTTATTTACGTTATATCGTACAATTATTTCAATTCAAAATTTTACTATTAAAAAAAAAAAAACAAATTTACCATCAAATGACAAAAAAAAAAAAAAAAAAAAAGCTTGTTGACCATCATGTATTAATTAAAAAAATATATAGTATTCAAATTATTGAATTAAAAATATATATTATTAAAATCATATTAATACAACATTAAGGAGTTATATGTCAAGAAACATTTATTTAAATGTAATCAAGGAAGTAGGAATGTCATACAACAAGACACAAGAAATAATAATAATAATAATAATAATATTTAGTTTTGTGATTTATCTTTATTGTTGTCCATGAGAACTGCTGCAATCTGTTCTTCTGTCTCTTTTACCTGCAAATTCAAGGTTCCGTTTAATAGAAATTCATTTTTTTAAAAAAAATAAAAATGGTAACAATAAAAAATAGTATTAAATATAATATTTTAAAAAAACTGACATAGATAAACAATGTTAAAAGTTTAAATATTGAACATAATATTTTACGTGATAATTTATAAAAAGTTATAATAGTATTGAAACTAAAAAAAGTCAAAATCTTGAAAATATTGAAATAATAATATTTTCTTTGATACGAATATATATTGTAGAATAAAATATTAATACTGTAATTATTGAGAATGGGCAGGGCAGGGCAGGGTCGTTGTGATTAATATCCATGTGATTCATGTGAAGTCCCTAAAATTATTGTGAAATATATTTATTTATTCTAAAAAAACACAAGTTAATTGAAATCTTTTTTTTTTTTTTAAAGTATTAGTTTGTTTACTTTTTATATCAAACAATTATTTTATATAATTTAATATATTTTTATAAAAAATTATGATATTATATATTAACAAAATAAAATTAAAATTATAGAGATGGAAGAAAAAACCTTATGGACAAGATCTTCGGCCTTTCTCGCTTCTTTGACGGCAACTTTAGTGAGATCGTCAAATGACTCCAATGTTTTCTTGAGCTTGGAATCTTCCGGAAGCTTCTCCTCCACCTCGGCCACCAGTTTGTCCGCCTCCTCGGCTATCTCCTCCACTATTTCCGTCACATTATCCACCGTCGCTATTACTTGGTCGATTCTTTCTACATTAAATGAATAATATATATAATTTTAATTAAACTAATTAGATAATTTTTTAGTTTATATATATATATATAGTTATTTAATTACCTTTAAGGGCTAATATAAGTCCTCCTTTATGACCGGCAGCCGGTAGAACAACGGTTAGCACTATGCCCAAAAGCCATTTTTGCCTAAATCACAACGCAAATTCATTATTAATGTCTTAATTTAATTTATTTTAGAAATATATATAATGTGAAATAAATTGATATTTGATGGTACTAATTGATTAAATTACTTGCCATGGAGACTTTGGAGAAGGTTCCTGAGGCGACGAGGAAGAAGAAGCCTTTGGTCGATTCCTGTAAGAAAATTACAAACAATTTTCTCAATCATAAATAATAATTAATTTAATAAATAAATAAAATTATTGTATGTATATATATATTTATACCAAGAAGATGAAGGTGAAGATATAGATATGGTTTGTTGGTTGTGGTGAAGAATTGGGGATTTGAATTTGATTGACCTAGAATTGGATAGACGACCTTCTTCTTCTCCAGCTGCTGCTGCTGCAGAGATGCAATAATTATAATAATTATGAGATTGGCGGCGGCGGCGGCTGCCATTGGTGGTGGTTATGATTATGAAGAAGGTGGTGTTTGTGGAGATTGATGAAGAGGAGGATGACATCATCGTATGACTCCACCTCGATCGATCTCAACAAATGAATGAAGGAATTCAAGAACCATATGGAGCTGAGCAACTACTGAATTAATAATCATGATAAAATAATACTCCATAATAATAATAATAATAATAATAATAATGTGTGTATGGGCTTGTTTTTATTTTTTTATTTTATGGAGTCACTTGATTTTCGTTTGACTTTTTTTTTTTTGGAATTGTCTAATAGCAGCAGACTTTAAAATTCATAAAACGTCTGTACTTTCAAAATAAAAAAATAAAAATACATAATTGTTCAATGGTTATAATGTTTATGTATTAATAAATGATATTTGAATATGGCTAGCACAAGTATGAAATTTAAAATAAACAACACACAAAATTTAATGATTCAGTTCGATATAATATGAAATATCGAATAAATCTACAGCGGACTTACGACTCAACAGACATCAACCATCGACTATCTTTTCTTACAACTCACTTTGGATATTCAACTACAAAAATTAGCGGTAAAACCGTGCTAGAAAACTATATGTCTAATTGAGAATAAATGTTGATATTTTTTTCAATTGAAAACAAAATCTTAATTCTTCATGTGAACTTTAAATTGCTATAAATGTTTAAAATTTTATTAAACACAGAGTATGAAAAATAAAATATTAGAGAAAAAAAAATGTGTCAATTTGTTGATGTTTTTATTTTTATTATTTTTACCAATTTTAACTTCTATAATTTTACGGTCACGGGTCGATTCCAGACCATTTATTACTAACACTACATCTAATTTATTGCGGATAAGATATGTTGTTGAGACGGTTATCATTTAGATTTTTATTTGCATTTATTATTAGTATAATAATTGGCCAGACAGGGTGGAATGATCATTCATCACTCTATTATTAATTTATTTAATTTCTTGCAGGGATACATAGTCCTATTTTATTGTGATTTTCTATTTAGCTTTATTATGCATTTATAATAATTTTTTCTTTTTAAAATATATTATATTATATTTTATCCAGTAAATTTATACTTACTTTTTTTTTTTTTTAATTGATTGGTAAAATTTATATTTATATCATAAATAGTAATTTAATTTTATATTTTATTTGTTTTAAATATGTAATAATATATTTTTTATCATTTGATAACATAACATTATTAATTAAAGATATTTTTCATCAAAATTTCTAAAATATTCCTACATAATTTATACTATTATAACAAAATATTATTAATTTTCTTAATTAATGTCTATATCCGGCCAAACATGTGTATTTTTGCTAGAAAGAAAGAGTGTTTTATTTTTATTTTTTTTCTATTTAGTGTAATATATATATATATATCATATCAAATAAATATTTTATTTTGTTCATGTATTAATTCTCGATTACTTAAATACAACTATTATATAAAAAAAATAAATACATATTGAATTGTTAAAAGTAAATAGTACAAGTATATTTTATAAAGATTGCTATAAAATTAGAATAATATAAAAAATAAAATTAAAAAAAAAATGAAGAAAACATCTGCAATGTCTAAATTTAAAACGAGACCCTTTAAGCCCATATGTTGAAGCCCAGTCCAAAAAGGTTAGCCCACTATTGACACAATCATTCAAAATCTTTAATTAATTATACAATTATTATATTTATCTCTTAATTCGAGCCCACCATACAAAACATCTATTTATAAATTATAATCCATAATCTATGAGATACAAAAATTAATATATATATATATATAAATATATCATATCAAAACATCAAATTAATATATAATTACTCCCTCCGTCTCATAAATTTTGTTTTTTGTCACAGTAAATACTAGAATTTAAATAAAGTATAATTAGTAAATAATTAAAAAATATATTAGTAAAAATAATTATAGATTAAAAAGTAAGCAAATTAAATAGTTAATTAAAATTAAAGAAAATATAAATTATGAAAAAAACAAATTATGTAAAAGAAAAAAGTACATAGTATCAAACAGTTAATCAAATTCAAACTTTTACTATTTAAAATTTAAATCCAAACCCCCGATCAAGCACAGTCTTAAAAATTTTAATAACGTAAATATGTATTTGTTGTAAATAAATATAAATTTTAGTACTAAAATTTTAAATAAGTAAAAATAGTTATTAATTTATCACTAATTTTTTTCTATTTATTTCACTGTATGTCCAAACAAAATGACATAATTATCCGGACAGACCATAATACAATATCTTTGTTGGAGAATTGTCTTGAAAGCACATGAATATTGAAGACTTTTTTTGCACAAAGATGTGAATGGTGAAGGTGAACAACTCACAATACATTCCATATTTATTAAATTAATTAGCTATAATTGAGGGCCCCTTTTCATTTCACTTTTTCTTCAAAAAATAAATTTCATGTTGACTTCTTATATATATATTTATTTATATGTAATAAGGTATTTGATTCATAAATCCGTACTAGCTTTTTCAAAATTATCGTCTGTTATAAAATATAAAATGGATTGCATATATAGATAGATAACTATATATAGTAACAAATGTTTGAATATAAATATTATATCCAAATTTAATAAATACTACTATGATATTGGTGACCTAAATAAGTTTAAACATGATATAACCTTAATTTTTTCCACTTAAATTTGGTTTATATGTTTTAAATATATTATAAATAATTATCCACTTAAAAATGTACACATTCATGTCTCTTTTGCTGAATTGGAATACTAATTATTTAATACTAAAATAAATTTAAAATATTATATTCAAATATTCTCTCTCTGATGTTCTAATATTTTCTGTTTGTTCTCTTTTGATTTTAAATTTTTTTTATTTTTTACGTACATATGTTTTTATTTATATAAAATATTCTATTAAATAATTATTTTATTTGTTTGGATTTTGAGTTGGGATTTAAATAATAAAAATTTTGAATTTGAATAATTGTATGATGTGATATAAATAGGTTTGATGTAATGTTTTGAATGTAAAATTGATTTTTAGTATAATATAAAAAAAATGAAAAATAGATGTTTGATTTGATATTTTTAGAAAAAAAATTGGATGAACAGTATAAATCCAATTAAATCCCCAAACAAACACACCCTTAAAAGATAATAAACCCTATCTAAAACAAGCTCGAATTTTTATATAATTCAATATGTTATATTTTATATATTCAACCTACCATATACATTTTGATGATTGTTTAATGCAGTTTATAAATACTCAATTTATAAATAATTATTTTTCTAACTGTTTGAATTTTAGGTGAGACAGACCCCCCACTTGTATGGAAGTTTGGCGTATCATCAATTATTTTTTTTTACTTTTTCAGAAAAAAGGAAAATTGAAAACTACTGACTAAATACATTGGTAATATTTTTTCATATAAATCTTCTTTTATTTGATTAATCGTCAAATTTTGATAGACTCTGTCATCTATTTTGTTGGGGTGCAAACTCAAGTCCAATATTAAAAATTGTAAAGAAAATTTTACACCTGTCCTAAATCAACTTTATTAGTATGAAAACTTTTGAAAAATATCCAAAAATAAATCCGTAGACTAAGCCTGGACAATATCATACTAGTTGGTCAGTCCCAACATATTTTTTTCATCTTCGATACATTGTGGTCTTGTCAGTTAGCTGTATTTTATATATATAGATATATATATATATATCAATTGAATTATCTGTTAAAAAAAAAATAATAATAATAATAAATCAATTCACATTAAATTGGTGAATTCACATTTTCTATAATAAAATGAGAGAAGCAGCAAGAGGAAGAAGCAGACGGGAAGTAACAGAAACCACAAGTAAACACACCACATTTAATATATTACATTAATTAAAATAATATTATATTATTTTGTATTATATTAAATCCCTTATTTCATAAGTCATTCATATTTCTCTCTTTCTCTCTGAGAGAGCTTCATTTCCATTTCCATGGCCATGGCCGCCTTCCCCCTCCGGAAACTCCTCTCCGAATCCGATTCCGACACCGACTCCGCCGTCCCCTGCGCCGTATGCATCCACTGCGACGCCGACGACTGCCTCACTCCGCCGCCGCAAACCGTCCCCCACCACCGCATCCCCACCGTCCTCATCCTCATGCTCTGCCTCCTCGCCCTCGCCTTCCTCCTCCTCTCCTACCTCACCCTCGCCCGCTATCGCAATTCCCGCCGGAGACTCCCCTCTGCCTCCGCCTCCGCCGCCGCCACCGGGACCGACAACGACGACGACCAGGTTCCCATAATTGAGGATTATAACCAAACCGCCGCCGCCAGTGTCGGCGTCGATCACCATGTCTGGCATATCCGAACCGTCGGATTTCCGCAGGCGGTGATCGACTCGATCGCCGTTTTCCGATTCCGGCGGGGCGACGGTTTGATCGACGGCTCAGATTGCTCGGTATGCCTAAACGAATTCGAAGAAGACGAGAGCCTCCGGCTCCTCCCCAAGTGCAGCCATGCATTCCACCTCTCATGTATCGACACGTGGCTAAGGGCCCACAAGAATTGCCCGGTTTGCCGGGCCCCGATTATGACGACTAATCAAGAGAATCTTGGACATGGTGAAGGAAATCATATTACAAGCCACATTGTAAGGGAATCAGAATCCGAATTAGAAACAGAAGTACAAGAATCTAGGGCAATCCAAGAAGGCCCGGTCGGGCCGGGTATAACAAAATCCGGGCCGGGCTTGGATTTAAGGAATGTGAATTATTTCGATTCAAACTTGAGAGTGGTTAGCGATTTGGAAGCCTCTAGGGTGAAAATGGATCGAGATTGGACACCAATTAGAAGATCGGTTTCTTTGGATTTTCAGGCAGTGGTAAATAAAGATGAATGGTCGGACAAAAAGGGGTGTAAGAATTCGAGAATTTATAGGATGTTAAAAAGCGCTTCTTTCGGAAGATCCCTACAAAAAGGACCGGTCTCGATGAAGAGATCGCTTTCGTTAACAGGAAAGCGATCGATGAGGAAGAACAATGGTAGAAGCAACGGAGTCATTTTTGCGGACAATGTTGTGATGCATAAATGATTAATGATTTAAATTTCGAAACCCATCGAATATATATAGGTGTTGGAAAACCTTGCAATAATTTGAAGGGTTTAAGGTTTGAGTCTCGTTGCATTTTCGATGAATTTGTTGTTGTTGTTATCGATGATGATGAAAACATGATTAGTCTATGTATGTATGTATGTATGGGAGAATATGGATGATCAATTCATTTGATTATTTATTTCATTTCTTTGATTTGTTCTTACGAATTCTGACTTGTAATTTAAAATATAAAATATAACAAAAAATTAAATAAAATTCAATTAAGTTAGCTCAACACGGCCCAAAAATTGTTATTCTAGCACAATTTTAACCAAACTATGCTTCTTTTAAAGTGACCGCTTTGCCTAAGGCTGAAACTTCTTCATTTTACAATCTATATAGTGCACAATGATACTTCCTAGGAAAATTAAAAAATAAAGACCCCAGTAAAGTAGATTAATTCTACATAGAATTTCTTCAACATATAGAGATAGATAGATGTACACAGGGAAAATAAAAAATAAAAATAAGATTTATTTAAAAAACTAAATTAAATTAAAAAGGCCCTTACTTGGAGTCAGGAGTCTTGTTGGATCACTCCAACCATATCATGGACTGCTGTAGCAATTTCATTCACTGTACTCAACTGGCATTCATCTTCAACCTGTCCATTATTAATATTTTTCAAATTTTAAGCGAGGAGGAATTAAATGTAACACATGTACAATATTTCGAATCTAAATTTAATAGTTCTATTAAATACTCGAATTCAAAAAATATATATATCTCTTTTTTTTTTTTTTTTTTTTTTTACTTCAAGCAAAGACAATAGCCGGAATATACATATAAGAATGTGCAATATTGAGAGTGATTATTGGAGAGCCATGGTGTGCAGGTCCCATCAAAAGTGAATCGCCACTATTTCAGGCTAGGAGTTGGAAGTCCCGGGCCCTCTTGAGTTTAACCCCTTACTATAGACAAGAAAATGCTAAAATTTAGGAACCACTATAGTTCCGTATTGAAAATGAAATAAAATTGCAGTTTTTTCAAATATTTTTTATTTGTTTAGATAATAGTTTTAAAAAATTTTAAAATAGTATTAGTATATGATTGCAGTAGCTTAAAAAAATAATAACAAAAAAAATAAAAAAATGAAACAAACATACCTTAACGCTGAAAGTGCAGAGAAGTGACTGATCAACGGTGGTGATGTTAAGGTGGAGAATCGTGAGGCCTACAGACTGCAATCCGGCCACCATTTTAAGGACCTGTTTGGGGCGCCTTTTTGACAATATTTTGATGTTCGCATGACTCTCTACCATCGTCACCTCGATTTCCGCCACGCTCGACAGCCGCTCCACCGTCGCATCTCCGGCGACCGGAGAGTTGATGCTCCGACGCCTCGAGTATTGCGGAAAGGTGAAAAAATTAGAAAATGCGTCGCTATTATCCGCATTATGTTCATTGCCTAATCTTTTCGATTCCAGAAATTGCAGATGCTGCTCCAGTTCCTTCACGAAATTGATCGCGCCACCAACGATGGATGCTTGATCTCCCTATGTTAAAAAACAAAAATTGCTAAGAATCGAAATCTTCAAATTATAACAACAAACGATGCATAAAATAGGAGGATTTGATGAATTCAACAAAAACTGAATCGAATCCGGAATATCTGAGCATAAATACAAAGAACACACTAACCAACAATAATGAGCAGCTTTATCATTATCAATACAGTAATAGTAACCGTCACCACAAATACAATTTTCTAGAAACTATCGAAATGACGATTTTACCCTTTGCGCATAGGAAGGAGGCATCAGTGACCGGAGGACGGCGAGGTAGTCGTTCATCTGCCGGCGGCGATTCCTCTCCACAGCAATATGAGTCATCCTCTGGTTCTCCATTTCCTCCTTGTTCTTCAAGCTCTTCGTGCGCCGCCGCTTCCTCCGACTCGCCACCGTCGCCGTCTGAGAATACACGCCTCCAGCGAAGAATCCGTCCTCCGGCGACGAATTGGCGTTTTGAACTGCTGAAGACGGCGGCGAATCCCAAGCGCCGATGCTCGAACCGGTTTCCCCAATTGCATCGAGAATTTCGGCGCTCGGCTTGTCCTCCGCCGGGAAATCAGAGAACGCGTAGTTGAAATCCTTCAAAGCGTAGGTGAAAGGATCCTGATGGCAATTAACCACAGCCTCCAACGCCATTTCTTCCGATTCTCTGTTTACGCGGTGGCGCCGCCGTCTTAGGGTTTCTCGAGAGAGCGCCGGAGATACACGTGAAGGAAGGGCATAGGTGAAGAAGCTCTGCATTTGCTCTGTATTTAAAGACTTCCAAAAATAATAATAATTATAATTAAAATGAAAAATAAATGAATAAATATTAGAAATAATCCACAGGAAATCACACGTGAGGGTCTTGTCGTCTTATACTTCATGTGAAGAATTGGGAGGCAAAATAAATTAGACAATATTTAGATTATATTTACATAAATATTTTTTTAAAACATTGATATTATTTTTAATATATATTACATTAAAAAATGTATAAAACATTACATCGAATATTTAATATTTTATGATTTTTAAAATTTTTCAAGATTTAAATATACGATAAAAATAAATTATTGTCACATATTATCAAAATCATTTCCAAATTCATGTGTCGAGTTAAAAGTAGAATCGAATCCTTACAAAATAAAAAATAAGGTTTAAAAATTTGTACTAATACTTTTCATAGTGAGGGGCAGAAAGGTAAATTCACTATGACTATAGATATATACACACATAAGGTGGACAAAAAGTGTGGCACCTTTTGTTAACTAATTAATTTAGAGGTAGAACTTATTATATGATTAGTTCAATGATTGTATTATTAGCTTTTCAAATTTATTTAATTTTCACTTTGCATTTTATTTATTTGAACCAATATATATTATTTCATTTTGAAATTATTGCAACAACAAAGTAAATTGAGGGTATTTCGTTGTCCTCATATTATTCATAAACAGGACTTATAAAAATGGCCCTTTTGCTGGAAGATCCTTCTCTAAGTTGAAAATTTGTTTGACCTATTGTGGAACAAATAATCAAAATATTTAAGAAAAAAATATATATAAGTTTTAATTTTTATTTTTTATTAATTTTTTATGCAAAACTTGTATGGAAATAATATTTTTGAAATAAAAAATATTGTATAGTATATATATATCTTATTTTATATTTTTCTGACATCTTTTATTAGCGATATGGTATTTAAAATAACGATGTTTTATTAGCTAATAATAGTGAGTTATGTTATTATTTTATTTATATTGATATTATTTTATTTATATTGATAGTTTTAAAATAAATTTATATATATGATTAAAAAAATATAATATATATTTTAATATTTTAAAATTTATATCGCAAAAAAAATATATGCAATATATTATTTTTTTGAAAATAAAATTTAATATAATACAAGTAACTAAAAAAATATTTTTATTTATTTATAATTAATATAAACTAATTTTATAAAAGTGGAAATCCAAATATAGATAAAAATATTTTTTTTTAAGATAAATATATAAATAAAAAAAAAGTTTTAAGTGAATCTATATGATTTATGATATTAGATGTTATTTAGTTAATTAAGTTAGTTTATATTTATTATGTATATTTTTATTTAATAAATTTTACTTAAAATGAAAAATTATTACTAGTTATTGTTATGGACAAAAAAAAAAAAATCAATTAAAATATGATAGAAAAAGTATAATATTTATGGAAAATAAAAAGGTTAAAAGAAGCAAGGCCACAGATACAGAGTCAGTAAACAATGTCAGTGGAAGGAATCCATGTGACAAATACACCCAACACCCAATTATGCCAAATCTTCGTACGTACATATACGTACTTAATAAAAATATTTGAAAAATTGAAAATTTTACAAACAGTTAAAAAAATCAAATTTTGATTTTGATTTTATTATGTTTAAAAAAAATTACTCTAAAAAATATTGAAAGAAACACTTTGTTTTTATTTATTATATTATATTATTAATATTTAATTTTATATTCAAAACTTCACGTCAATACATATTTACATCATATAAAATAATTATTTTAATTTAAAATTTTACTATTTAAAATCAAAATCCGGAACATACTCGAAATATTTGATATACTAATTTTGTAATAATAATAAAAAAATAATATATTTTTCTAAAAATATATTTTTTGATAAATAATGCTAAAAATTTAACTAGTGCATGCATAATAGAGTATATTGGTGATATATATATATATAATTGGCTACGTTTACTCATAATTTGTAGATTAAAAAATTCTATGTACGTAATATACAAAGTTGCATCAAAAATATATAATACTACTATATTATTTTAAGTTAAATATTTAAATTTTTTTTATACGTTTTGACTTTTTGTAATGAGTATTTAATTTTATTTTTTTAAAATTTCTGGATAAAATATTTTGTATTTTATATTACTTCCTCGATTCACTAGTAAACATAAAAATTTATATTTTTTTTTTGTTAGAAAATATTAACTCTCAACAAACTATTAACATATTCTTACTTTTTAGTTCTTTATATTACTTTTCAAGGATAAAATATATATTATATTTTTTTATTACATTATATATTTATAAAATATTAATTTATTTTAATCTATATACAAAATTCAAATGAAAAATTCAATGACAACAAAAAATATTTTTGAAGAACGAAAATTCAAAAATAATACAACTAAGAGAACAAAGTGATTGATTTTGTTGGTTGGCATATAGCCTCCCTTTATATACAAGTTTTTAAAAATTTGAAAATATTTAAAGATAAAGTAATATTTTTTTTGTCCTATTAAAAATGTCCATGATACTACTTAGATACAGAAATTTAAATAAATTATAATTAATAAATATAGTAGTAAAAATAATTCTTGTATAATAAAAATAATTATAAATTAAAATTAAAATAACTAAATAATTTAATTAAAATAAAATATATATAATAAATTATGAAATTTAAAATATAATTAAAGTGTATAAATATTTTATTGAAAAAAAAGGATAAATTATTAGAATTTACGGAAATAGAAAAAATTGATATTTTATTTGAAATAATGAGAGTATTAAGTATTAGTATTTTATTTTTTTTAAGTATTAATGTTACTATATGTATACAGAAAATTGTGTGATTATTATTTATGTATATTCATTTTGTAAGTTTTCTATACATAAATCCATGATTTCATTATTCAATAATACTAATTTATTGTAAAATTAAATACTCATTCCGTCCACTTTCAATGTTTATATATTTCTATTTTGGGAGGTCCAATTACAAAGTTAACATTTCATTAAATACCCTATTTTTTTTTTACAAATACCCTTACTTTACATCACATCATTACTTTTACATAAAAAAAAAATAAAGGCAAAAATATCATTATATTACTTTTAAATAATCACTATAATTAAAATACTATTATTTCTTAAACATTGCGTCAAAAGTAAATGTAAACTTTGTAAGTTGACGGAGAGAGTATGACGTAGCGGGTTTCGTCTTATAAATGTTGCTACGTAGAAGAATATATTCTGTCCTACAGACAGTACTGTAGTTATTGAAAATAACATTAATACATGACATTACCAAGAATCTTTCATCACGTACGCTAATTTGGGCTCTATTTACATATATTTTTAAAACATTTTTTCTTTATTATTCATCAATATGTAATAGTACTTATTTTATTTATGTTTTTTAAATTCATTCGTTAAATTTATTTTATAAATTAAAATTTAATTATTATCATTTATTCAACATATATTTATACAAATATCACTAAATTTATTATATTCTTTTATTATTATTATTGTTTATAATTTCTAATTAAATTTATAAAAATATCCAAATTATGTTTATATTTTTATCACTTTTCAATTAAAAAATCCAACTTTTTTAATCTCCGTATCGGACTCAAATGTGTTAATTTATCGTTTTTTAATATATATATAAATGTATATTGAATTATATATAAAGAAATTTTCAATTACTTAATACAATAAACAAGGCGGGTTTGTATAGTTGTGGTTTTAGATTGATTTGAGTTTTTATTTAAATAGTACTTTGATGTAATATTTTATAGAAAAAAATAATACTCTCTCCATCCCATAAATAAGTATCCAAATATTTTTTTGACGGAGTTTTATGAATATTAGTGTTATATATGTATGTAGTAAGAATAAAGTTAAAATGACAAATATAATCTTATCAGTGTTGTATGATATAAATGTATTGACATTTGTATAATAAATATATTGTAAATTGTAAATGTACTTTTAATATTAATGTTAGTATGATTTAGAGAGAGATTTTATTTTATTTTTTTGTGTTAATTATATATATTTGCATAAATTACTAATATATATTTTATTCAAGGAAAAATATACAAAAAAAATAAAATTATAAAAATTCAATAGAAAGAACTATAAAAAATTTATACTTGAACATATATATATATATATATATATAAAAACACACACACATTTATCTAAAAAAAACACAAAGTAAACAAATTCCTGGATTTCCTTTGTTCTCCAGTTTAATTTTTTACTATGGAATTATTGTAACTTTCAATTAAAAGGGATTATTTTATCTTATAAATATTAATCAAAATAATATTGAAATTAAAATTAAAAATCTGAAACTCAAATCCAAGTAAAAAGAAAATTACATGTTTAGTTGAATACTTTAATAATTTTATGGTGTTATACTGAAAAAATGTATCCATCTTATTATAGTTAAATAAGATTAAAATAATATATTATATTCGTACACTGTTATTATTTAAAATTAATTGATTAATTTAATAGGGGACAAGTTTTGCTTGACATGTGAACTAGCCAAGAATCACGACTTTGCTATGTGTGTTGGCTAATCACAAGATCGTGTTTTTGGATTACACGATTTTAGGTTGGCTAATAGGTCTTACTTTTTGTCCGTCAATAATAATATTTATTTATTTTTTTATGTCCGTTAATTTCATATTTATATATATATATATATTTTTTTTTTATTTTCTCCATCAATTTATATTTATGCTATAAATAACAATGTATTTATGCTATTTAAATAGTATTATCAATATTTCAATACAAATGGACAATTTTATTATCGTCATTGAATATATATATACATTATAAATTAAATGCATCTCTAATAAAAATATCGGGATATACTCGCACGTAATTTTTATATTTTTTCTTAATATTCTGTGCATAGTCAAATAAATATTTATTTAATGGATATAGTTAAATAAATATTTGAAAAGTAGGGTTAACCAAAAGCGAACATAATCTAAAATAGTAAATTTAAATGTTGTCACGGTATATATTAAAATCCAGATTATGCAATTATTAATTTTTGGAGTTTAGTTTTTTTTTTTAGAAAAAAACTATGTATTTCTTGTGATTTTTTTGTAAAAATATATAACTTTGTTTGATAAAATTTATATTTAAATAATTAATCAAACAATATTTTTTATTTTTATTTTTAAAAAACAGGTGGAAAGCTTTTCAGTCTAAAGTTATGTTGTCTTATATAAATTATTGGTTTGAAAGAAAACCCTAATTTAAATTTGTCACAAAACAACATTATCAATTGGGCCATTTTTGTACTTTTCCAGAAAATGGGAATATTTATTTGCTTGATTAGTACTCTTTAATATTCCACCAAGTATTGGAGATTTTAGAAGAAATGTTTTATTAAAGTTGGTTTTTTTAAAAAAAAAATTAAATTAAATTAATTAAATAAATAAAATTAGTAGATTAAATGTGATTTTTCTTTTTTTTTTAATGACGTGGGAACCCACAGCCGCTATCCGAAAGTAATGTGTTATATATATACATAAAGGAATTGTCAAATTGCATAGTCTTTGGTTTCTTTAATTTACTTGTAATTCTCACATTTCTGATAATATATTATATATAGTATTATTTTTTCCCCATATTAATTTATTTTTCCACATGAAATCTAGTTCAATATATAAAATATAAAAATAAAAATAAAAGAAATAATTAAACCCTTAGACTCCATTGAAATATGCTTTTGAAATTAAACTTTGAGATGTGTTTAGTTAATATATATATATATATATATTTGTTTTGGATTTTGATTCAAATAGTAATCTAAATATTATATTTTTGTAGGATAAAATAATTTTTATATAAAAGCATAATAATTAAATATTAATAAATACTTATTAAAACAATGACCATTTCACAAAATAAACATTACTTATATTTCCTATATATATATATTTGTTTTGATATAAATATTTAAAATATTATTAAAAATAAATAGTATCAGAAATAAATTTTGATGTGTGTAAACACACAGCCTTAATATTTTTGAGCAAAAAAATATAAAAAGTACGATAACTAATTCCCTTATTTCTAGAGTTTTGGAAAATAATAATAATAAGATTGAAAAACAAAATTATAGTATTTAATTAAGAATGTAATATAAAATAATAAGATTGTGTAATTAAATCATTGTTTAATATCCAATAATGAGCGATTAAAGCGCTGATTACGGACCAAAGATTCCAATACCGTACGAAAAACACATTTTATTGTATTGTTTCTCTAAATTAGTATAAAATAAAATAAATTGTACAGCTAATAATTAATAAGTATGTATGTATATATATATATATATATTTAATGTGAACATATGAATAATTATTTTGAGGTTGCATTAATTTAAATTTTTTGACTTAAGCTACACGTTTGTTGAAACATCAATCAAATAATAATAATTATTATTATTATTATTATTATTTATTTAAAAATGGCTAAGCAAGCGCGTCCAACGTTGATTTTGGTCTTAAAAATCAAAATATTTACATGTTTTTAAATCCGAGGCAAAATATATACACAATAATTATCAATCAATTATATCATTTTATTACTACGTGTATAAATTATATAAATTAATATAGTTATAATACTATTAAAAAAAAGAGTATATTTTTCAGGATCCACTAGCTTTACTATACAAAAATAATGGTTGTATTTTGATACTTGTACAGTCATTCTTTTTTGGGTATATTTTTTTAAAATTTTGTTGTTATCTTTAACTTTAATAATTAAAAAATTAAATAAATGGATGTGTGTATATATATGTAAGAAAATGTACTTTTGTATGCATGTATATGTATATGTATGTCATGTTATGAGTAAAGAATATGTAATAAGAATAATTTACAAGATTTGCTGACTTATGCTTGATATTCAACCAACATGCTTTTTGGGTTTTGTTTATTTTGTAATTTTTTATGTTAAAAATGAAAAATTATATTGATAATATAAAAAATAATATTTTATATCAAATTATTAATTTTTTTTGTTAAGGAATAAAATATATATTATATTAACGTATGCATATTGTATTTTTAAAATAATATTTATGGAGAATCATTTAACTAAAAATACTAAATGAACAAACCTATTTTTTCAAATTTTTTAGTTTTTAACTATATGATTTTTTTTTTTTAAAAAGTATTATTTTTGTTCTACTTATATTGTATGAAAATAATTTTGTTATAATAGATTAAAAAAATAGTATTGTCTCCACTATTAAAATATATATTTAAATATTTGGACATAAATTTTAATGAAAAATTATATATTTATTGTTATTTTTTTGTCTTTTATATTAAAAAGTACCAAAAAACAAAGATAATTTATATATATATATATATATATATATAACATCATATTCAAATACTATTTATACCGAAACCACAAATATAAACCAAACTCAGCATAATGAATAAATTTCAAATGTCATTTAGTTAGGGTGCATTTGTTTGTTTTGAAATGTAGAGTTATAATTTATTTTTAAAAATGTACTATATTTACTTTTTTATTCAATATAGTATACACTATTTAAAATTTATCTTAAATTCAAAACATTGAATATAACACCTATTTTTATTGAAAATATCAAACTCAAATTTAATTTTATATAAAAATAGTAATTAATTAAAATAAGTCGGAAAAAAAAAATCACATCCAAATTTAATTAATTGATGGTCGAGGAAATAATATATTATCAACTTGCCCAATTAGTATATAGATTTATTCGCAATCTTTTGTCCCAATCATTGGAAAGTAATTGTGGAATAGTATAAAATTAAAATAAAGTTCACCTGTGTATATTTATTTATTTAATTAATATAATATGTATTATTTTAAGATTAAAAAATCATTAAGTAGAATATTTTAAATAAAAATGAATGTTAAATATAACTTAAATATATATATATTTAATTAAAGCACAAAAATAAGGATACATGACTGCCATTATATATATATATATATATATGAATATTTCATTAATTAAAGTAATACTAAATAGAAATTTCCATTTTTTTTTTTTACTACCATAATTTGCAATATACACAAGTAAGAGCTGTTGTATTTTTGAAATATTATTTAAAATGTACTATATCATATTAATTAAATGTATTAATTTAAACTTTTTTGTCACTGTCTCCAAAGAGAAATTGTGTGCTACAAAACATGGTACGATTACCATCTTGGTTTCTTATTTTTTAATTATTAAATTCAATAATAATTACAATTAGTAACAAACTGGATCTGTTTTTAAAATAATGAATATTATTATATAGCTGAAAATGACTTGTAAATGTCATACTAATTATTTAAAAATCAAACTCAAAGAATGATGATATTATTATTTAAATTTAAATGTAACAACACACCCTTTAATATAATATATATATATATATATATTATGAAATGATGTTTTGTTACAAAGTTCATGCACATTTGGAAGACTTGGCAAAGTTACATATATATATAAAACTAGTATTACATCTGATCATGGTGAATCCAGACAAAATTTAATATCTGGCATATATTTAATAAAATTCTATAATATAAAATAAAAAAGTATAGTTACTCTTTTACATGTTTATATAAATATATATCTTGGAAATATCTTAATAAAATTCTATAATATAAAAATTAAATATCATAGTAGTAAATTATGCAAGTTTACATTACAAATAATAATAATAATTAATTTGTTATGAAATTAATTATTTTATATGATATTTTAAATAAAAAAAGGTTTAAACAATTTTTTTTAAAAAAAATAATAGAGTGAATCAATTCGAGTCTTCTAAATAGTACCTAATTTTTAAATTAAAAGATTATATTAAATTTATTTTATTAAAAAAAAATTAAATTAAAAAATGATACATTGTACGACACATTAAAAGGAAGAATTCTGTAATATTATTACAACCCCCACACCATGAAAATTAATTAAAAGCACATTTAATAAATAGACACTTGCATGGATCGACGTATGAATAAAGGCACCTTTTGAAAATCAAATTATTATTTTTTTTAATTTCTTTTATTCAAATAACGGGACTGATGAAGGAATTTGTGTGCGTGACAATTTTCACGTGGGCTTTGGCCCATTTATTTTAAGCCTACTTTTATATTCATAAATGGGCTAGGCCCAATGTAATTATTCACGTGTTGTATTTTGGGGTTAATTAGGGTTCTGAATCACAATTAATTTCCCCCAAATTGACATCACTGCTCACCTTTACGCTTCCATTAATTTAATCAAAATCGAAGGCGACTTCCCAAATGGGAGATTCTACCTTCTCCGAATCCGTCCCGCCGCATTTATCTGCGTGCAAATCATGTCCAATCTGCATTGCAAATTCCAATTTGAAGACAGTAGAGCAGGAATCATTGCTCGAACCGAACCGCATCGATGCAGATAAGGTAGCCTCGGCACTGTATTTGATGGCGGACCCATGCCCCAATTGGGGATGAAAAGCTTTTGCCCTTTTCACTTTGATTTCCCTTACTGTTGTTGAGGGGCCAATTCGCGAAGCATAGGCCCACTGTTTTTTATTTTTTTCAAAAGAAATTCATGTTCATGTGACTTTATGGCATCACCTTTTCAATTCCGATTCTCTGTTTGTCTTTAATAATTTGTTCGTTTCTTCTCGGGCGGTAGAAATAGAATTTCCGTGTGCCGTTTTTTGAAGAGCTGCTGGAGTTGTTTATCTTGCTCTTCACTCCACAATTGCCTTTCTAATTTAATAATGGGGTTTCGGAATCCCCACGTAGATTGTCCATTTATCAATGTTTCTCGATCGATTGTGAATTAAGTAAAGAATTACTCTCTCTTTCTCTCTCGAAATTTTTTGTGTTCAGAGGGGTTAGAATTTAGGGATTACAGTTTGTACATGGAAATTGGTTCTGGCAAATGGGGAATCGTGTTTGTGCTGTTGGGGGTAATCTGTTCAGGTCTTTCTCTTGGACTCTACGTTTGATTGAAATTTTTGCTGTTGATGTCTGGCTGTTTCAATTCGATTGATTTTTCGTTGTTACACAATTTGTGAATCTAGTGGAAGGATTGAACGGGAGTCCAAGAGTTAGGGGAGTGAATTTGGGAGGATGGTTGGTGATCGAAGGTTGGATTAAGCCATCGCTCTTTGATGGCATCCCCAATGGAGATATGCTTGTGAGTTGTTGCTTCTGTAATCTGTTGGGTTTTAATTTCCGATTCATGAGACTAATGCATTAGCATCTCCATTGATGGTGGTTGCAATGTAGGATGGAACAGAGGTTCAGTTCAAATCAGTAACATTGAAGAAATATGTTTCTGCTGATGATGGTGGCGGCGGAGTAGTTACTGTCGACAGAGATAATCCTCTGGCTTGGGAAACATTTCGGGTCAGAAGTTTATCTTGTCACTATGGCACAAATTTTTGCCATTTTGCTTTCAGTTAAATTTGTTTGTTGGAACATTTGCGAATAGAAGTGTAAATCAAATGTTGGTGTTTTGGAGAGAATGATTTTGTAATGTTTGGAAGAGGATAAATTTTACGAAGCACAAAAGTGTTTAATTCGAAATGACTAATGGTAAAATTTCAAAGTTGCTTCAATTGTATTCCTCTTAGCATTTGATGAGTACGAGGTTTCGATCTCTGCCTGAAAATTTCCATCATTTCATTGAGGAAACAATAATATAGATATGTTAAGAGTTTGAATTTCAAATGTGTATATCATATTATTAATTCCATTCATCTTATTTTGGTAAGAATGACTTCAGTCTTCATTCATAAGTAACGGCATTTCCAGTTGGTATCGTATTTTGGTTTGTTTTCATATATCTGCATTCCATAAAAATGTAGGTATCTAGATTTACATGGCATCATTCTTTTTGGCATTGCATTTCTTCGAATTGATTGTCAATGAAGTGGTATTTTATTGGAATGGACAATATATTGAAAACAGGGACTCTAAAAATAGATAAAAATTAAGTGCCATTGAACCGAAACATTTGTTGTTTTTCCAAAACGAATTGATCATTTACTTTTCAACAGTTGTGGAGAGTTTCAGAATCAGCATTCCAGTTCCGCACTTCCAGTGGCCAGTTTCTGACTTGCGATCAAGATGGAGGGAGCATTACTGCAACAGCAAGGTCGCCATCTTCCACAGAAACATTTTACCTAGAAAGAAGTAATGACAACCGTGTTCACATTAAATTGAAGTCGGGAACTTATCTGCAGGTATGATTTCATTGCAAAATAGTGATGGATCGAAGGATGGTGATAAATATGATTACCATTCAACAGAATTGGAAATCAAAGTATAGTGTTAATTAAACAATACTTTTAGTATACAATATCTCATAATAGTTGTCGAAACTTTAGAAATAACTAAATTTTTTTTCTAGAATTGAAGATTATTATTAATAGGTCTCTGTAATCCTTGCTCACTCATGCATTTCTTGTCGGTAAGAAAAAATAAAATGAAAATAATTTTCCACTTGTTTTGTTTTAGGCTTCTAATTCGAACCAACTTACAGCAGACTATCCGGGAAAACCAGGATGGGATGAAAATGGCGCGACATTTGAGTTAATAATTGTGTCAAATGATTTGCACGGAGATTATCAGATCGCCAATGGGTATGGACACGATAAGGCAGCAGAAGTCCTTAAGGTATGGTCTTTAATTTAGAAATCGTCATTTTATTAGGAAAAATGCGCATCTCATTGCTTGATGACCAAATTTTGTAGTTATTTTGATGCCTAATTGCCGTAGTTCCATCCCGATAGAGATTTGTGTTTACAAAAAGAGGAACATAGAAGTCTTGTCGAAATTTTTTGGACTATATCGATGTATCTTGTAGACGTAGAACCGCGAGCTCTTTACATTTGTGTGCATCTTATTTGTTATTCGGTATCTTCATTTGCCATTGCAGAAGCATAGAAACAGTTTTATCACTGTCGAAGATTTCGATTTCCTTTATAGGCATGGAATGAACACTGTGAGAATTCCCGTCGGATGGTGGATAGCTTATGATCCCGAACCTCCACCTCCTTTTGTTGGCGGGACTCTCGAAGCTCTAGACAACGCATTTTCTTGGGCTCAGTCGGTTCTCTCTTCGACTCTTTTCTTTCGCGTAATAGAAAATGTATTTGTATAACACGTCTATCTTACTTTCGCTGCAGAACTTTCGGAATCAAGTGCATAATCGATCTTCATGCAGCTCCGGAATCTCAAAACGGAATGGAACACAGTGCCAGCCGTGACGGGACTACGGGGTGGCCTAATTCGCCAGACTCCATCTCGCAAACGTTGAACGTGATCGATTTTCTTGCTTCAAGGTATGTTTCGGCGAAATTCGTCATTGTTTATTCTCTTTCGGTTTAAAAACCCGATCTTTTCGCAGGTATTCGAATCATCCGTCGTTACTAGGAATCGAGCTGTTAAACGAGCCGTCTGCCGCATCGGTTCCACTCGACACACTCGTCTCGTATTACAAACAAGGATACAAAATCGTCCGAAAACATTCGTCGACAGCTTATGTCATTTTCTGCCAAAGAATTGGCAGCGCGGATCCGATGGAACTCTACCAGGCTAACCTAGGGACCGAAAACACCGTAGTCGATCTACACTACTACAATCTATTCGATTCGTATTTTTCTAACATGACTTCTCTCGAAAACATTCAGTACATATACAAGGCTCGACAAACTCAGGTGCAGGCTCTGAACAGCGCGAACGGACCGCTCGTGTTCATCGGTAGGCCCTCGATTTTTCAATTCGATGTTTTCGACTAACCTTCACAGCTCGACGAAAATGGCGTGCAGGCGAATGGGTGAACGAGTGGGATGTAACCGAAGGATCTTTATACGATTATCAAGAATTCGGACGAGCTCAGTTGGATGTGTACAATGCTGCCTCGTTCGGATGGACTTACTGGACGTTGAAGAACGATCGCGTGCATTGGGATTTCGAGTGGAATGTTCGTAACAACTATCTTCAACTCCAACTTGGTAAGAATTTTTATTTGTTTTTTTTGCTATTTTTTCGACAAATGAAAAGCATTTAGAGTCGCGCTTGAGCTTAAACGGCGTTGATTGATTCGAGCTATATGAAAGATTGCTAAGATTTCGCATGTTTACCTTTTTTTAGATGAGTTGAGTTTGAACTTGGGAAATTAACGTATCGCCAGTTGAATTGAGCAGGCTCGATTTGAGCTAATCAACTAGTAGCTTGAATTAGCTCGTTGATTCGATTGATTTAATCATTTTGTATTAAATTATGTTTCTTTTTTTAAAAAAAATGTGACGATATTGGTAAATTGCTATTAATCAACTTGTAGTTTGAAAATTCTGCATCATACTTTATCTTTATTTTGAAACTTTACAACGCTTCCTCGTGTTTTTACAAAATATTGCATAAAGTTCTTTAAAAATTGCATGAGTTTCCCTCGTGTTGTCGTAAGAGAATCTTCTAAAACACAAATTTTGTACAATATTTTTCAGAAGATCGTAGAGTCTTATATAATTCTTAAATCATGAGGAAGAATAGGGCGAGATTTTATAACCATAAGTGGATTATGAGTAATTTGGTAACGATGTTGCTTCATTGTTCTTGGAGTCTTAGGTCTTTATCTTAGAACGACATTTGGTCAATGTTATATTGTGAAGTTCCAAGTTGATGTCTATATATACTTGTTAATATATATGAAATTAAAATTGAAATATACTAATAAAAATATTTGATTTGATTTGATTGCTACTATACATACATACATAATAACTTCACGTTCGTTCATGCCTCTAGTTCCTCAGTGTTTTTATCTTGATTTCACTTAATTTCGTAACAATCTCTTACATTTCAGGGCGATCGTCGGCCATGTGCCTTCCCAACTTCCTACACGTGCTCGGATGCCTATGTGTTTGTTGGGTTTTATTGTGACGTGTAGAGTTGCATTTTTTTTTTTTTTTTTTTACCATTATTGTTTTGTATCGATTAAGATTATTCGTTTTGTTTCTAATGTCAATAAGAATAGATGGAAGTTATGAAAATCAATGGTTACAATTATTTGTTGTTTCTCATTGCAATAAGAATCGATGGAAGTTCTAAAACAGAAATTTTTGGTCTTCCATTTACATTATGCTAACAAAATTTATTTAATTTTAAGGCCCGAAATAGTAAAATATATAACTGATGTTATCGTATCCTTTTTAGCAAATATATATATATATATATTTTTTTTAAAATCTTTTACTGTAAAAAAAAATAAATAAAAATACTCACGATCAGTACTTATTTTCTATTATAATTTGTGTTTAAATATTTAACACACATTGAAAAGATGGAAAAGGTATTAAAAATACTACATTAATTATATAATTTTCAAAACATTTTTTTATTATTACTCTTAAAAATAACCGAAAGCTCTTGAAAAGTGTTTGGTACTTTGCTGATTATCTAACATTGTTTATTGATAGTTGTCAGTTATAGGTATTTTCATAATACTGCTGCTGTATGACCAAAACACACACTGAAATATTATCATTCATTCAGTTCAAACTGTAATGAGACAAATCATACATTTGAAAAATAATAATAATAATAATTAATATATATATTATAATTAGATTAACAAAAATTGTAACTTGACTTGACACAATTTCATATCACAAATGCACATCAAAATTATTCAAATATTTTCCAATTTTGGTCATCATACACTATTTCTAGAGCCTCCTCCTGCCCACTTTGACAAGTGCATTCTTGCTTTAGCTGCCTGCAAGGGCAAAACATTTTCATTTTTTTATTTTTATTTTTAATAATAATAATAATAATAGAAATATAATGTATTTATTATATTATTATTACCTCATTCTCCCAGTCGCATCTCATTACAATAACGGATAATATGAGTGTTTGGACAGCAGTTCCACCGAAAATCATGCCTGCCCATATCCCCTGTAATAAATACCAAATCAAATCAAATCATCAAAATATATTAATATAATAAAATATGAACTGACAATACATAATAATAATAATAATAATAATAATAGCAACAGTACTAATTCATATCATGTGTTAACTGTCTATATTTCATATGCTAACAATTACTCAAATCATTTTGTAATTTATAAACTTTATTTTATAATTTTGCCCAAGTATATCTCAACAACATAATTCAAAACAACACTCTTGTACATTAAAATTAAGAAAAAAATAAAAATAAAAAATCCAAGAAAGTTCATTTAATTCAAAGTGTAACCTTAATTTAATAGTTATAGCAAAGTTATTATTAATCGAAATTTGAATAATATTGAAATGAATATTTTAAAATTAACATCTAAATTTAGTAAAAAAAAATAGAGAAAAATTTAACAAATAAAAATATTAATTACCTTAACTCCTTGATGAAAGACCCAACCCATCAAAAGTCCCATAGGCACTCCAACCAAATAGTAGCAACCTAAGTTTATATACGCCACGTAAGCTTGCCATCCCGATCCAACGGCCACCCCTAATTTTCCAAAAAAAATAAATAATAATAAATTAAATTAATGTCGTATTACGACTTAAATTAATTTCATTATAGTCGGAATTTTAAATCGTTGTTGCTATAATTATTACCGGATAGAATTGGCTGAATGCTATTGAGGAGAACGGTAAATGCGAGGAGGAGTGCGAGATCGGAGACAGCGTCAAGCACGACCTTGCTCGACGTGTAGATTAGTGCGAGTTCGTTGTGTAAGAAAAATATAAGTACCCAAAACACGAGACCAATTGCTGTCGATTGCACCACAGAGACTAATGTCGCGAATTTTGCGCCTTTACCGTTCCCGGCGCCCAATTCGTTCGCCACCCGAACTCTACATAATTTAAATAAAACAATTAATTTTGTAACAAAAAAATCATTAAATAATATTTCATTTGTCACACATATTTCTGCAATATTTTCTAATTTAATATATTTTATCTATTATGCAAAAAATAAATATATATTTCTCTCTCTTATGATTTATCACGTCATTTAATTTTCACTTTATTTTATTTATATAATTTATTTATTTTTTTCGATACCAAAATAAATATATTGCTCTTTCTATAGGACGAATAGAGTATTTTTAAAAGAAAAATATATATTTCCTCCTTTTTCAAATCAAAGAGATCTTTTGGATTTTTTTTATAATAAATTAAGAAATAATATTATTTTATAAATATAGCATATAAGATATTTTGATATTTTTATTATTTAAATTTATGTATAACATAATTATATAATTATATGTATATTGTTATATTTGTAATTTAAATAAAAATTAAAATTATTTTAATATTAGTATATAGTTAAAATTTAATAATAATAATTTGAATAAAAAATAAATAAGGACTTACCCGGTGCCGGCAAAGAAGCTCAGGGGGATCATCAATTCGAAGCCGTTGATGCTCATACTACACGACAAAATTAAATCAACTAATTAATTTGATCATTGATTGCTCTCCACGTGATCCACACCAGTAATTAATAAGGCCAACAAACCTAATAAATGCTCTTAACACTAACAGATGGACATGCCCAATTAATACCAGATTCTGGTACAGTGTCTATTCTTAAAACATAAATAATACTCCCTCCAGTCCCATATAATATGGGTTAATTACTGTAAATACGAAAATTTAGATAAAATATAATTAGTAAATAATTAAAAAGTGTATTAGAAAAAATAATTATTATTTAGTAAAAATAATTATAAATTAAGATTAAAATAAATAAATAGTTTAATTAAAATTAAAAAAATTATAAAATTTAAAATTTAAAATGCGATTAAAGTGTATAATTATATTTTCAAAAATAGAAATGACAAGTTATGTGGGATGGACGAAAATAAAAAATAAGAACAAATTATATGGGATCGACGGAATTTTTTTTTTTTATTAAAAAAACTTGTAATAAAATAAGTTCGGAAACTTCTTATAAATCAATGAACTTAACCTTACAAATGATGTAACCCATATCTATTTTGAGCTCAGAATAAAAAAATACCAAAAAAAAAAAAAAACTGCCAAATCACGTTGATTAAAAAAATAATTATAAATATGATTCTTTACACTCAAATTTTAATTTTTTACTATTTGAATTTTACATTTAAAAGATTAAAAAAAAAAAAAATTCTCTGCATAGGTTCTGTTTATACAATTTTGAAATTTTTTTATATAATTTAATAGATTAAAAATATCATATAAATTTTTTTATTATTTATAAATTTTTGAATTATTTATTTATTTGTATAAATGGAGCTATACTTTAGAAATAATAAATAAATAAAATAAAAGGCTTAAATTTCGAACTATAATACGACAATGCAATCTTGACCTAGACAGCACACAATCCAAATCATGTTTGGCTCCTGCTTATATATAAATATATAATAAAATAAAAATTGACTTACCAAATGGACAATGCATCCACGGCAATTTCAGCATTTGGGAGATTCCCAGTCATCACAATAAGAATACGATAATACCAATTCTCCAAGCTGCCAAAACATTTATTTATTAATATATATACATATATATATATATTCAATTAAATAACATCCTCAAATAAAATAATTAATTAACTAATTTACGTACCAAAGCATGACGCCGGACGAAGCCGAGAGCTTAATAAACTCCCACAAGCCGGAAAACGCCTCGCTGGAAAATCCCGTCCACGTGTTCCTGCAGCCGCCGCCGACCGTGTAGCCGAACAAGCCGACCACAATAAGCCACCACGAGATATTCAGCGTGAGCGCCGTCCCCAGCAGGCCGAGCCGGAACCGATAAACAACAAGCCAGCTCAAAAGAACGTGGACGCAAAACGCGGCCAGATTCACCAAAGCCGTGACGCTGTTCTTCAGCTGGCTCTGCAGAAACCGCTGCAACGGAAACTGGAAAGCGAAGCTGAAGTGCAGCGGAATGAAGTAGAGCGCCACCGTCCCCGACAGCTCCGCCACGTCCTCCGGCTGACCTAACAGTTTCAGCACCGGCGTCGCGAAGACGAACAGAGGAAGCAACGCTACGCAGCAGAGGAACAGCACGATCCACGACCGCTGGAGGTACACGCCGAGCATGTGGTACTTCCGAGCGCCGTACGCCTGACCGCACAGCGTCTCCAGCGCACTCGCCATTCCGAGCTGCTCCGGCGCCGGCGATTAATTAATCAGAAATTGAAAAATTGCAGAGGAAATTGAGAAATTGATCGGTCAATTTTGTAATTGAGATCGATTGATTGTTTGATTTTTACCAGGAGTCCGAAATCGAAGCCGACTATGACGCTGGAGGCGATGGACATGGCGGCGAGCTGGAGGTCGCCGAGGTGTCCGGCGAAGGCCTGCGTGATTACGAACATGGAGTAGGAGGCGATGCGGCTGAAGATCGCCGGTCCGACGATCCGCCATAGCTTCTTCGTCTCGATCCAAACCCTAACTGACAGCGTTTTTTCGTCGTCGTCGTTTTGCTCGATGAGCTTTGTCGTTTCGACGTCGTCGGAGTGGTATAGTAACGGCGCCGTTAGGGTTCCGTCGCGGTTTTCACCGTCTCCGGACGACATTCTGCAGGCAATCAAAATAGGCAGACACTGCTGGCTATGTGTGTGTATTTATAGTTGCCCCACAATTTTTCTTTTCTCTTTTTTTTTTTTAAAAAAAAAATTATTGTTAATTAAATAATTATTATTTGTTGACAATTACATATACTATAACGTTGCGTTTGTTTGGTGGTTTGGATTTTAATTTGAGATTTGAATAGTAAAATTTTGAATTTGAATAGTTGTATGATGTGATATAAATAGGTGTTGATGTGATATTTTGAATATAAAATTAATTTTTAGTATAATATAAAAAATAAAAAATAAGTGTTTGATTTGATACTTTTGGAGAAGAAAAATGGGATGAATAATAGATTTAAAATCCAATCCCCAAATAAACACAAATATTCTCTTCCTCACAAAAAGGATGGCGTAAACTCTTACTCATGAAATTATGGGTTTAAGTTTTCGACACTTACTTTAAAATTTTGTCTGTCACATATATATGATTATTCGTCGAGGTTATAAATAAATAAACAACTGTTTTAAAATAGAAAAATAAATAGAAAATATAATGACAATTAATTAAAATTTTAAGTAAACAAGTAATTTTTATTATTACAAATATATTACTCGCTGGCTCCGTCCACCTCTAACAATTATATTTACTTTTTGCATCATTGTATTTAATATTAAAAATATTTTTATATTTGTATAATTTTTGTTATACAAATGTCATTCTATTAGTATTATAAGACAGTAATTGAAGCATTTTTATAATTTTTTTAATTTATACTATATTTTAATATAATAATTAATATTATTAAAAAAAATTAACACAAAAAAAAAAAAAAGAAACGCCTGATGAAAATAGTATATAAGAGAAAGTGACATAATGGGGATTGACATATTGAAATTCTAGTAATTTTCATTTACAACAATGATTTGTTAGATTTTAATTTATATAGTTAGTTGATATAATATAAATATAAATTAATGTGATATTTACATAATAAAAAATATATATATATTTCTTTTGATATTTATAAGAGGAAAAAATTATAAAAGCAAAATTTAAATCAAAACATCCAAACGAACACTCCCATAATTTCTGTGCATATTGATTGATTGATTGAGGGTTTATATTATTAGAAAGGTAGCAGTGTTCAAACAAGATACTGCATTGAAAAAAACAATTAAAAAAACAAGTGGCCAATGAAATTTCAATATATAATAATAATAATAAAAAATATAAATATAGAAATTCTTATCTCATCGGCAACCGGGAAAATCGGCAACCATACAGTACATGATCAATTGAGCTACTTCCTGCTGGATTGATCTACACCGTTAATTTTTTGGGGTCCATATAGTGAACGGTGTAGATTAATCCGATGTTCGGCTCTAGCATCTGTGGAAGTTCCTGTCAATCCAGAGATAGATATTGTCCGTTTACTCTTGTTTTTTTTTTTTTTTTTAAAAAATTGTATAAAATATATGTAAAATGATTTGATAATTTACGTTAGATAAATATATGTAAAATGATTTGTGAATGAAGTGTGTTTGTTTGGGAGATTGGATTTAATTTCTACTATTCATTCCATTTTTTTTTCCAAAAATATCAAATCAAACACGTATTTTTTATTGTTTATATTATACTAAAAATCAATTTTACATTCAAAACATCACATCAACATCTATTTATATTACATCATACAACTATTTAAATTAAAAAATTTTACTATTCAAATCTCAATTCAAAATCCAAACCCCGACCAAAATACACCCACATGTCTGTCTCAATCGAATGTATTTTTTTTATTCTTGTATATTAAACCATTAATAATAATAATAATAATAATAATAATATGCACTTAGTAAAAATACTTGTCCTATTAATCTTTTCATTTATTTTTTGCATATGAATTTAAGTATATTAGTATTTTATTGAAATATAATACAAATAATATATATAAAGACAATTTTATCTTTGATTTTGTGTAAGAATAATTAATGATGATAAAATATGATCATTTTTGTATTGATGTGAGATACAACTAATTTTCCTTTATCATTCCAACTATATAATTTATAAATACATTTAAATTATAAAATTTTATTGAATAATATCACGTAAAAAACATAATTATATTTTATTAACAACATCCCATTGAAATATAATTTTCATTTTGGAACTTTTCACTGCTCTCTAAATTATTAATTAGAAAAGTGCTGCAATAGTAAATAAAACCCAAACATACTTTTTGAATTCGAGCAGACCTTTATTGAATAAATATGAAAAGTATTTATTACTCCATTTTGTACAATGATAAAGAGACGACGCCGTTTTGGGGCCCGAATGTCTTTCAGTTTGCCTTTTTCATTTCTTCTTTGACAATTATTACAAAAAAATCCTCCCACGCTTCTGCTTTAATAATTACTAACTCCGTCCCAAAATATGGGACTATTACGGCATATAACAAAATTTAAGTAAAATATAATTAATAAATAATTAAAAAGTGTATTAATAAAAATAATTATAAATTAATATTAAGATAAGTAAATAATTTAATTAAAATTAAGAAAATTATAAAATTTAAAATTTAAAATGCGATTAAAGTGCATAATTATATTTTTAAAAATAGAAAAAACAAGTTATGTGGAACGAATGAAAATAGAAAATAAAGACAAATTATATGGAACGGAGGGAGTAATAATAAATGTTTCCAGCTAAATTGAGTCACAAAACTTGCCCAAATAGTTTGGACTCTAATCTGTAAGTTGGGAAGAAATTAGTAATGTTTTTATATTTAAAAATATATTTTTCATTATATAAAGTACTTATACATGTTAAAACATTTTTATTTTTATAAATTATAAATACATAGTACTACCTTACCTTCGTCCAAATGTAAAGGTCTTGTTACCTTTAATTATTATATTAATTATTATATCAAAATGTATTACAATTTAAGAAAAAAATTAAAAAAATATTTTTATTAGTGTCTTATAATATTAATATAATGATATTTGTACAAAAAAAAATTATACAAATATAATAATATCTTTAATGTTAAATAAAATGGCGCAAAAAACAAATGTGACCCTTAGAGGCAAACCAAAGTATTATTCATAAAATTAATTTATATATAACTATCAAACTAGTTAATACATTTTCGCTAGTTAAAAATTTATTACTCTCTCTCTCTGTTATTCAAATATATTTTTATTTTATTTTTTTACTATTTAAATTTATTCTTATTTTTTAATAAAAAAATACACTTTTTTTTATTTTACTTTTTTTGTATAATAAAAGTAAAAAAATAAAAATAAAATTCTAATTTTCAATTTCTTAAAAAAATTATGTTCAATCAAATAAAAATAAAATTTATAACATGGAGAATATTATTTTTTAATCTATTTAAAAAACAATTAAAAAATATATTTTAAAATGAGAAAAAAAAAAAAAAAAGAAAGTATATATAATGTATATTTGCATCGTATACCCACTAAAAACTAATCAAATCCTAAACCTTATATATTTATATTAATAAAAAGGGTCACGTGGTAATAAAATAATAATATTTGAGGAATTAATAATTAGTTTGAAGTCAACATAAGTGCCCCCCAAAATTCACACAGTTCCTTTGCAACCAAGAAAATTTATGGTTTTGACTTTATCTGTAAGACGTAAGCAAATGCGTAAGCAAAATTGTCATAGTGATAAATAAATTTAGGGTGTGTTTGTTCGGAGGTTTAGATTTTGTATTGAGATTTGAATAGTAAAATTTTTGAATTGGAATAGTTATATGATGTGAAATAAATAGGTATTGATGTGATGTTTTGAATATAAAATTAATTTTTAGTATAATATAAAAAATAAAAAATAAATATTTGATTTGATGTTTTTTAGAGAAAAAATTGAATGAATAATAGAAATTTGGGAAAATCCCCCAAAAGAACACACCCTTAATTAATTATATACTTAATTTGTATGGCGATCTATAAATGTTTTTTATTAAAATTTTGAAAAATATATAATATTCTTCGGTCGTTCAAATCTATTTTCACTTTTCTTTTTTGGTTGTCATTTAAATTTATTCTGTTTCATTTTTAGTAAAAAAATACTATTTTTCTTTACCAAAAAAGTAAAAATTTCTATTATTACCTATTTTTCTTAAAATCCGTTTTTGTAATGGGCCTAAACATAATTTTATGGGCCTTGGTATTGGACCCAATAACTATTCAGTATTTTATAATTTGCTTTATTTAATTTATTCATTTCTTAGTGGATCACTAGTTATTTTTAAGTGAAAATTTTTACATTGAAAGAATTAAATATGAATGCGTCTTCTTTTTCAGTTTGTTTAATTTAATACTCCTACTTATATTTTTATTTTAAATAAAATATTTATTGAATATGATATTCTATGTATATTTTTTTTTTTAAAAAAAAACTATGGTAAAAGAAAATTGGAAAAATGAATATAACAAACATAGCGTTTGTATATGATATAATTTTCTTTCTTTTTTTATTTTTGAAAATTGGATAATTGTCAAATGTGATCCTTTATACGAAAATAAATATATTTCATAAAAGCTAGAAGACTGTAAAATAAAAATAATAAATATATATATAACCGTTTAGATATTTAAATATATACGTTAGTGAATATTATTCTATCTTAGTCGCGGACCACGTCCAATTGATTTTAAAATAATAATAATTAACAACGTTTGAAAATAATAATAATAACAATGTTATAAAAACATATATATAAAAAATTAAAAATAATAATCATTAATGCGTTATTATTTTTTTAATGACAAATGACCGTTAGTCAAATTTTAAATCAGGAAGAGTATTAATAATAAATAAATAAACAAGGGACGGCAGCGGCAATAGCGGTGACTACACGTTGCAGATTCTAAATGAAACGACGACGTCACGGCCACCACATGCACCAGATTCGCATTGAAACGACGTCGTCAAGAGGAAGGACACGTGTCAGATTCTTCGACAAGACGATGTCGTATCGACAATCTTAGCTCAGCTCAGCACATGTGCCCATCTCACATAAGTTGGCTACAGCAATGCAACCACTATCTTTGCATCCAATTCCTTATCCTGCAGTTCCTTACAGTTTCTTCTTTGTTTCACTTTTTATTTTATTTTATTTTTTCAACATGCTGGATTATGCCTTTAATCATGTGACTCAGTTGGTGAAAAGGTCTCCTTGTAATTAAAAAGAAAAAAGAAAAAGTGGTGTTATTTGAATTATTATTTATTGTTTTGTTGAATGCTTAGAAATGTAAAAATAAAATTGGCTATGAATAAATCAATAATCGCATAACAATAATAAAAAATCTATTAATAAAATGAGACAAGACATCAAATAAATAATAGTAACAATAATAATACAGAGGAGAAATGGGGGAAAAAAGGAATGTCAAATGACTACTGTGCCCCTCAAATTAAATAAACCAAATCAAATCTCGACCGTCCATCCACATAAAAAAAAAAAAAATACAAACAGAGATCAGATCAGATCCGATCCCATCCGCGCCGCCACATGGCAGGCTTAAAACAGCGCCACCGCGACAAGCGCCGCCGCGAAGGCGGTGGCGCCGACGGCGGCCTTGCTGACGAATCCGTCGTTAGAGCCATCTGCCGGAGTGTTGTCCCCCGATGGTCCGCCGGCGGGGGAGTTGGAGTTCGGGGAGGAGGCGCCTGGGGCGGGGGCCTCTCCCGCCGGGGACGGCGTCGGGGCGGGGGTGGACGGCGCAGGAGAAGGAGATGGGGTTGCACCACTGGGGGTTGGCGCCGGGGTGAGGGTAGGCGGCGCCGCCGGGGCCGGCTGTGGAGCGGCAGTCGGAGACACCGTCGGAGCGCCGGACGGCGCCTGAGCCATGCATGACGTGGCGATCAGTGATAGGACGGCGAAAACCTTAAGCAACGACAAGGAGGCCATTGTAAGAAATCTAGAGAGAGAAAGGAGGATGAGAGAGATAGGGAGCGTTTGGGAGAGAGGATTTGAAGGTTTTAGCAAAAGGAGCAAAGAAAGTGAAGATATATATATAAAAAAGAAAGAGGAGAGAGATTAATATTATACTATAATGTAATACTAATAATAATAATAATTGTAATAATAAAGATGATAAAGATTCCATAAAAAAGTGATTTTATTTATTTTTTTAAAAAACATAACTTTGTGACACCCAAACATGTATAGACATGCATGTGGTGTGACATGTAAGAAGTTTCCTTTTCATTTGCCTAATCATTTATTATCAAATTTAATTTCAATTTCAAGATTGAATTTTTAAACCATTTGCCACACAACACAACATATTTATTTCCACCCCATTTAAAAAAGTTTGAATTAAATTTTATGCTTTTACATTTAATTTCAAAAGATATACCAAAATTCTTGACTTTGTTATCAATTTATTTAAAAAATTAGTTGCACCCATCATCTCACCTTTTGTCATATATCTTAGCTTTCACTACAAGACCATAAAATAGTACATATGATACCAAAAGTAAATTTATATTTATTAAATATATAGTTGGACTCATTCTAGAATACACGCAAATATATATATATAATTAATTAAATATATTCCTACATGCATTGCGAAAAGACTTTGTCTAAATATAATTAACACACGTATGTTTTAACACTATTTCAGGTAAAACAAATATATATATTTGATTAAATATTTTATATGTTATTTCTTTAAAATACTATATATTAATGGATAATATTGAAAGTTAAAGTGTCTATATTACAGTAGATATAAAAATTTAGATAAAATATAATTAGTAAATAATTAAGAAATATATCACTAAAAATAATTATAAATTAAAATGAAAATAATTAAATAATTTAATTAAGATTTAAGAAATATAAATTATGAATTTAAAATATAATTAAAATATATAATTATATTTCAAAAAACTAAATAATGTGACGGACAAAAATATAAAAATAAACACTTTATGTAAGATAAAAGGAGTACAAAAATACGTAAACAGGGCCGAAATTCGAAGCATATTTGCATATGAACCATATGATTCAAAGTATTGTTTAAATAAAAATTCAAATTATTTTTAAATAAAAAAAAAAACTCTAACATATGAAATAATAACATCAATAAGATGCTACGTATTCATTTATATCGACAATATTGTTGGAATTCGAACAATTAGGTAGAAATATATTTTTATTTATAATTATAATAAATTTATACCATAGTTGTCTTTGTGACAAAATATTACAATTATTATTTTTTTTCTTTTTAAATTGGCTGTGTGATACAAAATATATTTATTATTTAGAATATCAGCATCTAAATTTTATTACCTCCGTCCCACGTACCGTGTCTGCTATACTGTAGGCACGGTATTTTAGAAGGGGTGTAATTAGTAGATAATTAAGAATGTATTAGCGAAAATAATTATTCTATAATATAAATAATTATAAATTAAAATTAAGATAACTAATTAGTTTAATTAAAATTTTAAAAAACAAAAAATTAAAAAGTTTAAAATGAGATTAAAGTGTATAATCATTTTTCAGAAAAAAAGGAAAGTGACATAGTATGTGGGACGGACAGAAACGGCAACATGGATATGGTACGTGGGAATTTTTCATTTAAATAAATTATAATAAAAATAAATAAATTGGGTCTAAAGTCACTTTCATGGGGTCAGTAAAATATCATTATCTCGTGATTAGTGATTTAGTGGGGTGCATTTTGCATTTCTATTTAAGATTATTTTAATTTAATTAAATTAATTCCAATAAACAGCCTTTGACAGACTGTCCGCGTAAACCCTTTTGTTTATTTATTTTTAATATAAGGTTGGTTTGAACCATTCAATTTTAAAATTGTACGAAAATCAAATTAAAGAATTATTTGAATAACGAAATTTATTTAAAAGTAAAATTTGTTTGAACATATTTTTATTTTTATTTACGATAAAGTCAAATAGGACAAATCATCATAGGTAACGCGGATTCACATTAAATGAAATTTTTATATACATATATGGAAATTAAATTTAATAATTTTGGTTTTTTGGGACATTAAAATTAGGTGAATTTTATATTTAATTTAGGATAAATGGTGTCATTAATAATTGAAGAGGGTGGGTGGGTGGGTGGGTCATATATATACGTATATATATATATATTTGTATGTATATGTGTATGTTAGCTGTACAATTCCTAATTTCATTTGCACTAAAATTTGTGTTTTGGTATTTTTAATTATACTGGGAAACCCATGCAATTTCTCATAAAATTATTATTATTATTTTTTATAGTAAAATATTACATCAAATTATGTTTAAACACAAACGCATCCGATTACGTCAAATTTATTATTTTTTTTTTTAAAAAAAAAATCACGATTCTTGTATTTTTCGAGTTTAATTAATCTTTCTTTTTTACTGTACATGATTTTTATATAAAAAAATTTATACAAAATATCACAACCTAATATTTTAAATATATAATATGAAAATTACATTATAAATAATAATAATAATAGAAAACAAAAAAAGGTAACACGATATGATATACACAGAATATTTCAAAAAAAAAAATGTATGTATATACACCAATATGCCAACAATATATCTAGAGACTATTGGCTGTCAGATGCCAATTATTGATTCATTTCCCTAATAATAATAATATTGTCAGTATGCTTATTAGACCAATTAGTGCTTATTTCGTATTATATATTTTATAATATTTTTTAAAGATATTTCATATATCATGCAATATTTTTTAAATAAAAAATAATTTATATTACTCCCTCTGTCCCGGTGCAAGGTTGCCGTTTATTTTTTATACATAGATTTTTTAATATTAGTATTATAATGGGTTGTAGTGAAAAAGAGAAAAATGCCCCTATTAGTATTGTGTAATATAAAACTAATGACATTTGTGTAAGATAGTATAAGTTGGAAGGGTATTTATTATGTTAGGTAGATAGTACAATTACTAAATTAGAAAATGGTAACCTTGTTTTGGGACGGACGGAAATGAAAAATAGCAACCTTTCAATGGGACGGAGGGAGTATAATAAATATATATATTACAATTTATCACATCACATTATTCAAATAAAAAAATAAATATATACGTATCTTTCTCATAATTTTGTAATATTTATCTATATTATAGTAAAATATAATAGATGGTAAAATCAATTGTGTTATGTCCTGTGAGTTCACTTAATAATGACAATTGTTGTATGGACAATAATATTATTATTTTTCTTAATTCATATGCTGAATTTATATTATATTAATATTTATTTATTTATTTATTTTACTTTTAGAATATTGTTCATGTATATTATTCCCTCCGTCTTAAATACCGTATCTGCTATACTGTAAACACGGTATTTTAAGAGGGATGTAATTAATAAATAATTAAGAATGTATTAGTGAAAATAATTATTTTATAATATAAATAATTATAAATTAAGATTAAGATATCTAATTAGTTTAATTAAAATTTAAAAAATAAAAAAAAAATAAAAAGTTTAAAATGAGATTAAAGTGTGTAGTCATTTTTCAAAAAAAGGAAAGTGACATGGTATGTGGGACAGACAGAAACGACAACGTGGACATGATATGTGGGACGGAGGGAGTAGTTATTTGGCGCGGTGTTAGTAATATGCTGAAAGATATCATTTGGCATATTAAGTGTCTATAAAAATTTATATGTAAGGGTGTATTTCTTTACACCAAAAACTTTATGTTTTTACTATTTGAATTTTGTATTTTTCAAAAAAAAATATTTTTTTTTCACAAAATATCTCATCATACGTATTTTAATACTATCTCCGTCGCATAACAAAGTATCAATTTTTTCATTTTAGTTCGTCCCATAACAAAGTATCCATTTTTATTTTTTTTTAATAACTGTACTATCTACCTAACATTACAAATACCCTTACAACTTACAATATATTACACAAATGTCATTACCTTTATATCATACATACTAACAAGGTTATTTTAGTAATTTCTACTTTATTTCTATTATATTCTAATATAATACTAATATTTTTAAAAACTATGGGCAAAAAGCAAATGATACTTATTTTCGGAACGGAGGAAGTACCAAATTCAAACCAAAATTTTTGCAAATTATAACAAACCCTATAGAGATTAAGATTATTACTAATATTATTATGTAATAATGGAAATGGTGACGTGGGTGATGTCATATGCACGCCAGAAAGCTTGCAATTCAATTTGATTTGTTCTTTGCTTTGTATTAAAATGGAAACTGCATTTAAGTCAATAAATACGGAGTATGAGTATTATTTACTTTTAATCAATAATCCTAATATTTTTTAATCCAACTTAAATAAGCAATACAAACATAATAATTAAATCAATTAAGGTAAAATTGTTTGACACTACACAAAAATATCCCTTTTCAATCAGAGGACTGTTTAGCAATTTGCTAATAGATTAGCAGTTAATTGTTAATCGATTCAATTTTTTTATTTAACTAATTGAGCTTAGTTTTTGATAAAATTATTACTTGCTATTCTTTTCATTCTAAATATCTTGCAATATTTCTTTTTGTCTCATTGTAACATTTCGAATCTAAAAATAATTATTTATAATTATATATATATACTACTTACCTAAATTATGGTGAAGAGCGCAAATGTTGTGCACTATAGGAGTATTAATTATTTATGCAGAAAAGTATAATAAAATACTCCCTCCTTTCCATATATATATATATCTATATATTTTTTTTACGAAATTTTAGAAATATTAGTATTATATTAGGATAAGACAAAAATAAAGGTAAAAATACTAAATTGCCCCTAGTAGTATTGTATGATATAAAGATAATGACATTTGTGTAATATATTGTGAATTTGAAGGGTATTTGTAATGTTAGGTAGATAGTACACCTATTAAAAAAAATTGAAATAGATACTTTGTTATGGGACAAACCAAAATGAAAAAATGGATAGATTATTAAGGGACAAAGGAAGTATGTTCTATATTTTATTTTAAAAATATTTATTTGTATTTTTCAGTTTCTAATATTTTATGTATATTGTTATTAATTATTGAAATTTATATAAAAAGAATTGTTACGTATATGAGTAATTTTTTTTATTGAAAATTATATAAAATGTAAAAGAATAAATAATTTGTATATGTATTTTTTTTAATGTCAAATTTTAATTAGTTTATTATTTTATTAATTTTATAATTTCCAGTAGATTTATTTTATATTATTCAATTTTAATATATAATTTATGTGATAAAAATTATATACAAAAATAAATTAATAATATTATTGTGTTCTATTTTTTTTCTTAATTTTAATCAATTTAGGCATTTTGCAAATAAAATCATTTCCATACAAACAAATTAATAATTTCAATTATTTTAAATTTATAAAAAATAAATTATTAGAAAAACATAAAAATAATAGTGATTAAAATAATAATAGATTCGATTTTTTATAAAATTATAAATTTTCTCAATATTAAAAGTACAAAATAATTTTCGTAATAGTATTGAGTAAATGTCATAATGGGCCCATAAAATGTACCATCGGCCCAATGGAGAACAAATATTTAATAAATGGGTCAAATGTATATTTGGGCCCATGAGCCCACCGTATTTAAAGGTTTCAAATGAGATTTTTGTACGGTCACAGATATTTCTCTAGAGGATGGAAGAATCGAGAAATCGATCAGAAATCCGAACGAAACCGAGAGTCCTTTGCCTCCATGGATTCCGGAGCAGTAGTAAAGAATTCGAGGAAAGGATCAGGTCACGGTGGCCGGAAAAGGTCATCGGAGAGCTAGATTTGGTGTTTGTGGACGCACCTTTCGCCGCCGCTGACGGCGAGTCTGGTGCTGATGCCGCCGGTTATGAGTGGTTTCAACCTAACAGGGTAATCACTCAAATCATGCGTTTTTTAAATATCGTGTCGGAGTGTGTAGATGAGCGGAGTTACTTGCTTTAACTTGAAAATTGAAATTCGAGATGTGTGGTCTTCAATTTGAAGAGGTATTGGAACTTTGTTTAGCTTAAATATGGAAGATTAGTCAGTTATTAGCTCAAGGATTCAGAACGCATTGGTACTCATAGGTTAGATTTATTTTTCTTTGTAATATATTTCATATTTTAAAGTTCGATCACAATTGGGTTGCTAATTAGTAGTCTACATAGCTGTATAAATCATAGATGGTTATCAAATCATGAAGAACACTAACGATTTTCGTGATTTCCATTTATACCTCTGTGCGGAACATTGATAACTAATTAATCCGAGTTTGTGATTATAGGACTTCAGTGAATTCTACAAATTTGAAGAATGCCTTGATTTTCTAGAACAATACATGACGAAACATGGACCGTTCGATGGCATTCTAGGATTCTCACAGGTACTTGCCTTCTGAATTTAAAATTATCTGTAAGTTCATATGCAACAATTAATGAAGATGAGTTCTAATTGTGCTTTCAACTCATATAAGAAGAGATCAATGGTAATGATTCCATAAACAGCTACCAGAATTTGTCTGTGTACCTTAGCTTTCTTTGGATTGATTTTGAGTACACAAAACATGTGAACTAATGTGTATCTTTACTGTTTCGCTTCGCATCTAATGATGATTTCTTCAAAGCAAAACATCTATTGATAAATGATCTATTACTAAATGTCTAAATGGTATGAATTGAGAAACTACATTCAATAATAAGTGAAATCACCGCGTAATTAGTACTCCCTTTGTGTTCGATTTGTTGCCTACAGCCTTAAATAAAATTTCTTCGTTATGGTCATGAAATTCGACAATGCTCAACTTTGTACTAACTTGCTGAGCTAGGGAGCATTTTTAGCAGCATCCTTGCCTGGCATCCGAAAGAACAGAGCGACCTTTGCCAAAATTCCTAGTATTAAATTCTTTATACTAATTTCTGCTGGGAAATTCGGATATGGTCGGTTTGGGGTACCCAAACCCGCTACTAATGCATATGATTCTCCCATCGAGTGTCCGTCCCTCCACATTATTGGTACGTTTTTACATAATTTCAAAGCTATGGCTACTCAAAAATCCTATATATATATAGTTCGGCATGTTTCTTAATAGGGTATATTGCATAATATCCATCTATATTTTATTATAAATAGATAAAACAGTTCGTACTTTATTTATTAAGTGAAATCCTTTTATTTTATATTAAAATATGCACAAAATCTGGATGGAGATTGTATATTGTGCTTACTTTAATATAGCAAATGAGATGTAATAGAACACATGTATTATACCATTTATCCTTCTTAATTTTATTGTTTCGATTCTATGCGAAACTTGATCGAAGAAATGTGGTTGCGAAAATTCAAGTGAACATTCGTAATGAAATTAATTTGCCGTATTGTTTTATTTATTGTTTAGGCGAAAGTGATGTTCATGTCCCGAAGGATGAGAGCGAAGCTTTGTTGTACTATTTTATCGATCCTACTGTGATTTACCACCCGGAAGGGCATGTAATACCACAATTGTGTAAGTATTTATTTTTACTTTTTTTTGCTTTTGCTATGATGTAGTTTTATTTTAGATCTTTTTATGATACTATTTGGTGTTTGATTTGTGTTGTATTTGGTTGATTATTCACAATTACGATAATTAATTATAAATATTGTTTCTTGCAGCAGGAGAAAGTATACTCAAAACAACGTTGGAGTTCATTCAAAAGATTAAGAAACTTCCATTGGGTAAGGAAGGGTAAATAAATTATGAGGTTAAAAAGTTATTTTATGTAATATATTTGTGTTAAATTATAAAAATATTTGTAATTCGAATATATAAACTATGAGTTTAATAAGTGTTTTTTTTATTTACTTTGGTTTATTTTTTATTTTAGTTTTTAATTTAAATAGTTGTAGGAGTCTATGACAGTGAATTTTAAGAGAACAAATTTGAGGCTGAATTTAGAGTTGTAAAATACTAATATGTTTGAGTTTAAATAAATATTGATGGGGTTTAATTTTCTAAAAATAGTCAATAATTCAAATTAATTTTAAATCTTAAACAAAGACCGAGTGTTCAAAAACGATTTGGATGCTATATTTCGAACTTTGATTTGGTTTTTTAATATTCGATTGTAACTGGAATTCATATAATAAAAAATTGAATCCAAAGTTTCAAATAAAACGCATTTGAAATGAATTAAATACGTGAAAATGATAGTATTAAATTACTATTATTGTTATTATTATTCAAGCTATTTAATATATATATATATATTTAGGGTGGGTGTGTTTGAAGGACCTGTGTAAATTTGTACTATTTACATAATTTTTTTTTCCCAAAAACATCAAACAAAATATTTATTTTTTATTTTTTATATTATACTAAAAATTAATTTTACATTCAAAACATAATATCAATACATATTTATATCACATTATATAACTATACAAATTTAATTTTTTACTATTCACATTTCAATACAAACCCACCCTCAAGGTATTTAAGAAAGTTTAGATAATGTAATATATCCGATTGATGTGATGTACAATTTGTACTTACTTTTGTTATTTTATTATTTTAAATTTAAATTAATATTATTTATTTATTATTTTCACAAAATACTATATATTTATTAGGACCAATAAAAAAGCAAAGTAAATTTTTTAAATCAAACTTAACAAAATTTTAATTTCAAATCCAAATCAATTTTTTTTTTGGTTTAAAAAAATAATAATAATAGTAAAAAATGTTAATTATTATTATTAAAAATCAAAATTTCAAATCAATTTTAAAGAATATTTGAAAATTTAAAAATGAAGGGCTAAAGGGGAAAAGGGTAATCTTCCCTAAACCCTTAACGACCACCGGAGTCACCGTATCCTTGTCTGTCTCTGTCTCTGTCCGTATCCTTTTCATTTGCCAAAGTCCAACACGCGCCGCTCCACGCGCTTCCACTCCACCCTCCATCCACACGCACGACAGAAAACAGATAAAGAGCGAAAAAGAAACCCTCCACTTCTGGTTTTCGAATATTTTCCAATTTTCTCAGATCAATGGAGCAGCCACTCCACAACAAGCCGGAAAATGCCGAAGAAATGCAATCGATTGATCTCCACCCGGATCCGAAGGCCCCGAGCCCGAACGGGGGGCGCGCACCTGACCTGGCCCCCGATGGCGGCGCTCTGAAGCATGGGGATAACGGTAATAGCGGCGAAGTGGATTCGAAGGAGAAGAAGCACGCTGGTGAGGATGAGAACAACGCCGATTTGGGAGCGGAGGGGTTGAAATCGAAGAAATCGGTGCGCTGGAGCCAGGAATTGGTGATGGAGAAGGCTGTTCCGAGGGACGATGATCGCGGATCCAGCAATCCCTATGTCGATCGCTCGGCCGCTCCTGCCGACAATACGCCGCCGTTCAACTTCAAAGGTGATTTTGATTTTCGCGAGTCTGTGTTCATTTATTTATTATTATTTTTTAATTTGTGTGTTAATTAATCGATTCGTTTTGGAACTTATGCTTGTCTGTTTGTATGGTGTTTTCTTATCTCTTCTTGGTTTTCATCAAATTAACCTGTGATTGTTGTCTTGTGTTTCCAATCTTCGCTGAATCATAAACTATGATTGATTAGCTGATCGAATCTGTGTTCGTTGATTGCTATGTGATAAAGTTGTTTTTTCTGTGATGTTCTTCTGAAATTTGGGATATTGGTTGTTTGATTTTTCATTGTGGTGTAGTGGTAATTGAATTTGTTGCTTTTGGACTTTAGAAACTATGGGTTCTGTCAAAGATGTGCTGGGAAGATGGGGTAAGAAGGTGGGAGAAGCAACGAAAAAAGCCGAGGATTTTGCCGGGAACACTTGGCAGCATTGTATGTATACATTTCTCTTTTAATTACATTGTATGATTCTGTTTTATATACTCCGTGGGAAGCTAATGAATGTGTCGAATGCTAAGCTCTTTTTCAAATGCTTCGTTGTTGTTGTTTTATGTTTCATATGATTTTTAGTGGGAAATTACCTTCGATTGTTTATGAAATCCATGAATTCTTATAGATACAGGCATTAAGATTGAATTTAATCACTTAAAAAGAAGCCGATTAAATCTTTCATGATACACTTCTGTGACAAGGCAGCAATCTATTAGGGGCTTTATGACGATATAGCATATGGGCTTGTCCTTCATCTGTGAATCCCGCTTTGTTTCAATGGTAAATTGCTTTTTGATTCGTAGTTTAGGAATAATTGGATTCTTTGAGATTAGAAGCAAATGTTCACTTTAGGCACTGATGGTATAGTATATTAGTTCTTCTCGAATAAGGTTTCGTAGATCTGATAGGGAACATGATGTGAGAATCCATTTTTTATGAAAAATGTTGAAATTTTTTCTTGTCTATTTCTACAAGGGAAGAAGAAATGGACTCGGGTCTGTTTCTTTGGGTTTTATCTTTCCAATTTTACTATTTGGACTCTTATCACAAAACATCACATCAAATGTTATTTAATTCTAAAGCAGCTTTGGAGTCGTCCTTGGGGGGAGGGGGGAGGTTGATTAGAAAGGATTCTGACCCTATCATGGATACTAATAGGACCCTTTTTGAAATTCTTTCGATTTGGTAGCTATATTGAAATTAATTGTTAATCCTCATTATTTCCACCCATCTTTTCCATAAGGGCTCCAATTGCAATTCCTATTTATTCAATTTCCGTTATGCTCAGAGCGACGGCTGGATGGTTTCAACTTGTTTTAATACTTGTAGATCATAGTAGAAAAGAGGCAAATGCCACTTGTATTTCCATTCTCGAATTTTCTCATTATGAAACTGAACTTTCTGCATAAGTGACTGTAACTGAAACAGCATCTATACTTTCTGAAATGGTCTCTCTCTCACTTTCTGTTTTTGGTTCTTCTAGTGAAAACAAGCCCTAGCCTAGCAGATGCAGCCCTTGGGAGAATCGCACAGGGCACAAAGGTTCTAGCTGAAGGTGGTTATGAAAAAATATTTCGGCAAACGTTTGAGACTGTTCCAGAGGAACAACTGAACAATTCATTCGCCTGTTACTTATCCACGTCTGCGGGTCCAGTCATGGGAGTTTTGTATGTATCTACTGCAAAGCTAGCATTTTGCAGCGACAACCCTCTTTCTTACCAAGCAGGGGATAAGACGGAATGGAGCTATTATAAGGTATGTCTGTATATCCCCTTGTTAAGTGGTTTTATATCATTTGGCTCGTCCGGCACACTTTAAGCTCTCATCATTTGATTTGAATAACAGTATAAAAGTCTTCAGTCTTTTATTTGTTTGTGGCTTTGGATTTTTTAATAGTAAAAAATTAAATTTGAATAGTTGTTTGATGTAATATAAATAGATATTGATGTGATGTTTTAAATGTAAAATTGATTTATAGTATAATTCTCCCTCCGTCCAGCAAGAAAGTATATATATTTCTATTTCGAGACGTTTAGTTACAAAGTAAATATTTTATTAAATACCTCACTTTTTTCCATAAATACCCTTACTTTACATCACATCATTATTTTTATATATAAAACTTAAACACCGCGCTAAAAGTAAACGTTTACTTTGTGTGTGGACGGAGGGAGTATAGAAGAAGAAAAATAATTGTTTAATTTGATATTTTTTTAGAAAAAAAGAATCTGAATAGTAAAGATTTGTAGTAAAACCCACAAAATTAACACAACCAGAAACTTAACTTACATGGCATTAGACCAATGTATTCCATTGGTTTCCTTTCAATCTCCGTATCGTTTGTTTTTGGTGATTTGGTCTTTAATTAGGGAATGTTTAGTTTGGAGGATAAATTCAGACTATTTTATCTCATAATGTTTATTTTGGCCCAACTTTTTATTTTGTTTGTGTTTTCTGGTTTGGGTTTGAATATTAGTTGGACGTAATGTTTTGTTTGTTTGAGAATCTTGAGGATTACGTAAGAAAGATTATGTGGAAAATTAGAATCTCGTTTGTTGCTAACCATCATTTGAAACAGGTTGTAATCCCGTTGCACCAACTAAAAGCAATAAACCCCTCGACAAGCAGAAACAATCCAGCCGAGAAATATATCCAGGTCATATCCGTTGATAACCATGAGTTTTGGTACATGGGATTTTTACAATATGGCGCAGCGGTAGAATGCCTGCAGCAGGCCTTGGAAGCTCGTGATGTGCTGCAAACCGTGTGATGTGAAAACGGCAATGGCGATGGAAAGATCTTCACCTCATCAGTATGTTTTTGACATCCTGTTATATTTACAGGTTTTGGACATAAGTTATTATTGTCTTTTTGCGTGGATTCTTCAGTTCTATTAACAAATACTCTTGGGTTTTGAAAGAAAAATATTATGTTGGGATTTTGGGCATATTGTACGTAGAGTTGTAGCTCATCTCTTGTTCTTTTGTGTCCTTACGACGAAATACCATAGTGCTTTGAATGGGATAATTGATATTTATAGTAACCATTTTTCGGACATTCCACCCTCACGCCTCGCACGCTCCCTAAAGGCTTTTTTTTTTAATTATGTGAGAATCAGACCCCGCTACTTTTTAGTTTACTAGGTCTGAAAAGACAAGTCACACTAGATGAACTATATTTGGTAGACAAGATTTAAAAATGTCGGAATTTGAAATCTAAATCTTGGCTTTTGTTCTCCTCGATTCTTTGTACTAGATTAGCTTTCGCATTGAATATTATCTATGTAGGAGTTGGTTACGGTGCTAATTATATATAGTTATTGTTGTAATAATATGGGTCATATATATATATAGTTATAATGTGTTGTCAATTATATATTATATTTATTGACGTGTGATAATGTGTTGAAATTATAGTGACATTTTGTATTGCATTGTACTAACATGCGACATGTTGTATTAATTATTATTATTGTTATTATTAAAACTAATGTTGTTATGAATCTTGGATGCCATAGCCCACAAGTTCCATTCTAGCATTATTAATAATTTTGTTTGGTAGTCACTAAAAAATGTTAAAAATAAGACATCAATTCCTTTCACATAGTTCAAAAATAGTCCTGCCCATAATCACAAAACAAGAAATAAAATGTCCATATATCAGTAAGGATTTTTTTTTCTATTTTTTTTTTAATGAGTGTGATATTATATATATATAATATACATATGAACAAAGTACAATGTGCGTGTCCTCTTCTGCTGTGTCATGGTCTGCAATACTTCACATGTCTGCCTACGCCCCACCGTTTCTCATCATCTTTTTTATATCTTCTATTATTGCCTTTCAATTTAATCTCTAATTAATTACTTTTCATTTATAAAAATACTATCTAATTTTCTTCTTATGTAAAATTTCATCAAATTTTTATTACTTATTAAATTTATTTTTTTCAAAAATATCTAATCAAACACTTTATTTTTTCATTTTTATATTATATTAAAAATTATTTTTAAATTCAAAATTTTTACTATTCAAATCTTAAATCAAAATCCGATCCCCAAACTAACACACTCTTAGTTTCGGTGATTTTTTTAATTTCTACTAATTCATCAAATATTTTGATTCAAAAATCATAAAAATCCAATATCTATTATTTTATATCTTATATTAAAAATTAATATTACAGACCAACAGATAATTATTTCATTTAAAATTTTTACTATTTAAATCTCAATTTAAAATTCAAATCCGACAAACACACCCAATTTTTTCATATGAAATGAGAGAGTGAAAAGGGTATCAAATGGAAGTCCAAGGCCACCACCAGATCGACGACTCCGAGCGCCGCCACACGTACAAGAACGGTCTGGATTTACCGGGCGTTGAAGGCCCGGGATCGCTTAAGAATCACAGTAGCCATGCGAGAACAAAACATTACTAACATCAACACCTTGAGCTAGCTCGTCGCCCGTGTCCCAAATTCGTACGTGTGTATATACATATATATATTATATATGCATGCATTAATACATATATTTTTGTGTAACGTGAATAGTACGAGTGTCTCGTCACAAATATAACTTTATATAAATACACATAAATATATATGTATATTTCTTACCACGGTGATACATTGGGTGTGTTTTCTTTGTGTGATATTGTGGTTTTGATTTTACTATTAATAAAATATACATATATTTAAAATATAAGATTAATATATATTTATATCATATCAAATAATTATTTGAATATATGATGAAAAAAAAAACATTTCTTTAATCCTTGAATTTCATTATATTAATAGAACATTTTATTATTTTAAATAAAAATAACAAAATATTTATGTAAGTTTTTTAAATACAAAAATTTTAAAATAATAATATTTTAATATCGAAAGGGTAAAATATTAATTAAAATAAAACATTATAATAAATTTATTAAAAAAATTATAAAAACAAATAAAATAGTAAATACAGATTAATTATTGTTTATTAAAATAGAAATATAATGATTTATTATACTGCCTCCTTCCGGTAACAAGATCACAATTTTTTTTTGCAATAATATTTTTTGATACTCTCTCCGTCCCGTTGGAAGGATAGCGTTTGTTTTTTATACGTAGATTTTTTAATATAAGTATTATATTAAATTGTAGTAAAAAGATAAAAATACCTCTATTAGTATGGTGTAATATAAAAGTAATGACATTTGTATAATATATTGGAAGTTAAAAGGATATTTATGATGTTAAATAGGTAGTACAATTACTAAATTAGAAAATGATAACTTTATTTTGGGACGGACAAAAATAAAAAAATAGTAATATTTCAATGGGACCGAAAAAGTATTAGTATTATATTTTGTAGTAAAAAAAAATTAAAAATATTCTTATTAGCAATAATGACATTTGTGTAATATATTATAAATTATAAATGGTAAAGATAATATTATATTAAGTACATAATATAATTATTAAATTAAAAAATAATACCTACAAAAATAAAAAATAATATACTTGTTAAACGAATGAAGTAAATAAATTTATTTTAAGGTGCGTTTGTTTGGAATTTTGGATTTTGAATTGAGATTTGAATAGTAAAAATTTTGAATTTGAATAATTGTATAATGTGATATAAATAGGTGTTGATGTGATGTTTTGAATGTAAAATTAATTTTTAGTATAATATAAGAAATAAAAAATAAATTTTTAATTTGATATTTTTTAAAAAAAATAAAAATAAAATAAATAAGTATATTTAAAATCCAATTCTCCTTCTTAGCTTTCGTGTATAGTTAGCATTTATATACCTACGCACACAGTGTATGTGTACTCGTGAGTGTATGATATCGTCACCGCCTGTGACCCATGCGACGGTGAAAAGTGATGATGATGTCGTGATCCAGGAGAAATTTCAGAAATTAAAAGCAGGCCATTTTTATTTGTGCAGATTAATTTGGGTGAATTTTTTTTGTCCATTTCAGGAAATTAAATTAAATTCAAAGATGGGTTTTGATTTAATTTAATTTAAAAATTGAATTGGATGGATGGATGGATTCATTGAAAAAGAGAGAATTTGATTGCAGTGCAGGCTGAGCAAGGTTGTCTGTCTCTCTACTAATTTGTCGTAGCCTATAGATATAGTGACATAGCTAGGGTTTGAGCAGTGCATGTGATCCCTGCAGCAGATATTCCACCACTTCGTAAAATCACGGGCACACCATAATTTAATTATTTAATTTTATTTTATTTAATTTAATTATTGTAACATTTAATTTTTATATATATATATATATATATTGATGGAGAATTGATTGTTTGTTCGATAATGGAGTTTGAGGAAGGTGAGGAAGACGAGATCCGGTTGGGTCCGAGTTACGACGACTCACTGGGTCACAACTCGGACTCGACTCGGACGACGTCGTTTCGAGACAAAACGACGTCGTACAAGGAGTGTTTGAAGAATCACGCCGTCGGGATCGGCGGCCACGCCGTCGACGGCTGCGGCGAGTTTATTCCGGCGGGGGAGGACGGAACACTCGAGTCGCTAAAATGCGCCGCCTGCAACTGCCACCGGAACTTCCACCGGAAAGAGCCGGCGGCGGCCTCCGGTGGGTACCGGAGCTTCCACCACCACTACCACCACCACGCGGCGGTGGCGTACCGCCACGGCCTCCACGTGGCGCCGCTCCTGGCACTGCCGTCGGCGACTTCCGGCGGGGCGGTGTCGGAATTGGAGGATTGTTATAACTACAACAATAGCGGCGGCGGCGCCGCCGCCGGAAAGAAGCGATTCCGGACGAAATTCACGGCGGAGCAGCGGGAGAAGATGCGGCGGCTGGCGGCGAGGTTGGGGTGGCGGATTCAGAAGCAGGACGAGGAAATGGTGCAGGAATTCTGCAACGAGGTCGGAATTACGAGGCACGTGCTCAAAGTGTGGATGCATAACAACAAGAACGGCGGCGGAGGCGGCGGCGCCGCCGCCGCTCCGCCGCACCATCTTCGTCTTCCTGCGCCAGGTGATGACGACATTATTATCAATAATGATAATAATAATAATAATTAAGTTTAATTAAACCCTAATTTTATTAATCCTATTAATTAGGGTTTCTATGGATAATATTATATATATATTTGTGTGGAATTGTTATCTATGAATTTTAATTCTTAACTATGTATATTAGGTGACCAAAATTTTCAATTTTAATTTCCATTTAGGTTTACTTTCACCTGCAATCAAAATTGGAATTAATAGATTGTGGACAATGGATCTTATTTTATTTTTTCCATTATTACTATCATTTAGAGAAAAAATAAAATATCATGGCTTATTTGATTTTTATTTAATTACCGATAAATATTTGATATAAATAATTTTTAAAAATTAATATTAATTAATAATACTAAAACTTAAAAAGAATATTTTTATGAACAAGCTTATATTATTATTATTATCATAATTTTGGAATGGATTAAATAATGATGTATTTGAATTGATGTACGAAAGGGAACATGTGGGCACTTATCCAACATGAGTGTGGGGTGTCATAAAAAAATAAAATAAACTAAAATAGGTTTAGTTTTCTTTTCCTTTTCTTTTTTTAAAAAAAAAAAAAACTAATTTTCTTTTTTTAGCTTTAAAATTTTTTTAAAGGCCCATTAACCAAAGTATTAGTGTTTATTGGGCCTTTGGGCCGTAACATTGAGCCAACTTATATTAATCAAGTTATTGGGCCGTAATCAGAATCAACCAGGCCCATCTACCGCAAATATAAATATAAACAAATTAATTCGTAGTTTATGCTGTATACAAATCAGTGAGTAATTTATATGATAAAAAATAATATGATATGGTGTTTGTTTTGATTGATTAAAATATTTGCAATAATTTTATTTATAGCATTTGCCCATCTCCAAGCTCAGAGATGTTAAAATAATTTTTTGGGATTTAAAAATAAAAATAAAAAACAAGAAAATCTTTCCCTTGTCGTTTTCCTGTCCAGACTGGGGGATAAATAAAATTAAATAAAGAAATAAATTGGGGTATGAATTAAAGACATTTCAGTTTGTTTGGTTGTGTTTTGCTGTTTTAACATTTTTGGTAGTAATTCAAATTTTTGAAATATAATAATATAATAGTTTAAATAAAAAAAAAAATATTGTTATATATAATGTTTTATTTTTTATTTTTTTAAAAAAAGAGGTGTATTTATTATAAATTTATAATGATTATATAATAAAAATTGACATGAAGTATGAAAGAATACAAGTGTACTTTCGTGTTGATTGGTAAGAAAATAATTATTGAATAAAGGGATGAAGTGTGCACTGAAATTTATATTGACAGAAATATTCATTGTGATAGTATAATACATTAAATTTATATACTGTCTTTAAATAACTTAAAATTCATTATGGATGGATGTCTATATATATATATTAATAAAATAATTAATGGGAGACATCTGATATAGTAAATTTGTATCTATGTATTTGAATGAAGAATTAAATTAAAATTAAATAAAAAAATGGGTGTGGGCTTTATTGTATGTATTTATGATTGGGTGACCAACCAAACCAAACAATGGCAGGAAATAGTAAGTTGTGTAGGGATTACACACATAAATATATATATATATATATACACATGAAAGCTATATACAGTGGCAGAACCAGAGTCAGATTAAATGTTTTATTTAAGTTTGCTTTGTGTTTTGATTTTTTTTTTTTTTATATAAGATATGAAAAATTATGTAGGTAATATAGAAATAAAGAGTGTGTAATATATTATTTTTTTAAAAAATATTGTGTCAAAATATTTTCTTAAAATAACAAAGCCCATATGTTGTCAATATCAAATTATATGTTAATACTAATAGTACATTATACTTAACAAAGTATAGTACATACTATGAATTTACATGTATAATCTTACCATTTAATTGAATTGAAAACTAATGTAATTATGCTATCAATTATTTGATATTGTAACAATAAACAAAAAATTAAACACCTATTTTGCCACTTCCAAATTCTGAAAAAAGTTTAGGGTGCAAATTGCAATTAACTTCAACCACTTGTTCTGAAACACATTAAGCCCAGACCTACCATAAACGGGCCAGGGGCAGGCCCAATGGTCCACCACCACAAATTAAAAAATATATTATCCTAAATATTAAATGTATTTCCACCCATTAAACAATAATATATTAATTTAACTATTATTTTATCCACTTCCAACAGAATGTGCAAAAAAATATTAAAAAAAAGTAATATATAAAAATTTGATAATAATAATAATAAAAGGAAGTCAGATGTTGACTGGTCATACACAGTTACAATAAAACAGTCAAAACAAAAAGGGAAGTGGGCCGGGCCCGGGCCCACACTCCCATCACATTCCAAAAAGAGCATGACAAGTAATCATTACCGCAAAACGACACCGCTTCACCTCCCTCTACCAAGTTCTCAAAAATAGAAATGGCACAAAATTGAAAAAAGTTACTAGTACAATAAAAATAAATATAAATAAAATTATTCATCAGTCTCTTTGTCCCAATAAACACAATAAATAAAAATAATAAACATTTTTCCCTTACAACAAATGGACCCTTTTCCCAACTGGTTCTTGTGCTTGAATTGTCTTCCTCTTGACAACTTTTCTTGCACAAATACACACTCTATTGTCCATTTGGTGATTTCTTTTCCATGCTCACAAAAATGGGACCTTGGAATTTTCCCTTTTTCTTTTTTAAAATAAAATAATAAAACTATTATTATTTCTCTTCCAAGGTAACTTTTCTCAAAGGCCCTCTTCTCCCATTCACCAAAAAAATTGGATCTTGGAATGATACAAGAAAATGTCACACAACACACATAGAATGACTTTCAAGAATCACCACTTAGAGCTTTAGTTGTGTGGTCCTCTTCTTCTTCAAGTTTCCTCCTCTTTGCATTGTGTGAAGAAGAAGGACTTGGACATGATCCAACTGTTCTTTCTCCATTTTCATAGCTATAAAATGCAGCATCCAAAACCCCGTTCGGACTACACGGCACCGTCCTAGGTGAAATCGAAATCGAACCTTCACCTGTTGTAGTAATAGTAGTCATAGTAGTAGTAGAAGAAGTCATAGTCATCCTAGTAGATATCAAATCTTGTATTAGTTCCAAGCACTTGCCCACCCTTGCCTGCAAAAAAAAACCCACAAAAACGTGTGCGCGCTTTTATCAAACGATTATCTTAAAAAGTTCAAGAAAACGAACTAAACCTTAGTGTTTTCACTGAAGACTTTGAGCCCGTTTTTAATAACATCTAGTAGCTATCGAATCATTGAAAAAACCAACGTGTAATCAAGAAAACGCGCGCCAATTTTCATATTTTGAGAAACAAGCAATTATTTCATGAATGTAACATCGAATCTTGTCTGTAAGCTAAGAAACACGAAGGTATTTTCAAGAAAATGTGAAGTTATTTGAAATATTCTAAAGACATGCAGAGCCCGTATCGATTGTGTTATAATGTAATGAGATCCCACTTATCTATTAAGGAGTAGAAACCAAAATAGGCTAAGATTATATGTACGTGGGGACCGAAAGCATATTTATTACCTTCTCGACTTGTAAGAAACTAGACAGGGCCTTATCAATGTCAATGGCTCGTCTTTCCCTGGAGACGTGCACAGCCACAGCTGCCGCTATCTCTGAAGGCTTGAATTCCAAGAAATCAATCCCTACATTCAATTTTCCAAAACCCGAATCGAAAAAAATAAACAACAATGCATCAAGCAATGAACACGAAGATAATATACACGCATCGTCGAATGAATGCTAAAAAAAGACAAGACCTTTGACCGTGCTTAGAATGATTTGCGTCGATCTTTGCAGCAAGCTCAAACTCCCGTTAGGACAGCGATGATCGGCGCTGTTTACCTTTGCAAGGTAATAATCGATGTAGTCGAGAGGAGTGTACGATTTCATGTTCCAATTCAAGTAACTCAAAATTAACATCTCCATCCTTTGTATAGTCTTCCCTTCGAACAAATACTTAGGTTCCCCTGCCTGTCGATATTTCACATATCACAGTTCTATCAATGAACGCCGTCAAAATTGAAAGATTAACAATTACGGGGCGATTAATTTTTCACCTGTAAATCCACCATGAGCGGGACGTTAACCTCGTCGATCTTGGCTGCTAGCGATAGGCACGAAACTGCGACGAGCTGGACTGCCCAGACCTTCCCTTTCTGCCAAATTTTCAATACAAAGAACGGTGTTAAGACAACTACATCTTCGAGACAATTACATCATCAAGAAACGCTAAATTATCGCGCGAGGAACTTACGGGGAGGCTATACACCGAAAGAAATCGATCCAAGTAGTTTGATGCTAAGTAGAGACATAATTCTCCAAAGCTGTGATGAGAGGAAGCCTGGGGTTGTACAAAAAGGAACAAACTTTACTTCGATTCTTGCATTTCTTATACATCCAAATGTAAAGAGTTATTACAATTTTGCAGATATATATAGATATAGATATAGATATGCAAATGTATGTTTGTGTTTATGCAATCTTGAAGATGTAATAACAAATTAAGGTCAAGAAATTGCAAACAAATCCCAATTCTGCAGAAAATTAGATGAAAATTACAGAAATCAATGGAAGCAGATGAAATTAAAATTAAAATTGAAATTAAATAAATACCGACCTTAAAAATCCAATCGAGGGCTTCCCTTCTGAAACTCAAATCCAAATCGCCACTCCTCAATCTCTTCAAATAATCGTTTCTGGGCAAGTGCAGATTCTCTCTCTCAACCATCCAGGCGACGGATTCCTCGCTGAGGCAAGGGGAGAGGATCGACGGCCCAGATTCCGGCACGACATTGGGCAGATGGAGATGATCGGACGGCTGAGAAGCGTCGGCATCGAAGCAGAGGGAGACGTTGGTTTCTTCATCGCAGAGCAGGTCTGGTTCTGCGCAGTAGTCAAAGCTGCTGCTGTTTCCAGCCATTTTTGGGTCAGAAAAAATAATGGAAGAACAGAAACCCTCAATCAATGTGAATGGAAGCCATCAGAAAAATCTTATAAAAGATTGCATTTTTATGGGGCTTTGGATGCAGAAAATTGGCAATATTTGGTTGTGCGAAATCTGTTAGAGGCCCAGACAGAGTAGAGGATGGAAGATGAAGGCGAAGTGGGTCTAGAGAGGGAGACACACACACAGAGACAAGAGTCTCTCAGATGTAGAGAGAGAAAGGGGAAGAGGAAGAGGAGGATTTTATGGATGAACAGCTGATACACTAATGTCTTTAGGGTAGAGGAGAGGTTGAAGGAGATAGAGAGAGAGACTAATATATATATATATATATATATATATTTTCTTACAGAAATAAATATAATAAAATAAAGAAATTACATATTTATGTTACTTCTCAAAATATTTTAACAATATGCTATATTACAGTTATTACAATAATTACTTGGCATATAGTATTTGTTGAAATTACTTGTAGTTTTTGGATGTCTTTTTTTTTTTTCCTCTTTTTATATCCATATATTTTATTTAAAGTCCAAATTTTGAATTATATACTTGATCATTGTGTCTAAATCTAGAAAAAAAAAAAAAATCGAAATTTTATTTTTACTAGCTTTAAAGTATCTTAAAAGTTATAGTTCGATTTTAGTTATTAATTTGAATATGTAATATTACGACAAACGTAAGACGGTTTTAACTTTTAACCACGTGGAGTATTTTTTTACTATAAGAAATACCCGATGATATAGGATATTTAATTCTTTATGTATTCGGATAATTGTAAAAAAGAAAGTAAGCGTGACAAATTTAAAATAGAATATGAGTATTTTTTATATATTTATTATCTTGATTAAGAATTTTGATTAGAGGTTAAAGAAAATATATATTTTTTTATATAAATAAAAATAATAATATAAAGAAATTAATATTGTTATTTTATTTTCTATAAATGGTTTCATAATAATAATACATCCCAAAATATTTTAGTAATATGCTATATTACTATTATAACTGTAATTACTTTGCATATAATATTTGTGTAAGTTAATTGTAATTTATAAAATATCTTGTTTATTAGGGTTATTTTATTTTATTTTATTTATGGATATTGGTATTAGTTGAAAATCAAAATTTTGAATTATAAATTTGATAGTTGTGTATGAATCTAGAAATTTAAGGAAGATTCGATATTTGTTTTTTTGATTTAACCGTTAACTTATATTTATTTTTTTAAAAAAAAATCATAAATTATTTATTTATTTATTTTAATATAATCTTTTTATATAAAAAGTAAATACTTATATATTATTTATTAATATTAAATATTTTTTATATTTATAAAAATTTGTTGTTTGATATAAATTTATATAATTAATATATATTCACAAAGAATTCAATCAAATTCGTAGAAATCCATCTAAATCAATTACTAAAATCCATCAAACTCAACGTAGACTCTGTGAATTTTCTAAATCCACGTAAATCTATAGACTTTTTAAAATCCAGAAAAATTCATTAAAATCTCAATTGAATACACCCGCCTTAGTTCCATATTAGAGTTACTTTCCAAAATATTTATACTATATTACTACTATTACTATAGTCACTTTGCATATAATAACGGTTGAAACTGCTTGTAATTTATAATCTTTTATTTATTTATTTTCTTCATTATATTATACTTTAAGATAAAATAAAATAAAAAAAAAAAAATTGAATCATATACTTGATTATTGTGTTTGGAATTAAAAATTAAGGAAGAATTGATATTTTGTTTTTATTTAATGATTTGGTAACTTTCAAGTATCTTAAAAAATGTAGTTCGATTTTAATTATTAATTTAAATATGTAATATTATCGAACATGTATAACGGTTTTTAACTTTTAACTACGTGGGACATTTTTCTGGTATAAATACTCAGTTATATACGATATTTAATCTTTTATATGTTCAGATAATTGCATAAAAGAATGATAGAGCCTGTAAATTTTAGATATATAAGAGTCTTTTTTTACATTTATTATTTCGATCGAAAACTTAACACTATTATTATTCTTATTGTTGTTATAACATTTGAATTCATCACCAATTATTGTTTTTGCCATTTTATACAACAAAATATAGTAATAAACATAAAAGTTATTAAAATCTTAATTATTTTATAATAAAAATTATATTTATATATTATGCACTATATATGATTAATTATATTACTTTAGATATATATAAACATTAAACAAGGCACTAACATGAGTAGTAATAAATAAATTACTGTTTTTCAAATTAAATTTGAGTAAATTTAGATTGTATATATTTAGGGAAGTCCTTTAATCAGTTGCATAAATTATTAATTGCATATTTCATGCCAAATTAGGAGGTGATATTTATATAATTAAAGAAGATTTATAAATGCTAAATTGACTTTGAATATTATTGATATTAAAGATTAATAAATCATTTAATTAGGTCACATCACTACTCTGAACACAACAATTGATTCAAGATTCTCAATTAATAGTGAATTACTTTATTTCCAAAATCATAACAATTATAATTTATATAGTAATTAATTTATTTGACATGTTCGTAAAATCTACACTACATACTATAATTAAAATATTAATAAAAAAAGAAAGAGTTAATAAATATGTGCAAGAAGTTGATATGTAACTTGAGTCATAAAAATATACAAGTAATAAATAAATAAAATAAAATATTTTCAAAATTAAGTGAGAATAATGAACCATCAATTAATTTATTAAAATAATAATATTGGTGATAACAATGGGAGAAACTATTTACTATTCATTTTTTTAGAGATTCTAATTATCCCTAAGTGAGGAAATTAATTTAATTAATTGAAACTAATGAATAGCTGATATGATAATTCAATCTTGAATGAATATATGTGTGATATTATCAATGTACATAAATATTGTTGGCTTTTTTTATTATTATTATTTATTTCACATGAAATTATTTAAACATTATAATTAGATTTCAAAAATTAATACTTTTTGCGATAAAATTAATCATAATATGTATTGTATCGACTATTATTATGCGTTGTTAGCCCTTACTCATATATTTCATTATTGTCTATTCATACTTCATGTAATATAGATTGTCACTTGTATTAATGAAAAATGTGTTGTGTTGTGTAGCTTTTTTATATTTTAAATGTGGTCTTAATATCTTTTGTACTGAAATTAATATGTATTGTATGTCCTATTATCATATATTATCAAATCTTTTGTTATATTTATTTTATATTAATATATATCTTATTATATCATTTTTATATTTTATATACTCTCTTCGTTTCAATTCAAAATACTTTTCTTACTATTTTCGTCTATTATTTTCAAAATTATCAATTTTCTATCTTAGAAAAAATAATCATATGCTAATGCCAAAATACTATTTTAATTTTTACTTAAATTACAAACATACCATTACACATCAAGTTATTCAATACATAAAATCAAATGGCAAAAATATCAAAATCTCTTAGACACTTTCACTAATAAATAAAATATTATTATTTCTTAATCTACTACAAAATTGTGAATGATCCATTTCGATTGAGACGGAGGGTATTATTTATATTATATGTGTTGTCAGCACAACGTAGATGAATTTCAATTTAACAGAGTAACTGTCTAACCGATATCATATACTATCTCCGTCCGGCCCTAATTAAGGGTCTCATTTACTTTTTGCGAGTTGATCTTTGAATATTAATTATTATATCAAAACGTAGTAGAAATTAAGAAAAAATTGCAAAAATACTTCAATTAGTGTCTTATAATACTAATAGAATAAAATTTGTACAAAAAAAATTATACAAATATAAAAATATTTCTAATGTTAAATACAATGATATAAAAGAATAATGTGACCCTTAGATACGGATAGAGGGAGTATATATATATATATATATTAGGGGTGTGTGTAATGGTCAACATATATATAGTTAAGTATAGAAGAAGAGCTTAGGATACTGATTTTGCATGGTTTTTGCAAATACTCAGATGTAAAGCAACATGCTTGTCCCCTTTGTAAATTTCACACACACACACATGTGTATGTGTGTGTGTTTTTTAATTTGTATGTATAATATACATGTTTGTGTATATACAAGTATAATACTCACCTTTTGCACCACCAGCCTTAAATCTGGTAAAGGGGAAGGAATATTTAATTAATTAAATTAAATTAAAGGGGTTAACTCCAAGAAATGCTTCATGTAAGAGACTTGAAGCATATGTCCCTTCTTACAAAGTTATTTTGCAATTTTATGCAATGCAGCTTTCTTTCGTATTTTTAGAATTTAAATATATGATTATATTATTTATATTCTCGATTTGTTTAATTTATTATACTCCTTTTGTCCATAACAAAGTATCCATTTCCTTTTTTTCAAGTAACTGTACTATCTATCTAATATTACAAATACTCTTACAACTTACAATATATTACACAAATGTCATTACCTTTGTATCACACATACTAATAAGGTTATTTTAGTCATTTTTATTTTATTCCTACTATATCCTAATATAATACTAATATTTCTAAAATTACGTGCAAAAAACAAATGGATATTTAGTTTCAGGACGGAGGGAATATAAATTTTAATTAAAATATGAATTTTATTATATGTTTTTGGAGAATAGTAAGTATTTGACTTTAAAAATACTATTTTTTATATGACACGAATAAGCTTAAAATATGTAATTTTTTTTAAAAAAAAATGTAATAAGTAGAAACTCAATACAACTTAGTTTATATATATATATATATATATTAAAAAAAACACTAATTTGAGTTTAATTATATTAATATTAATATAAGTATATATGTGTGTACAATGCATGCATGCATATGTGCACATGCAAGCTATTAAAGGTGGTGGCCCTTAAAATCTTCTAACTTTTTTCATTTAAAAAATAAATAATGAAATATTATTTATTTAATTGTTATGATTTAAGTTTAATTACCCTTTTAGGGTTTTCTTTGCAAGGAGTGCCTTATTTGATCCTTTCCATTTTTAAGATTAAAGCAGCGTTCAATGAAATTCAATGTGCCTAAAAAAGATTGAAGGGTGTGTTAGATTTTGGTTTTTCTTAATTTTAAATTAAAAAATAATTAAATACATGATCTATTATATAAAAAATAAATAATATTTCTTATAAAAAACAATAAATTTATATAATAATAAGAAAAAACACACAAAAAGAAACGAACGTATCAAATGGGCTTCAAAATCAGAGGTAAAGTAATTATTAAACATTTTATATAAAAAAAAACAATAATTAAATAGTAAGATCTATTCTTTTAAAAGAATGGAAGTTGAATAATAATAATAATAATATCTATATTTTATCTTTTATATTAAAATAAAAATCAATTACCAAATACATATAAAATATTTATATCATATCAAACAATTATTTAAATTCAAAATTTTATTATTCAAATCAAAACCAAAATTCAAACCCCAATCAAACTTTTCTACCACTCTAAATCAATAGGGACTATAAGAAAATTTAAAATAAAAGTGAGCAGAAAATAAAAACAAAAATAACAACAAAAATTGAAAAATGAAACAGAAAAACCTTCTACAGACAAATTTCCCAGACATGGAAGAGGATAATATAACAGCAAAAGGAATCCATTCCATCCCTATATTCTTTCTTCCCAACATCCTATGAATCAAGAACAAAACACAAATAATTTGAACAGTAATCCACGACGACGACGAGCGAAATCGCTTCCAAAGTCGAAATAAAAAACAAGTATCACGACAAGACAGCAAGCACAATCACAAGAGAGATACATAGCCATGTCGATCGAGTCCTATATATGCAAATTACAGACGGGGTTTTATGACATTCAAGCCCACCTCCTTGAGGAGAAAAACCATAGACAGTTTTGAGAGTTCAAGCCTCGTCTATCTGGTCCTGAAATTAATTAGGATATTATAGCACCTTATAAAATGATTATTGTGTGAAAAATTTAGGTGTTTGCCGGCAAAATTGCTTATAATCCACTAATGGTGTATCTTTTTATCAAAATTTCCCAAATTTCTATTGTTCGACTATTTTTTTCTCCCCAAAACATCACATCAAACATCTATTATTTTATTGTTTTTATTATACTAAAATTTTCACTATTCATCCCAACAAAAAATCCAAACCTCCAAACACACCCACCCTTTGAAAAATCTGCATCATACTCCTTCATAATTTCAAATTGAATGAATATCCTTCGTAATTCACAAAATATTGCACATAATATTCATAAGACTTTTCCGTAATTTTGAAAATATTGTAAAAAATCACTTTTCCAAGGAGTGGGTTTTGTGAAATGTTTTCCAAAATGAGGAAGTATTTTGGTATTTTGGTAAAAAGAATGGCGTTAGGTGTGTATTGTTAGTGCATCATCGTACCTGCATGTCCGAGGTCCAAAGAGTGAGATTGTCCCGGAGAAGCTGCATGATGAGGGTGCTGTCTTTGTAAGATTCTTCGCCCAAAGTGTCCAGCTCAGCAATGGCTTCCTCAAAAGCCTACATAGAAACGAGTTTCGAGTGTTTTTTTTTTCAGCAAAGTTTGGAATAATAAATGCATATGATGTCTCTGCAGAACAGCTTAATGAAAGACGGTGAAAGTGAGAAATTTGCAGATTACCTATGAAGACACAAATAATATATATCTCAAAACCGACATTAATTGTTAACATAGATGTATCTACAAACACTTCTGCCTTTTACTTTCCGTAAAATTTGAAAGCCAACTTTGCATATAGATGTATATTTTTTCTTCAATTCAATTCACTTAAATCTTTCTTGAAATACAGAGACATACACAGAATCAGTGTATTTCTGCTATTCACGATCAAATTTGGAGTAATACAAAGATCGACATAGCATGTGAAAAAGTTTTAACGAGAGATAGAAAAACGTACCTGTTTCGCCATATTGCAAGCTTTTTCAGCTGCATTTAGAATCTCAAAGTAAAACACCGAGAAGTTCAAGGCCAAGCCCAACCGTATAGGATGTGTGGGAGCAAGATCAGCAAGCGCAATATCCTAATCAAAATCAGACAGATGAATAAAAAATGATCAATTTCTGACCAAGGTGTAATAATCGAACACATCAATAATACTGCATTGGTATTTAGTCATTTCCAAGAAACCTGGTTTACATGTGTATTTGTCTATGATGTGTTTGTGTATGCGCAAGTAATATCCACATACATCATTATGCTTATGTTAGAATGTAAACCCACCAAATTGCCCTAGCACTTAGGGTTCTTTTTGGTATGAGTAAATGACAGAGAAATAAAATATAAAAAAATAAAAAATAAAAAAATCCCAATTCTTCTTATTTGTTTGAGTAAGAAAAATCATATTTAAAAAATGAATCATTTCTCATTTTCTATTTTATTTCTCTTCTATGAACATAGAGGTAGAGAGAAATGAAAAAAAATATATATTACTCCCCCTTCCCAACTAAATGTACTCATTTTACCATTTACATTTGTCCCAAAAGTATGCATTTCTTATCACAGTAAAAGTAAGTCTATACAAATACCTGAATTCCGTGTCTTTTATAAAAATATTCATTTCTTTTGTACTTATAAGGGCAAAGATGTTAAAATTATATTACACACTTTCACTAACTAATAAAATACTAGTATTATTTTTTAATCTACTACAAAAAGTAAATGTATACATTCGTCATATAATGTCAAATTCAAATTGCTATTCAAATTTCTTACAAAAATCACCAACTAAATTCACCATATTTCTCCGCGGATTTCCACTTCACTAAAACTCTTTCTTTTCCGAATCGATTCACCCTTTCTTTTTTCACTTCACTAGAACACAACATATCATATTCTCCAGATAGATTCATTCATATTGCTGCATTTCTATGTTATATTTATCATCTAATTTTTTTGTTAAAAATCAATTCTCATTTCCTATGGACTTAATTTCACTCAATTCTATTCTCTACTATCATTTTATTACAATTTTATTCTTTGTACCAAACGACCCAATGTTTTCTTCCATTTAGGGGTTTGGATTTTGGATTGGAATTTGAATAGTAAAAAATTTGAATTTGAATAGTTGCGTGATGTGATATAAGGTATTAATGTGATATTTTGAATGTAAAATTGATTTTTAGTATAATATAAAAAATAAAAAATAAGTGTACGACATTTTGAGGGAATTTTTTTGTATGAATAGTAGAAGTCCATCAGAGTCCTTCAAACAAACACACCCTAATTGAGTTACCAATGAGAGATTCGGGTTTATTTGTTTTGTCAAAAAAAAAAAAACACATTTCCCAAAAAAATTTAATATATTACAAACACTATTTATTTTTATATTACTTGTAAATTTCTTTATCAACTCAATTTCACCATTTCCAAAGTCTAAATCTCTTGACTACATTGGTACTTCTAAATCACAAGGGTTGAAATCAAAACCGAATTCATCTGAAAATTATCAAGTTCTATTTCCAGAAAATTTGAATTTCAAGTTTCTGAACCCAAACCATAACAACCAGAAGAAGACAAATCTACAGCATAAAATCCAGTCTCAATCCAAGGAATCCGAAAATTCACTATCCCCAAAACAAGTGATTAAAGATCCTCCAAACTAAGCAAAGACATCAACAGCAACAGAGTAATTGAAATCAATAACATATGCATCAATCCATATACCTGGGCGGCTTTGTAAGCCAGCATAGTATCCTCTGCAGCTTGCTTCCGCTCATCCCCAACTTTGAACTCAGCCATATACCGATGATAATCCCCCTTCATCTTCAGGTAGAACACTTTGGACTCGCTGGAAGCCGCCGACGGAATCAGATGATCGGCGAGGAGTTTCAGGATCCCGGCGCAGACCTGCGAGAGCTCGTTTTCGACCTTAGATCTGTAATCCTTGACGAGCGTCACGTGGTCGTCGTTTTTGCGCCCCTCCTCTTTCTGCTCGATTGAGCTTACTATGCGCCACGCCGCCCTGAGCGAGCCGATTACGTTTTTATACGCGACGGAGAGCAGGTTTCGCTCCTCCACCGTCAGCTCGGCGCCGCCCGCGCCGACGACGAGGCTGTCCATGAACTGAACCATCTCCTCGTAGCGCTCCGCTTGCTCCGCCAGCTTGGCCATGTACAGGTACTGTTCTCTGGTCAAAGCCATCGGAAAACCTAGAGATAGAAAGCGGAGAGAGAGAGAGAGAGAGAGAGAGGGAAATTAGGGTTTCTGATTTGGGGAAATTTTGGAGTCAGCAAAATTGAAATCGACGTTATATATCGGATTCTGAGTTGAAAATATTTGAATGGATTGTGTGTACGAAATTGAGTTGTCCGAAAGTTCAAAGTGGGGTTATACTTTAAGGATTTTATTTGCAATTAATATTGCTATTTTCATTCGAAATAAGTATGCCATAAAAATATTTAAAATTATTAGAGTACAAAAATAGGCATTTTAGAAAATTTGATTCGAATTCCAAAAAAAAAAAAAAAAAACCATACTTGATCCTTAAAAATAAATTAAAGTTTACCAACTTAATATTATAATGGAAACATAATTTTAAAATAGTAATAATTTATACTTTATTTATTTTTTTAAAAAAATATCTTAATTATTTATAAACTGTGCATAAAGCACAGATTTAAATGCTAATATTTTTTTATATAAATTGATTTATTTTAATTTAATTGATATTCAATTTCCATCCGAATTACCACCGAGATATGCAAATATAAAAAATATTATTTAATTTTTGGTTTAACTATAAGAAGTTCCTCTTTTTTTTTAAAAAAAAAAAATTAAATTACATAATATTTTTTTACCGATTAGTTTTTTAATATATATTATTTTATATGTTTTTAAAAAAAATATAACCTTTAGTTTAATTATATTAAATTTTATTATACTAATATAATTTTTAAAAATTCACATTTAAAACTACGTTCAAATTAAATACTAAACAAATACATTAAATATTAAAAATTATTCTTTATAGTAAATTAGATAATTAGTTAAATTTAAAATTTTAGATTTTATTTAAATAGATTTTTAAAAATATTTAAAAATAGTAAAAAAATATATATATTATATAAATAAATTTTAAATTATTCATGACCATATTTAATGCTATCTCTATTTTGGAATCAATCTATTCATATTGGTTTTGTTATTTTAATATGTATTGAAAAAAAATTATCAATTTTTCTTTTTCTTAGTAAGTGTACATTTCACATGATTTAAAAATCTATTATAAGATATATATCACTAAAAAAATATTGTAACTATTTAACTTTTCTTTCTTCCTTTTTTTTTTTTCAAAAGGTAAATTGACTATTTATAATTTTTTTTTTATTTATGTTTTTTACTTTGTGTGTATGGAAAATATTAGTATTAAAAATTAAAAATTTTATGTATAAAAATGTAATTACATGAATACTGACTTGACAAAACAATCTGTGTTTATTTTGTATAATTTTTAATAAAAATATATTATTTTATTTTATAAAATATTATATCAAAACAATATTTAAATAAAAACGAAATCAACAACGCATTTCAAATTAAATTCAAATAGCAATTAAACAAATACTAATAATTTTTAAATTAAAATAGATAATAATAATAAAAGCCCCTTTAGTGAATATGTCCAAACGCATATGTTAGTTGTTGGGCCTTGAATCTTGTCAGCTCTCAATTATGCCCCACAAACTCGGCTCAACCTAAGACTCGGAAACCTAGTCTCTTTTGTTCGAGTTATCTTTCTACAGTGGATGTTTTACAGTTCTCTACAGTTGGTACACAAACCCTGCTGGGCCTGGGCCCTAGGGTGCTGGCGGAACCGTAGAGACATGACTGAGGAACGGAAGCAATGATTATCGCGTGCGCGCGGCAGCAATGCATGCATGTACATTGTGCAATACAATTTGTACAAGACAAGAGCACACAGTTGCCTTTGTGAGTCCAATTATTATTAAAATTTAATTTTAATTTAAAAATCAATACGTATTTATATTATAAAATAATTATTTCACTTTAAAATTTTATAATTAACAAACACACCTATTTTTATTTTTTTCGCCGCTGCCCTTAAACCCTAATCTAGAATTTCGCTGATTTGCGGTGTATATATAGTTCGGCAAGAGAACCCTAAGCAACTAATGGAGGCTGCGCCGACGGGCGCTTCCAAGATTGCGGGTTTGTCTTTTGTCCTCCCTTGCAGGACTCAGTTTAGTTTCCTCTGTCAGCAGCATTCTGATTTGTGTAAGACTCTGTTTGATGTTTTGGTTTTAAGATTTCGTTCTAATTTCTGAATGGAAGGTTTGGATTATTTTGGCGTTTTTCGGAATTAGAAGGTTGTGATGCTTGAGCTTAAGACAATAAGATGTCATTCAATCTCTAGTGTGTTTTTCGAAATTATTAACTTTCATATTTGATGCAATGGTGCGGATTAAGGATTCAGAGCGTGAAATTGGATTCCCCGGATTACTCAGCGTGATGGTATTGTAACCTTGCAATTTTTTTGTTTTTTTTTAAGTGTGTGTATTTCCAGCAAAAACTTATATCGTACTCACATTTACCGATTAGCATTAATTTAAGCGTATCCATTGTTGAGTTTATTCTTGCTTGCAATTCGGTGCCGATTTAATGTCTCATGAGGTTTGGGACACTATTCATGCATTCTGCATCACTTTTATGCATCAATTTGAATACACCGATGTGCAAAGTGTTGATCATATGAACTTGGTTGCTATGATGAGTATATTCAACGTTTCGAAAGCTTGTGAAGGCTTGATGAAAGCATCGACTATCTTGTCGATTCTGAGCGGTTACCTGAGCAACCATGTTAGTGCAGATCCATTATTTTCCTTGTATTAGAGAAACACTCAGAATCTATATCTTCATAACAGCTTGAAACCATTTCAATATAGAATCAAACCATCCAATCTATTAAGCAAAACAGATCCATGGTGAATATTTGGGTTTATGTGAGCATGGAGTTAATCGTGTTGCTTGCATTTGCATTTAGCTATATATATATATATATATAATTCTTTAATATGAGGATATATATGAAGCTAGTCGGGGAGGGAGAAAAAGGTGCTTTGAACGGGCATGTTTTATTTGTGATGGCTGTGGTGTCAAACCCGGATGGAGGCCAAGGCAAATAAATGGACAACCACCTCGGATGATCTTTAGTGACAGTATTTCATTATTTGGAATTGCACAGAAAAGACTCTTCATCTAAATGGGTAGCAATCTTTTTAAGTGCTTCTATTCAAGAACTAATTGATTGGCTTTGGATGATCGGTAGTGACAATATTTCATTATTTGGAATTGCCAAGAAAAGATTCATCTGAGTGGGTAGCAATCTTTTTATATGCTACTATTCAAGAACTAATTGCCTTTGCTTTCTTTTAATTTACCGAGCACCGGCTATCTGGCGCATCGGCGGTTTGTTAGATGATTGTATGGAATTCTTCCCGGTGCAAAAGAAAAGGGTAAATCGGGAAGACACTCTGTGAGAAAATGTTGCTGAAATTTTGCTGTTTTTCTGCCTATTTTTGGCTCCCTGAGTTAGTTTCTTGCCATTATTGTAGAGAAAAGGCAATATTTAGTGCATAATTTTATTGTAGTTTTGTTGAATGTGCAATGGACTCCCGTTCACCTCCATATTGTATTTGTTTGAATTTGTCAAAAATAGGTTCATATCCCTCTTTCAATTGAATTTGAATCAACCAAAGTTGTTTGATTCCTTGTTTGGATATGTTGGTTTATATAGTAGTAATCTTTATAGTATACAAATAATGTGTAGTTATAATAGTTTTGTGTGTAATATATTACTCCATCCACCAAATTTATTTATATATTTCTTTTTAGTTCATTGGTTAAATCTATTTCATTACTAAATTTTACAAAATTAACAAATTAATATTTAATTATTTGCATTGGATCAAATTGGATCAAATCAACATCGAACATATTAATATAATACTTGTTAGTATCTGTTTTGATACAAATTATATAATTACCTATAGCACATGCTTGACTCAATTAATATGGATAGCACATATTAATTGAAATTATACCGCATAAGTTTCTCAAAGGTCTATTGACTTGTAATTACGAGTATAGATATATAGTTAATATTTATTTTATAAAATAATTTAGACATAAAAATTAAAATAAGCAAAATTTTGGGCTTGTTCCTTTTTAGGTTTTACCCAAGCATTTAAATTCAAAAGAAATATAGGATTTGTTTATCTAAATAATTTTATTTATTAATGTAATTTTTTTAATATAAATAGTATATATTTATAGTTTTTTTATTAAATATTAATATTTAATTTAAAATATTTTTATTTTAATAATTTATATCTCACATAAAAAAAATGCTCATTTTGTTTGAGATAATTAAATTCTTATGTTTGTATAGTTTTTTTTTTTTTTTTTTATATAAATTTTCTTCTATTAGTATTATAAGACAATAATTGAAGTATTTTTGTAATATTACATTTTGATATAATAATTGATATTCAAATATAATATAAAAAAGTAATTACTATTAACAATTCAATAAAATTTTTATATTACCACTATTTTATTTTTTTACGTATTTATTTTACATCATAATACTATATTTTTTAGTTTTGATGTCTTCACAATGTGAAATAAAAATCACATAGAGTATTTTAAATTAAAACATTAGACAAACACCCCACTTAATGGAAAGGCATGTTTACCTTGAACTTTTTTGAAGATTTATTTATTTCACAATGCAATCTTTATAATACTATATTGTGAATTTTGGGTATATTTAATATTATATATATATAATACGATTTGAAAAAAAAAAAAAAAGACATTTCTCAAAACATTGTCCTTGGTCAAAACCAAAGCACAATAATGCATGGTTAAAGTTTTTCGAAAATTTTGTTATTAGTAGTTAACTAATTATGAAAATTTACAATAAATATATTGTAAGAAAAATAATTTATTTTAAAATATTATGAATATATATATTTAATTAAAAATAGTTAGAATGCAACAAACCCCTATGATTGTTTGTGTTAATTTTTATTATCTCAATATTTACAAAATTTGTTTAAAACAATCATAATTTCAAAATAATTTTTATTTAAAATATCGTATTTAAGAATATTATTTATATTATAATCAATTCTTTTATTATTTATGAAATAACCCAGCATATCAAAATATCTTTAAAATATCATCAACTAGATGTAAAATACTTTAAAATAAATATAAATTAACTGTAAATCTTCATTTAAATGTCGAAATATACTTTACTTAGCCATCAAGGCACACCAGTTATATTTTTTATTATTATTTATTACAGTAAATAAAATAATAAAAATCATTTATAAAAACAAAAATGGTACAATGGATGCCAGTAAAGGACACAGCAAATTCCCATTTCCAGGTTAGGTCCAACACACTCATAATGCTCTGTCCCCCTCTTTTATCTTTTATTTATTTATTTATTTATTTTGAATTACTAATTAAATATTGCCCTCAATAATCACCTTCTAGATTTTCATTTAATTACATCCTTAATTGCAAATAAGTAATAAAATATTACCGATACGCCATACCAAAAGTAATGGAAATGATAATTACATCCTTTATTTAATTTTGCCGATGGATAGCGACGGAAAATTAAATAGTACTAGTGGGCCCAGTAAGTCAAAGAAGGCAGCGTCACAACTCCCGGGAGCTCAAAATCCAAGTACAGATGGTAGCGTAACCCACAAATGAACGGTGCAGATTGATACTGGACTCCGACGCCCGGGAGCTGACAAGAAAACTCTGAACCACAAACAGCCCCACTAAACGACCGTTGAGCTCGAAAACAAAAGATTCAAACCACGTTACGACCCACGGCTCTTTTGTCCATAATTTTGCTTCCCTTTTTCGAATATAAAGCAAATCTTGATGATTATTATTACCATAATGCAAATGTTTAGATTCAATGAAAGAGCTTAAAAAGGAATTAGAAGTGAAAATGTGGAAGGGTTCAAAGGGATTCAATTATTTCAGAATGTGAAAGAAAAAGCAGCAGAAAGTGGCGGAAAAATTACATACATAGGGAAGCGAGTGGCAGAGAGTTTTTGGGAAAATCGAAACTCAGTTCACAAGAAAGAAGTGGGGTTTATCGTCGTCTTCTTCCTCCTCTCTCTCCTTCACAGAGTAAGTGCAACAATTTTCTTACGCTTTTACACTGTTTGTTGTTTTAGTGGGATTTCTTAGACAATTTCTTACCTAATTTGTATTCTTTTTGGGTTTAATAGTTTCAGAAGTTTGTGGGATTGATTTGCCCCCTGAAATTGGGGTTTTCTCCCGCATTGTGTTTATTGCGAGATTTGATTGTGAGTTTTTCTTCTAGATTTTATTGTGGTGGATTTCAGTTGGAGTTTGTCCAGATCTTTTGCTGGGTATGGATTTCGTGTTTGTGGTTTCTGTTATGTTTGTTAGTTCATCCCTAATTTTATCCCCAAATTGTGATTTGTTTTCTGGGTTAGGGTTTCCCCAATTTTGGTAGCTGTGCTGTAGAATTACACTGATCTGATTCTGGATTGTTTTCATTTCTTCGTTCTGATGTGTTTGGATTAGGGTTTGCTGGTGATTCTGCAATTTGAGAAATAATCTTTGATTAAATTGAATCTGAATTTGTATGTATATCTGTATTGAAGGTTGAGCTTCAATGGCGAATGCGGATCCAGTTTACCGCAGCCGGAGCTCGAGCATGCCGTCGGTAACTCGGTTCCGGAGCGGCCTAATGCCGTCCGCCATGGGCGGCGGCAGAGTCACCGGAAGTATTTCTGTATCGGACACCGATACTTACTCCGATTCCGATGACGGTGAGGGTTACGGTGGCCGGTATTCTCTCGAAGCATCTCCTCAGGATGATAAGATCTCCAACAGTAGCTCCAACCCAAGCTCGTATACAAATGGTCGAGCCGGGAACTTTTCCGATAGGGCTGCCGCCCGGAATATTGGATTTTCCGGCGTACGGCGGGGCATTGTTGATGACGAATCATCCGAATCAGGGATGAGCTCCGATGTGAGCTCAATTTTGCATAGGAAGAATCAAGGGGTTGTTCTTGAGAGAAGATTCACGGCGAGGTCTAATTTTTCCGGTGGCGGCGGACTGCAATCGGACAGTGATGCGTCCAGACAGGTTGGCGATTTTGTTCGGTAAACTGTGTCAAAGATGAATGTAGAAAATGATTGTTGTTGCTAATGTCGACATTCCATTGCAGAGCAAGTTAGACGATGACGTCCCGAGCGCGCCCCCGATGGCCGGCGGCGCATTTGTTCGTAGTGGTGAGAAAAGCTCGACGTCCAGAGGCAATGCTAACCCATCCATAGCAACGGCGAGCGATTCCGCAGCCGACGTCGAACCGAAAATGCAAAACGGCACGAAATCAGTTTCTTCGGATTTCAATAACCCCGAAGGGATCGCTAGGTATAACTTGAAATAAATTCATAATTTATTCGATCGAATTACTTATGATAAGTAATTTTTTAAGCAGGGCGACAACCGCAACTGCGTTGTCTTCTTCCCGTCTTGCACCCGGTCGATTTCCTACTTTTCATGCTAGGTAATCGGATAGTTTCCTTGAAATAATTCCGACCATTAAATTGTTTTAACATTATTAAATTATTATTTATGTCGGAATTGGCTGCAGCGGGCTCGGTTATTGGTATGCCGTTCTCGCGTACGACGCGTGTGTTCGTCTATGCCTTCATTCATGGGCCCGGGGATGTATGGAAGCCCCGACGTTCTTGGAGAACGAATGTGCCCTGCTGCGAGACGCATTTGGGTATAATTCTCGGCTGCGCTTTTCCTTCATAGTTTTTCGTCGACAAATTCTAGTTCAATACATAAACTGGCTACACAACTAAACCTTAATTAATCGATTTTACCTTAGGCTGAGGCATATATTGTTGCAACCTGAGGAAGAGCTTCTGAAGAAAGAGACAACCGAGCTTGTAAGCGAAGGAGCTGCGGTGAAGACGAAGAAAACCATCGGCAAGATCAAAATTCAAGGTTTTGAGTTCTTCCGGTAATATACATTCGAGCGTTTATATTCGTGTCGATATTTGAATTGATATTTTGTTATTTTCCAGTGCGTAAAGTGAGAATCGGATTGGAACCGCCTGCCGGATGTGCGTTTAATTCTTTGAAGGCGTCGTCGCTTGAGAAACTGGAAACGCTTCAGATTCGTCTGTCCAATATGAAATCAATTGTCGCTTCCGAAAGAAAGGCGAATAAACGGGAACGGATAACACCTGTCCTGACTATCAACGGAACTGTGTTGCCTCCGCGCGTGGCGTATGTTATCGTCGGAGCTCGTCATTATATGAAAGAGGTGCCACAGCTCGTTAAAATTGGATTCAAAGCATGGCGGAAAAGCTCGTCGTCTTGCGAAGAGGTGCAAGGTATGCACTTCCCGGAATTCTGTAATCGAAACAACGGCATCGTTTAATTTTCATTATTTTTACAGAAACATATTCCTGTTCGTTGAAGCTGAAAAGTTCTCCCGAAGAGGACGCAGTAAGAATGCAGCCGGGATCGGGCGAGACTCGAGTATTGTACGTGCAATATTCTAACCTTTTGCTATTACTTTTACTTGGGATGTAGAATATATAGATAGATAGATATATGACCTGCTAATTGTGTACACAGCTTGCCGGATGGACTAGGAGACGATCTTGTAATCAAAGTCCACGATTCAAAGGGAAAGTATTGTGGGCGTGCTGTTGTTCAGGTCGCCGACATTGCTGATGAATCGGTAATAAGTTTTCTTCCTAATTCTCGTAAAGTTTGACATTTACAATCGCATCTTGTGCGTTACGTTGATTTCTGAATACGATTGCAGGGAGAAAAGCTTCGTTCCTGTTTTATCTACCGTGAACCGGAGCACGAGCAAGTCGGGAAACTGCAGCTCTGCGTTAATTACTCTACTACGCCAGATGAGAATAGCTACAAGGTAAAAAAAAATGTCGGTAATTTTTGTTTTCGATGGCAAGGAACTAAACTGTCTTTTTATGTAAAAGTGTGCGTCGGTTGCGGAGACCATTGCGTACGACATTGTTCTCGAGACGGCTATGAAAATCCAACAGTTTCAGCAAAGAAACCTTCTGCTGCACGGCTCGTGGAGGTGGTTGGTCGGCGAGTTTGCGTCCTACTTCGGGGTTTCGGATGCGTACACGAAACTTAGGTAATAAAACTAATTGTAACATGATCGCCATTTCAGCCGATGGATCAAAACCTTAATTTAATGTTCTCCCAGGTATCTTTCATATGTTATGGATGTTGCGACGCCCACCGCCGACTGTCTCGAATTAGTGCACGACTTGCTTCTACCGGTGGTGATAAAAGGCAAATCGAAAAGCACATTGAGTCACCAAGAAGTGCGTATGTTCGGAGAAGTATCGGACGAAATCGAACAGATTCTCACCTTGGCGTTCGAGAATTACAAGTCGCTCGACGAATCGTCTCCATCGGGATTAGCAGATGCTTTTGGGCCTGTAACTGGCGTTGCGGCTCCTGCACTTGCCCCCGCCTTGAAACTTTACAAGCTTTTGAACGACATACTTTCCCCCGAGGTGCAGTCGAAGTTGTGCCGATATTTTCAGGTGCGAAGTCATTATCAAAGATCGATTCTTTTAGCGAACTTATTTCAAATGTGTAATTGAATTTGTTGCGCAGAATGCTACCAAGAAGAGGTCGAGACAGCACTTGATGGAAACCGACGAGTTTGTTTCCGGCAATACGGAGAACATACTGATGGATCCGATGGCGCTTTCTACCGCGTATAAGAAAATGAAATCTCTTTGTACGAGCATCCGGAACGAAATTTTGACCGATATTCAAATCCATAAGCAGGACCTTCTTCCAAGGTACTTTTTTTTCTTTTCGATTATCGTTAGATTACAAATTTCCCAATACCGGATGCTTTTTATACCGATTCGATACGTGAATTTCTTGCAGTTTTATAGACCTTCCAAACCTTACGGCGTCGATATACAGCACCGAATTCTCAAGCAGATTAAAGGCATTTCTTGTCTCATGCCCACCTCCGGGACCGACGCAACCCGTCGTCGAACTCGTCATCGCAACAGCTGATTTTCAAAGGGATCTTGCGTCGTGGAATATAAGGTACTCCACGGAGCCTATGCGTAGAGGCTTGTCGTCGTCGTTTTGTAGTTAATTTTGTGTTTATTTTGCTTGCAGCTATATCAAAGGTGGGGTCGATGCGAAAGAGTCATTCCATTTGTATATAACCCTTTGGATCCAAGACAAACGTCTCGCATTGCTAGAATTGTGCAAGTTCGACAAGGTACTACCGTCACCCCGATCCGCAACATTTACAGTTCCGACTTTTTGTTCTTACAGATGTTAATGTTACGGCAGGTGAAACCCCCGAGTTTTCCGACCGAACATTCCACTACGTCCTTCATCAACGGCATCTATGACCGGTTGAAGGAGACACTAGCTGAATACGACATCATTATCAGTCGGTGGCCGGATTACACTCTCACATTGGAACATGTAACGACTCCTTTTTCTCATTCGTCTAAGGATCACTTATTTTGCCAAATGTTATGTATATTTTTTTTATTTTTTATTTTTCATTTAAAGGCCATAGCCGATGTCGAGAAGGCCGTGGTCGAAAGCTTGGAGAAGCAATATGCTGAAGTGCTGTCTCCGCTGAAAGAGAACACGACAATGCCGATGAAATTTGGACTCAAGTATGTCCAGAAATTGGCGAAGGGCGGAAATGTCTGTCCTTACAATGTCTCTGCCGAGGTACAACTATCGTCTTTTAGTCCTAGGTTTTTTCTTCGATAATATTGTCCAAGACTCAATTTTAATTTTTTTTAATTTCGTCGAACTATCTATTTTCAGTTAGGGGTATTTTTGAACTCCATGAAACGGATGCTCGATACTTTACGGCCCCCAATTGAAGCTCAGGTAAAGTCGTGGGGCGCTTGCATACCCGAGAACGGAAACATGGTTCCGGGGGAGCATCTCAGCGAAGTTACGGTTATGATCAGGTCCAAGTTCCGTGCTTACGTGCAAGCCGTCGTGGAGAAGCTCGTCGAAAATGTGAGTATATATATATATGCATTCAACAATGCATTCGATCGACTCTTGTATATAGCTTTTAAATAAGTAAAATTTTGGTCCCGAGTTATTGATGGGTATATGGTTTTTTTTTTTTTTTTCTTCCTATTTATCGTTGTAGACGAAACTCCACAATGCGACGAAGCTGAAAAAGATTATCCAAGACGCGAGGGAGAATCTATTGGAATCCGATTTACGGAGACGGATGGAACCTCTGAAGGAGATGCTCGGCGTTACGATCGATCAATTACATGCGATGTTCGAAACTCCCGTTTTCGTGATAGTTTGCCGGGGCTTCTGGGACCGTATGGGACAGGTGAGAAGTCGAAAATTGAAAATGTCACGTAAATTTTATCACGTGTTCTAACAAGGGATTCTTCATTACAGGACATGCTCAAGTTTCTCGAGGACCGGAAAGAAAACCGGTCGTGGTATAAAGCTTCGCGGGTCGCGGTCAGCGTAAGTGAAAATTTGAATTTTCTTACACCGGTAACGAGTCTCTATTTTCTGTTATGAAACGCGGGTGTCGTATTTCAGGTTCTCGACGACACGTTCGCGTCGCAAATGCAGCAATTGCTCGGGAACGCTTTGCAGGAGAAGGATTTGGAGCCTCCGAGGTGCATTTTGGAGGTCCGGTCGATGCTTTGCAAAGACGGTAAGAACAATAAGGACGGTAACTACTATTACTAGACTCGATTTTGTGTATTCGGGTCGGGTTTTGGTGATTGAATTTTGTTCTGGATTCGGGGCTTGAAGTTTATTAGATTGTTGTAGGGAAGAATGCCAATGCTCATGGCTTCTGGGTCTTACTTTCTTGATTTGGGAGAGGTTGTTTGTTGTTTGATTAACACACATTCATAATAGATGGGCAATGCAAATTATAAATTGATAACACAAAATTGATATTAATATATAAATACATAAACTTATAAATTGACATTACATGATTTATATTAGTATAGTTGATTTGGTTGTGTAACATATGGTTGATTGATTCAGTCTAACATATATTTATATAAAAAAAATACACATAATAATATAATACTCCCGACACTAATTAATAGATAATTAAGAATGTATTAGTAAAAATAATTATTTTATAATATAAATAATTATAAATTAAGATTAAGATAATTAATTAGTTTTATTAAAATTTAAAAAAAATAAAATTTAAAAATTTAAAATGAAATTAATTTGTGTAATTATTTGAAAAAAAAAAAGAAAAGTGACATGGTACTGGGACGGATGGAGGGAGTATGTACTAAGTATTTTGATATCATGTTATATAATTATATGTAGTATAGTTATAATATATCAAAATATAGAGTATATAATCTACACAAATCTATGGAATTTATGTCATATCTATTTATAAATTTCTTATGCCATTTTAAGATTTTAACAATTATTGATCAGACATATTCATTCATTCATACATTCTATAAATATGAACAGCAAATTTGTGTCATTTGAACACATCTACTGCTGCCTATTTTCTAACATATCCAACGTTATAGACTATGTCGAATGTTGTATAGTTTCTATTAGATGACCTGTCAGGATGATACATATATATTAATAATACATGAAATGAAATGATAGAGGGAATGATTGAATTCAAATATTTTATTAAAAGGTTCAGAATTATTGTGTAATAATAATATAACATAAATGTTACGTTGGACATTTATTAATATTTATATGTATATACCTAATTAATTAATTTATTGTTTCATTATTTTCTTCGCCGCCGTAACTGTCAGAAATCTTTGAGCAATTTTCTGACCTGTTCCAAAGTCACAAACAGCACCACCGTGAACGGCCCCTGCCGCGACACCGTCGGAATAAACCCTTTGTACAGCGCCGCCGCCCCCTCCGCCCTAACCGTCTTCACCGCGCAGTCCACAGCCCCGGCGTACAGTGGCGCCGCCGCCCCGTCGACCTTCATGTTCATAACCCGCGTCTTGATAACGTCGATCGGATTCGACGCCACCGCCGCCACCATTCCGGCTGCCAGGCTGGCGGTCACGTGCGTCCCCATGCCGTCGCTCATCACGTCACTTTCTAGAATCTTCTCCTTAAACTGATCGTACGACGCCAGCTGCGACGCCGTGACGACCATCGCCCGGAACACCGTCAGGGAGGAGCCCCGCCACAGGGCGGCGGTCCCCTCGCTCCGCCGTATACGGCGGAGCGCGTCCACCACACTCTTGTAATCCCGCCGCTGCTCCGGCGGGAGCCGCCCGTCGGCCTGCATTCTCACCATCGCCATATCCGCCGGATTCCCCACGGCGGCACCGATTCCGCCGGCGATAAGTCCGGCGGCGATCTTCCTCGTCAACGGCATCGTCTTCGTCTTCGGATCCGTCCAATTGTTCTTCATCGCATCGTAAAGCCCCATCCTGGTGGTGGAATAGAGCCCCTGGCGGAGGACGGTGGCGGAGACGCCGGAAAAAAGTGCGGCGACGCCTTCTCGCCGGAGAATGCGGAGACCTACAGAAATTGGCCCGATTTTCGGGACTCGGACTCCCTGGTGTACGGAGGAGGTGTTTGGGAGTCCCACCGGCGCCGCCGTCGCCGCCGCGGCCTCGCCGTGAAGCTGCATCCGGACTTTGATTAAATCAAGGGGGTGGGTGGCGCAGCCGGCGACGACGGAGGCAATGCCGCCTTCGACGAATCCTTTCAGGCCCATCGTTGAAGGGAAGAATAATTGGAATCCGTAAGGAATTAAAAATAAAATTCTTGGAGTGAGAATAGGAGCAAAATCAGAATTAGGGTTTTCAGATGGAAGATGAAGAACTGTTGTGTTCTATAATTATTAATTTGACCGTCTCAGAGTATATTTTTGTTACCAAAAATTCTTCAGTATGGAAAGTGGGCCCACATCCGACACGTGTCGTGCTGTTAGTGAATGCGCAAAAATAATAATAGAAAACCAAAATAACGTCGCCTGAGAGATTCGAACTCTCGCGGGGAAACCCCATGTACTTAGCAGGCACACGCCTTAACCACTCGGCCAAAGCGACTTACATTTGTAATATCTCTATATATTAGTTTTAATTTAATGTTTTTGTGAAATTTACTTTTGATTGCAATCTTAGAAACAATTACATCAAATAACAAAAATCTTCACTTCAAACAACTTAGGCTCCCTAGTTAGATAGAAATTTTGGAGCTTTTGGAAAATTTTAAGATAATACAGAAAAATAAAATATTCGTTAGTTATAATAATCTAAATTTCTAAAAATATAATATAAACAGAGTTTTACATACCTTAATTTATTTTAATATTTCAAATCCAAATTACTTAGGAAGTGTAGCGATAGAAGAGGCTTAAAGAAAGGAAATCCTACACGTGACTATAGCTAAAATAGAAATACAAATGGCTTGTTTAAGTTTTTTTGGTTTCAAACCAAAATTGTTATTATTATTATTGAATTGGTTAGTATCTCAAATTAAATATATATATATATATATATGTCACATGAAAATACTATTTGAAACATCAAAGCAATTGAAACCAAAATCGAACAAACAAAAATTATATAAGTAAACAAAGCCCTAATATACCAAACATTACCACAAAGTATAAGCTTACAAGCACAGCATCTTCTTAGCAAGTCCAAGTTTGTAAAGATCTTAAATAACAAGAGGTTATAGACCTACAAGTATACAATCTTTTACATTGTATATACAAACTCACTACACAAAACTTGGCTATCGACGGGTTGAAAACACGCGATCATCGCGAGCCGTTATATAATCGAAACCATCGAGCAATGCAAATGCAACAATATCCAAACACTAAATTAAACCCGACAAATTTTCACACATCTTGACAAAAAGATAAAATGCACGCGTACCTTTCGTGCACGGTGACAAATTCTACCGGACATCCTTGAGCGCTCCGCCCTTTTCGAGCTCCCCGACGTGATCCCTCAAAGCGGGGACCTTCATGGCCAAGGTTCTGTATAGTCGAGAATATCGAGCTCGGGTTCCGTCTGCAGTTCTAGCAAGTGCGAGCAAACTTAAAGCTTCCGGGAGATTCGAAAACGCCTCTTTTATCTCGTCTAGAGTCATGTTTTCGAGAATGGTTGGTTTTGGAATGACCCGGATTATCTCCCCGCCTTTGGGCTCCTGTACTTTCGCATCTGCCTTGATGACGAGTTCAGATTTTGAGTTCGCGCCACACTTGATGATGAATGGGGACGTTGTGCCGGTGTTGAATTGCAGCACGTTCCATTGTGTGACGTCGGTTTCGGACGTGTGTCCCATGTCGCCGGAGAGATTGGATCCGTGTGCCGCATCCTCCACTTCGGATGTCGACTGCATAAAAATCGCACGTCAGGGCTAAAATAACTCAAAACATCAAACTAGTCCATGAAGAATCTCTCTATATCATTAGCATCTTTAACAATCCTCGACAGAGGTTTTGCTAGAACATTAAATTCATTTACATTAATGATCATTCATTCAACGACTAGCTTAAGCTACGGAATGCAAATTTTATAAAATCTCTGATAAAATAAAGATGCCAAATCGAAATAAAACTTTGAGGCCCAATTCCATGGTAATTGTAAGCATACCTCAACGGCTTGTCGGGCTTCTTCAATATGTCTACGAGCACAAGGATGGTCAACATCAAGCAAAGAAGGCATCCTTTCGGAAAGTCCATCCAGGGAGGCAAGCAAGGAACGCTTCTTAGTCCTACTGAGGGCATTGCTGGACGTTTGCCTTGTTATATCCTATATAAGCAATGTTCAATTCAGACATCTAATTCTAACAGCACTAATGGTTTAGATGAGATCAGAAAAAGATAAGAAGAACCTTGGCTTGTTTTAGTATTCCATCAAGGGAGATAAGCGACGCCAGTCGCGCATCCTCAGCTGCAGTAGAAGGGTTTCTGATAGCTGCAGCACTGTCCTCCATGCTAAACATTGAGGCATCATTTTTCATTTGCTGCAAAATCTGATTCGAGAAAAGTGTTAGCGACATCTCGTAGATGTAATATTGGATAGGTAAACTTACACTTTCTAATCTTGAGGTAAGAGTTCATTTCTGTTTTAAGTTGGTTGTTATATCATGCTATTGTTTTGAATGTAGATCGCAAACCATTAAACTAAATTTCTTATTTTGGGACTAAAATAGAAGCACATATTTGTTGGATTAGAAATACATTATGCATATACCATATTAACACAGAAGATGAACACATTGATTACATATAAAATAGAACAAAAAATTGTAAAGCTCTAAGATATTTTAATTGAATTTGTAAGTATTTGCAAGCATTACCTTTATATTAGATATAGAATAAAAATGTAGGAAAGTTGCTAGATATGCAAAATTTTGCTACGTGATGAAAAAGATTATTGATTATGTGATGAAACCAAATGAGAACTATAATAAACTGTTGAGATGAAGATGAATAACGTTACACAAAACACATAATACAATTTACTATTTGCTCTTTTAGAACACAAGGAAACTTTTAAATTACATTTTTATATATGAAATTGCAAAAGACAACAATACTTACTAGACAGTGTTTAATTCTATATACTATAGACTAATAATAGTCAATAAATACTAAACCTCATAACTTTATTTTTTGTTTCCAGAAATTATTACATACACACAAATCTTACTAACCTTCCTTCTCTTGTGGTCCACAGACTCGAGAGCTGACCGTAGCTTGCCCACTTGCAGAAAGTCTTCCACCACTTCAGTCGCCAAAGTACCCGCAATATCCTGATTGACATTAACTCACGTGAATAAGAACGTCTAATTAATTAGAAAAGGATGGTAATCCAACAATAGTGTATGTCCTAAATCCTGGGAATAGTACCAACTACCAAATGAGCATTTGTTGCTTCACAAATATGTGAAAATAAGGAGCACAATAGAGATTGTAGAGCCGGACCTTTAGGTGTTGGAGCTGAGATGTATAGACACGGCTTGCATATTCAGATAAAAGCTGGCCAAGAGCATCTGTATTGGGAGGTTGGGCAGCACCAAGCCCAGCCATCCAACCGTCCATTATTGCAGTAGAGAGAAGCTCAAGCTGGCCGGTGGCTCCAGTTGCCGTATCATCAGCAATGGATAGGAAATCAAAGTTCTCAGCAAGCCAATTTCGAATTTGGCGCTGGAGCTCTCCTGCTGGAGTGTGGACAAAAAGAGCTGCAAGTGCCTTGTTTCCTACTGCATAAGTTTTGGCTTCTTCAGTTATTTCCCGGAGTTTTCCACCTGTCACATGCTGTCTCCATGTATCCTGTATCGTTAAACATGTTGTATTAAATTGAAGTACATGGATTGCATCAGAGAATTATCGGCAAAACCAGAACAATATATTGCACAAATACCAAAAACCTCATGTGTGTCGTTGTAAGAAAATGCTGTGCCGAAGTTAGTGACATAACCCTCTAATAAAACAAGAAGTTGCTTATTTCAATCAGTAGGTCAAAAGTGTAGTTGGTTATCACAATGAAGTGTGATGGAAAGTTACCTGATCAATCCCACGTATTTTCAGGACTACCGACGATAACTTTGACTTCTTTTCAGGTTTTATGTTTACTCTGAACCGTTCAATGTGATCCTCAACCTGTATATTCCGTACACTGGAATCATGGCGCACAGGAGATTTTCCTGGGCTGCTACTACGACTAGAGCTTCTGCTGCGCCCACTTGGAGGCTTCTCTAGAAAGCGCTCAACGGGGAAAACCTTCAACATTAATCTCAGGAAGTCAGTTCACTTAAATTTCCAGTTGAAGTATAAGAACTATAATAATATTAGTACCTTAATTGATTGAAGCTCCGGAGAGCGAGCGAGCAGGGATCGTATGTACAAAATTCTAACACGAGAAACAAGCATAGTATCCATAACCCTCCTAGGCTCCATTTTTCGAATAAAGGCAAAAACCGCATCTCTTATTTCAGCCAGTATTTCATGCTCTCTAGAAGCACCAGCCTTAATGACTGCAGCCAAAACCTGTCACATTGCAGAATAAGCAGTTTCCAAGTAAAAGAAATTCATGAAAGAAGATGGTCACTAAGAAAACTATGATGACTCGATTTTTCATGTGTTCCAGAACAAAATGGTAAGACACTAAGACCAAAACTATCGCCAGCCTCAATCAACTTATAAAGTAATAATTCAGGTTCAAAAGCTGAAAATTTGTGCTTCTGATGGGAGCTTAAGAGTGAATAAAAATGTTCTGTTTGTAGATGGTTGTGACAAAAATGTACTAAACAATTATGCTATATTCTACATATCACAAATCTACTGTAACTTCCATAAATGCTTACAACAATCTGGGTAGGGTAAGCAGCAAAGAACTATATACTATTAAAAGTTCAATTAGACAGCTGCCTATAAATGGTTGTCTGAGGGCAAAGGATGGTTGCATATTCCAATCTTAATATACTTCTGCAGCTAAATACATAGCTATACAGATATAAATTCATATATACACGCATATAAGTATGTCCATACCAGCATCAAGAGCTTGTTTGCTCCATCAGAAATGGCAGCAAGGCTGTCATATTGTTCTGGATCAAAGTCATTCAGGGCTGCAGTAAGATATTCACCGGCTGGAGTAGTTTTGACCTTATCACCACCAGATATTACCAATGTGCCTGCACTCTCTGCTTGGTTGGAGGGTAATGATAAGGAAACAACATCACCAGGTCGACCTTTAGCACTAGCAATATTGTTCCTGTCAAAAATTAAATAGATGTGAGGGTGGCTCAAATAGAGATGGATCTGTTAAGAATAGTGGGGAAGAAACAATGAAATTTGAAGTACTCAAACCAGAGTAGATCAGCACCTTCCTGAGTCATGAGAGAGAGTAAGCAATCCCCCGGGAGATGGAGTTAACAACTGAGAAATGAAAGAAACAATGTTATTGCTACATACATACATACAAGGTAGATTAAACATAACATAACACATCAGTAACTTGAGAGTTCAGATAGAGATGGGTCAGCAGAGATTATAGATTTACACAAAGCTGGAAGGTCTCACATAATGCAACATATATGCTAGAAAAAATATAAAGAACCTGAGGTGATACAGTTGAAGAAGCCTTTTCAGTTAATCTGTCAAACAGTTTCTCATTCTCTTCGTGTAGTCTCTGCCAAAAGAAAGATTTTATTAATTAGAATATATGATTGCTCTTTATATGAATGGTAGGTAATTCTAACTCAGTATCCCAGAAAACACAATCTCAATTTCATGATATTCGAAACATTCAATGAAAAGTGTTTAACTAAATTATTCACATTGACAGCTAACACGATAAAGTACCTCAATGAGTGCATCACGTTTCTTCAGTTCCTCCTCAAGTCTCTTGGTAACGGCAGTTGAATCCATGTCCTCTGCCATAGACTTAGTGTTTATTGTCTCTCCAGCTTGTGGTCCATGTCCGTTTGTTGATGTAGTCTTGCTGGAAAGAAGATATTCATTCATTTGTGACTCAATCATCTTCAATTTGGCCTACAGGAAGACATCTGTTATTATCAGGAAAAAAAAACCGCCAACAATGTATAAAATTTGTTCGGTTGCAGCATGATTTATGCTTTTGCACAGCCTGCATTACTTCTGGATATATGGAGAATATCCTTTTTGGTCCCTTAGGTACAAATATTTCTTGGTGTACGAGGAATCTTTCGCTGAATAGCTATGAAGACAAATAGCTTCAGAAACTTTGCCTGAAAGTTAATGAGATTCGAAGACATGAAATTTTAACTCCACTAGCAATTTTTTTTTTTTTGGGGGGGGGGGGGGGGGGGGGGGGTGGATTGATTTATGACATTGATAATGCATCATTGCTCATCAACAGGATGTCAATGGTTGGTTAAGTTTGAGATTTTGGAAGGATACTAAATTATTGAAGCACCAAGGTACCAATTTGTTACCAATCCTTAGAACAGTCCATGCTAAAGTGAGGAAGTGATGTTATCCACTATCTTACAAAATTAATAAAACATGATTGACAAAGGGTCGCATGATTTTGGAGCTAACCTGTAGCATTTGAATAGTTGAATCTCTTTCCTCTATCTTCAATTTATGGTCTTGTTCCACCTGTAATAATTGAGAAATTTGATTATGCAGCTCCGTGTTTTGCTCCTTCTCTTTCTTGTGCTTATCTGCAAGTATTACATTTTCTGCCTGGAGAAAACAAGAATTTTAGTCCACCTCATGTCATTAGTTTAATCAACAACATAGTGTATGTAAGATATAAGTATCTCATCAGCCAGGTACTTATTCAACATGTAAATTAAAGCATCATTAGGCCATATGGAAGTATAAAGTCTAAATTTAACCAGAAAGGATGATTGTTAATAGGAAGACCTATGAAAAATTGGTATATTTTAAATTAGTTAAGAAAGTAGCACAGAAAAGGACCACATTTATGCATTATGTTACTTAAAATGCATATATAATTATTCACTGTGACAACCATTAAAACCTACCAAAATGAACACTTAAATCATTTTTTGCCTAAAAGATAATGATAAAAGCAGAACTGGCTTGATATGATCCATTGTAATAGTTTTATATATTTATTAAATATTCAATTGGCCAGAGAACAGCAGCATTCAGCTAGTTCACTTCTTGATATAAAGTAATACTCAAGATGAAACCTACTTTTGTACAAAATATCACTTCTTTTTTTTTTTTAATGTGAGATTCATCACTCAAGATGAACGCAATCACTAGGGAACTGGGATGCAATAGAAGATCTTAATGGGGAGCCAAATAATCCTAAAACATGAAATGATGGCATAAGAAACTGCACACAGCAAACAGGCTGGCAAACAAGCAAGTAACAAGCACGAACACTACAAAAGCACTGTGTTACAAACCTTCAAATCTGACTGCAATGTGGAAGAAACTTTCCAGGCTTTCTGAACTTCATTGAAGAGTAAAACACATTGGTCATTAGCATGTTTCAATTCTTGTTTTAGTTCCATGTTTTCTAATTTCAGGTCACTGATTTCCTTCTCCTTTTCAAGCAATTCTTTACGTGCGTCATTAGCCTGCAAAGTATTGCAGATGAAACATAGGAAAGATTTTAGGATCGCATAACTTTATTTGGACAAAGGGTATAAACATTTTGCTATCTTTATTAGCTCGTAGGAAATTACAGAACTGGCAAACATAGATCATTGAACATGTTTATGCTGAAAATGTCTTCATCTACATATCTAAAGGTATAACATTTTTTTTTTACTATCTAAGGTATAACTTGTAGATACTGGAATGAAAATGCCAACTTATAGATGTATATGCCTCTACAAATGAAATTTAGGATACTTACAACATCTTTCCATTTCTTAATTGTATCTCTATTGCCAAGGCTCAATGTAGCATTTCGGGCCCTAGCAGCAAAATTAAGGGATGATAGAGTCTCAGGCATGTTTAGCATGTTTGGGCAGATGTTAACAACCATCAGGGTTTTGGAGCTCCCACCTGCATAGAGAATAAAAATCCACTGTAATATGAATAGCAAAACGAAAACACAAGATTGAAAAGTGAAACGGAAATAAATAGTGTATGCCAGGGTTAGCAGAGAAAGGATTATCATACTCACATCAATCTTTTGACCTGTAAGTAAGATGTTTCTATGGTAAATTGCATGGTGCATATGGCTCAGTCACTAATGTTAGCATATCAATCACATGCATATTTACCCTGTTTTAAAATGCTTTGAAATATGAATGGTCCTGAAAGAAATGAGGACTGACTTCTTTTTTCCAACTGTTCTTCAGAGTAACTCAAAACTCTCAATCATGTTATATTTTCTACTGATCTAGCAAGTGAAGATCACATTATTCACAGAAACTCTTAGCCCAAATTCTTGCCTCGGAAGTTTTTCTCTGCTAAATTCCCACAAATTGGAAAAGGGTAAGAATCCTACAACAGTAGAGTGTCAATGTAATTCCAGAGCCTAGTTACATCAATTACGAAAAGGCCATTGGAATTGGTCTGGCCTGACAACAGCAAGACAAATTGATCTGGCAGTTCTCTGAGTTGCACATTCCCTCTATTCATCTCAAATATACACAAATGATCTGGTAAATATTTCTCAGTCTCTCACTACAAGTCATCCAATCTTCAAATGAGTAGACACGCACACTTAGGATTACCTCCATTAAAGACTATTTAAAAGATGAATAGTGAGCAAATGAAAGCAATATATAACTGTCTCCATCGTTAAAGAATAAGAGAACCAGACTCTTCCCACATCTTTGCAATATCCAATTTACAGCTACCATACAGCAAGAAATATGCATGTCTTAAACTGCTCGAAGCCTCTACAACAAACCAAGAACAGAGAAAAATCAGAGTAATCATAAGGGGAAAAAAGAGTATGAATACCTAGTGAATCTGTGAGAACATTTGTCAACACAGAGTTTTCATATGGAACATCATCCTTCTTGGACGTTAAAGATGCCAAAACATCACCCAATCTGCACATAAAACAATGTTGACAATAAATGAGCACAAGTACCGTATCAGATTAGAAATGAAATGATTTATGTAGACCAAACTTTCAATCAGTAGTCATTAGGTGAGGCATTATTGTATCAGTTTACTTTAAGGGTATGTTTGTTTGGAGGTTTGGATTTTGGATTGGGATTTGAATAGTAAAAAATTTGAATTTGAATGGTTGTATGATGTGATATAAATATGTATTGATGTTATGTTTTGAATGTAAAATTGATTTTTAGTATAATATAAAAAATGAAAAATAGGTGTTTGATTTGATGTTTTTTGGGGAAAAAATTTGTCTGAATAGTATAAATCCACACAAATCTTTCAAACAAACACACCCTAACTGGTAATGCAAAACAAATATTCAAATTCATGCATTAATTTGACCTATCGCGTATTGAAATAAGCTGGATAGTCCATGCTCACTTCAAATACTTTCACATGCAACTAAGAAAACAAGAAATAGTACCAACAGGTTAACGAGGCAAATAGAGGAACAACACTAACAAAAGTTTCAATGAATAAACAAAGGAATATCCTAATATGGGATCTCAGTTGTGGTAAACCAACATAATTAAATTGCATATATAAATCTGGAAATTGAGTTAAATCAAAGAAACAAAGAGATCCCAGAAAGAACTGTGCTCATTCTGAATATTCAAAATTATATAATCGGACTGCAAGAGAATGAAAATATGCAGGATTTCACTTACGCTGAGAGGGTTTTTAGAACATGCAACAATTCAGTTGCATGTTCACCAGATTCATCCTCTATAGATTCAGTCTCACTTCCAGCCAAATCAACCAGAGAAAGCTTGCTATATGTGCTCTCACCCGTGATTGAGTTTGTATAGTAGATATGTATCATAACAACCCTACAGCAGAAGCCATAGAGAAACAAATGACTAGGAATTGAGGTAAAGAGCATATACACACAAGAACCATACAAACAAAATGCTGTTGGACAAAGAAAAGAAACTGAACATGCATCCCATTCTCAATTTCATGTACCAAAAGCTACTATACATGCTAGCATGGGAAAATTGTTTCATATACACACTGGATTGGGTATATATTTTCCTATTTGAAGAGCTAATCTAATCTCATCTCCGAGCCTTTATATATATCATATGAGGGGGCATTAGCAGCTTGCATGATACTTGTTCGTGAAAGGACCAATATAAAATAAGTGCCATAATGAAAACACAAGTGACAGAACAGAAAGTCTCAAATTTTCATTGGAATAAGAACCATACAGGTGTGAGACTTTAAATTTTGATGGGTCAGTTCCCCGGTTTTGGAATGCTGCTTTGAGAAGTTTGGAGAATTCTATAGGATTCTCAACTTTTCCCTGCACAAGTTCTACAATATAATCCAATGATCCAATAGGAACCTTTGGTAGAGAATTTCCTGATTCCAGAATTAAGTCCCTAATCTGCACAACGTTCAAATTTGGATACGTATGTACTCAGCATGTCATTCACTCAAAACCAATTGAATCTAACAAAAGGAAGATTTATATTATTCAACTCAACACTGCAGACCACAACCTGTTCATTATAAATTTCAAACACTGAAGCTGAGAAACTATATCGAGAAGTATATGTTGTATCCGAGTTGGATAAATCAAAAAGCTCCTCAAAAGATCGAGCATATAAACCACGATCATGGCTAGATCCTTCCTGCATAAAGATGGAACTTTTATCAAAAGAGATATCTGGAACTTCAAAATTGTAAAATAGATTTCTATGTGTGTGTGTGTGTATATATATATACACAAAGTCGCATCATCCTAATATTGGTCATAAAACAGTTGATGAGAATAAGAGAAATAAAAGAGACCATCGTATATGTTTTTCCAGAGCCAGACTGTCCATACGCAAATATGGAAACATTGTACCCATCAAAAACTGACTGAACATAGGGCTGAATATCAGTAAAGAAATCAGCTGCATAAAGAAAAGTAACGGATTAGTAGAGATCTTCAACCAGCTGAGATAGGGTAACAAAGTTTTAACTTCCACCTTGTCGCACATGAGGTCCATAAACCCTATCAAACTCATAATCCTTCTTTGGATTGGATAGACTATCATCCCCAGAATTGATCCGCAGTGTAAAATCATCAGGAAATTCAACAGCAAATGGACCTTCATCTTCAAAAAGGGGCCTTACACGACAAAACACCTTTACATTTCCTACAATCAGTTAGTACAGATTTAGATACCCATGATCAATGCAATTAGCTTATGGTGGAGCATGTGCCTTTGAATGCGCCTCTTATTAGGAAGAGTGGGAAGGCCACAGAATTTAAGGTGGTATTGAGAAGAAAGAAATACCTTTTTCCGTCAACAAATCATTAAACAACCTTTTCTTCTCAGATAGCAGCGGAGATATTCTAGCTTCTGTTTCAAGGGCAGCCCGATCTGAAAATAGGAATGGGTTTGTTTCCGGTCAAACATATTTATATAGAAATATTCCAATTAGTAATTAAAAGCCTCTCCATAGCTCTCAAAATGATGCAATCCAACATACACTTAATTTGGCACAACCAAGCTAAGAAAATAATGGCATACTGTACTAAGGAAGCATTTCTTGAATTGGAATTGTAAACAATTTTATTCAAATATTGGTATGTTAGCAAAAGTGAGTTAATAGTGTAATTGTATATAATTATTGAGAAGGTATAAGTTTATATTGGACAATACAGAAATATAAAACTAAAAAATAATGGCATAGGAACGACTGGTAAATATCACGACTTTGGAAATTCTTTTGAAAATATGTATAATGAAACACAATTTCTCAATCACAGACACACATCTCACCTAGCTTACGCGCCTTCTCTGCAAGTACACCTAGGTAGCGTGTAACTCGTTCAAGTTTCGCACTGGAATATTCCTCGAGATCCATAGCTTCTTGTCGCAACTGCTGGCAATCTTCTCTAACGAGCTACAAAACAAATGCAAAGGTGAAAAATCAAGGATCTATGAACCAAGAAACAGTAGGAACTTGAAAAACTAGACGGTGAAAACAAAGTCACCCGATTACAAAAACCATAAGAATGCTAACAAATTATTACCAAGTCATGTAAGATGCAACCCATAAATGTTCTTCTCGACCTAGACATGAAATCTAAGCTTGATTATAATAAAGTTAATAAGATGTATCGAAAACCTTTATTAACCCATAGGCCTCAAACTAAATCTTAATAACAGTCTCACACGTGGCGATTCCGACAGAAAACTTTATACTTTTATATAATGCAGATACCACAATAGATGAAGCGCTTACAACTGCCAATTGTCCTAATTCAAATTAACATGAATTTCCAATCACAAACACCAATCAAAACCTAATTATCCACATATTTCAAACGCAATCCAAAGTATCCATTCAGCACCCCATAGCTAAACAGCAGAAATCAGCTGAATGTCTTCAGACTAACAGAAACAAGCATTTTCATAATCCTAACAATGTAGGACATAGAAAGATCCAAGACTGCAGTGCCAAGGAGGAATGTAGTTTATACATATCCAAAAACCCTATCTCAAGCAACCTAAAGCTCAAAATTAAATCACAGAATTGATGAAAAAAAAAAAAGCAACCTGAACTTTGTCTTTCAATCGCAGTAGCTTGGAGTTCGAAGCGAGCTTGGCCAGCTCGGAATGTGACGAAATAGACATCGAGTAGCGCCGCCCCGACCGCGGCGGCGACGCCACTGATGCTTTCCTATAATCATCTCTCTGCTCCACGGATTTTCTCGGCTCGAACCCCGCCACTTCCCAGTTCCACCGATTATTGCTCCCCGTCTGCTCCTCCATTCCCGCCCCTCAAGAACCACCAACCAATTGCAGGGAAAAACAGGTACAGATCGGAATTCACAAGATATGGAAATGGGTTTGTCGCGAAGATGAAGCGAGACAAAAAGCACGCGCGCAACGCCCTTCTGTCCCTGCCTGCCTCCCTCCCTCCCTCACTGAATTATGTATGACATTTTACTACTGTTTCTTGCCCAAATCCAATTCAAAAACATTATTGGTGGGGAGGCAATGGCAATTGGCAACGCCGCGTTTGGGCCTGCAAGCAATTGTTCGAATTGTGGGCACACAGCCTTTTTGGCAGATTGGGGTTTCACAAATTTGGGAATTAGGGATATTGTTGATGCAAGCAGCGCATCACGTCCGTTGATCTTATTTACTTTGAATTGAAGGGTGAAGATATAGCAATGTTCGAATTGCAATTTTGCATGTTGTCCGTATGACTTTACGGGTGTCTTTTGTTTTATTTCAAATGACTTTTGTTAGTATAAATTTTAATAAAGGTATTTGCTACTTTCTTCTATATCATTTTTCAATTGTAATTTCTTAAAAATGTGTAAAATATTTTAAATAATAATTATAGAAAAATTAATAGTTATTAAAAAATTAAATATTCAATCTATAATTAATTTTTTTAAAAAAAATTCTACCAAAATATAAAAAATTATTTCATCTAAAAGTTGGTTAATCAAAACCATTATAAAATAAAAAAAATAAATTAATTCATAAAAAATACAATTAGTCTGTTCACACGAACATTTCTAGATAAATTGATTTTTTTTTATGTAATTTGAGTAACTGTGTTAATAATATAAAAAATACTCTATTGAATTATTGATTTTTAATGAATCGATAATGTATATATTATATTAATGTGTGTGAATTTTTATATTTTTAACAATATTTATAAAGAATTGTCCATTAAAAATTGTCAGAGTGAACTGACTATAAACAAACCTTATATACTCACATTTTAACATATAATAACAAATTTGCTTTTGTTTGTTTTTCTAAAATTTTATTAATTTTATTGTTTATTTTCAACTTATTAATATACTATTTTCGTCAACCTCTAAGTTTTTTAGTTGATTTTTATATGCAAGTAAATTAATATTTTATAAATATATAGTATAATAAAGTAGTGTAATGCTTGTTTTATAATTGATATTAAAGTAAAAATAATGTAAAAAATAAAGAGTCCAAGTATTTTGATATCTAGTTGAGAATTATTTTTTTATTTTTTTAAGAGATGAAAAATTTTATTGGACAAATTATAATGGTAAAATATGAAATTTAGTTTTGGATAGAAGAAATATTTTTTATAATATCCCATTTTACTTTTTTTATCTACCATATATTAGCATCAAAATATCATTATTTTTTAAGTTATGTACCTACTCAAAATTACATAATTTTTTGGAACAGAACTTTGTTTGGATAGAAGTTTTTGAAATTTTGAAAGTTTTGAAAAAAAAAAGAAAAAAAGTAAAAATTTAGTAATTGATTTGACGTTTTTAAAGATAAAAAGTATATTTGACCGTGATGTTTTTTTTAAAAAAACAAATAGTGCCATGTATTAAGTAAACAAAGCCATAGAATTTGTTTGTCCAATAATTTTTTTTGACATAATTTTTAATAAATATATTACATTCTCTTATAAAAAAAATAATATTTAATATAAAATAATATTTTTATATTATACACACAAATTTTCATATTTGACCTTAAATTAAAACACTAAATAAACAAATTCATAGTGTATAGTATTAATTAGAAATTTATTCAATTTTTATGTATATTACTCCATTTTTAATAATAATATTTAAAAAAAAATTGTATCAATAAAAAATAATTTGATGAACATATTCTATATATTTTTATAATACTATTAATTAAAAATTTATTGATATGACAATAAAGTAAAAATAAGTAAATAACAAACAAACCGTGCAGGTTTACTCAATAAGGCTGTAATCAATGATATATAATAAGGTTGTAATGGCAAGTGGCAGCTTGTTTCACCAAAAAAAGCCATTTTCAATTGTTTGCCAGAAATACACACCAATTTTTAAATTTTATTATAAATATACATACAGATCTATCGACACCTACGAGCCACACGTCTATCTCTTCAGTGGTGTAACTACAGAACCACCTAGATACCTATTCAAGGGCCCACAGGTCCCGGCCGCCCCAAAACTCACCACCGTAGAATCCCAAAATCTACGGCGAAGATCGATGCAGGACTTCAGGTTGCAGGACCTCTTAAAAATCACCGAGGAGTGTGTTTGTTTGAAAATTTAAATTTTGAATAGAGGTTTCAATCGTAAAAATTTAATATTTAAATAATTATATAACGTTGATATAAATAAATATCGATGTTATTTTAAATATAAAATTAATTTTTAATATAAAATTAATTTTTAATATAATATAAAAAATTAAAAATAAATATTTAATTTAATATTTTTTAAAAAATAAAATAAAATAAATAATATATTTAAAATTCAATACAAGCACAACATCAAATATCAAACCCTAGTCCCCCAATCCAACTTGCCCCAAATCCCCTCACCAAATCCCCCAATCAAAAACGTCTTATCCACGAGATTTCAAATCAGTAAAAGAAAATCCGCAATGGGTTTGAGCATCCAGCCAGCCGTCTGGATCTGAAAGCAAAAAATTGAGAATTCCCAAAAAAATGAAATTGGTGGGTGTCCTTGTATTCGAAAAAGTAGCAGTTGCAGTCGTCTTCCCATTGGCCCTTTAACTTTATCCCTGTTCTAGCGTCTCCAGTGTTTTTAGGTTAGGGTTGTGTTTGTATTCGTCTAAAAATGGCAAAATTGGGTCCTCTCACATAGCTAAATCGTCCTCTTCCACGCGCCGAACGGTCTTCATTGGGAAACCCTTATCCTTTTTTGTTGATTTGGTGTTTGATTGATTATTTGATTCGATCGCCTCGGGAAGAGGGTCCTTTGCCATAAATAGGGGGTGGGAAAGAAGATACAGCAAAAAGGTTTTTTTGGTTATGGCGAGGGAGAAGATTCAGATCAAGAAGATCGACAACGCCACTGCTAGGCAAGTGACCTTTTCGAAGCGGCGGAGAGGGCTTTTCAAGAAGGCTGAGGAACTCGCGGTTCTCTGCGACGCCGATGTTGCCCTCATCATTTTCTCCTCCACCGGAAAGCTCTTTGAGTACGCTAGCTCCAGGTCTCTCTCTTTCTAGTCTCTCTCTCTCTACCTGCTTAATTATATGTCTGATCTTTATGAGAAGATTACTGGTTCTTGTTCTTGAATATTTTGATTTCTTTTAGATTTAACAGTTTCTGTCGATGATATCGGGCGATTAATTGTGATAGAGTGAGATGAACTCTGTATGCATATGTGTGTGTGTGTGTGTGTGGGGGGGGGTGGGTGGGGGTGGGGTGGGGTTGGGGGAGAAGTGACAGAGATGAATGGCATGGGAATTACTGTAGTTGTCTCAACTTGCAAGTGCTTTTTCTTACAGGTTTTATTGTCTGGACCTTATCTTTTGAGTATATATAGAAATGATTGTTGATAGCTTTGAAACTCGAACATTAAGCCACAATCTGAAAATAGTAAGAAGCCATGAATCATGATAAGCATTATAGAATTTAAGTGTGTCCTTCCAGATGAGGGTGCATTTGGTTTGTAATAGTATTTTGATTCGATTTTTTCTTAACGTCTATTTTTATAGTAATTCTCGGGATTTCATAACAAAGAAATTCAACAAAAAAAAGAAAAAATCTAGAAAAAGAAGGATCTTATTACATTTAATGTAAGGGAGATTGAAGAATACTAAACCCCAAAGATTTAGTTCATATACATTTAAACAACTTCATTTATAAGTGATTAGATGAGTCTTGTCGAGTTTCTTGGATGCTTACCGAGCAATTGAAGTATTGATCTAATGGTAGGTTTAGTTGGGGTCATTTTTGGGGTTTAGTTCTGATCTTTTTCTTGTTAAAGTAGTCAGTTTGATGTAATATTTTATAAGAGAAAATTAAAGACACTATTATTTAATATGAGATATACTAATCAACATTGCGCACCTCAATGAGCACGAATCGAATGTTTATCTTTAAATTGATAAATTACTACAAAGAATCGTTTGGCATATTATAACTTGTGTATTTTCGTGTAGCATGAAGGACATTATCGATAGGCATAATGTGCATGCGAAGAACATCAACAAGATGGAACATCCGTCGGCGGATATGCATTTAATCGAGGATAGTAACTACTCGAGATTGAGCAAGGAAGTGGCTGAGAGAAGCCATCAGCTTAGGTATGAATACAGCTCTCGAAGAAGGCTAATTTTTGTCGAATTATAACAAATAAAAATTTCTACGACAATTTTATTTTTAATTGTTTAGACGTATGAGAGGGGAGGAGCTTCAAGGATTGGGCGTCGAGGAGTTGCAGCATTTGGAAAAGTCCCTCGAAGCTGGACTCAGCCGCGTCGTGGAGAAGAAGGTCGCGTACTTGATTTTACATTTAGTGTTATTGAATTATTAGAGCTCTGTCGATAAAATTTTTGAAAATACTAAAAAGTTAAATAAAACCTACACTTGAATAAAAATAGGCATCTGATTTGATTGTCTTGTAGAAAAATGGAAATTTTAAAAATATATATCTAATGATGATATAAATTCTAGTAATTGGTTGATTAAATCAAAAAATTGTTATTTTGTGTGTTTAGGAGATTTGTTTAGCAAATTAGGATAATATTTTCGACATTTTTTAAGTGTACAAGACATAGTCGAAAGGTGTAGAATCATATTTACATTTCTTCTATTTCTTTTTGTATTGAAAAGTCAATTTTTCCCCTTTACTGATTAGGGTGAAAAAATTCTGAAGGAGATCAATGAACTCCAAGAAAGGGTGAGTATCGAAAACTTTATTACATTCTTACATTTGTGTATGCACAATTGTTTTCATTCTCGTCGAATATCTTAAGTGCGTGTTGCGCAACAACATTTTGTTCTTACAAAGCATATGTTTATGTATGTAGGGAAAACAACTCATGGAAGAGAACCAACTGCTTCGACGACGCGTAAGAACAGCTATAGAATTTCGGTATACTTAAAGGTGTATTTGTTCGGGTGTTTGGAATTTTAGTTGGGATTTGAAACTAAAATTTATTTTTAGTATAATATAAAAAATGAAAAATAGATATTTGATTTGATATTTTTTGGAAAAAAAAAAAAAGGATGAATAGTGTATTTAAAATCCAATCCCCCAAACAAACACACCCTTAATTTTTTATCGATTTGGTAATAGTATATAGTTTGATATATATATAATTTTTTTTTATATACCGAAATATTAAAATAATTTCGGTCTTTGGTTATATACCGAAAATATTGTACTACATTATTTTGGTATTTGTATATCGGTTTATAAATAATTCAGCATATTGCTACCAAAATTATTATTTTTAGTTTTGATAAAAAAAACTTTCTATATTGATAGCATATCAATATTATGGTACGGTTTCGGAATGTGTATTTGTTTCGTACTAAATTTTCAGTAAGATATTGATAGTTTTTTTAATATATCGAAAACTCGAATGTGTGCGGTCTATAAAAAGGTGGAGGATATTTCAAGTGGCCAGAAAAATACTGCCGCAGCGGATTCGGACAACATGGTATACGACGAAGGGCAGTCGTCGGAGTCGGTGAATGCCTGCAACTCCGGCGGCCCTCCGCAGGACTCCGATAGCTCCGACACGTCCCTTAGGCTCGGGTGAGTTGGCTCTTGTTGTAATAATAATATGAATTGTCCGGATAATTGGATTGGATTCGTGCAGGCTGCCGTATTCGGGGTAATCGACGATGCTGATGATCCATGGGTCGCTCGGGTCGGGTCGGATCCATGGATCTGTAAGAATGGTGTTTTGTGTTGAGACAGTCCGAGAATGGAACTGCTGCTGCTAAGATTGTTTGTATGTAATATGCAATCGCGTGTATATGTAAGTGTATTTATTTACAATATATACTTTCTGTGTGCGCAATCCAGCTAAGCTAATCTAACTCCTAGTATGTTTGAGTTTGAAAAAAAATTGGTTTGAATTTGATATTAAAATAATAAATGATGGAAATGTAATTTTTTCGAAAAACACAGAGTCTAAATAATAAAATTATAAAGTTTTTGACAAAAGAAACATATGTCTATAACTACATATATATATATATATAATATGTATGTATTCATTCTCTCTCTCTATATACACTGTCTGTGAGATGAGAAGAGCATCCAATCATTTAATACGTTGCGTGATGGGTTCATGCATTACTCGTGTTTCTTACATTAATAGAAATGGAAAGATTTGTCAATGGCTTTGTTCTATTTATTATTTGTTGTCATTAAGTGCTGATTCAATATTTTTAATATAGTGCTTATAGTATTGGCTCGGTGCACTCGTTACTATGAGTTCAAATTTCGGTACATATTATTATTAATTTCAGCACATTCCACATACTCATAAAATACAATTTAAAATGTAAAATGTCGGTAGATAGTTTTAAAACATAACACAAGCTATGTGTTTTGAATCAGTGTTTTTTTTTTTTTTTAACATTTTTAAATAAAATAAATAAATAAATTTTTTCTTATAATAGTATTCTAAAAACAATACAAACTACTTCACCTAATTTTAAAAAATACTTTTATAATTAATTCTCAATAATTAACCATAAAAACTTCACAAACTATAAAATACTTGGGATTTATTTCTTTACTAAAAATTTTTCGAACATATTTTTTAAAAAATTAATATACTATATATATTCTTTTTTTATTATTATTATTATTATTATTATTATTATTATTATCATTAATTATTATTATTAAATCAAAATAGAAAACAAAAACCACACACTACTGGGGTCTGCTTACATTTTTTCTAATGGCTGAAATTTGAGTATAATAAGGATTTAGAATTTGGATGTTCTTGTACTTGAACTTGATGCAATAATTGAATAGAATGGATGGATGATAGGTTTGTTGGATTGATCACAGCAAGGCAGAAGATCAGACTAATTAATGAATAATTAAAAAATATATTAGTAAAAATAATTATAATTTAATAAAAATGAATTTTAAATTAAAATAAAAATAAAAATAAAACAGACATAAATAAAAATATTAACAAAATAAATAGAAAGAAAGGAGAGAATAAATAATAATGTCTCTGGCATGGCCAGATGTTCCCCCAAACAACAAAAATCTTTATTATTAATATTATTATTTCCGAAACAGTATTGGATTCCTGAAAAAAGCCAAAGCCCCACGCTAATCTTTCCTCATCGAAATTAATCACCAAAAGCTAATCAGCGATGCCCGAAAGTTCACTCCTATGGCGACACGTCGCCCTTGCGTGAATCTCTTGTCTCTTCCCAATAAATCTATCCGTTAAGACCTGCCTAATGTCCTTTCTGAAAAGGACAAGCGCACTCCTGCCTAGTTTTTGTTCTTACGGTTGAATTCAACACATAAATACATATATTCCCTACAAAGTACGCTTCGGTATCGCAGTCGAGCTGTTTCTTGTTGTACTTACATCTGCATATTGATCGATTCGATCGTATCATAGGTTGGCAAGATTAGGGTTTTTTTAATTAATGCACGCCAACTGTTTGTGAAAATTCCTCAACGAAAAAGCGACCAATTTTTGTATTTTCTGTAAATTTGCGAGTATTCTTAGATTTATTGATTTGTGGGTACATACGGATCTAGATTTGGGCAGTGGGGGGTGGGTGCTTTTACTGAGGGCTCATAATGAGAATGGCATTGGGCTATCCCTCTGGGTTTTCTCTCTCCTCCATTAAAGTTACTTTGATGGTGGAGTAGTGTTCCTTCCAAGGCTAAGAGAGACAGAATCCCAATCCCATGTGATTTTACACCAGCACAGCAGCTGCAGTAGCAATAAAGATCGATCAAGAAAGACCATCGGTCTTCGCACTATGAGGCAACACTCTCTTCTTCTCCAGAATCATACCCACAGAGGAGCCATGGCTGCTGCTCTTGTGCTGCTCCTGCCCTTCTTTCTTCCCACCCTTTTCACTCCCTTGGGCCATGCCATGCCCTCTGTTTTCTCGGTGCGTTCTTGAACCTATTCGATTAATTTTTCTTTTTTTACAAGTATCTACTAATTTCACTTTTCCATTTCTGTGATTGTCTACTTGCAGAGAATCTGCATTTTGGGTTTTTTTTTTTTTTTTTTTTTTTTATTCGGAATGTTTTCTGTAATTGCTCTGTTGATTTGTGTGTTGTCTATCTGGGATGGTTTTATAATGTCCACAAATTGTTTTCTTGAGGAAAAATTTATTTATTGTGGGATTAAATTTCCTTTCTTGCTTTTGTGATTTCCTTAAGTTATTGGTAACCATGTTCTTTTTGCTATGGGAATTTAAACATGGAAAAGAGTGGAGGTTTTATCCACTAATTTTGGTGATGTGTTCATGTGTTATGTTTTCTTGAAATGGAATTTGTGATTTACAAAATCATTTGCAGCTGTATATTTAGGTTTGTATTTGGGATGCAAAACTTATTGATGAGTTATTTAACTAAGATGATAATTTTCATGGTTGCTGTTTTAAAGTTATTTCTGAAGAATATGAAATTTCCCTAGAATTAGTGAAATACTAGGATTTAGAAATTTCTAATATATGTATCTATCTTAAATCTGATAGTTTTTGTTGCAGAATTACAAAAGGGCTAGACTTTTAGTAAAAGACATCAATCAATCGAGTAATAGAACTAAACTGCATTGCCAAATATATTCTCATGTGTTGGAAGAATTTGAAAGAAATCTTGGGCTGACTTCAATGTTCGAAAATGGATTGGATTTGTAAGAAGTGAAGAATTAAAATCTTATGAGGTGTTGGTTAGCTCCTATTGTTTGCAGTGTGTAATTCACACAGAAGTTATATCGTAGAGCTTTATGTTAGGACTGATCATTGCATTTGTCATTTGTATAGACAAAAATTTCAAATAAAAATTCGAAAGAGTTTTCCAACTCCTTCTAGTTGGATCAAGCATATGCTGTTTGAGAACCTTACTTTACTGTGACTGTTCCTTCGATTTTTCGATATTTTCTCACTGCCTGATTGTTGATGTAGGAATGGAATGCCCCAAAGCCTCGACATTCTCGTTTACTTAAGAGTGCCTTGCAGCGGGAAACTGTGAGTGAGATAATTATTCTAATTTCTATGTGCATTTGTCACTGCAACAAAGTTGGTCTGTAACCAATACCTATTCCTGTCCAGTCTGATGCAGAAGTTACCGAACTGTGGAAGCCGTTGGCTGATCAACAATGGAAGCGCTGCGACTTATCTGACCAAAAATCGGGTAAATTCAAAAGAATATATCATATTCCATCAAAATTGATTAGAAATCAATTATCCTCTTCCTGTAAAGCATCGGTGTTTCTTGAAAAGGGAACTTGTCTGTAGGCCTCAAATGTTCGCTTGTTTTCAATGTTTGGCTTTTTGTGTGAAGCAGCTTTGCCGAAGAAATCTCAGGGGTATATTCAGGTGTTTCTCGACGGAGGACTAAACCAACAAAGAATGGGTGTAAGTAGTTTATAGCAGCTTTTGATTCAAGTATCTGTCGTCTTCGGTTGCTGACTAGAGTGATATCTATAGATTTGTGATGCAGTTGCCGTTGCTAAAATCTTGAACGCGACTCTCGTAATTCCTTACCTTGAAATAAATCCAGTCTGGCAAGATTCAAGGTATTCCTTACAGTAGTTTTTTGTTCATTCGAGAAAACTTTTTTCTTACATCGACATAATTTCTCTCAGCACATTCATGGATATATTCAATGTGGATCGCTTCATTGATGCATTGAAAGATGATATATCTATTGTCAAAGAATTGCCTGCCGAATATTATTGGAGTACACGGGAATACTATGCGACAGCCATTCGAGCTAACCGAGTAAAAACAGCACCCGTTCATGCTTCAGCAAATTGGTATATAGAGAACGTTTTGCCCGTCATACAGAGGTTAGCGAATTAAACTAAATAAAATACAATCTTTCTTAATGTAACTTTGTGTAAAATCATCTCTTATCTCAGAAAGTTTTGTCGTAGTTCATACCCCTGCATACTTCTATCATATTCAACATCTAAGTGCTTAGCTAGTTCTTGAAGATATTGAAGAAAACATTAAACATTAAGTTTGTTCTTGTGGATTCTATTGCAAAATTTTTAAAACTCGAGCACGTATAGCTTAATAGCTTATTTTCTGATTGTAGCTATGGTATTGCTGCGATTGCTCCATTTTCCCATCGATTGGCTTTTGAAAATATGCCTGAGGACATCCAACGGCTACGATGCAAGGTCAACTTTCAAGCTTTAGTTTTTGTTCCTCACATAAGGGCTCTCGGAGAGGCTCTTGTTGGTCGTCTCAGATCTTCCACCAGCACAAATGAAGGCGAGAGAAATAACTACATAAGGCAATTCAATGGTGCTAAAGACAAGCGAGGGATAGGAAAGTTTGTTGTCCTTCATCTACGCTTCGATAAGGTATGCTAAAGACAACCTATGCATTACTATTTGAGCATTTTTTATTTCAAGTTGTGCCTCATCAAGCCGAGATTAGGTTTCAAATAGCTCGATTTGATGGACGGTTGTGCTCTTGATTAAGTTTAAACTGGGATTTATTTTTTTTCACAGGACATGGCGGCGCACTCAGCTTGCGACTTTGGTGGTGGTAAGGCGGAGAAGTTGGCGCTAGCCAAGTATCGACAAGTTATCTGGCAAGGGAGGGTATTAAATTCCCAATTTACGGACGAAGAGCTAAGGAGTCAAGGCCGGTGCCCGCTAACTCCCGAAGAAATTGGATTACTGCTTGCTGCTCTGGGATTCGACAACAGCACGCGGCTCTATCTTGCTTCCCACAAGGTCGAAAATCTTTGCTCCACCACTTGAAAGAAAAAAAAATTATATCGTTATAGCCGCGCTATCGATTAATATTCTATGCAATTTTGTAGGTATACGGTGGGGAAGCGAGGATCTCGACCCTTCGAAGTCTCTTCCCTCTAATGGAAGACAAGAAAAGCCTCGCCTCGTCAGAAGAGCGCGACCAAATCAAAGGGAAGGCTTCGTTATTGGCCGCAGTCGATTACTACGTCAGTATGCACAGCGACATTTTCATCTCCGCTTCGCCGGGAAACATGCACAATGCTGTGGTAAGCGTCATTTTTCAGTCTAGTTTTACATTCAAAACATTACATATTTTTTCTTAAAAAAAAAAGAACCCGCCATTGTTCAGCATGCTTGACGACTAATCTTGACGATCAAATACAGGTTGGACATAGAACGTATGAAAACAAGAAGACTATACGCCCGAACATGGCGCTTCTAGGGCAGCTCTTCTTGAACAAGAGCCTGACATGGCCGGAGTTCCAAGCGGCTGTCATTAAAGGGCACAAAAACAGACAAGGGCAGCTCAGAATACGCAAATCGACGCAATCTATATACACGTACCCTGCGCCGGATTGCATGTGCAATGCTTGAGGTGTGTTTGCTACTCTTATTTAAATTATGTGGGTGATGTGGCGCTGTACTTTATATATGAAGATGACGGTTTCCTTCTTTAGGTGTTTTAGGTGTAGTTTCGATTGGTAGGGACACCCGGGGCTCGGTCTCGGATTCATATTCTTCGTTAGTCGTTAGGATAAGCTGCGAAACGCCCGTTGGTTGCTCGATTCGTGATTGACATACTATGTTGTGTTTTGGTGGTTCCTTTGTTCTAATTATTTGTTCATTTATTTTTATGGTTACATCTTCTGCATGCTTGCCCTTTCGATACAAATATAAATCAACTTTCTGAATGAAATATTTTGTAATGAAAATAAGTGATCGATCCAACTAAAATGCCTTGCAAGTTTTTATGATGATTTTAGCTTCGAGATGTATATGAAAATGGTATAAAATAACTACTATTGACATATAATTTGAATTAATACAATATAAATTATTGTCAATTCATATTTGATCAATGGTAGTAGTACGCCATATGTTATATATAGATTATTTTCATATATTATCGGTTCATTAAGTTACAAATATAAACTTCATTTGTGATTCCTCCTCTCTATTGTCATTTTTATCGTTTAAAATTGTCCATCTAAACAATTCTTTTTTATTTATATTTCTTATTCCCAATGATCAACTTATCTCATTCTTAGCTCTATTTATCAAAACATAGCAACACACATCACTATATATCCTATTAAATTCAATAACACTTCAAACATTTCCATCTTATACAAACTCGAAGGGAAAGATGGAAAATATTAATAACATGTGATGTTAATTCATATATATATATATATATATATGCTACCCTACCCATCAATATTTCACGTGCTGTCAGCACGGTGCTGAATATTTCAACTGGCCGCAGTTATTAGTAATTCCGTAGCAAAATAAAGGAATTTCTTAATTCTTACCGTAGACCGAACGCAGCACAAATATATACAGCGTCAGTTACAGTAGACGGCGCTAAGCCTGCTGATCTGACTGCTCGGTGCCGGTGGGAGATCCGGCATTGCTTGTCTTCTTGGTATCGGTTTTGTTGTCCTCAGACACAGCAGCATGCAGTGCAGCCAATTCCATAATGTCTTCCGCATTCGAAGCCGGGGAAATGTTATCATCTTCATCGATGGGCAGGGTTCTTTTTGATCCATCCAACGCGACACCAAGGACTAGGTTCTCTTCTAGACTAGGTTGTCTCAAATCTGGCTTTGGACTTGAAGCGGAAACCTCGGTCTTACCATCTGATGTTGTTTCTTTAGCATCGTCTGCTGTAGGCCTGCTGCTGTCTTCGTCTCCGTTCACTCGTAGGGGGGATCGAACTTGAGTTTTGGTCTTGTCGTCCCCGCTGATTTTGTAGGACGGCTCGATCAGTAAGAACCGGTTGTTTGATGCAGCGCCGTGGGTGAAAACAGAATCAGAGAACGAGGTATCGTCCAAGTCGGTGTTGGTGTATACTTTCTGGACTGTTCGGATGGGAGTGGCCAGTCGAGCACGATGGTGAGAAATGACTCTAAGGAGGTCGAGAAGTATAGCTTCCTGTTTTTACCAAATCAGAGCAACGGAAAATATCAACGAGCTAAAATTTAACCACCGGTAGTTTAAAAGGAACTACAGATTTTTATTTGCATAGAACCTTCATATGACATTCAAAATCAGATGTTTAATTGTAAGTTACAGAAACTTAATAAAGGATTTTTGGGTAATAAGATCATATAAACTGAAGGTTTATGTACCCATAAAAAGATTGTGATATATGAAGTGCTCTAATGTGCCGTTTTCGCAATAAAGGTTTTAGGACAAAAATAGTTTCACTAAAAACCTATTGCTACTCAATTTTTAAGAACTAAGAACTATGTTAAAATCACTAATTTCAATGTATATTATTTCGGCAATTTCCTAAATATATACATAATGAAAAGCTATAAAAAAGCTAGGCGTACCTTAACACATAAGTATTCTTCAAAATGTGAGGTCTTGACAAAGCAGGAGATCAATATCTGTATAAGAAAGCTAATGATGAGAAGAAATAGTTTTTAAGGAAAATTGTGCAACAAAGTATATTCTTCACATGAAATCAGATTATTATATAATTTTATTGCTAGCAATTTTATATGAAACATTTCTATTAGACAAGTAGGAGTATTAAACATTGGGTTCCATGAAATAATACGAAATAGCGAGTTTAGAATTTTCATTATCCAATTTGTTTTTGCTACAAGACTATGTATCACTGCAACCTCAGGGAAACCCATAAGAGAATAGATGATGTCAAATTTATGCAGCTGATATGTAATTTGTTTATTCTTCTTTTAAGTTTGTGAACTCATGTACTCGGAAAATTAAAAACTCAAATTTTATCAACAAGGAGTTGAATATCCGCAAGGAGGTCATCACTATGGTATATTATTCATCGCAAAAACTTGAAATGAGGTTTCAAATTTTGAGTTTGTGTGAATAGTAATTAAAATAAGGATCGTAATACGCACATACAAAATAATAATTACTAACCAAGAGGGCTTGATTTTCCGGATTAATATCCTCAAAGAATACTCTTCTGTGCAATTTCTGTTGTTCGACTTGAGGATTCTTAGCTAGAACTTTGCGCATATCAGCAACAATGTTCTGGGGATAAAGGATAACTTGTAAGTATAAGTGCACGATAATAAATCAATGCAAGCAGTGCATATATGGAGAAGAAGACAATGATCTTTACATTGACTTTCCCGACATCCAAATGACTAATAGCCAGGTGGGTTTTAATACGCCAATGTGTTTTTTGACTGAGATTTCTCACAATGTTCACTGTAAACTTGTGGTTTGGAATGTGTACAGCTTCGCGGTCATCACCTCTGATGATTGTCGGCGACCACCATCCTACATGCTTCAAGATGAAAATGCAAAAATTTAACAAATTTAACCATCTTAAAACAGTACAATTGCAATTACAGTGGTGTATTGAAAGATCTGACACAAACCTCAACTGTTCCTGAAACCTCATAGCCCTCAATCTTTGTCTGAATCCATTCATTCAAGACAAATGGCCGAGTTGCATGAATCATTACACTCGAAAGGAAATTTGTGAGAATCTGAAAGCAACAATGAGATACACTTTAGTGATGCTAAGAAAAGGTTGAGTTACAGTTTTTTTTTTTTTTCCTTCTAGGTGTATCATTAATGAACCGAAGAAAAAATGGGTAAAAATATTACAAATACAAATTCAAACTTCTTCACACCTCACGTCCAGCAAGTGTGATCAGAACTGTCCCAAGTCCCCCAGCTGTAATCCATTTTTGGGTCGAGAAGCCTAACAATTCCATGAATAATGATACAGCCGCTATCCATACAGCTGCATTTACAGCTCGACCAGCAAACTGGAAACCCATCTGAAAAGTAGGGGGAAAAGTAATGAGATGTGCATTGAAAGAAATTATATGTATCTTAAATTTATAAATACTCTTTAAATCCGTTGCTTACTTGAAATCATTATTCTTTATAGTTATGTTATATCCATTTATACAATCAAGCTATTACTCATCCAAAAAGAACATGTACTTGAACATAGCATTAGTTATATATGTTGCCTTTCTCATTCCAGCATTTTCATTGTTAATGAATCTTAAATCTCCATAAATTTTGAATCTGTTCTTCAAGCTGCACCAATATAATATCAGTTTATAACTAGAACAAGGATGTCCAAAAAGCACAAGACACAAAATGGGTTCTGTACACGTTACAGAGGCATTTAATAGGCAGGAAGGCAGGATAGCACACACTAGGATTCCACATGTAAATTACATAATGGAAAGCTTGTTTAGAGAAATTAACTGGGACGTACATTTCTGGCATCAGTGGGATCATTTGACTCCATGAAGAACTTTCGTGTCTGTTGAATTACACTGCATAATAGTGACCAAAGAAGGCTCAGTCCTTGGAAGTAGTTGTATCATGCGAATTAATTGAGAAGTGTTTTAAAACAAATATATATGACATAACATTATATGAGTTCAAAACAGTAACTACATTGTATGAAATTAGGATATACAAATAAGGCGAGTTCTTTCTAATTTATTTATTTTAAATATTGACCCAGCTAATTCATGAGCCCACATAATAAAAAAGAGATCACAGTTCAATTGCCTTTCCCCTTTCCATCCAAGATTCCAACAAAGCCAGGCTATCTTTCCTGAATATGGAAAAACCCCTAAAGATGGATGGAGTCAAACTCTAAAATGAAATCCTATCCTGTGGAGATGTTATATGACATCTACACTAAATTTGTGCTCTTCTTATTCCTTATATGGGAAAATGAACTCTACAACCATTTCTGATCTGCATTGCACATGCATTCTTATAGCATAGTCTACTTGTACATCTCTACATTAAGTGTTTGAATTTCTTATGCACCTATACCATTTATATGTTAAGTAGTGCATTTGCTAAATAGTAGAATAAAAAAAAATCAATGAAATTGAAGGGAAATTTTCCACCAATACCTTTTTAAAAAATAATTTAACTATTAGGACCAACACTGGAGTGGCAGAACCATCAATAACAACTTTGATAGTAATTACAGAATGCATAACTTTAACTTTGCAACATTCAATTGTATTAATAAGAAATTTTCTGAAACTAACCCTGACAAACAATGTGCAAAGGCCAGCACTGTGGACAATGATCTGACAAAATTTAGGAGGCGAGGCTTAACAATATGACCAGTTTCTACGGGCAGAACCATGGGATCCAGTGCTCTGCAAGAAACCTTCTTTCATTAACGATATATAGCTTACTAGACTTTTAGACACTTCTACAAATAAATTATTACCAACCTGCAGATGAACATTGCACCCATCCATAGCAACAAGGGCTGAACATAAGACGTCACAACTTGATATGTGCCACTCCTTTTCCAACCATTGTCCCTCCTCTGCGTTGTATATGATATAACTCATTGAAATTAGAAAATGGCAAAGACCACTAACTTAGGTTTAGCTAATGTTGATAGATAAAATTAACAAATAAGACTATGGAACAGTAAGTATGAAGAACAGTAAATTTCCATGGAATATTACCTTTAGAAATATGTTTCTGCATTGTCGCACTAGTGGCCCAATCCCCCATACTGCAAAAACAACGACAGCCACAGCTGAAGCCAATTTGATCACAAGGGGACTCCCTTTCAAATAATGAGATGCTCTGCAAAAACACAAGAATATCTTTACATGCCTTGAAACCAAACAAAAATACAACTAAAAGACCACAAACACCCATTGATCATCTGCCATCACTAGAAAATCTAATGGTTAACAACCTTCTCACTTGATTAATCTAAAAGACACTGGTTGAACTATGTAATTACCTTGCTAAAGTTGAAGTGGCATTCTTTACAGATGCTGCATCAGTTGGGAGACCTGCATTTAGAATACAAAAGCATCTAATCTTATGATTTCTACAGGGGACAGTGGACAGTCTCCTATGAATCCTCTTCCAGTTATTTTTACTCCAAAAACATTTCCCCTGAAAATATATATATATATATATATATATATCAAGATTAACCAAAACTAAAGGTGCTAAAAATCCAATGAAATTAGTAAAAGAAATTCTAACTCCCAACCGATTCTATGCTCAGATAACAATACAATCGCTAAAAAAATCCAAATCAGATTCTGTTTTGTCAAATTTTACCCAATTAGAGCACAAACCCTAAAATTAATCAAACTACAAACCTACCGCAGCTACTGGCGAGAGATTTGAGCTCATGAAACACAATTTGCCTCTTGCTTTCGAACTCTGCACTTCGTAATCAATGCAAATCAAACAAACGAGCAAAAGAAAAGCAATAAATGAGCTGAATTCATCGCTAACAAAATTTACAATTCAGTCAGTACGCACCCGAAATTTTCTGCTGCAAACATTGTTCCTGCTGCAAATTCCAATCTCGAGAGAGAGCTGAAAACAACTACCAACGTCCATTGCTGGTCGGACACCATGAATTCCTCAACCGCCGCGGTATACGCACATGTATAATTGTGTATATGTATTCAACGCTCGTCGTTTGTCTTCTGCTCATCCGTACTTACGGATGTGAGATGGGGCGGCTTAGCCCCGACCCGCCCCGCCCGGTCTTTACGAAGCGGATTAGGGTCTAACATATTGTGGGACGGGATGTGAACCTCATCTCGATTCCGATTCGAACCTGAATATTTTAATAATGATTATAATTTATTTATATTTTTATACAATATAAATTATATTATTTATTTATTTAAAAAATTTTAAATATAATTTATAATCTTATTCTAAATCAAATTTATCTTATTATTTGTTTCTCTTGTCATTCTCTTTATAACCAGAGGATTACTGTTGACTGCCATCACTGAGTGTCAATATTTTATTATTCTTATTAGAAGGTACTTTAACGCATATTTTTTTTATATTAAATTATTTTAAAAAAATTTATTTTATTATTTTCTTATAAAATAAAACAGATTTGTCAGGTTGACCCCGAACTCGGGACGGGTTATGGGACCGGGTTGAAGCGGGGCAGGACGGATCTTGAATCCTAATATTTTCTAGTGGAGCGGGTCTTGGGGCCTACAAAACCCGTCCCGAACCCGCCCCGTTGACGGCTATATACTAATAAAGACATACAATAAATTAATTATGTTAATACTCCCTCCGTCCCAAAACTATAGATTGGGTTGTGTTTGACACGTGATTTAAGGAATATTGATATTGTATTGATATAATATAAAAGTAAGGGTAATTGTATAATATAAAAAATAGTGGCAATTGTGTAATAATAATGAAAATGTAAGGGTAATTTTATAATGATATGATTATTTATGAAAATAAAACTATTATTTTGGGACAAACAAAAATAGTAAATAAAAATATTGTATTGAGATTAATAGAGTATTATATAATATGGTCTTATATATTTCTTTCGTGTCATTTTAAAATAAAAATTTTATATTTTAGTAAAAATAATTATACATTGATATCAAAATACTTTTAATAAAATACTATTATTTATTAATATAGTAGTATTATTCTTTTAATCATTGACCAAATTAAATCACACCATTTTACTTTTTTATTAATGAACCAAAATTATAATAATAAAATAGCTGTGGGTGTATTTATTTGTAATATTTTGATTTTGAATATTAAAATTTGAAATTAAAATAGTTATTTGATGTGACGTAAATATATGATGTTTTAAATGTAAAAATTAATTTTACTCTAATATAATAAATAAAAAATAAGTATTTGATTTAATATTTTTAGAGGGAAAAAAATTTGAAATAGTAATATTAAAATGTTCTATAATTTTTTGTAAAATTGAATTGCTTTTACCGGAAGGTAAATTATCAACTCTATTTCTTTGAAAAAATAAATAATGAATTTGTTTGTTCTCCTTTTTTTAAAAAAATTAAAATTAAAAAAATTAAAAAGAAACGTAACAGACTTGAGTTTTATTGTAAGTAAACTATAAAATGATGATGGTTAAAAGATTAATTGAATAAAATTTGATCGTGACTTTTGTCATTTCTAAAATGTTTCAATTTTAATATAATAATTAATTTTTATATTGTCATCTTACAATAACGTCGAAATTGTTGTCAAACCCCACCATATGAATCACGTGTCTATTTAATTATATAAAAGAGATTATTAAAAATATATTTAAAATTCATGGATTTTTTTTGTTTGGTTACTAATTTACATATTTAAAATATAACTTTTTTGTTTATTTTTGTCTTATTAAATAATAGAATATTAAAATTTATGCATGGTCGATAGTTATATACAATATGGTTGTGATTACAATGCTCCGTATTGATAAAATATATTATCACAGACAATACATTATTTATATTAATATAATACAAATATAATATATATAAATAAATAACACACATCTGTATTATGTGTAATAAAAAGATACGATTATTTATATTTTATTGTGTTACTTAATCATTACCTGAGATAGCAATATGTATATAACTTTGTATAAAATGTAATACCATTTAAATTATTGTTATGTAAAGATCAAATTAGTAAATAGAAAATTGATATATTAATACATTTCACAGTTACTAAACTAGAGTTCTTGAAAAAGTAATATATAAATATATATATCATTAAAATATTTGGATTTTTTTAAAAATAATATTGTATATTGGCTTTGTAATGAATATAGTCGGTGTACTTATGATTGCGATATCGTCATTTTAAAATTGGACGACGTCATGCATTTTGCACAATATGACAATTTATATATAATAAGTGTTAATAATAAATAATGATCTTATTTGGTACATAAGAATTATAAATATATTTTTATAGATGTATGGTAATTTCTACTCCCTCTGTCCACGAATAAAGTATATATTTACTTTTGACACATAATTTGAAAAATAATAGTATTTTAATTATAGTGGGTAGGTAAAAGTAGTGTAATGACATTTTTGCTTTTGTTTTTTAGTATAAAAGTAATGATGTGATGTAAAGTAATAATATTTGTGGAAAAAAGTGAGGTATTTAATGAAATGATTATTTTGTAATTGGACGTTTCAAAATAGAAATATGTATAGTTTATAGTTTGACAGAGAAAGTATTAAGTTACAAGTGTTATTTTGAAATGTAATTGTTCCTTTTGTTTTTAACTTTGCCACTATATTATTATTATTATTATTATAATTATAATATTTTAATTAAAGAGTCATGACTTTTTAAAATATTTGGCACAACATTCAAGGAATAACAATATTTCATTCGCCCTTGACAATTTATCTATTTTTCTATTTTAGTTTGTCCCATAACAAAGTATTCATTTCATTTTTTTTAGTAATTGTACTATCTACCTAACATTACAAATATATTTCCAATTTACAATATATTACACAAATGTCATTACCTTTATATAATACAATACTAATAGGGTTAATTTAGTCTTTTTACATTTATTTATACTTTATCCCAATATAATACTATTATTTCTAAAATTTCGTGCAAAAAAGAAATTGATATATAGATATGAGACAGATTGAATATTATATTAGTAGCTGATAAAAAGTAAAGATAAATTATTTTTTTACCTTATAAGTATATTAATGTAAAAAGTAGTGACAATTGTGTAATAATAATGAAAAAATATGAATAGTTTTACGGTGATATAGTTATTTATAGAAATGTGACTATTGTTTTGAGACGAATAAAAATGATAAACAAAACTATTGTATCGTAACAGAATGAGTAATTGAAAAAGAAAGATAACGATAAAACTCTGTCATTAAAATTTATTTTGTATTTTAAATATTTATTTCTTATTATTATTTTTTTTCATTTCACCTGAATAAAATAGAGTATAATAATAATAATAATAATAATAATAATAAAAGCCATCCACTCGTCGTCAAATGAACACTCAAAAGGTTTTTAAAAAATAAAATAAAAATAGTGGACTTATATACAAATTATTTTTTCCATCACCGAAGAAAATTTTTCCACTCTTTGTAAGTCAATAAACTTGATTCCCAAGCACCTATAATTTGGTCAGTATTTTTAATTAATATTTTACGATATAATTTATATAAATTTTTAATTAAAAAAATAATATTATGTATTTAAATAAACAAATAAATAAATTCACAGCAAAACCGACCATAGTGTAACTTGCATTGTAGTTTAATTTTGGGGCTATTAAATATTATAGAAGTTGAAGCTAAAACAAACAATTACATTAATTATAATTATATTAGAAAATAGTAATGATTATGAAAAAATTTTGTAAAATCAAAGGTTTATTCTTTTGTAATTTAAACTAAAAACATCTTTTTTTAAATTTTCAAAAAAATATATTTTATATATTTCAAATGAATTTTAAATTACCGTCAAATAAAATAAATAGTGCTTTTTGGTAAAAGTATTTTAATTTTTAATATTTGAAATTTGATATTTAAAAATACATTTTTTTTTATTCGGATAAAATATCATATCATATTATTTAAATAAGAAACTCTAATGATATTTTTTTTATTAATTGATTCCCATTAATATTATAAAAACTAATATATGTACGGTCTCACACAATATATATATCTTGGTTATTTAAATTTATAAAAATTATTCTTATATCATTTCTAGTAAAAAGTATACTATATTTTTTGTACTCTTTATAGTCTTCTAAATTTATGTATAATTTATTTATAATTAAAAGAATTTATTTATTTATAATTTTATTATTTATATTTTAACAAATAATATAAATTTGCTATTATTTCTTTTATTAATATTATTTATTTATTTATTTGTTAATTTTTAATAAATTCCGATAATAATCGCTTTATTTTTTATCCATCATATTTTTATATTTTAATATCATTATTTATTAGTTTTTATGTCCGAATATTATAAGATAATTAATCGATTTTTTTTTTTTTTATAAAAGATCAAAATAATAATTATTATCTATTTATATTAAGATATTTGCTCAACTTTTTGAATACAAATTTAATAATAAAGAAAAGATTTGTTTGTTTAATATTATTTTAATTTGAAGAAATTATTTTATGCAAAATATAACAAATATAAATTAATATCTTATATTAAATATTGCTTATTGCAAAATAATATAATATATATTGAAATTAATCAAATATTATTATTATTATTATTTAAAAAACAAACCTCTTTTTTTTTTTTTTTTTTTTTTTTTTTTTTTTTAATAAAGAAAGAAAAAAATAATACAAACGGTAAAATAATCACATATATTTATTATGTATATATATACGTACACCACTGGCAGACCTATCCTGACTCCATAAATCTTCTCTCAACAACCTGAGAGAGAGAGAGGGATGAACCCACAGAAAAACGCCGTCTAAAGGCGTCGATTTTCTTCCTGAGATTTTTCTATGAATCTTCTCAACTTCTTGTAAAAGATCTTGTCTTTAGCTTTGTTTGTTAATGCTATTGGGTTTCATCCAGAGGATTTCGGGCTATTTCTCGGTGCTATCTTCGCCGCTTCCCATATTTTCTCGAATTATTGAACTAAATTCTTTCATTCTCTGATCACCGCCATTGATTCGAAGTTCTCACTCATTATATTTGCCTTTTGGGGGAAGAAATTGCTGTTTTTCGCTAAATTCTCATATTTTGATTCTGAAATTGCCTCTTGGGTATTGATTCTAGGTTTTGGTAGCCAATTTTTTTGAATTCTAGGGTTATTTCAATTCAATTTCTGTATCGATGCCTAAAATTTCATGGTCGTGGTTTGTGGGGAAGGATAAAGAGAAGGTTTCGAATGGATCTTCAGCAGCTTCGAAAAATTTGGGGGTAGAAATTGGGGAAGAATCCAAAAACAGGTCGGAAAACACGAAGCTCAGCTCGAATAGGCGGAAGAGTTCTTCGAGCTTGAGTGGAAAATCTAAGAGGGAATGGAAGAGCAATGGGGAGAGTAGTAGGGGTAATAGGATAGTGGATAAGGAGTGTGATGATATGGTTTTGGTGCCGTCGGATGGAGAATCATCTGATTCCGATTGGTCGATCGGATGGCTAGAGCCGCACGGCCCGAATTTCGAGAATGATGATAGTTTTGCTGTGTTAGTGCCTTGCTATAGGCATGGTGTTCCAAGGAAGGGTGAGGATCCGAGTGTTGGAGTGTTAATGGATGTTGAGAAGCTTGGAAATGATGATTGGGATGGAGATGGTAATGAATTCGATATTTTTAGATGTCGGATATATCTTTTTGTGCCTCAATTAGGAATGTGTTTGCTGTGATTTGTTATGTATTCTTGTTGGATCGATCTTGATTGGATATGTTAATTATGTTTTATGCTTTGGTGGTTTTGGATTCGCTGTTTGCGTATTGCTGTGCTTTTAATGCATTTTTGACGATATTGTCATTGTTTATAGACACGGTGTTGTGAAGTTATTGTGATTGATTTTGTGCTCATGTTGGATCGATCTTGATTGGACATGTTCTATGCTTTGGTGCTTTTGGATTCGTCGATATGCTTTTTAAATGCATTCTTTTGGATTGTTGCGGTGTGGGGTTTTGATGATATTGTCATTGTTTAAAGACACGGTTTTGTATTCTTGTTGTATCGACCTTGATTGGTTCCGTGTGTTCTATATTTAGTGATTTTGTGTTCACCAATCTCTATGCATTTTAGCACATTCTTTTTGTTTTGTTGCGGTTTGGGGTTTTGACGATATGCTCATTTGTGTGGTATTGTGAAAACTGTTGTGATAAGTTTTGAAATCATGCTGCCTTGATTGCGTATTGTCCCTAATGTTCGATATTTGAGGTTTACTTTTCTTGACGGTCGAGAACCCTTTTACTAAAAAAAACAGGATTAAATTATTTACATGAGCGTCAAAGTTAAATGGAAAGTTTTGATTTCATTCTTTTCCCGATTGCTACAAAAAAATTAAAAATATACAAGTGATTTCTTCTTATAGCAATATGTCGGATGAACCATAAATTCTTCAGCTCCATTTTCTCCACGCATTCTTGAATTATTTCCTCTTTTGGCAGGCATTACCGAATACATGGAGAGATGGCTTTCATCCCTCCGGAAATATTGACGCAGCCCGGCTGATCGAAGCAAATTCAAATCGAATACACGCAGAGGTAACAAATCCGTGGAGAAAAATAAAACCAAACTTGGCCTTCCGGGTTGAAACTTTGCGCGTATGATTGAACTTCAGATTATGTCGAACTCGGCAATGGGAGAAACTTTGGTACAACATATTCTTATGAAAATTGTTTAGCTTTCAATTCAATGCCTAGTAATGGTGTAAATAATCTTTTTTTTTTTTGCTGGTTTTTTGTGAATATATTGGTTCTATGCTATGTTTATTTTTCTCATGTCTTGAGTTCGGTTCTCGTCCATTTGTTACAATGTATAAATTATGAAACAATTCGGTTCCACTTAGATATGTATAAAATTTAAGTATTTGATCTGATGTTTTAGGAGAGTATTTATATTTTTGAAGTAAAGTTTGTATTTTTGCTTACTTTGCTCGACGAAATTGTCTGTTGATGAATAAAGTTATAGTTTTGAAAAATATCTATGTAAACAGAGTAGTAATTATTATTTTAACACGTGTGACAATGTCACATGGAAAGGGGTGTCAAATCCAATAATAGGGACTTCAATAATTGAATTTCACTTAGGTTAGGACAAAGAGGTGTTAGAATTGGAGAGGGGAGAATGAGAGAGAAACACACTCATTTGGTGTGCCATTTTTAGTGGTTTTTGGTAACTTATTAATTTGCCTTGGTCGTTAGGACACCACAAATTATTTCTACATGTTTGATGTGGAGATTAATGTTACGTTTGGGGTTTTGCAATCCAATGCCTAATCATTGTTCATCTAAAAATCCATTCACAATTTTGTCTACTAGGATATCATTTTTTTTTTTTTTTTATAATATATTGAAACATATATATTACATGCAAATTAGATCCGACAAGACAAGTCACACTAGACTAATCACAGACGTTTGATACTTAAAATATCATTTATTTATTTTTTTGATTGTAGTTTAAATTTGATTTATTGAAAACTATGTATATTGAGTAGAGTTTATTTTAATTTGAAAAAAAAAAACTGTAAAATATATTATTGTGATTACATATAAATTGTGTAACTTATTTATTGCATAAAATTTTAATGTGTTAGCCTAAAGTTTACATATGCATATCACAACTTTTTTTTCAAGAAATTAAGTGAAAATTGTAATGTAACTTTCTACAAGTTACGCACTCATTACATTGATTATTTTACAGTCAATTAAAATAAATACTATAAATTTTTTAATATAATCATCTATTCATAAAATAAAATAGAATATATAAATATTGGTAATTTATTTTAAGATTTTTGACTAAACATAAAAACAGTATATATAATAGGTTTAAACTCTTTATGTCTCCAAATTTTGGTTATATAAACTATAAGATGTCATGGGTTCAAATTGATAATATTATATGCATTTCCGGTAAAAAAAAATAAAATAGTGTAATTAAAAATAAATAAATAATAGAATAGGTATATAAACAATAAATTATCTATTTAGTTAATAAAAATATTAAATGAATATACATATAAAATTAATATTACAATAACTCTATTTTAATTTTACCTTACATTATGCGAGTATTTGGGCTAATATATATATATATAACTAATTAATTAATTAAAATTATTGAGTCTTGTTGGCTCCACGTTCAAATACTACAGGTTGAACGTGGGGTACACGTTGTGACCCGCTGGGACTCTACGCCAGACAAATCTACACCGTTGGTTGATTGAAATTCGCGGCGTAGATTCATCCGGGAGTTAAGGTCCTGGTGGCCGCCAATAGGCGCCTGTTGAATGGTGCTATTTGTTAAAGGCTCAACGCCGATTTTGGAGCGAAAATCGATCTGATAAACCAACGGAAGGCTTTCTCCTAAACGCTGATCTGATCTGATCTCTAACAATGATTTTGTTTCTTCCCATCGATCGTGACGCGATCCTTTGCCTCTCCGTTCGAACTCCGTCGTTTCACCGAAATCTCGATCATCTGCCATGCGAACGGCGTTCGGGAGGAAGGAAGAGTTGCGATTGAAAAATAATTGGAGTGGTTGTGATTGGAGGAGTCGAGGTGAAGAAGATCGGATTTGGGGGAACGAGAAGACATGTTGCAGAGAGCTGCGAGCAATGCATGTACGTGGTGGTGGGCGAGCCACATCCGGACGAAGCAATCGAAATGGCTCGAGCAGAGCATGCAAGGTACGTAGTTGGGGGAATTGGAGAATTTTTTTTAACTATTATTGTCTGCAAGGTATTCGACGTATTGCTCGCGTTGGATCGGAGCATCTTTTTTTTTTTTTTTTTGGCAATTGAATGCGGATTTGTGCTGTGTTGTGTTGATTCCTTGTGATTTGCTCGAAATTGAGATAATCTTGTGTTGGATTTATGTTGTGGAATTTTTTGAGAAGCATGATTTCGTTACCTGCTTGGTATAATTTGATCGAACTTGTTTCTGATTAATCCTTTCCTATGTTCATTTTGAGGAAATTTCAGTTTTGGCTTCTGCAATGTTATGTTTCATTATTTTTGGACTTCATCAAAATTTTGTCACTCAAACATGAACATGTTTGCATTACTGCCAAATCAGTAAAAAAACACCTCCAGAGCAGTAGATTTAATGGACATGTTGACTACCCAAAAGTAAGATTGTTGTTGTTCAGATTGATTTCTGAGATATCCTAAGTATGATGATCTGGTTGTGGTTTCACTTAGTAAGTTATATTTGAGGAGATTCACAAGACAGGAAATGGCGAATTGTACACAAACTATGGGTATGTTTGGTTTTGATTTGAGTTTGAAATTTGATTTAAATAGTATTTTGATAGATAATACTGTTGTTCGGAACCGTGTGGATTGAATAGTTAAATTTAGGTTTGAATTCAAAAACAAACTATGTTTTTGTTGGAAAAGTAGTGTGTTTGGTTCTAAAAGAAAACCTCAGTTTAATCTAATCCTGCCTGAGCATATATTTTAGATTTAGTCACACTATCAAACTTTAATTTGAGGACATAGTATTCAATTTTACTTCTACACGGTGTTAAATAATCTAATACTACAATTTTCTTTCATATTGAACTCTATGTGAACCATGGTACTAAAATTTATAGTATTTTGGTGAGGCTACGATTGAAAATGCCATTTCTAGTCGAAAATTTTACTGTTTTGTTCTTCTTGTGTAGACCATCTATACAGATTTATTGGAACATACCTTTTTTGGAATCCCAGATTGTAAGACTTTTTGCATAATGTCTGAGTTTTTGGCACAATGTAGATAATGTTTTTAAATTTTTGTCTCACTATGAGGCCAAAATATTCAGTTTTAGTTCTACATGGTGTTAAATAATCTAATACTACTACAGTCTACAATTTTCTTTCAAATTGAAATCCATGTGAACAATGGTAACTAAAATTTAGAGTATTTTGCTGAGGTTACAATAGAAAATGCCATTTTTAGTCGAAAAAATTGCTATTTTGGTCTTCTTGTGCATACCATCTATACATATTGAACATAATTTTCTTGGAGTCCCTGACTATAAGACTTTCTGCATAATGTCCGATGTTTGGCACAATGTAGATATGGAAGAGAAGGTGCAGAGCATGCTTAAGCTGATTGAAGAGGATGGAGACTCCTTTGCCAAAAGAGCTGAGATGTATTACAAGAGGAGGCCGGAGCTCATAAGCTCGGTAGAGGAATGTTTCAGGGTATTCAAAGCCCTGGCAGATCGATACGACATGTTGTCCAAAGAGCTGCAGAATGCAAATAAAACCATTGGAAGCGTATTTCCAGAACAGGTTCAGTTTTCAATAGAAGATGAGGAAGATTATAACCAGGCAAAAATTCCAAGAAAACCTCAAAATCCACTTGTGAATGTAGCCAAAGTTCCTAAAGTTCCCAAGGCCCCGATGGAAAAACTGAAGGGGCTGATAAGAACACCGAGCAAGCCACACGCCGAATCCAAAAAGCTATCAAGGGCAAAGCACCCGAGTCAGAGCAAGTCGGGGTCGAAGTCCGGCCTGAGCAAGAACGAAGCTCTCGAGGAGATCAAAAGGGTTCAAAAAGAAATTCTTGCTCTGCAAACGGTGAAGGAGTTTGTGAAGAGCTCATACGAAACTGGGATGACAAAGTACTGGGACATCGAGAATAATATTGTCCTGATGCAGGAGAAGGTCAGCAAGTTGCAGGATGAGTTCGACGTGGAGGTTGTCATCGAGGACAATGAGGCTCGTGCGTTGATGGCCGAGGCAGCCCTGAAATCATGCCAAGAAACGTTATCCACATTGGAGGAGAAGCAGGAAAAGTGTTCGAAAGAAGTGAGCGAAGAGTTGAAGAAGATTGAATCAGCAAGGGAGCTTCTTGACACCATCAAACATCAGTACCTAAAAGATCAACCCGACGAAAAAAATGACGGCTCAAAGAAGACAGGAAATGTATCCAAGTTCTTGGACACAGACAGGATCCCATTGTTTCAAGAATCGAAAGAAAACGACGAGCCTTTGGATTTGAGCTCGATCGACTGTTTGACAGAAAGTGAACTGGCAGAAAAGGTCGATGTGCTCGTCAACAAAGTAGTCGGGCTGGAAACCCCCGTGTCATCGCAGACAGGGCTCATCAACACATTGCGAAAAGAGGCAGGTAGTCTTTACATGCAGATTAAGAATTTAGAAAACGAAAAAGATACATTGGGTAGCAATTCGTCGAAGCTGAGGGCATTGGTGAAGGAACTCGAGGAAAAGCTAAAGAGGATCGAGGACATCAACGCGAACTTGGAAATCCAGAAAAGTAATTTCCGAACAGATTTCACTCGAGCTCGTTCCAATCTTGTCCACCTATCCGAGAAGCTCGGAAATGTGCTGCCAGACGACGATTTCCCGGATGTCCTAGACGACGCCAAGCCTTACAGGGACGAAAACAAGAACCAAAAAGACATCGAAAGCATAAGCGATACAAAGAAAAAAGATAAGATGAAGAATACAGAGGAGGATGCAGATGTCTCCAAGCCGCCTGTTCGAAAGGAGGAAGTTCGAGAACCGGTGAAACGATTGGTGTCGGTTTTGAAGAAAGCGAACGAGCACGAGGGTGACGAGGGGGTCGGGATCGAAATGATCGACGAGATGGATAAAGATGATCTGAACTGGGAGCAGATCTTCTTGAGCGGATCAGACGCAGAGAAAGCTCTGCTTCAGGAGTACACCATGGTTCTCAAGAACTACAAGGACGTGAAGAAGAAGCTCCGGGAATCCGAGACGAAAGAGCGCGAAAGCCAGTTTGAATCGACGGTGCAGATCAAAGAGCTGAAAGAATCGGTGGCAAAGAAGGATCAAGAAATCCAAGCTCTTTTCCAGAAGCTGAGCCTTCTGCAAGACGACGGGAAAGGGAAGGAAGACTCCGGCGAAAGCCCGGAGAGTGAGAAGTTCTTCGACAGTAACAAAAACGAAGAAGATAAAGAACTGGACGACGAAGCGACAGGCAGCTCTGCGGTCGAGGAGAAGTTCCGGGAAGAGTTCGACGTGATGCTCGACGAGAACCTCGACTTCTGGCTGCGGTTTGGGACGTCGTTCAATCAAGTCCAGAAGTTCAAGAGCGAGGTCCAGGATCTGAAAGACGAGATATCGAAGCTCCGGCAGAAGAAGGCCGCGGAAGGATTCCTAACGCCGCAGCTGAAGTCGGAGGCTCGACCGCACTACAAACACTTACGGGAGATCGAAACCGAGCTGGCTTTATGGCTGGAGCAGAACACGGCGCTGAAAGACGATCTGAAGAATCGATACAACTCGCTCGGGAGTCTGCAGGAGGAGATTACGAGAGTTTTGAAGGAGGGGACGATGGAGGGGGAGGTGGTCGAGTTCAGCAGCCACCAGGCGGCGAAGCTGCAGGGGGAGATACAGAACATGAAGCAGGAGAATAGTAAGGTGAGGAGGGAGATACAGGCGGAAATCGACGAGACGAGCTTGTTGCAGGTGGAGATCGAGAAGACGCTGAGGGTGCTGAGCGGGGAGTTCGGGATCACGAGCAACCAGCCGCAGCTGCAGCAGTCACTGAGCAAGGCTCGGGTGCCTCTGCGATCATTTATATTTGGGACGCGCCCGAAGAAGAACAAGCAGTCCTTCTTGTCGTTCATGCAGGCGCAGGCTAACCGCAAGTTTCCGGTCGTTCGAGCCGGGCTGCCGATGGCCATCACCAACCGTTAGAGGCTGCTGCTGAAGCTTCTTCAGTACCGCAGGTTCGTTTAGAAGATCATTTACTCGTTATCATATATACATATATATATATACACACACACACACGGTTGGCTTATAGATTTGGCTTTGGTTTTAGAGGTAAGAAATTGGTCGAATTTTGTAGGACGTTTGAAGGCTTCTTCATGCACAGAGCCATTTATTTTTTTCTTAAGTTCATATGTATGTGATTTTAAGTTTCTTTCATAAGATGACTTATTACAATCTAATTAGAGTGGACGTAAGATTTTAGAATAGATATATTTTTTTCTAATAACATTTTTTTGTTCAGTGTTTATAATAAGTAAATATGAAAAATTAGGATGATGTTATCAAATAATATTTTGTGTATTTAAATTGTTAATTTTAATGATATATATATATAGTTATTAACTTTTATTAAATACTATAATTTATTAGTTAAGTAATATTTTTTGGAACAATGACACTAGTTTTTAAATTAAAAGAACACTAAACATTTACATTCACAATTATATCTACGCAACTATTTTATTTCAAAGATATAAATAAATTCTGCATTACACAGATAAAAACAATCTTAATAATTTAAGATAATCAATTAATAATTCATAATTTATTTGATATCATCAATACTATAAAAAAAAACGTTATATTAAAATTATCCTATATATAAAAAATTTAATCCTATTGAATATCAAATACTATTAGTTGTAAATTTTAAATTCTTACATTAATAATTAATATAAAAATAAAAGATACATTTAAAAACCTTTATTTTATTTTCACCAAGTTCATAAGAGACTGCTACAAGTCTTAAGAACTTTACTACTACTTACATGTAGCAAGTTTATGCGACAGCATTTAAAGGTGCTATAGTACACATAATTTAAACACTCGACCACAATAAATAGGAGCGCGACATACAATTTAAACACCCGACCACAATAAATAAGGGTTCGAAAACTAGTGTAAATATGCAACCAAACTGAGTGAGAGAGACTGTACCTTTACTTACCCATCGACACCTGCGAAACTATTTTCGCTCCTCGGCTTTTCGCCATGTACAGCCCAATATGATGCATCAGGTCCTGCCGCAATTAAATAAATTATACCAAAAACATATACAAATTCATATATGTAATGTAGTAGCATTTTCGACAAATCATCTTTTTATGGATGCATTAGATATTTTCTGATTATATAGACATTTTCTTAGCACTATTCATCAATATAATTTCTTTTTAAAAATAAAAAATAAAAATCACACCAAATCCTCAATGTTTTACTCCTCCCAAAAATTTTCCAAAACTTATATATAAACAGAGAAGATACTCAGATTTCAAATAACTAGACAGGGAAAGCACAATTAGCTTCTCAACTAGAGAACTCGATTTATTCATATATAATATATTGAATGAAAAAACACAATCAAGATCTATTGTTCCTCTGCATTTGTTGCTTGTAGCATTTTCATCCTCGCGTACATTTTCAACTTTTTTATGCATAACTAAATTATGGAACGTATATGTCAATGTATTATATATGTTGCTGAAAGATAAGTTGAAGAAATGTTAAATGACATCTGTAACATACATACTATGTGAGGAATGATTTACCTATTCTTGAATATCTACTTCTAATTTAAGATCATAGTGCAACAAACAACCCAAATGTATAAATTCATAAAGTCTTTCCTTAAAATCTCCGGAAAAGATTCTAAATTTCAAACGATTAAAACATGATTACACACAATGTCAATAGGAGATCTAACCTGTGGATGAGCCAGAGAATCTTTCACATTTCTAGCAACATGATACGGGAAGTCAAACGTAGCACAACCACGGGAGTACATGAAGACATCCTCCAGTGGCGAAAGCATCCCATGGTTTCTTGCAGCGAGTGCTGAGCAGACAAAGTCCAGAACACAAACATCCGTGCAAATCCCAACAACCAATATCTTTAGCGAAAGATAGTAATAGCAAAGATGTTATTGTTCAGAAATCGTATTAAAATTGCATTGAATATTTAGGTTAGAAATGCATAGAACATAATCCTCACAGCTTTGATCTGGTGGCTTTTCACCCAATCCACAAAGACGTTGGAGCCATCTTTTTCATATGAACCAATAAATCCATCAATGCAATCCTTGTGTCGAATGGTAACGTTTGGTTCACTCTCCAGCCACTGTAAAGCTGCAACAGGAATAACAAACATGAGAGAATAGAAAATATGCAATGTGCCAAACATGCCAATGCAAGATTTGGTTAAGAATGTAGTACCAGGAACAAATCTTGACTCATCAGATCCTGCAATGCAGTGGGGAGGATAAGGAGGTTCTGGAACATCCGGGTGATGAGAATCAACCACAGCATAAACAGGCCAATTATTCTTACAGAACTCTCTGGCTAGTTTCACTGATTCATCAACCATTTCGGTAATTTGATCATTGGGAGCTTGGGGAGCCTGTTTGATAATGGTGTTTGCTTTATTATGTAAATAAAAATTGATATATGTATAAGTAACATATGCCTCTATCCTCTTAAAACTAATAAAATTTTAAATGAGATAAGAATATAATAATAACTATTGCAATTTGGTTTTAGAGCCCGAATGGAAGCTCCCATGTACAAAAGATTGATATTGATCCATAGCAGAAAGCTTCGACAGAAAAAATCATGTTTGCATAGGAAGTATGGTAAAGTTGTAATAAAGTTAGATGGATACAAAAATGATGGATTCCCTAAGATATTTAAACTTGTAAAATTTTTGACTAATCAACAACTCTAACAGAGTTTAATACTGCTTGATCCATCTTCTACACATTATATGACTCAAAGACAGGTTACATGCAGAAACAAGAAACTTATTACCTAGGGGTGCTTTGAAGGAACAAAATAAAAAATAAAAAAAAATCAGAAAAATCCAACAGGAAGTGACAAAAAATTCATTACATTTCATATAACAGAAAAATTGCCAATTCAAAGTCCACGCAACACGTAACGGACAAAAATTAACATCACCACTTGAATATATATTAATATAAACTCATAACCACAACATTAGCTAAAATACAATTGCTTTTGTCAGTTTGGTGTCTCCGGATACTTCAACCCTAAATCTGTAAATGCAGGTCTTCAGTAGTATCTACGCAAATTGTACAAATTCTATAATTCATATTAACTCACACGAACACACGCACAGAGTACAATCACAAACATGTATAAACTACTGATAATTAAACTTACATCACATTATTAACAATACATGTATGAGCACAACAATAATCAAACCAAGTCCATGCTAAACCGCCAATTCAGAGATTCCAATTCAATTAACAAAATTCACAAATTTTTCACACCACAAAAAGTACATGCTTCATTCACAAACAAAAAAGGTAAATCAAACGCAGAGCTGCTTTTCCACCATCAACCGGTCAACGAATGCAAAGAACACATAAATTAATACTAGAAACAGAAAACGTATCAATACTAACAAATATAAAAAATCGCGGTTACCAGATTCCCAGAACCGACTGTGCAGAAGCCATTAATGATGTCTACAAGCACCAAACCGGTCTTAACCTCGCCAGAGAGAAAGAGGTCCGACTGATCCACTGGAATCTCGTTCCTCACCACCTCCACAGCTTGATTCGTAACCATCGCTGCTCCTGAATTTCTCGAATTTCTTAGACGATTTGAATTGAAGAAACGGATGTGCAATTTGACAATGCGCTCACTATTTATACAGGCCGAGTTTGGAATTGTGAATAGGTTTTGAAAGATGGTTTGGCACTTTGGTTGAAGTTTATGTTCCTTTTACATTCTTTTATATCATTTTAATTTTTTCAAAATATATATATATATATATATACACTCCTATCTTCTTTTGCACATAGAATTGTTAAGGTGTCGTGCGGGTATTGGTTGATATTAGATATTTTATTTTATTTATATTAAACATTTTAGTTATTGCTAGCTTATCTTGTCCTCAGCCTCACGTATAGTCAACATTATCATTTTTGTACGCTCTCTTTTCATGTAATTTTTTTTTTTTTTAAGTTTATTTTAATTTTAATTTATATTTATTTATCAACAAGGAGAGAGCAATTTATACCTGATTCACTGATTTGTATAACACTTATACATAGGCTTTTAATATCATTACTAAATTTGAAATTCTTGATGCTATATCTTTCTTTGCATATTTGTGATCCCCTATTGAAGTTCATGGGTCCTAAGTGTTGGTGTCATGGTGTGTGAAGATGAAAGAAAGAATGTGAAAAGGGTTTATTCCACATTGAAAAAATAAAGAAATTTTACCCTTCATAAATACAATGAACTTTTATTTATGATTAAAGAATTAATTGATTAAATTGAACTCAATTGCGAGGGGACTTAGCTTGGCATGAACAATTGGGCATGTTATGTATATAATAAATATATATGAAATCTTGATTTGTGTTGCATGGAAAAACACTTCAAAATCACCTCAGTAACTGTTGTTAAATTTGTCGGCATATTTCTCACCGTTTATCAAATTTGTTTCCAATTTCAATAAAATTTTATGATGTCAAATTTCTCACACAGGCTCCTCAAAATCAACGCTCTGGACAAAATTAGTAGTCATCGAACGCCAAACAGAACATACATAAAACTTACTGCAATCGAAAACAGAATTTGCAACACAAAAATTTGTTGAAATTGGAAACAAATTAGGCAAACCGGGTCGAAAATATGTCAAGAAAGATGTCTTGACAAAAATCTCAAATTCAAGAAGTGGATTACATATTCCATCTTGATACCATATTATAATTTGTAAAATTTTAAAATTCAAGCAGCAAGTAGTACAACTACAACTTTGCTGCTAGGTTATTATAAATAGTTTTACAAGAATTAATAAATTTATGACACTGGAATAAATCATGTTTAAATGTTGTATAGCATATAATAATACTTCAAGCATTCCTCAATTTATCACGTATCCATGTGCATTACTTGCAAATAATTGAATTCTAGCAATTATAACACTAGTTTTTTTAACTTTCCAAACTCAACAAGAATAAGTTGTCCTCTACAGATATATTTTTTTTGTATGATTACTATCTATGATCAATTGGTCTTCATATATTTACGTTATGAAATTATAAAACAGGCAAAAAACCAGAGAAAGGGAAGAACTTAACGAGAAGAAATGCATTGGGGAGTTTCATACCCAAGTTCGTGTAGGTAAATGACGAGAAGAACACAAGGTATACGGGGAAGTGACGGGCAAACTCTATTCATTTGCCTTTGCCCTTATCTTTTCCAGCATCGTAGGGTAACCTTAGACCCATAAGTCCTAGTAGATTGGAAGCCGGGCCTGATTGTCCTTCTTGAGAAGAATACGAGTCGAGGAAATTCTTCACCAGGTTGAAATCGATATCCACTGGGCCGAGCTCATCCATACCATCACTGGCACCGGCATTCCCCTGCATATGTTAAACGGGTACAGTACGTTAAAACAATGTAAGGAAGAACCAAATTCTTTGGGTAAGTATCGAGTTAAAGTTGGCAGACCACAACGTTATTTTTAGGGGGCTGGTCGTTTGTGCGGACAAAGGTTTTGCTAAGTGTAGTATCTTTCAATTCCCTGCTCAGGGCATCCGAATAGGTGTTCATGAACTCATCCTTGTCTTCTTCCATGTTTTCTGAATGCTCGCTGTCGTCCTCGTAATCATCTGAAAGTTGATCAGCTATATCACAAGAAGATTTATAAGGCAGGAAGATAATTATGAAATCAATCGAAATTCTTCCACATTGACACTACCAAGTTTTAGATGGAATTCAAGAAACTTTGTAATGTACCAAGATGTGTAATACCAATCTGATATACCCTCAAAACCAATATGTTGCCAAAAGAATTAATACACCCTTGATGATAAGCCAAACCGACTAAAAATAAATAAACAATTCAAGCAAACGAGAATGGTTACCAAAATCAAGGTCTGAAGATAATCCATCTGCGAGCTCATCATCACTATCGTTTTCTCCTCTAGTATGACGATGTCCCATCGCCATTTCCATGTCTTTCATAAACTGATCCACATCAATATCTACATCTTTTAAGTCCCTGCAATAGGAAAGCAAATTTTTATATAAATTTCAAGATCATCCTATTTATATAAATTTTTATATTTGTCTAGCAATCAAATCTCTAAGGTTATAATAGCTTCGATGAGAGATAACTAATTTAGAATCAGCCTAAAGTGTGCAACATTTACTTTTGAATTTTGATCACACATTCTCAAATGCATGAAATAGAGAAGGATTAACCTGTCCTGGGCGACCTCAGCTCCCTCATAACTAGACATCCTTTTGACAAATTCCTGCATAGACTGCGCGATCCCCCCAAGATCGTGCTCATCAAAACCTCCGCCAGATGTTGAATCCTCCTCCCCGTGCTCTTTTGGCTTCTTTTTCTTTTTTTGCTTCATATTATGAGATCCCATCTCCTTTTCTCTCTCCAAAAGTGCAGCATGTAATTCATCTTCCCCACCATAAAGCCACGAATCATTATCAGATGGAGGAAGATCTTGATTAGTGAAATCATCGGCAGAATGAGGAAGTGCAAGAATCTCATCAATTTGTTTAACAGGAGCACTTAACACTTCGCTGCAGTAACACAAAACTACGATGAATACAAAAGGTACACACCTCAACACACAGTGTATTCTATAATTTCAAACCAGAGAACAAATAAACAGCAGCAGAACTGTCTACCTACACAAGAAGAGCTAAAATCGATACAAACAAGAAGCCCATGATAAAAACACAAGATCTTCACGAACAGAATAACACAATAATAGATAGATTTTAATGATGTCCAACTCAATGTTATAGAGCATCTAACACAAGTCATGGAAAAGATTCAAGCATTCTAGATTACTGCAAGCAACAAACACACATAATTATTGTGCAGAACATCAAATGTTAAGAAAGTCAGAATTCAACAACACTAAACAATCAGAACCAAAAGGATTAGAGGAACACAACAAGTTTTCGGCATAGATTACCTGGCCCTGTGATGCAACATACTATTCCGGTAGTATCCCTCAGCTTTCTCCATCAATCTCTTATATTCCTTTGAACCTGGTAAAAGCCCCTCAAAGTAACCACAGTTCTCCAAGCTCTGGTTGAAAGCTTCCCAGGTGCTCCCCTTCCCTTCATCTCCTTGCTTCTTTCTCATCTGATACATCATCTCAAACCCACAAGTGATCTTCATCCCGAGCTCTGCCTCCAAGTATTTTCCTATATTGCTTCTGTCCGGCATTGGAAAGCAACTGGGAGCTTGGAACTTCTGCTGCACCAATTGAGCGTACATTGCCCTTGACATCCTCACAACCACCTCCACCATCGCTTCTTGCTTTCCTTTGGGCAGAAATTTCTCCATTTTGGAGGCGTATTTCATGCTGTCAATATCTCTGTCGTAAAACCCCTCAACAGCCAGAGATATTAAACATGGCTCGTGCTTCAACACCCACGCCACCGAAACTGGTACGATAACCCTCGCTCTGTGGATGTTCCTGTAAGCACGGTCTGGATACTCATCGAGTTTCTTCCTTAATTGTAGTTGAACAGCATCAGCGGCGCGCGTCGCGGAATCGTCGGTGTTGCTCACCAAAAATTTCAAGGAATCCATTAAAGTAGGGTTCACAGGGAAGCTTGATTGCTGAATGATATGCAGAAGTCCGCGGCGGATGAAGACGCGATTGTCGGATGTCTCTGGCTTGAGCCACTTGGGGAGGTGATACGCAGTTTCGATCAGGAGAAACTCGCCGTCGGAGTCCCAAACACGGACTGAGAGATCGGGAAACGCCTTCGAGATTTCGAAGAGAATGTAGACAACGAACCACTCGTCTTCCAAATTGTCTCCGAAACGGAGGTGACCGGAGAGATGCGGAATGGGCGCGGAAGCTATGGAGAGAGTGAACGACTGGTGCTGCCATATGTATGGAGAAACAATCGGAGAAATATGGTTTAGGATTCGGAGGTGGAGCGACTGGAGTTCATCAGCCACCACAACCGCCGCAGCGGCGCCGACCGACGAGTCTGGGTAGATGGAGTAGAAAACGGTGTCATCCGGCGGACGGTTGTTCTTCAAGCCGAAGAAGGATGAAGAGGATTCTGCTGCCGCCATGGCTGCGACTGCTGCTTGGGGTTGTGAATCTACGACGTCGTTTGGCTTTGGCAGCCCGTTTGAAAGTTGTAGAAAATACCAGAAAGGCGAAGTATAAAAACAAGAATAATATGCGGGAGCTATGGTGAAATTTAAATATTTTCCGGGGTGATTTACTAAATATAGATCAGTTTGGGGCTTATGTATAATTTTCTTAATTACATAAAACTCCTATAAATCTGTGCACTTCGGTAAAATGTCAAGGTACAACTTCCACAACGCGAGGCTCAACATGTGCTACGGTGGCGACCGATTGCCGTCGAGAGACGACGTTTTAGAGCCTCGATCGGCGGTGTCCGAGGGCGTTGTGATGGTGGAAAATATGAGAGACCGGCTAGCGGAGACGGAGGCGCGTCTGGAGCGAGCCAGAGCGAGGGAAGCCGAGTTGAGCCGCCAACTGGAGGAGATGAAGAAGTACGTTCACGTGATGGAGATTTTGGAAGCCTACCTACGGCGCCGATATGTAGAGCAACAGGATCAGCTCATTCAGCTCTACTCGGCGGTTTTGGTACCCTTGAATTAACTTCGCACTTATTTTTCCTTTAATCGGAAACATGTGGTGCTGGTGTCGGCGTTAAATGTGATATATGTGTTGATAAGGACCAGTGGATCCCTGTGTTAGTTTGTTATGTTCTTATTTGTTATTCTGAGGATCCTGGATAAGAACAAGCCGGTGATTCTGATATTATTCTGTGTTTATTCGATCAACAGTCTTCTGCAATTGGATTTGGAATTGGGTGGAAAGTAGGAATTACAGTGTAACTATACTGTGACTCTGTGATTAGATATAAATTCAATTACTTGCTTGTTAGATTGACATATGACTAAGCTTGACTGGTTGGAAGAAATCATTCTCAATATATATATTTGGCATGATTTGAAGGATCCTTAATACATCAATTTGTTATATTTTGGATAATTCGATGGTATTGCATACTGTTTTATTGTAGTAATGTTTTATTTCAAGTGCATTTCTGAATCAAAGGTCGCGACTTGCAAGTTGTGTTAAGAGAAGTTCTCAAAATTGCCAGTTGTCATGTTGTGATGAATTTGATAAATGAATACAATGTTGTTATTTGTTACTTTTAGTTAAATGTAAGTAGAGATACCTTAACCATATGTGAGAAACCAGCTTTTTAGTCTTCGATTGAGAATTTGGCATTGATAAATTGCAGAGACTTGTGGGTGGTGTAGAATATTATTCTTGATGCAGTTTCTTTGTATTTTTTTTTATTGAAGAAGAAATGACTGGCAGCAAGAGTTGGGAGTCTTGGTATAACCTTGATGTCAATAAAAGGATGCTTTAATAAAGTGCCTCAAAGGCGTAGTTATACAAACTTCTTAGTTTGGATTCTCTCTCACATTGGTCCTTTTCAAGTTTCTTCATATCCTAACTACATTTTTCCCATTATATTTGTTTCTACTATCAATAAAGTTCTCAAATATCTATATAAAAGAATTTGTGTTGAATCTTGATCATCCTTGCTAGCTTTGGGGAATTGTTAGTGTTGGTGTTTTGAAGATGGGAGTGAAAAGAAGAGAAAGAAACTTATTCTGTATTTCTGTTTCACTGTGTTTGCTTTCTCAGTTGAAATCAGGTTTTTCTCCTAACATGATCATCAAAAGATTGGGGAATGTGTTGCTTGGATTATTTCGATTCAAGTTTCGGGTTTTAAAACCATTTCTAGGGCTCTTAACTTTTCAATCTAGTTACTTGGATTGAAACCTATCCCAAGCTTTTCAGGTTATGGAGTCTGATCTAGAGCTTTTGAATGGCACAATGCAATTGAGGGAGCTTTTGATTGAAAGTATTTTGGGGATACCATTGTCTGAGCATAGCATATGGTTTCATTAATAAATGTTGAATACATTGTAGTCTGAATCAGTCTTCTTGTCTGAGCATGGGATTCTAGGAATCCTGATGTGTTTGCTTTTCTTCCTGTCATTTTTTCATTATTTTTTTTTTGCAGTATCCTACTCCCTCTGTTCATAAACTATTGTCCTACTTTCTTATTTGGGACCTACTTTCTTATTTGGACGTCCAACAACTATTTTTCTATTTTTATTTTTTTTAAACACAAATTTTACATTTTTATCCTTCGTCCATTTATTATTTTTAATCTTTACTATACAATTAAGGACAAACAATCACCTAAAAATTCATACATATATATTTTAGAAACAATAGAAATTGGACGGAGAGAATATTATATCATTATTTTATAATCACAATCAAACTTATATAATTAACAAAATAGAGAGAATATAATAATTGAGAATATATAAAAATAATTTAAAATTTTTTATTATATTTTTTAAATGAAACAAAAACAAAAAAGATAAATTTAGATTGTTTTTTATTATTAAATATATTATTCAAATCAAGTTTTAAGTTCAAAATTTAATTTCAAAAATATTTTTAAAATACAGCCACACTGACCCAGCTAATAGAAAGGGGGAGACGAGCCCAATTACTCAAATTTGAAAAACATATGGTAGTCGGCCCTAATCTTAACAACAATCCAGCCCTAATCTTGCCTCTTCTTCTTCAGGGTTTCGTCGCCCTGGCAAAATCCACAGCCCTAATCTTCCGCAATTCCGTCATCAGTCGGTGTCGTCATATCCAAAGTGCTGGATTGATCTGCTACAGGTCAAGAAAGGAAAAACCTTTCTTTCTGGTCGTTCATTGGGCTTCATCTCCTACAGCACAGGGGAATTGTAAGTTCTTAAGCAAATTTTCAAATTTTTTTAGTGAAGCGTTGGGGTTCTTCAGGATTGCTTATAGGAAGAAGATTGCTTATAGGAAGAAGATCGAATCAGAAAAGCAGAATCTCAAATCCGCCTTCTTGTGAAGTGGAATTAATCCCAAACGATCGCCACCGCGATGTCGAGCTCGGCGGTTGTTTCCGGTGGAGATTCAAACGCCGCGGAGAAAAGGGATCAGATGCTACTTCGCAATATATGCATCCTGGCGCACGTCGATCACGGCAAAACCACTCTCGCAGACCATTTAATTGCTTCGTACGGCGGGGGCGTCCTCCATCCGAAGCAAGCTGGTAAGCTCAGGTTTATGGATTACTTAGACGAGGAGCAGCGGCGTGCCATCACAATGAAGAGCTCATCCATCGGTCTTCAATTCAAGGATCATGTCATCAATTTGATAGATTCCCCGGGCCACATGGATTTCTGCGGCGAAGTTTCTACTGCCGCGCGGATGAGCGATGGTGCTTTGGTGTTAGTCGACGCAGTGGAGGGCGTTCATATCCAGACCCATGCCGTTTTGCGCCAGGCCTGGATTGAGAAACTGACGCCATGTCTGGTTCTAAACAAGGTGGATAGACTGATAAGCGAGCTGAGATTGAGTCCTATGGAAGCTTACACTAGGTTACTGAGGATTATCCACGAAGTTAATGGGATAATTAGTGCTTACAAGTCGGAAAAATACTTATCCGATGTCGATTCCATGCTTTCGGTTGCTGCACCAGGTGAAGATGGTGAAGAGGATTTTAATTTTGTAGAGGATGATGTTGAGGATACTTTCCAACCGCAGAAAGGGAATGTTGTTTTCGCCTGTGCCCTCGATGGATGGGGTTTCAGGATACAAGATTTTGCTGAATTCTACACGACTAAGCTAGGGGCAAGCTCGGGTGCATTGCAAAGGGCTTTATGGGGCCCCTGGTACTTCAATGCCAAGACGAAGATGATCGTGGGAAAAAAGGGAGTTAGCAATGTGGCGAAGGCGAGGCCTATGTTTGTGCAGTTTATATTAGAGCCACTTTGGCAAGTTTATCAGACAATGGAGCCGGATGGAGATAGAAGAGTTCTTGAGAAGGTTATCAAGTCGTTTAATTTGTCCATTCCTCCGCGAGAGCTTCAAAATAAGGATCCAAAAACTGTGCTTCAAGCTGTCCTAAGCCGGTGGCTTCCACTGTCGGATACAATCTTGTCTATGGTAGTTAATTGTATGCCAGATCCTGTAAATGCTCAGTCTTATCGGATATCAAGATTACTACCGAAGAGAGATGTTTCTGATGGTGGGGATAGCCCTGATGTAGTTCTGGAGGCGGAATCTGTGAGGAGATCTGTGGAGTGTTGTGATTCCAGCTCTGATGCACCCTGTGTTGCGTTTGTCTCGAAGATTTATGCTGTTCCTGCGAAGATGCTTCCACGCACCGAGTCTTTCAGCAGTTTTGTTGATGATGGAGATTCTGGAGAGTGCTTTCTTGCATTTACCCGGATCTTTAGTGGCGTTCTTTGCGCGGGACAGAAGATTTTTGTGCTTTCTGCAATGTATGATCCGATGAAGACAGAGTTAGAGGAGAAGCATGTACAGGAAGCCAAGCTGCAGTCATTGTATTTAATGATGGGGCAAGGATTGAAGCCGGTTTCTTCGGCTAAGGCTGGGAATCTCGTTGCGATATTAGGGCTCGGGCAACATATATTGAAAAGTGCTACCCTTTCATCTACAGTTAATTGCTGGCCTTTCTCCAGCATGGTTTTCCAAGTCTCACCGATGCTTAAAGTTGCAATTGAGCCATCAGATCCTTCTGATATGTCTTCCCTCATGAAAGGTTTGCGGCTGTTAAATCGTGCAGACCCTTTTGTTGAGGTCACTGTTTCTTCTAGAGGAGAGCATGTTCTTTCTGCTGCAGGTGAAGTTCATCTGGAGAGATGCATAAAAGATCTGAAGGAGAGGTTTGCAAAGGTGAATTTGGAAGTCTCTCCTCCACTTGTTTCGTATAAGGAGACGATCGAAGATGAGATAACCAAACCTTTGGAGAATCTGAAGTTGTTCACTGAAGGCAATAGTTTTGTGGAGAAGAGAACACCGAATGGTAGGTGTGTTGTTCGTGTCCAGATCATGAAACTTCCGAAGCCTCTTTCTAAGCTGCTTGATGAGAGTTCGGAACTGCTAAGAGATATAATGGGAGAAAAATCTAAACAGACTTTGAAGAGCTTGGAAACGTCGAGGGGTAGGATAGTGGAGGATGAAAATCCAATCGAAGCATTCAATAAAAGGATGATGGATGCTATAGAGACTGACCTTCTCTCTGGAGAGATTGACGATGAACGCGTTGAGAAATGTAAAAGCTTGTGGAAGAATCTGTTGAAAAGGATTTGGGCATTGGGTCCTGGTCAAGTTGGCCCGAATATTTTGATTACTCCTAATAGAGGGAAAAGAATGGAGGGTTCTGTTCTTGTCAAGGGTTTTCCTTATGTATCTGATAAATTGGGTCTCAGAGATGTCGACAATGGTGCAGAAACTGAAGATGCAGAAGACGAAACACTATCAAAAGAGGCCGAAAGTTTGGAGAGCAGTGTTTTCTCTGGATTTCAGCTAGCTACTTCATCTGGTCCTTTGTGTGACGAACCCATGTGGGGCTTGGCATTTGTTGTCGAGGTTTTCATATCACACACTGATCGGCAATTAGATGAGGATAATGGATCTGCACAGCAACAAGAACAGCAGGGCATTCTCACGGGACAAGTTATGTATGCTGTTAAAGAGGCTTGCAGAGCATCGGTGCTCGAGAGGAAACCAAGGATTGTCGAGGCTTTGTACTTCTGTGAACTGAATACCCCAGCCGAGCATTTAGGAGCCATGTATGCAGTTCTTTCTCGGAGGCGAGCTAGAGTAATCAAAGAGGAAATGCAGGAAGGGTCAACATTGTTCACCGTGCACGCATATGTTCCCGTATCCGAGAGCTTTGGATTTTCGGATGAGCTGAGGAGATGGACTTCTGGAGCTGCAAGTGCCCTGCTTGTTCTTAGTCACTGGGAAACACTTTCGGAAGATCCATTTTTCGTGCCAAAGACAGAGGAGGAAATCGAAGAATACGGAGATGGTTCCAGTGTGCCTCAGAATACTGCTAGAAAACTCATCGATGCTGTGAGGAGACGGAAGGGCCTTAAGGTCGAGGAAAAAGTTGTTCAGCACGCAACCAAGCAGAGGACTTTGGCTCGAAAAGTGTAGAAGCTACCAGCATTGAATATTAGCTTGGTTCAACCCCGTGGCTTCGCCTTTCTGGTATGAAATTTCAATATTGCAAAATCATTTTGTATGTTGCATTTTGAAAAGCTTAGTTTTTAGAATTTTGATCACACCGCGGAAGTTATTAACCTTTGATTCATTTTGTAGCTAACTCAGATAATTTATGACTTTAAGTTATAGTCCTAGTCCTCTGTGTCTGTATTATTTCTTCGTAAAAGTAGCTATAATTGTACTATTTCTTCGAGTCGTTTTACAGTGTCTGAAAGTTGAGGTACTTCGAGAAAATACTTCAATTTGCTTAAATAGGAGTATTAGTTAATTGTTCGTATCAATTCATATTAGAACCTAAAGTCGAAAAGTGTCCCCTCTGAATCATTGAATTTTATTGTTTCAGTGGACATTTCGAATAATGTCCAGCAATTTGATCATTGATGTCAGCAGCAACTTCTTGGCAAGAATGGGGCAAGCACGGGCCCTTCTGCCATTCTGATAGCCGTACCCCTGCTACGCTTCGATCTGTAAGTGGAGTATATTTCCTTGCTTGCTTTTGTTTGATCTCTTGAAACAAGGAGATGGAGTGACCTGATAAATTTGTAGTATTCTTGTATTTTCGAAGCATTTAAAAAGATGTTAGCTGTGACGAAGAGTATGATATGAAGCAGCAGAATTTGGCTTTGGGCGCTGCAGATGGAAACTGGCAATGGCTTGTGTCAAATGTGTCTGATTTGTGCAAGAAGATGGATGGAATTTGGGGAGAGGCATTTACCATATGACATCAAGAACAGTGTTGGTTTCGAAAGGATGATCGTTATCGAGGTATGCTCTAGTTCCTTTACCGACAGCTGAAGTTGCTTGTTTTCACTATGTATGTGTCTGATGTTCGAAGGGCTTTTTGTAGTATTCTAATGTGGTTTCGATTCGTGAAGATGGCGCTTTTGTACGCGATATTATAACTTGTTGTGTTGTCGATGGATATATATCCCATTGTTTATACGAAAATTTGCTTGAATGAAACATTTGTGCTAAGCAACTATGCCAACGGTCTATTTGTATGCTCTCTAAATAAAGTTTCAGTCAAATCTAATAATCTAATCTAATAATCTATGTGAATTAAGTGATAAAACAAGTCACACTAGCGAAATCAACATACAATACCTTGATTTTTTAGTTTCTACTATTCAAATATTGTTATTGTTATTATTTTAAAATATTACAAAAATAACATCTATTTATATTTTATAGTACTTATTTTTATTCAATTATATAATAATATTATTTAAAAATATACACTAACACAGTTGTTAGCTCGCTCGTTATGTCATAAAAAGAAAAATGTCATTTCTTTCAAAGGCCCATTTGAGGGAAGCTTCATTTATGTTTCACTGTTAATATTGAATAACATCATATATATATATATTTATTTATTTCAACTTATGGTAAATGGTACTAGTATTTTCTTATGATAAAAATAATAATATAGTATAAAATGAATAAATAGGAGACAGTAGCTATGTACCATTACGGAAACAATAATAAATATAATAATAATAATTAATGGCAGATGGGGGACAAAAAGCGCACGTGCGCCTCCTCCCCGGCATCCCCGATATAGTTTCAGTCAAAAGATGCCCTGCACGTGACTGCCTCCAGTCAACGGTCAAAAATCTGCCACGTGTACTATGATAATAACACCCTATACCACATTATATCATTATTTAATCTTAGTATTTTATTTTTTAATTAATTAATACTACCAATTAATAATATATACTCCATAATAATAATAATAATAAAAGTATTCCTAAGATAAGAACGACGAGAAGGATCATCATCCTTTGATCAATCCCTCCACGCCATATTATATTATTATTAGATATGTATATTGTTCTCTATATCATACATAATGTTATATAAAAATAAATAAATAAATAAAAATTCATACTATATATTATGTAATTTAATAATTTTTTATTATTATTGAGATAGGTTTAATTAGTTGAAATTGTTGACCATTGTGAATATGGTTTGCATGTTACAGCATGCAACTATTTATTATTTAATGTTGCTAATTTTATAAATAAAATGTGGTTTTACTTGTATTTTCTTTCTTATTTATATGAGGCTAAATGTGTTATTTTTGTGTACAAAAAACATAAAATGTAGTATTTTATTATAAAACAAATACTTATATATACATTCAGTTTACTGGATATTTTATATTTTTTATAGAAAAAAAAATATCTCAGTAAATAGTTACTTCTTTATATTCGAATATTATTTTTAAAAAAAATTATATTTTCACTTTAGTATTAAAAAAAAATATATATATATATATATATAGTAAAAACAATTAAATATCTATTTATATGTGTATGACAAAATAGCTTGTCCTAAGTTGCATTAAGATTAATACCGATTTATGTACTATAAAATCATTTCTTTTTTTATTAATTAATTACTCATATGGTAATTTACACGAAGAATGATTAATATATGTAGGTACAAAAATAATTTTAACAAATGATATTATAATATTGTTTAGCTTTATCCTTGTAATAATTTTTTCTTTTTCATAGATTTCTAGTTTTATTATTTTTGATTAAAAAATAAAAAATTAGTAATGTTTCTATCAATAAAAATATATATTTTCTACACAAAATATTTTATAAAATAATAAAAATTACTTCACTTAAACAACGTCACAATTTTTAAAATATTTTCTCAATTTTTAATGACTAACAGCAAACTAGGGTTTGGATTGGAAATTATTTTTTTTTTAATTGTAAATTTAAATAATATTAATAATATTTGTGAAATGAAAAAATATATCTTTTTTAAAACATATGATTCATATAGTATTTTAAATTCTAAACTTTTTTTTGTTATATATATGAGAAAGTATATGGATAATATAAAAATGATATTTATTGTTCTTTTTTTTTTTTTTTTTTGAATTGTTAGCTTATATTTTGTTTTATCATTTTATATGTATATATATTTTTAGTAATATTTATTTGAAAATGTGTCTGTATAGGGTGAACGATGTTAAAAGAATAGTGTCATTATGGTCATTTTGTCAGATCCATCCCTAATCTTATTATACTATCTATAAATATATAATATTCAACATAATCTTATTATTTAAATAACTGTGATACATATCGGTTACCCAAATATATTAAAGTTTAAAATAAGGAATGGCTTATAATTTCAAATCCAAACATTCTAAGACAAGCAATATTATAATTATATTTTAAATATATCTTTGATAATTTTTTAAAACAACAATTATATACATGCAATTTAATTATTGTTACTATTGGTAAAGTTATGTTAATAAAGTGAGTAAATGGCAATCACATTATATAGGACGAATTTTTATTATTATTTTATTTTGTTTGAACATATAATTAGGGATATGCTAATTGTTTTCTAAGGTTATTGTAAAGTCATGAATACTAATATTTATTAAGATTTTTTTTTTTATTCTAAAAATGTATGTATTTATGTATGTACTTTAATAAAAATTACATAAAACGTTACTTAAAAGGGTTTAAAGAAATAAATTAATAAAAATTCTCTATAGTACATCCAATGCCTAGATTACTCCACGTAGGGGTGAGCACGTGCGACGTCACGTGGCTGACATTGATGCTGGTCAAAAGGATGAAATTAGTAAAACGCGACTTTAGTTGTAAGAAATGTATATTACTATTAGAGTTGGAATCCATATGTACGCAAAAAGCGCAATTAGGTCCGCCAGGGCCGGCCCCTCGGCGCACATCCCGAGCCGGACCACATGGTCCCGATGAACCGGACGGAATCCGAACCCGATTCATTACTTCACCTCCAATTTAGGGTTAGCCGGTTAGGGTTACCTTAAGTTTAAATTTGTTTTAGAGATAAGAAATTTGTTTTAAAAACTTTGAATTTGAATAATGGTATAATGTGAGATAAATAGATATTAATATAATATTTTTAATGTAAAAATTTATTTTATTTGTATAATATAAAAAAAAAAGTTAGATAATTTTTGGAAACTTTGATTGATGAATAATACTAATACAATAATCTGTTTATCATTTTTGTCCGTCTCAAAACAGTAATCTCATTTTTATAAATAATCATATCACTATAAAACTATCATTACTTTTTTATTATTATTACACAATTGTCGTTACTTTTTATACTAATACACTCATAAAGGCAAAAATATATATATATATATAACTTCTACTTTTTACCCTAGTTCTGAGATGAAGGGAGTAGAAATTTAAAAAAAAAATTGATAAAAAAACAAACTAAAATATATTTTTATTTGAATTATATATTACTTTTAATAAATATGTTATCATATTGATTGATTGCAACGAAAATAGATATTTTGAGAAGTATACCATTGAATTAATGAGATGATTATTTTTGTTGATAAATTTGATTGACTAGTCAAAAATATAATTCAAACATTTCATAAATTAATTATTTGAAGTAATTTATTGGTCTTAGGAAGTAAATTTTGTAACACATCACTCTATTTTATAATTCAATATTTATTTAACATCACTCTATTTTTTTTCTAACACATTTTCAATAGTGATTTTTAAAAAATAATAGTAAATAGCACAACTTTTTTTATTTTTTTTACAAAAGTAAAAAAGTAAGAAAAAAAATATTCAAATATTTGTTATAAAAAGTAAAATACTCAAATATTCAATTTAAAATAATAATTTTACATATTTTATATTTTTGGTGAAATTATTTGTATCACACACAAAAAAATCAATCAATTTAAAAACGTATGATAAACTATTATTAACTTGTATCGATATATTATTTAAATCAAAGTTAAAACTCAACTACACATTATGGTATTTTGTTTCTATAATATAAGTAATTTTTAATGTAATTGTTTTTATAAGAACAAAAAAATTATTGATAATTTGCTTGTGTTTTGATTTGAAAATAATTTTTCATATGAAGTATTGAAATATATATGTAATATAAAAATATATTAATTTTAAAAATATATATATATGGTTTTTTTTTTTTGAAAAAAGAACACACCATGAATTTTATATTTATTTATTTTTACTTCAAACACAAGTCAATACTATTATTTAGTTTAATTTGTATAATTCCTGTTAAATATAATTATTTTTTTCTTTAACAAAATATATATTTTTTATATTACATTTGTATTCTTTTCGAAAAAAAAAATCACATATTTTTTTAGAAAAATTAATTATATTATTTATTATTTTTATATTATTTACGCAATTTCTTATATCTTATATAAAAAATTTATTTGAAACTATTTTACAAAACAAATACACTTTAATATTTCAAATTAAAATCACATAAATCTAACTTAGATATGTATAATTATTCAAAATATTATATCTAATAATTCGTTTATTCGGTGTTTTTTTTTCCTATTATATACTTCAATTTATTATTTTCATAAAATAATTAAATTTTTAAACTATTAAAACAAAGAACAATTTTTACTTGTACATCAAATTTAATATCTTTAATAAAATACTCTATTTGTCTATGAAATTTATTTAATTACTAATTTTAGTAAAATAAAATATCAATATTTAACTATATATTTGAATTAAATATTGATTTACTATTACATAAAAAGAGACAATAACAGATAACCCGTGTTCTAAAATCGGATGTGTATCCCCACCGACCCGAACCGACCCGAACCGCAAATAGTAAAGAGGGAAACAAAAAGGAGCCGTTGGGGCTTGGGCAGCCCGGATGTTGAGCGAGTTTTGTCTACTTACAGTCAGTCACAGACACAATTTGGCAGACATACGTACATACAGACCTATATATATATCTCTTTAGAGAGAGAAAGAGAGAGAGACAGTGTGCAGATAGGCAGAGGCAGAGGCAGAGGCAGACTGCAGTGCAGCCAAAAAGTCACTGCTCCTTATTTTACTGCCGAATTTATCCCACCATCATTCATCCTCTCTCTCTCTCTCTCTCTCTCTCTCCCTCTCCCTCTCTCTCTCCTCTTTCCGCCATTATTAATTAATCAATATGAATATACGCATTCATCTTCTTCCTCTGCACCTACCTCTCTCTCTCTCTCTCTCTCTCTCATCAATGAATAAAGAAATGTGAAAGCTTTCCTTCCCATTTCCCCTCTGGTTTTCCGCCGAATCACCACACGGAGTGAAGAACCCCCTCTCTCTCTCTCTATCTTAAAACCCCCATTATATAAGTTCAAGTTTAACCCCTCCTCTCTCTCTCTCTCTCTCTAGTCTGCAGTCTTCTGCTGCTAATATCCTTTTTAGCCATACATTCATCCATTTCTTCTTCTTCTTCTTCTTCGTGTTATCTCTGTCCTTCCTCACTCTCTCTCTCTCTCTAAGTGCCATTTTAGTATCTACACTTTGATTCACACATACATATATATAGGCAAATGGTGGATTGATTGATAAGGTAAATTAGATTACAAGAAAATTTCCATGCTTCTTTTGTTTTGATTTATTTTTATTTTCACTAATTTGTGGTATTTTGGTGTCTATAAAATCAGGCCCAGAAATTGCAAGCAAAAAATTGAAGTTACCAAAGAGAAGATTATATTATACAAACAAATATAATTATCTATGGCAAGAGACAACAACAACTGGCTTTCTTTCTCAGTCTCCTCCGCCGCCGCCGCCGTCGAAATGCAGCGGCAGCAGCCTCCGCCAGATTCCCACCATTTCTTCTCTTCCTTCGCCGATAACTTCTATGCCAATGGTATGTATATATATACAATACGTGTACAGCTATTTCTTGCACACGTATACATCATATATATAGATGTGTATATATACAAAACCTAATTTTGGAATTTATTTTAATTTGAATGTACCCAAAAAAAAAAAAAAGGAAAAAGAAAAGGGGAAATCTTGCACGAAAACCCTCCTGTCTTGGTTTGTTTTGCTGAGGTAAACAAGTTTGAATATTGTAATGTAATGACAAGAATTTGCACTCGTGGATTTCTTATTTTCTGTTACCCACAAATATATTTATTTATTTATAAATTATATTTATATATATGTATGGATTATGGTTGCATTTATTCAAGCTTCATCTCTAATTAACTGATTTCAATTTTTTTCTTTTCTCATTTACTCACAACCCAATCCTATCCTATATTTGAATCCATCTTCATTTCTTTAAATTAATTTCGATTTCTCCAGGTTGGGCTAATCAGATTAAACCCCAATCCATGTTCGCCGGCGACGCCATGGATGCCCACCACCACCACCAGGTTTACCTCCCGCCGGCGACGCAATGGATGCCGCCGAAGCTGGAGGACTTCTTCCCCGGCGACTCAACGACGGAGACTCAAGATTCTTCCTTGACCCACATCCACCACCAGCCTCCACCGCCGCCGTACTTCACCGCGGCCACCGGCGGCGTCGGCGGCGGCGGCGACCACCAGGATCTCAACACCCTCACCGTCTTCCAAGCCGCCTTCTCCTCCTCCGGCTCGGAAGTCGACGACTCAGCGTTTGCCGGTCAGACCCAGTCCCCCGTTGAGTCGGCGGCGGAGTTCGCCGCCCCTAACTCAAACGCCATCTCCATCGGAGTCAATAACCACCAAAACGCCGCCGCAACCGCCATTGTCGCCGCCGATTCTGACGCCTGCAAGAAAACCGCCGACACTTTCGGACAACGAACCTCCATTTACAGAGGCGTCACAAGGTTAGGTTAATTAATTTATTCATCTTCTTCTTCCCCAAAATCCCCAAATCAATTTCACTGCAAACCCTAATTTAATTTATTAATCGATTATTCATTTTTTAACTTAAGAATTTATTTTAATTACAGGCATCGATGGACGGGACGATATGAAGCCCATCTTTGGGACAACAGCTGCAGAAGAGAAGGCCAAGCAAGAAAGGGTCGTCAAGGTAAATCCAAAATTAGGGTTCTCTTCAAATTTTAATTTTTCTCTTACAAAATCTATCCATCTTTCGAAAGTTGCAAAAACTTTTTCATATGATAAAGCAGAAGGGTTTATTTCTTTCAATCAGTCAGGGATTTTCATGTGATGATGATTGATGTTGACTGAGTGAGAATGTGTACAAATCGTACTTCAATTTTTGCTGCTATCAATTTCAAAATTTTTTATTTTTGGCAAAAGGGCATATTTGCTGTGAGAATAAATATCCAATTTTAAATTTCTTTTTATCTTCATCATTGGATAAATTTGTTTCATTTTGTGTGTGAGATTTTCTGGATATTGATTCTGAAGAAGACTCCATGAATATGCTGTGATGGTGATGGAGATTCTTGGGGGCTCCACGGAGCTGAGATCCAGGGCGTCTCTATCTCATTGCGTGTGATAGGGACTTGGGGGGTCCTGGATCTTACAAGAATGGTCTCCATCATCAGCCATAGCCTGAAACTAGTTTATGTCTGAAAATTCTGAATTTCGTCAGTCTGCTTTAATACTTTCTGTTTTTTGGTTTTTAAAAAATTTCTCGAACAGTGATGTGGTTTGACCAAAACCGCCTACAAAGCTACAATCTACTTCGATGAAAAATGAATTTTTTGCCCACCTTATTTTCTGGGTTCATACCTCTTTCTCTTTTAGTTTTTTGTTTTTTTGTCTGAAATATTTTATTGTCCAGTTGTTAATCATATTCTTGTTAGAAAAAAATCTCTGTATGCTGTCCAAATTCCTGTAATTTCAGTGTTCTCTAGTTGTATGTTCTTGAGGCCATTTATTGTAAAATTATTATTATATATGTGTGTGTTTGGTGTGAGTATGAATTCGTCATACGGCTCCAGCTTTTGCCTGTACAAAAAGAATGTTTGTTCAAATTTGTTTCAATTTCATTACATGTCTTGAAGACGATTCCTTTCAATTTAGTTCTAACCGCGATGTATTTTGGCATGATGATCGTGGCACGGTTTCGGATTGCGTCGTTGATGATTGTCTCTATATGTAGTTTACTTAGGTAAGCAATGCTCATCCTCTTCACAACTCTTATCTCGATCATTTTACTTGTGTTTTTCCTTTGTTTGAGGTTTACTTATGCGAGAAAATTGTGCGATATGTAGGTGGATACGATAAGGAAGACAAGGCAGCGCGAGCGTATGACTTGGCCGCGCTCAAATATTGGGGCCCGACTGCAACTACAAACTTCCCGGTATTAACATCAAATTCTTTAGTTGTCTTAGATGTACATTGCGCTATTTTTTCAATTTGGAATTGCTCGATTGGCTACACTTGTATGTTTGTCTAACTAGAAATGGTTTTTTTTTTTCTTTTTTGCCTATTTAGATCTCTAATTATACTAAGGAAATGGAGGAGATGAAGAACGTGACGAAACAAGAATTCATAGCCTCGCTTAGAAGGTATTCCGATCATTTCCATTCTTGACTCGGGCCATGTTTAATACACGCAATTATTTAAATCTTTGCATGTTAATCTATTCACGACGAAACATGTTCTTTTTTACTCGTTTAGGAAAAGTAGCGGGTTTTCAAGAGGCGCATCGATCTATAGGGGTGTCACAAGGTTCGATTTTCTTTACAAATATATACGATTGACATGTTTGATTCGTTTTGCGACACATTTCATTCGATTAATGTTCGATGAACATTTTTTAGACATCATCAACAAGGTCGTTGGCAAGCAAGGATCGGTCGCGTCGCTGGGAATAAGGATTTGTACCTAGGGACATTTGGTACGTAATTTTTCCCTTTCACCTATACTTACAATAATCGAAAAACTCTTGACCGATAATTATATTATTTTGTATAATCATGTAGCGACGGAGGAGGAAGCGGCGGAGGCTTACGACATTGCGGCAATCAAGTTCCGGGGGCTCAATGCTGTCACGAATTTCGAAATGAGTCGATACGACATCGAGGCGATCGCCAAAAGCCCGCTCCCGATCGGAGGGACCTCGAAGCGTTTGAAGCTCTCGCTGGAGTCCGAAGAAAATCTCCCGTTAAGTACGGTGCTCCAAACGCCGTACAATAACAACAACGGGAGCAACAACAACATTAGCTTCTCGAACATCCCATGCGGGCTGCCGTTCGATTCGTCGTCGCCGTTCTACCACCACAACCTCTTCCACCACCTCCACTCCGGCAATCTCGCCGGAGCCCCCGACGCAACTAACAACGGATCGTCGCTTGGCATAGCTCCGGCGCCATCCCCGCCGGAGTTCTTCATATGGCCGCACCAGTCATATTGAATTCGATCGGCAATCCTGTGTTCGATTCGACTCGACTCTTTTTATATACTAATGGTTTTTAACTTACCCTTAGGATGCTTTAGTTCGCCAAATTTCCAGATATTCGATTCGACTCGACTGGCCTGACCCGTTAGGGTTTTTAGGGTTTTTATAGGTTAGAGAAAAAGATGAAGATGGAAATGGAAATGGTGTAAGTATGGCTTAGTTTTCTTCTCTCTCTACAACTCTCTCTCTCTCTAATATATAGGACTGTTTGGGGGTAGACGACGACGATGGCGTATGGATTAATTTTCAATAGGTTTTCCATTGCCATTGAAGAACTCGCAGCAGCTGCTCCTTTGCTCCTGTAAATTAAATCTGTCATTTTTGATGGAATATATCATATCATATATATATACATCCAAAATACTTCTTATGTTACAATCAAAGTTTATTAAATACTATGTCCAACATGTTGAATTAATTTTTTTCCATGCTCGATTACTACTGTTTAAAGTTTTATCTTTCAATAATTAGTTTCAATCGTTAGCTGAGCCTTTGCTTAAATTTTTTTTCAACACGTAGATTAAAAAGAAAAGTATTGAAATTTTATTATGATAAACTTTCATTGGATTATTTATAAACTGTGTAAGAAATATGTGGTTGCAATTGTGTAAATGAAAAAAAAAAAATGTTTGTAGAAATTTGAGTAGAATTGTATTTTTTACCGGTATGAATACACTTTTGTCAGATGTACTAAAATGATGAAATAAACACTCCTAGTGAATAATAAATTATATTTTTAATTAAAATGAAGGATAATTATATATTCATTAATTTTTTATTATAATCATTGAACTTCACAAATAAAATTACGAGTTTGTATATAGAAAGAACTAGATTTTAGATGGGGAAGCTTGTCAAATGGGTTTTTCTCAAAGATTGAACTAACGAAATTTGCAACTAACGGTTGATATATATATATATATATATATAATTCAAAAGTTGACAAATTATTGGACATATTTGACATTCCTCTGAGTTTTTTTTTTTTCAATAAATTTCTAGTGTTTAATGTTACTATGATGTATAATTTTGACAAATTATTTATAAATTTAAAAAGTGTTATACAATAAAATAAGTTCCAAAAGGAAGAACAAACTAAGAAGGCAAATCTTCAACACAATAAATTGCAAAAAAAGAACACATGAGCCCAATTATGCGAATAATCGGCCCAATCCAGCATGGGCCTCTTTCAGAGTTGGCTCAATTTCCAAAGCCCTTTCAAAAGCCCACTTCGCATCGTCCGTACATCCCTTCATTTCATAGCACTGACCCAACAACAGAAACGCTTTAGAATTATCCGGGCTGAGCCGGACGGACTCGGCCAGATCCTCGACCGCCGAGTCGATCCGTCTCCGCCGGTTCAAGCCAACCTGCAGCTCGGCTCGCTTCAACAGGGCGTCCCCCTTATCCCTATCCGACAGCATCTTCGCCGCCGGCGGAGACAGCGCCGCGTCGAGCGATTTCAGGGCGGCGGCGCGGTGGCCCATGACGGTCTGCGCCATGGCCTTGAGGATATAGGCGGCTGGGTCGCGCGGCTCGAGCGCAAGCGCCTTGTCGGCTTCGTCGACGGCGAATTTGGCTAGGCTGACGGCGGCCGGCTTGGCTCTGGCCGATCGGGCCTTGGAGAGGAACTGCGCGCCCTTGATGAAGTGGTGGTGGGCCTGGGCTCCGGGCCGGGCCTTGGATCGAAGCTTCGAGAAAGCCTTCTTCGGGAGGGTCTGGAGAGCGTAGAAGATGCCGAGGGAGAAAATTAGAATCCCTAATTGGATGAAAAGGTTGGTCTCCATCTCTGCAGCCTCGAATTTCCGGCCGGCCGGTGGTCGGAGGAGGCGGCGGCGGCGGCGGCGGTTTAGAAAGGGGATTAGGGTTTGGTAGTCAGAATTTGTTCTTGGTTTTCGGAATGGAGGAGGCGATGAAGAATAAATTTGTTTATATTGAATACTAACAAAGTCATTCCAGTAGTCCCTCCAAAACAAAACAAAATATCTATGTACTGTTTATCTAACATTACAAATATCCTTACAATTTATAATATATTACATAAATATCATTATATTTATATCACAAATACTAATAAGATTATTTTAGTAATTTTTATTTTATTTTTATTATATTTCAATATAATACTAATATTTTTAAAATTACGTAAAAAATGTAATACTTACTTCTGGGACTGAGGAAGTTGAAAAAATATATATAAGCAAACCATGATTTATCGGCATTATCAAAATATACGAGATTATTATGGTGCCGGTTGTAGTTGGAACAACGTGGGGTTTTTCTTTTTTGATGATGTAAAAAGGTAGCAGCCGTTACGGAAACTGAGCAAATTTCGATCGAATTTAATATTTCGTAAACTAGACCATATGAGTTCTTTTTGTTGTGGGTTCTTGATTTTTTGTTTAAGAAATAATATATTTTAATTATAGCTGGTGTTAAATATAATAATATATATATTTTTTTTAATATAAAAATAATAATGTGATAAAGTAAAAATATTTGTTAAAAAAATAAAATATTTAATAAAATATTTACTTTTATAAATTTTAACTGGACAGAAGAAATATAAAATATAATATTTTAAATATAAACTAAAATTTAAATTTATATATTAAATTAATATTTAATTTAATACTTTTTTAAAAATTAAAATAATAAAATTAAAATCAAAATTAAAATTTTACGAACAAACACATCACCTGTCTTACTATATTAATCCATTATATATATTTGAAACTAATAATAATAATATATATTTGTAATTTTATTCTTCTCATTCAAACAATGTTTAATTTTATTTAATTTTATTTATATTTATATTTATGATTATTTTTACTAAAAATAATTTATTTTAAAATTTTGATCGAACAAAAAAAAAAAAAAAGTAAATAAATTGGAACCGATGGATTATATATTTACACAATACAACAAGAGTTTGTTTTGTTGGATTGCATTACAGCCGGATGCGGGAATAAAAATGAGGGGTGTGTGTCAGTGTGCCTCAAATTGTTTCGACACATGTGCTGTAGATATGTAAATATATATAGAGAGAGAGAGTGGAACCAAACCATGGTAATGTTAAAATTGAAATATTAACCAGAATGGTTACCTCAGTCATTCCAAGATTAGTTGCTTATGTCGGTTAAGGTCGTTAAGGTAAGTGGCGGAAGTATAGTCTTCCAAGTCGCAGTTGTCCCACAGCAGCGATCTCATCCCCAACGACTTCTGCTTCAAATCTCCCCCCAATTTTGTCTCGCCTTTCAGCACTTGAATCACCTATAATATACAACACTTTATATTACTACTTATTTTCCCATCATTTATAAAAATTAAAATTATAAATAAGTATTGAATGTAACGTCCATCTTCGATATATATATATATACATACATAAAAAAAAAAAAAAAAGTACCCGGGTCATGCTCGGCCGCAAGTTCGGCGAGTGATGAATGCACATGGAAGCAGCGAACATGGCGCGCTTCATTTCCACAGTGTCGTAATTGTCTCCCAGCCGAGCGTCGACCATCTCTTTCATGTCGTTGTGCTCCAGAAGCGGTTTCGCCTGGTAACAACACGAAATTTAATCGAATACGGGTAAAATTCATGAAGTCGAGCTTGTGATTCTTTTGAGTATAAGTAAAAAAACCGTACCCACATCACAAGGCTTTGCCTGCGCGAATCGACAGATCTGCAACCTGTAATGAGCTCGAGCAACAACACCCCAAAAGCAAACACATCGATCTTCTCATTAACTATTCCGTGCATGAAGTACTCAGGAGCCATGTATCTGACAGAGCTTCAGCATCACCATTTGTACATTGTATATATAGAACAAGAGAATATATAATCGAACTATGCGTTATTACCCGAATGTGCCTTCGATCGGGGAAACGACGTGCTGAGACCATTTCTCGGGAAGCCATTTAGCTAATCCGAAATCAGATATCTGAGTAAAAACATCAAATACACAGAAGAGTTTCATCCACATATATTCAAATCTGTCGGAAAGAAACAATTTTGTAAGCACGTAGCACATGCAAGTACCTGCGGTTCGTAATCTTCGGCAAGCAATATGTTCGAGGCTGTTATATCTCGATGAACAACGCGCCTTTGGCAGTCGAAATGTAGATACTTCAAACCTTCCGCCACTCCAAGTGCGACCTTATACCGCATTTTCCATTCCATATAATTTTCAGAACCTGAATCACTGAATGTATCTTCATTAGTTACAAATCCTCATAATTAAACTAAGATAGCAGAAAGCCATTGAAGGTTTTTCGAACATTTCTGTTTATATCGATTAGATTTCTAAGACGATTCGAAGATAACTGTAGATGCAGAAGTAAAATTCAGGTAAGCACTTCACCATGTAGGGCAGAGTCAAGGCTTCCATAAGGGCAAAACTCAAGAACAAGATGCAAGCCACCGTCAGCGCTGAAGCCAACCAATTTGACACAGTTTTGATGATGGATGTGGGCGATAATACCGAGCTCGGTTAAGAAGCCGGAGATTCTGTCCTCATCGGATTGTTCTTCTTTCATTATCTTCTTCACAGCAACAGGCTGACCATCTGCTAAGAACCCTTTGTATACTTCTGCATGTCCCCCTTTCCCAATTAAGTTATCTGGTCAAGATTCGACTTGTGAGTTCGATCAAGAAGTCTTACAGTGTCGAACTTGGTAGAAATTTAATGAGAGTGGTAATGTAATATCAATGCCACAAAATTTACTATCTTCACCACTAAACCAAAGCCTTACAATCTTGATGTGATATTACATGAAGTTTCAAATAGCATGTAGAGATCAGGCAGAGCTTATTTCCAACAGTTTGAAAAATCATTTGAAGTTTGAAGTTTTTCTGTTATTAGAACAAATTTTGTACAAGTTTCTGTTATAATTCCCACATCATAAAGAAGTAAAAATTCTACAATAAAATTTAAATACACTATTTATGCATTCTATTAAAATACTATGCAAATTATCCTTTTAATAATTAATAATGATTTTGTTTATTTTTTAAACTAAAACTAAAGTTATAAATAATTACAAAAGAGGAAACAAAATAAAAAAAAGTTTTAGTTCTAGAAAGGGGCCAGCCTTTGCTAAAATGCCATATATAACTTACCTTTTTTTTTTTCTTGTGTTCAATAACCATAAAAACTTTCATTTTTATAATACTATTAAGAAAAGCCTTTTTCACTAAAAATTTACGAATGAATGGGCTCTATAATTAATGATCTATCCTGCAGCAATTCTATCATATTTATATGTGCAGACTATGTCCCACTATGACTAGTCGTATTCAATCATCATGGATTGTCAAACAGGTCAGATAAGCTTAGTCAAAAAGCTACTTCCCCCAAAAAGAGGAGGCTGTTTCATTCGAGAAAAGACCTTTCGATTAAAGATATCCAACGAAACCCTTTATTGAAACTTGTAACATAGATTGAAACGACAAAGATAACACAAACATCGATTAAAATAGATAAAAAATTCAAGATAGGGATTTGACATGACACAACATGTGCATGTGTCTCTGTGTATCGGTGTAAAACAAGATTTACAGCATCAACAAGAACTTATTGTAGGAATCTCTCTTTGTAATAAAAGTCAGTTTGGAAGTTTTTACAAAACAAGGGGTTATGTTTTACGAATTTAATGATTTTCTTTTCTGGAGAAGTGTTTTGAACAGAGGTTAACTTGCAGAGATGGTCTCAACCTATAGCATGAAAGTTCATCAATCTAGTGCAAAAACAGGCATGGAACAGAGGAGGTGAAATTTACCAGACAAGCAGACAGAATTCTTGAGAATAATGGAAATATAGATAAAGCAGGAATAAAGGATTGTTGAAGTTTACCAGAGCTGAAATTATCGGTAGCTTTTTTAAGCTCCTCATGAGTGAAGCTCCTCCAGGAAGGCTTAGGCACAACAAAGTCTCCGGCATTGATCGACTCCTCTGAACTGTGATTTCTCCCCAGCTTCTTCCTCAAACTCCTTATGGACAAATCGGAAACCGATCCTCCAATCAACGGAATCGTGGCGAATCTCGTCGACGACGGCATCTTCTTCAGCTGCCCGATGAATTTCCTCAATTGCATACTGCCATAGTTGATGTCCCATGGAGAATGCGATTTATCGCCGCTCCCGAAGCTTCCGCTAGAATCAATGCTGTGATCGGAATCCGAACCTGACGCGGGGCGCTCCAACACCCCACACGGTGACGATTCGTCGTCCTCCGTCTCCAAATGCTTCGATTCCGAAGCATCGTTCAATTTAGGGGTTTCTCCTCGGTCCTGATTTGCAGCATTTTCCTGAAGCGTTTGTGCTTGATTTCCGTCGATTTCTGTACTTTAGAACAAATGCAAACAAATACCTAATCAATTTGCGCCAAAATTATTCATAGCAGCAAAAATACAAACAGGTAATACGCTACCTTCCATGGTCATAATTGGGGTAAACTCTGACGCTCGAACTCAATCGGTTAGCCTCCGAGATTCAAATGCGCAGAGGCGAACGAGAATTCAACCAGCAACCTCCATGTTCGTCCCTCTCCTGCGCATGAACAGGGGAGAGAGGGAGAGAAAGAGTGGTAGAGAGAGAAGAGGGGAAGGAATGGAAAAAACACAGCCGATTCTGGGGAATGGAAGAATGGAGATATTTATACACCGGTTTAATATTTTGAATCCAACGGCTGGAAAGTATTAATTGAAGATAAGGAAGATGAAATCCTTACCGTTGATGTTGGGATCGTGATTTTTTGGCGTAACCACCGCTGCTTTGTCGGAAAACCAGAGGTCTAACGAACCTAACCGTTTCTTTTAATTAATAATTATTTAAAGCGAATTTATTTCTTTACACGTGAATAATAAGTATTAATAGCACTATATAGTTAATTTATGAAAAAATAATGTTTATAATTACTGGTTGAAGTGTTATTGTTGTTTATAATAATGTATCAAACTGTAGATTGGAAATCTATTGAAACAATTCAAATTTTGAAAATGATAAGTTTTGAAGTCAAATAATTTAGGTAGGCATGTAGTGACATAAATACAATTATGATATAATACATAAATGCAATTATCGGGATACTATTATTTAGATATTACTAAAAGATTAGGCAATAAGAATTTAAAATTCAAATTCACTCTAACCAAATATTGAATATTATAATTCAGTGCAATCTAATCTTTAAAAAGTTCCTCCCTACAATTTAAACCTCAGTTTATTTTAACATAGAAATTAACCAAAAACATATTTCTATTAACAACCATTTTTAAAAGCCTCTTTTAGATAATATTCCCAACATATATTTATTTCATATGACAAAAAATAAATTTCAGATAAAAACATAGCATTAAATTTAGGAATACAACTTGACAAAGAGTCACATAAATATTTCTTACATTACAACCTGGTTCCTTTAAAACAGTGATATCATCATACATAGCAAACACATGGTTTTGCTTTCACACAAGAACAATAACAATGCGTTATTATAGTTGCTTCATTTTCAGTCACACTAGCCACAGCTAATTTTGAAATTCTGGAAACTGACATTCTAGGATAATCTACTAGTTCAAGAAATTCCCATAATAATCCGAGGCGACCGCCGAACCGGACAAAGTTAACCACAGTATGTGTAAAGCTCATGCATGGTAAGATTCCTACAAGGTTTCATATGCAAAAATCACCTGGTCTTCAATAGGGGTTAATCTAAATCTAATGTGGAAAAAGTAAATTGAGAAAAACAAAGTATAACATTCCTTTCTTGTGATAATTTTCAACCAAAACTGCAGATGCGAATAAAATTACTAGAAGCTACAAAACATTTTCAATAACAAGTGATCCTATTCCGGCGTTCGTTTGTAAGGGAAAAAGAATTTTCCAGATGCGCTATTGACACATATAGTTCTCGACCAATCTACAAATATTGTTCAACAATCTTAATCAAGTTGATGTATGAACACCGGCCAAAAAAAATACTATCAATCGAACTCAAAGAAGTTGTTAAATGGTCCACAAACATTAAAACTAAAAGGATCTCCATTTAGTATTCATGTGCAATTACCATTACCAAACATAGTTGTCAATGGTGCTTGTCACAGAGACCTTAATACACATCAAATGCTCGGGCACCATAAAGCGTTTTGGACAAAACTATAAAAAAAAGGTGTATAGTTATACTATTGACAATATCACAAATATAAAACACCAACAAATATTAATGAGAAATAACAAACCTAATTCATTCTCAGCATTTAGTCACAAGGAAAAGAAAATAAAGTTAAAAGGGACGTGCTGTAAGTCGACTCTCCTCATGACATTCATAAAATGCTAAACTAGCACCACCAAACATCATCCGAAGATAAAATACTAAACTTAAAGTTTTCATTCAAATAACAGCTGATGCATTTAAAACCTGGCCATTCAAAATGTAGATACATACACAATAGGGTATCTTTATATAAACTGGTAACAGAACTGAATACAAGTTCATGCATAGAAAGATCGACAACCTCACCTAAAAGTTTTAACAAATCAGAGTTTATACCATCTCAAATCAACATGGCCATTCTTATGTGAGTAGGTTCTTTTCTAAAATCTTTTATATTAAATGATAAGTGGACATTAAAATTGGAATTTTTCCTGGTTAAACAAGTGTATGGAGAGGGTTTATGTGCACAAAACTATCAAAGATATCAGTACATTAAAATTTGAAATCCAAAGAATATTACAAATAGCAAGTTATCGCATGATTGTGTATTTTTTTTTTTATGTTTCTAGCAATAATCACAACACTCAAGTAAAAATTCATAGTAATAAATACTCAAAATTTCAAATTCAAACACAATCGAAACATCTCAGAGTAGCTGTATGATCTTTCTATTAGAAAATATCAAAACCTTTCCGCAAGACGGGAAGTCACAGCTCTCAGCTTTGAATAAACTTTACCAGCAGGCGAACCCAAAATCAAGCTACAGAGTGCGTCCCTGGCAACCTTGATGTTGGAAAACGAACCGAGGATATGGATTTTTGTATCAGCAATCACAATCCTGGTCCTGGTTGCGTTCTCAATCGTGAATTTAGTTTTCCCTCCCTTACCGCTCAACCTCCCAATTGCACGAGACAGGTGCTCCCCTCTCAACGTCTTCACGTCCTTAATCTCAAACGACTCCACATAGAGCTCGTCCATGCGGAGCAACGCCACGGCGTCGATCGTATCAAACCCTAGCATGAAGGCGTGAACGAAATCGGCGCACTTCTGGAGGTTGCTGATGTCGGGGGTGTCCCTTCGTGTCTTGAGCTCGACCCTGCGCGCCTTGAGATTCATCCGGATGTCGATCTTCATCTCCTCGTAGATCGGCGTATAGATCTCCATCCAGGCTTTCTTAAGCGGCGTGTATCGGTGCGGAGGCACAGATACTTTCCGGAACTGGATTTGCCCGTCGGAGATTTCGTGCGCTTTCAGGGGTTGAAAGTTGGGCTTTTGGGCGAACAAAACAGGCTGCTTCTGCTTCTGCACTGCAACCGCGCTCGTTCCATCGACCTCCATGGCAGCGGCGGAGGAATCTTCCATGGTTATCCTGAGTGAATTGAACACGCAAATCGGTAGCGGTTTCTCTCTACGAAGGATGAACCATTGAAGCTGGAGAATTGAGGAACAGCTAGGGTTTAAGCGACCTCATCTCTCTCTATTTATAAATAGTACTTGGTTTGGGCCACTAATTCGGCCTTGAGCCCAATATGAATTGTATAATATTCTTTATGTATTGGGCCAGGACCAGTATGTGACAAAATTACATTGTCTATTTAATTATAGTGAAGTTTTACTTTAAAAAATAAATAAAATAAAATAAAATTGTGGAAATGTATGTTTTTAATCTCTCAAATTTATGTCCCGTTTAGATAAAAATTGAAAGTTTCACAAGTTGGAAAAATTTTAGAAATAATAATAAAATTTGAGTATTTGATATGAAATTTAATGAGATTAAAATTTATATTTAATATGATAATTTAAAAAATATAATTAATAAATACTATAGAAATTCACATAAGTATATATATAAAAAAATCATAAAAATTTTGCCAAAAAAACTATTGTTTGCTAGGTTGTGTTTTCACCAATCCATTTTCAATACTCATCTACCTATAGTAATAGTCATATCTTTCCCACAAAATATATTACATTCTATATTTGCTTTTCATTCAATATATTAAATTTAAATTTATTTTTTAATAATGATAAATTACTATTATTTATATTATATCAAATAATTATTTTAATTCAAAATGTTATAATTTTCAAAAACATAATTAAACAAATAGTACCGGTATATTTGTTTTTGTTTCACACAAAAAAAATTACAATTTTAGATAATAAACATTATTTTTTTTAAAAAAAAATATTATATTAAAATACTATTTAAAGTAGAGTTTAAATCATTGTCCTAATTTCAAATCAAAATCGAACAAATCATATAATTTTTGCTCTATACAAGTTTAATTTACAACCTCGATTCCTACATATTTTCGATATCTATGTTTACATTTGACATAGATTGTTAAGATACGGAGTAATCATATTTTTTTAAAAAAAATTATGTTTGTTTGGGAGTTTGAATTTTGGGTTTAAGATTTGAATTATAAAAATTTTGAATTGAAATAATTATGTAATATATAATATAAATAGAGATGTTATATTTTGAATGTAAAATTGAGTTTTAGTATAATAATAAAATAAAAACAAATGTTTGATTTGATTTAAAAAAAAAAAGATTATTAATGAACATATTCTTGTAAATTTATTTTATATTCAAAAGCCGAACTCTCTCTCTATTTTGTAAATGCATAATAACTTTTTTTATTAAATTTTTTTTTGTCTGTTAAAATACTATTATTTCTTAATTACTAAATCCCAATGATGTGGCATAAAAAAGCCATGAAAGGAGCATAAATTATTACGAAAATATTTAATTAAATTGTGAACCAATATAAGTAATTAATTTTAGAAGGGTAGCAATATTGCTACATTTGACAACTAAAAACCCCAAATTCGTTGCTTTAATTTGAACAAACAAGATTCATCTAGAATGAACTTTCTCTCTCTCTCTCTCTCTCTCTCTCTATATATATATATATGTATGTATGTATATATATGTGTGTAGGTGTGATAAGTGTATGGATGGGTCATGAAATTCTTGCAGGGTTTGTATCACGTTACTCATGCCAACTCTTGTCTGTCCTCATCCTTCACATATATACCACAAATTATTTTTATTTTCACAATTAATTTAATTTAATTTGTTACAATTGTTTAATTAGTTATATATTATTAAATTAAATGTGTTTGTTTCGGGGATTGGATTTTAAATTCACTATTCATCCAATTTTTTTTCCTAAAAAATATCAAATTAAAAGACCTATTTTTTATTTTTAATATTATATTAAAAATCAATTTTACATTCAAAACATCACATCAATGCCTATTTATATCACATCATATAACTATTCAAATTCAAAATTTTTTATATTCTAATCTCAACTCAAAATCCAAAATTCCAAACAAACACACGAGTGTACTAGGGTTAGGGTTTTCGTGAGCATATAATAATAATAATATATATTAATTTTGTGTGTGCATGTGTTTATGATTAAAGTATTCCTAAATATAGGACAAATATTAATGTTGTAACAATTATTAATTGCATGCATTTTTGGATGTGGAACATTCTCCTTTATCTTACTTTTTTTTTTATCAATTTATACTATAAAAATGGTATTGTATAATTATCTGTATTCCAATTTAATGTATTACTTATCTTATAATAGATTAAAAAATAATATATTTTTTTTCTTGCATACTGAAAGAATATTTTTATTTTAAATAAAAATAATAAAAATAGTAATTTTAGTTAAAACAGATGAAATAATATTTTATTGATTAAAAAATTTTATAATATATAAAACTTAAATGGTTCATATCTTTTTAAGTTTAAAATTTAAATAAAATCATCTAAAGTGATATTGGAGTCGGAATATTTTCCCTTATTAAGTGATTGTAATAATATTATATAAATATTTTTTTTGTCTGTCAAATTTATTTATTTTTTTTTTTGTGTGTACGTCATTAAATTTATTTTATTATTAATTTTGATAAAATTAAAATATCAATATTTAAATATTATATTTCGTTCAAAATTTATTTAAAATAATATACCACTATTATTATTATACATCATTTATGTTATTTTTTCAACATTTCTAAAGTTTCATGAATATTTTCAGTTTAAGTTATATTTTTCAAATAAAATATTCATATACTTTAATCTCTTACCGATTCAAAACGAGGTAGAATTGCTATACAAGTTTAATTCAGGACCTGTGATCCCGGATCTCGGATGAATAAGAAGCGCCCTCCTTTCTTGAGGGCTCACTGTCCAAGACACTCATCAGAAAAGCCATTTTTGCACAGCCAAAAAAACAAAACCCTATTCTCCATGTCTTATAAATTGCCCTCTCTCTCTCTCAGACAAACTATAGATACAGATATGTATATGTATAGATTACATTACATTGCATAAACATTGCCAGTCTTTATTTCATTTAATTCGACTTTCCAGCCTCGATCGACTTTTTCAGACACACAATTCAGTCTCCACTTCTCCAACTACTTATCATTCTCCATTTTCATTTATTCAAATTTATGCTAATTTTCTTTTAAAAACTATTTATTATGATTTAAAATTACAAACTCAAACATGTACAAATTCCTTTATAATTTGTGATTATTGATTAGGGTTTACGATAAGTGTTGTTTGTATATACATGCATATATAGGCATTTGTGTGTAATTTTACATTAATTAATTAAAATATAATAATAAATTTATATATGTATATTTACCTTTTTTATTTAGATAAAAATTTTAGAATTCTAGAAAATTTTGAAAATAGTAAAAAAAGTGAAGTATTTAATTTGATATTTTATATAAGAAAAAAAAAAGTTTACTTTAATCTATTTTTTAAGAAATAGTATTTTTTTTTTTTTTTAATTCACTAGTACTAAAACTTATTAAAGAATTCAACCATATCTTTGTCCGAAAATTTATTGCATTAATTTAATTGAGGTAACCCTCTAACCTTTTTTTTTCCTAACCTTGTTGAATGTTGATATATACCAGATTATGTTCCGGAGCTGGGGTGCCGGGAGTTGTGTCCAAGAAATAATAGGCAATATACAGAAGGTCCAGATCCAGGTCCAGCTTCATTAGCTACTGTCAGTGTATGTATTGATGCAGTGAGTTGGTGATCTGAGAGAGACTAACTTAAGAAGACACTCAGACAGTATAGAGAGAGAGAGAAATAGAGGGTGTTTTTTTTTAGAGAGAGAGAGAGGGTTTTTGTCTGAACCATTACAGGTGAACAAGCTGATATATGATCCACATCTGTCTGTGTGTATCTATATCTCTTAATTTGTATATATATATATATTGTGATTTAATTGTGCATGTATGTAGATATGTTGTATGCAGAAGAAGCAATTAATTGTGTTTAATATTGCTCCAAATATCCATCACCAATCCCAATGTGATCGTGATGATGCAAGAAACCAAGAATGCTAGTGATAAAAAGAGGGTTTTAATTTGTTTTGTTTTAAATAGTAAGATAAGTAATTCCTACACAGATTGTGTGACAATCAATATCAAGACATGTCCGGAATTTTCTATCTATGATTTTACGATCGCAGGTCCACTATTCAGTGACCTCTTACAATAAACAATTTCAAACTTCTCGTTATATGAAAGACAATACAACACAACAAAAGTGGGAGTGAGAATAAAAGTGGAAGATCTCTAAATAAAAGTTGATTAAATCAAGAAATTTGATATTTTGAGGCATAGATTCCATCCAGAATTGACTTGATTCCATAAGATTATGAGTTTAAATTTCGACATCCTTAAAGTTTTAATTGTAATATACATGGTTCGTTTAATATAACTTGATTTTTCGAAATTAATTTGCAAGCTATTAGATTAAAAATTAAAACAAGTCTCTTAACCATAATTTTACAAAAATAAATAAATGCATGCAAGAATTAGGCCTAATCTTAACTATTTTTATTAATTTAAGAAACTCTGCCATACACTTCCAAGACATAATCGCAAACACAAACAGATTTATCTATATACACATAATTAAAGACGGGCAGAACCAAATTCAAGGATCTAACAAAGATTTAATTAATTAATAAATTACAAGTTTAATTAATTAAAAGAAAAGCTCTTCGATTTCTTCATTAATTCCCAAAAGCCATATGAAACTGCAAAAGCCACTCTTGTTTGTTTTTATTCCATCTTATCATCTGCAGCTGCAGCACACAAAATCGAACAAACAAACCAGCGATTACATGTAAGAAATATATATATATATATATATATGGAAAACTGCAATTAACTGAACGAACGAAAACTCAACTGTTTGATTTATTAATTAATTAATAATCACCGTTGTTCCAGGCCTGGATTGATTCTGTCCAGTTGCTGCTGCTGCTGTTAATGGTTGCTGTATTGTCCGCCATTGTTGTCAGTGAATTACCTTCGAAGTACCACTCCGTCGACAGGCCGGCGGCGGCGGCCTGATGATCTTTCCGGTCTTGCCTGGAAATGCCGAACATGATTTGTTGGGGTTTGTGATTATTGATCATCGGCGGCGGCGGCGGTTCGGTGGATGGGATCATCGATAATCTCTGCTGCTGGAGCTTCCAGTGGAGGTCCTGGTTAATGGAGCTCAGGGATTCGATGGAGGAAGCCAGGCTGCCATGGAGGCTGAGGGATCCGAGCTCCTGGTTTATGATTCCCGACGAAATTGGGAAGTTTGAGAAGTTAATTAACGGTGAGGAAGACGCGGCGGCGGAGGCGGCGGGATTAGGGTCGAGGAGGTTGAAATTAGGGTTTTGGGAAATTGAATCGGAGAATTGGGGGAACAGGCCGGCGGCGGCTGGGAGCGGCGGGCTGTGGTGGAGCCGGGGGAAAGCGACCTGGAAATCCATGGCGGGGGAGACGCCCTGGAAAAATTTCAACCCGCCGCCGACGACGTTGATGTCGGATGATGCGATGGAGTCTTTCGAGGAGCCGTCGCCGGAGAATTGCGGGGAGGTTTTCATCAGCTTTTTGTTTTTCCGGCAGCCGCCGCCGATCGGCACGTTCCGCAACGCGCCGCCTTTGGTCCAGTACCTCCGGCAGGTCTTACAGAAATGGCGGGGCTGAGTCAGGCTGTAGTTATTGTAGTAGCAGAATTTAGTATTGGGGGAATCACAGCGGGGGCACTTGAGGACCGGGCCGGCGGCGGCGGAGCCGCCTCCGCCGCTTTTCCGTCCGCCGGAATTTTGGGCATCATCTTTTCCGGCGGGATTGATGTGATCAGGCGACATGTTTGAAAGGGGGTTTTGGAATTGGGGTTTGTTCTTATAGAAAAAAATTGGACTAAACATACAGATTGGAAATTAAATCAAATTAAATTCGAACCGATTGATGCAAGAAGAGGAGTGAGAAAATTGGTTGAATTTCCTGTCTTGGAGGTAAAAGAGGAGTGAGAAAATTCATTGAAATCATGCTTAGGGTTGATGGGCAATGAGTGGATGCTGATGGGCTCCTGTGATCTTCATCAAGCTTCAACCTAGGCTGTTTCTTGGAGGTTGGATCTGAGAGAGAGTTATGGTTTTCTAGAGAGAGAGAGGGAGTGCAGAGAGCTAAGCAGCAGGGTGATAGATACAGAGAGAGAGATAGATTACATATATATATACAGCAGTTCTTCCATGGCTGGACAACGGACAAAACAGACTGTGGTGCTTTCAATTGAATACAGAGCGTCGATGGCGAGGGGTCCACTTACTGGACGGCTTGGATGTGGTCTGGATCTCCAGTCCTGGGTGTTACAAACGTGGGACGTTTTTCATAATTACCTGAGTTATATAAAGGTAAGCCAACAGGAAGAACTGGGAAGATCCACGCTGCCAATTTTAGGCCCACAAAAAGTGAGCAACACCTGGACTTCGAAACCAAATTGATCTAGACCGTCCGGATTGAGCAATATGAACGGTTTAGATTTATCCGGTTCTCAACACCTGTGTGCGCGGAACTGGTCCTTATGGAAACCGAAGCTGTCTGTGTATTAATACTATGGTCCGTAGAACAGACCACTTCTTTATATAGGATTGTCTGAATCAGATATTATTTGGTTATTTATTTATTTATTTATTATATTGATAATTTTCAATTTTAAAAAATATTTTATTTTAATAATATTATAATTAAGAAGAAATAAATTTTACATAATAATTGATTAGGCGTATGTGATTTTCTATAGCATAATAAAATCAAGAATTAATTATTAATTCTAAAAGGAGCCTTTCATATTCATTTTGTCTAAAAATTTAAATAGATAAAAGTCCTTTAAATGTGATTGGTATATATACATACATGTTATTTATTGCTAAATAATTTTTGTATGTAATATATAAATAATTCATCATTTTATTTATTTATTTTTGTAACTAGACTATATATGTAGCTCTTGTCTATTTTTCTTAATTTTCAATACATTTTAGCATCCATTAATTATTTTTTACAAAGTTTTGCAATACTATATTGTGTAAGAGAATTGAGCAATATAGAAGCATTTCACTTTATTAAGATGGCCAAAAATAAAAATAAAAATAAAAATAAAAATTGAATGCACATTTCATAAAAAGTATTCCGAACGGGTTTTTAGAAAATCGGTAAGTCATGTAGCCGCGGTAATTCAAAACCACAAACCAGAGGATTCGAGATGAAACCGGGTGCGCCGTTGAATATAAATTCATCGTAAAAATGAAAAAAAATAATAAAAAGGAAAATATGTGCTATATTCAAAATATACGGAAAATATTACCTACACAAAGGTATATATAAAACACATATTATGAGCCATTTATAAAATAAAACAAATTATATAAAGAAGCTTGAAATAAGTTAAAATTTTTGTGTAAAAATTTGCTATCTATTTAGATAAATTTTGGGAGTTTTTGAAATATTTTGGAGATAATAAGAAAATAATGTATCTATGAGAAAAAATATATATTGTGTGACAATTTGTTAAATGTGTTATTATTAATAATACCAAAGTTTTCAAAAAAATGTGTATGTAAACAAAGTTTTGATTGATGTATATTTACGGTAAAAATTGAAAAAAATAACTAAAATAATATTAATTAAATAGAAAATATGAAGAATAAATAATGGTTTATTTATTTATATTCTTAAAAAATATATTGTATCAAATAATATATATATATGATATTATATTAATTAATTATTTTTACTGTACAAATTATCAAAATAAATAAAGAGTTTGTTCGTTTATTATTTTTTAGTGGCGCGATTATTATGTTATTATAAATATTTTATTAAAAGATATAATATACACTATTAACATAAAATATATTCCATTAATTTATAAAAAATTGTTGACAATTCAATACAAAATATTATTTTTTATATTATGAAGATAATTCTTCATATACCTAATATAAAAAAGTTCACACATCCAAAATAACAAAAAAAATTACGAAATGAACAAACCCAATATTTTATATATATATATAGAAATAAAATATTAATTTAATTTTTAAAGAAAGAAAAAATGATGTGATATTTAAAAAAATTATAAATAGTAGTACTATTAAAAATAATTTGATGGAATACTCAATTTGTCCTCGAATGTTTGCATGGTTTGTTTTTGCCTAATTTTTAGATTATACTACATAATTTTAATAATTTAATTGACAATCTTATTCCGATATTTATTAAAAATATTTTTATAAATCACATTTAAAAGATAACAATAAAAATCATTACAAAGTTGCAATTTTTATTTTTATTCTTGAACATCTAAAAAAAAAAAAGAAAAAAAAAAAAGGGAAAAATTTGATAGCACGATGGATTGTATTGTGGAGACAAAATCTGATATGCTGATTGTTGATTATTAATATAGTAAGAAGTGTGTCTCAGACACATATTAATTATTGCACTATAATTAATTACTGCTCCATCTATCCTCATTTATTTCTTATTAATGACCATAAATGTCCACACAATACCGTAATATATATATCCTCCCAAATGTGTACAATTATTTTTATTAAAAAGATATAGGGTGTGTACTGTGTTTGTTTTGTGTTTTGATTTTGGTTTTAATGATTTTTCGTCATTTTTTTTACATAAGTATAAATATTTGTTTAAATAATATAAAAATAATGAACCTGGGTAGTATATAAATTATTTTTTTATATCTATCATACCATTCTCTTATACACCATCCATTTATTCATTTATTTTTTTTTGCACTAAAATAATCTTATTAGTACGGTGTGATATAAAAGTAATGATATTTTGGTAATATATTGTAAGTTGTAAGAGTATTTGTAATGTTAAGTAGGTAGTACAATTATTAAAAAAAGAAATAAATACTTATGAGACGGACTAAAATGAAAAAAATAGATATTTTTTAATGAGATTATTCATTTTCGTAAAAACATGTGTCCAAATATTTGAGTATACACTTTAAAGGTGGAAGTATCATATATATATATATAGAGAGAGAGAGAGAGAGAGAGAGAGATACTACAGCCATGGAAATGGATAATAATGGAATCAAAGGTATGAAAGATCGAGAATTTAATGGAGGAGAATTAATTAATTAATTAATTAAGCAGTATATATGATGCAATGTTGAGTAGTGCAGTGGGTTCCTCGTGAAGTGAGGATCGATGAAGACGATGACGAATTGGATTGAATAGTAAACCCTAATTTACAATTCTGATGACATGAGCACTAATCACTCACACTATTCATCCATTAATTACATTTACAGTTAGTTACACATACATCGCCAGCTGCAGCTTCACTGAAGCAGCTATATGTATATATATCTCTACTCTAATTAATGGCGTGCTTATCTGTCTCCACTGTCATCGTCTTCTTCCTTAGCTCGTAGTCCGTACTATTTGTACTGCAAGCCCATGGAGCTGAGGTCCAAGCCTTTTTTGAAACAGATGGCATTGGGCTTCGTTTGCGTATGAGTCCATTAACGGCCCACTCAATTTCCAATTGGGGAACCCTAAACCCCTGATGGAATTTTTCAATTTTAGATTTATCCAAACTATAGATTTTGAAATTTAAAAATAATAATAATAATTAATATTTAATGTACTATTTATATAAAAATATATTTATTATATTTTTTTAAAAAAATTAGTATTTTTTTAAAAAAATTAGCCTGTTTGGATTAATATATGTTATTTTTACCCCCAAAAAAGAAAAAAAAAAATTTATTTAAACCCTAAAAGGTTTGTTCCAGGTTGCTATTATCTTTTTTTTTTTTTTTTAATCTGTTCTTACTAGTAATTTTTGTTTTATATATATAAAAAAAAAATTAATTTTATATTCAGTTGGGTTTTACCTTCATTCTGTCAATTACAATCGTATTTGCTGAAGACACCGCCGGTGGAAACGGCGAAGAGCTATTTTTGAAATTCAGTTTCTCTATCTTCTCGGAAATTGTCAATTACGATTCGTGCAATAGCAGTTAGTTGGAGGAATTCGATCAAATGGAAGTTGTTTTTGAGTTGAGGATTTGACTGCTGTTTTGATTGTTCTTGGGGCACTTCCGTGAAGAAGGTGTTCGTGGGCAACAACACGATCGACTGAAATCGAGGAATCGAGAAACGTATACAATTGTTGAGGTTACCTTTCACACTCTCTCTCTTTAATTACAAATTTCTAGGATTTTACGCTGGGAATGTGTGGCCTGGTATGTGTTCGATGAAAAAGTGTTCTTTAGAAATTTCAGGCGGAATTCGTTCAAACATTTTTTTTTTTTTTTAGTGGGAGGGTTTGACTTCCATTTTGATTGCTCTTTGTGCAGTGCTGTAAAAAAAGGTGCTTGTGGGCAACAACACGAACGATCTTGGTGGAGGAATTAAGAAAACTTCGCAACTGTTCAGGTTACCATTCAATCTTCTCTTCTTACAGTTGTGTATTTGCTGATCAAGAATTTCTAGTTGGGCGTAACGTGATATTAGAACTTTAAACATGAACCCGACCAATATCCTATGCTCGAGTTCTGGTTGTTAAGCTTGTTAAACTAAGCATTCTTGTTTTTTTAATAATTTGTTCTACTTTGTTTCATATATATTTGAAGCAAAGCACGATTACTGTTAAGCAATGAAGGTTGGCTCTCCATGTCTGGCAACATGTCCGATGATAGATTCCAGTATCAAATCACTAAACATATTTTCGAATGAAATTCCAATAGAGATACTGGTTGATAAGTGTGATACTGCAACGAATAATAGGTTTAGGATACTCATTGAGGAAATGCACACACTCATTGATTGCTTTAGCATTTAGCTTTCTTCGCCGACTTGGATTCTTCCCGACTCTTTGCTGGAGCTGAAGGGGTTGGAGACCCTCCTTCTTGACCCATCTCGCCTCTAAGATCGTTGATGCTCTGCTCTAACTCATCAATTCAGCTTCCCATCTCATCAATTTTACAAACGTTGGATTTTGACATTGCCTGGAACCTAGATTGCATTTGCTGGAGAAGATTTTGCACAAATGCAGTCATGTTGGCAGTATTTTGCTTAGCATTTTCAGTATCGTGTCCATCCATTTTAAAAAATCCATAGAGAGTGGAATTGGAGCAGAAAAGCTGATGGGATTTTTTGATTTTTTGTTTCATACATTGTTTCGAATGAACACTTACGAACTTGATATTTTAACTATTCTTACTGCTTGACAGCTCTTGAACTGGTTGCTGCATTGGGTGATTTTCAGCCTTTGTTCGGTTGTTTTCATTGACTTTGGTTTCTTTGTATATGAAGTTTAGGTGCCTTGCCATTTATTTGGCATACATGGCTACTCCTAAGCCTCGCACCGGTAGTTTCTCTCGCAATGTTTCTACAACATCCAACATGGCCTCGCCGATCCCCGGGCTGAAGCATGGTCCAAACGGGACGAATTTTCTTTCATCCGGAATTCCAGATCTTGACAGTAAGTGTTTTGCCCTTCTGCTCTTTTCATGCTGAAATTCCACATTCAGGAATTTATGTTTTAGATGAAGTTATAAACTATCAATTTTAACAGGGATTTTGGGAGGTGGTTTTGCATTGGGAAGTCTAGTGATGATTATGGAGGACACCGAAGCACCACATCATATGTTGTTGTTGAGAAATTTTATGTCTCAAGGGCTGGTTCATTACCAGCCTCTTATCTATGCCAGTCCTGCAAAAGACCCGAGGGGGTTTCTTGGAACTTTGCCTAGCCCAGTTGTCTCTAAGGATGATAAATCTCGTGTTCACGACACAGAGAATGTATTCATCTGTTTTGTTTTTTCTATACCTTTGAGTCGGAAGTTTGTGTTTTCTTTTGGCTAATTTTGTTCGTTGAATTATAGGAGAATGGATTGAGAATTGCTTGGCAATACAAAAAGTATTTTGGTGAAAATAATTCAGAATCTCAAAGAGGTGAAGTTAATTAAGCCTTACCGTTCTCAACTTATGCTCGATCATTACTTGGCATTGTTATGTTCGGTGATTTGCATTTTTGTTTGCTGTATTATGTCTTAATGTTTTCTCACTTTGTTAATTGATAGGTTTTTAATGTTATTTACTAGGAAAATAGTGGTGGCAAAACTAATGATGCCTTTTTTTTACTGTTTGCAGATGGGAAGTCGGAGTATTGTGGTGAATTTGACTTGCGGAAGCCCCTTGAGAGGCACTTCTTCAGTCGACAGAATATCGATTGTGTTAGCCTTACAGAATTTGCTGATCTTGCCTCATTTCATGAACGCTGTTCAACCTTATTAGCTCAAAATTCTCGGTAATGCTATATATTTTACTTGTGCATTTTACGTTACTTACATTCAACATGTGTTGGATAGATGATCTTGCTAAATAAAACATGATATGGTGTTTGTTGATTTGGCACTTGGCATATGTATATCTTTTGGGATAATCTTGGGGGATAGTATTGCTTCAGATTCGACAACATAACATGGTTAATTCAAGAAGGATCGATTTCACTTTTCCGCCACTAGAATAGAAAAAAAGTTGAGATTACATTGTTGAATTATAGTCCCCTCGAAATGTAGCCATCAACACGTGGAAATTCATTTTAGATGCACTGGAGTAATTTGAAGTTTCATGGAGTATTTTTTACTTTATTCATTGTAGAATTGCAGAATATGTGATTGGACTATAATTGTCCCAATCTGATACTCGATTGACCATTTTTTTTGTAGATTATGATATATTTTTAACGTTTTCAGAAACAATGGAAGCTCAAACATCACAGGTGGTCGTATTGCTATTCAGTCACTCTGCTCTCCTCAATGTGAATTCTTCAATAAGGTAAATTCGACTTATATCGTCATCACGGATCAAGCATTTTCAAATGCTTATTACACAAGTCAAGCAATTCTCTTGTAGGAATGGGAGATGCTTTCTTTCATACGCTCGCTTAAAAGCGTGATCAGATCGTCAAATTCAGTTGCGGTCATAACCTTTCCACCATCGCTCGTCTCCACAGCCTTCTCCAAACGGCTGCAGCATTTGGCCGACACCTTAGTTTCAGTCAAAGCAATTCTAGGTGCGCATTGTCGCTTTCTTACAACACCTTCACACAACTCTTGTAATTCCATAGACAACATAACTTACACCGCTTTCTTCGACCAGACGAAGACAAGGAACTTGCTAAGCTTCTTACGGGATATCAGGACATGGTCGGTCTCCTCAGCGTCCACAAAGTTGCGCGCATCAATACACAGGTATGAGCCATTAAGGTTAAAAATGTTTTCTTTCGAGTGTAGCTAATGATCCCTATGACTGAAAAATAGAACACTTCGACTTTTTTGAGTGATTTCTTGGTTTATACTTTCGGTACAGGTCCCTACAATTCTTGAGACGACGACGTACTCCATGAAACTGCATAAACGGCGATCCTTAATCCTCGAATGTCTGAACCAAGCCCCTGTAGATGGCTCGAGTGGAAACTCTTACGCATCATCCGGTAGCTGTTCCGGATCTTTCAAGACGGGCCCTCTCGACTTCTAGTCGCGCTGTCTATATATATACACACACGTAAGTTTTCCAGGCTTTGGATGATCCTTTGATGCATGTGTGATCCTTAAATGTTGTCCAGACATTTCTTGCTGATTGCAAGAAACTGTTGTTTAACTTATATTACTTGAGAAAGATCCGCTCATTGAAAATAGTAAAAATTTTAAATTTGGAAAAAGTGAAGAACTTTGAAAGAACCAGTTCAATGTTACAAACAAACTAGAACATTACATGCCGTGTAATATTATTGCATGCATATGCATAAGTAGTGTCTCTCTTTATTCTTAAGCAGCAAACATACCAAAAACACACAAGGGAAACATTACACTGCATTCTCATTCGGGTTTCAGTGATTTTTCGACGTCGATCACGAAACGGTACTTGACGTCGGATTTCAGGAGGCGCTCCATCGCGGTATTGATGTAGTCGATCGGGATGATCTCGACGTCCGGCAGGATGTTGTGCTTCGCCGCAAAATCAATCATTTCTTGCGTCTCCTTCATCCCGCCGATCCCGCTCCCGGACACCGACTTTCGACCTGCAAATCCATCCAAACAAGAATCTATCTTTGTCCCGACAAAGCGTCATGAAGAAAATATATGTAGGAAGCAAACTAACCCGCAATCAAGGAGAAAGCCGGAACCTCGTGGGGCTTGTTCGGGACACCGAGTAAAACGAGTCTACCTTGCGGCTTTAACAAGCTTATCAATGGCGTGATCGGATGAATCGCAGACACCGTGTCGAGGATGCCGTCCATTGTACCGGCTGCAGCCTGTTCGCGGAAATTAAATGTGCTGATTAGCCGTAATCAACATGAAATATGATATACATCACATTAAGGTAGACAATACCTAGCCTATGTTTAATGTAATACTATAAAATATAACATATGAATTAACAAATGAGGATAATAATCTATAAAACACATACTATCATGAATGTCAGCGTATAATATATGTTCATACAACACACCCTTAAATATGAACATACCGCATTTTCCTAAATTTTCATGCATTGATTGGCAAAATCAATACGATGCTAATGAATTTTTTCCAATCAGTATGGTAATCGATCTCATTTTATATGTATTCTCTACTAACATCTACTTTGGGCTGAATTTAGCTATAGCATGTGTAATGTAGACCGATTTCATGTGTTGTCTCCGTATTAATACTATATTAATTGGCATACATCAGCTGATCCAATTAAGTCGACATATTACTGATTTGACCCGATCATATATATATATATTTATATATTGTAATATTACAACGTAGAGTCAAATCAAAACTATATTATATCAGGACATGCAACCTATATTAACATATATTTTATGTTGTCTGTTTATATTTTTCGGACAGATGATTTATATTTCATATGATGTCGGCACTATGCTAATTATAATTAGTCAGCACACTAACTATCACCAATCAAACAACAAGTCGAGTAAAAACTACCTGCATTTGCTCGGCGTCGTTGCTAACCAAGAAATTATCGGCCCCGAGCTTACCGATGGCCTCATCCTTCTTACTCAAAGATGTACTAATGACCGTCACCTTAGTCCCAAACGCCTTCGCAAACTTCACGGCGACATGGCCGAGCCCGCCGAGCCCGACCACGCCGACGTGCAATCCGGGCTTGTCGAGCCCGAAGAACCTCAACGGGCTGTACGTGGTGATCCCGGCGCACAAAAGAGGGGCGCCGATGTCGAGCGGAAAATTCTCCGGCCACCGGACGACGAAATGCTCGTCGGCGACCATGAGATCGGAGTAGCCGCCGTAGGTGATGGTGCCGTCGGTGTAAGGAAAGCTGTATGTAAGAATCTGCTTGGCGCAGTAATTCTCGAGATCTTCGTTGCATTGAGGACAGTCCCGACACGACCCGACCAGACATCCGACGCCGACTTTGTCGCCGGCTTTGAACTTATCCACTTTGCTGCCGACTTCGGTCACCACGCCGACGATCTCGTGCCTGAATCGGACAATAAAGCGATTTACAGAACTGAACGATGATTCCGAGACAGCAGATTAATTAATTTTTAATTTAATTTAATTTCTGTAGAGCTCACCCAGGGACGATGGGGTATTGAGTGAAACCCCACTCGTTCTTAACCATGTGAAGATCGGAGTGGCAGACGCCGCAGTAGAGAACTTTGAACTGCACATCGTGCTCGCCAGTTGCCCTAATTTGTTAATTTTGATTAGATCGGACGACGTTGTACTCAATCGAATCGATTTAAGATTGATTGATTTAGTGATTACCTTCGGGAAAACTTGAAGGGGGAGAAGATTCCAGAAGTGTCTCTGGCAGCCCAACCGAGTGCCTTGACTGGATGCTCTGTTTCGGGTGTTTTCGCCATTGAAGGACTATAGGTAAGATAGAGATTGGGGGTTTCTTGCTATTGTTTTTATCTTAATGTGTGTTGATATATACAAGGAAATCGAAGTTGACTGTGAACAGCGGGATGTGTCTGTCGGTCGTGAATTATTGTCAATTTATTACACTGAAGGGGACCGTGGAGTTGGGTGGGGGGTGGATGGATGACATTCAAGTAGATGTTTCGGTGGATCGGGTCGGGTCGGCAAGGATCCGACAGCCCGGCCCGCTTTTATCTCGGCTCCATACAATATACAGGGTGTGTTGCTACTTGTTTGGTATTTTGAAATTTTTATTTATATTTAGTATTGAAATAGCGTTTAATAAGACATTCTATAATAAATAATATATATATTTTTAATGTTAAGTAAAGTAAACGAGACTCTTCAAGTATTACGGTGAGAATACTATATATTTTATCATTGTCTCATAAAAAATAAATTTATAATCGCGAGGCTATGAATTCAAATTTCGATGTTTCAAGATCTTATCTTTCGGATCTTGGTTGCCATACATTATTTGGCTAATATGACTTGTTTGAACCTAATTAAACACTCCATATTTCCTTGCAAAAACTGATTTTGATAGAAAAAATGATAAAAATACATATTTTTCAGATGGACTGAAATTGTATATATATAGATATATATTAGAGTTTGAACTTAAATAAAATATAAAAATATTGTAATTTTCAACTAAAATCATTTTTAATATATTATTTTAAATAAAAAAATAAATATTCAAAATACAATATGTAACCTGAGTGAGACATTTTTATTAGCCCTAAAAGATAGTTGTCTCCATTTATGTGTCCTAATAAGCTAACATTAGTAGCGGGCTCTCCTCGTGTCTTTAAGCACGCACTATTACACCTATTATTTTTGACATTAAATGCAAATAAATTGGGTCCACAACTAAACAACATAAGTAGTCAATAGTTTTATTAATGAGTATAATTGCTGCAATTATTCGTCTATACATGACTTAAATTAAGTTAATAGGCCGTCACTTTGTATTATATATTGGTCTTGTGTGTTAACTTGCAATTTATAATGAAACTAATCATAATTGTATCATATTAACTATTAACCACCCACAATAATTTATGAATAATACTACAAAAACAATTATTATTATTATTTTAAAGTTATTTTCTATGGGGCTAATTATTTGGTATTTCTTAAACCTTCACCCATTGGAGATTGCCATGGAACTCTCAATGTGTATATATCACACAAAAATTGAATGTGTATTTTTTTAAAAAAAAAAGAAAAACAGAATATATATATCGGCCATAATATGTATTCTTTCCTATTATCCGTTATTTATTCATTGTTATTACATATTTACAAATAACAATAATGGGCCATTTAAAAAGCCCAAAAGTATAATGGGCCAATTCTGAGTAGGCCCATCTTATCAGGTCAACTATGGTGGGCGCCATCGGTATCTGCAACTGTACTATTTCAGACGGTCCCACAAAAGTTCCAGAATCTTCCTTCTCAAGGCCCACATGCACGACGTGTGGCTGGAAATGGAGTTCCTCTCAATCCTCCACCAATTCTGCAACTGCTACTCTCTTTCATTCTCTCTCCGGCTTGTGAGTGTTATGCCTATCTACCGATTTTTACACTTAAAATTTTTTGTTTCGGTCTTGGATGTTTTGAAATTAACAACTTTTTAGCTTCATTTTTATATATAATGGTGCGGTTCATGATGGAAGCTTCGGGATGGTTATTTGGGGGTTCGTTTCGTGACTTTTTTAACAGATACATTGTTTTGAATGGCATTGTTGCATCATAGCTGGGAATTGGGGGCTTTCTCCTGTGATTGAATGGAATTTGTTGAATTAGGTTAAATCTGATTCGAAATGTGAATTGGTTGATGTCATAGTGAACAGTGCAGTACAATTGGTGATTCCCGTAAGTACGTGATAGTCTCGTTTGGTTTTTAGTTTAACGTAATAACTTGAGTTCCTAGATTGAGTTCATATGTTTGTTCTGAGGTAATCAGTTCAGTTCTATCCCAATATTGGAATTTTAGTTTAACTAGCAATTAAGGTCACTGGTCATCAGTTTTCAGCACATATAGACTTCTCTACCTGTTAGCTGCTATATTCAAACATCTACTAAGAAATGCTAATTTGTGTTGGTTGACTCGTCCATTGTTCCATCTCATATTGAAGCTGCAGTCCAAGCTGTAAGATCAAAACCATGGCCCAACCAACTAGGTTGGTTTGTAAGTCACTGCAGCATCCTAACTCATATACTGCTGCTATACATCAAGGCGCCAACCATCATAAAAAAGGCAACCATCGTCATATAAAGTTATCTCAAAACAGATTGTGGCAGCCTTTGGGTGGAACAGGCTGCACTTACATTGGATCAAAGGGATCTTTTTGGGCATGTCAATCAACTGAGACACACAATGCTGAAACGAGGGAGCACGTAAGACATTACAGTGATTGTTCAAACATCTCCAGGTATGTGTGACATCTTAGAACTAATAATCTGTTGAGTTCCTATTTGCCTTGAGTGTTTCAATTACATCGACATTAAGGTTTTGAATATGACAATTTTCCAATGTGTTTTGTGTTGAATGGGACCAAGATTGTTCTTGTTCTTCACTTAGGAGATGGACATTATTTTTAATATAATTATCATGGACTACAAAAACCCTTGATTTGTAATGGGTCCCATAAGCTAGGATAGATATAACATTTTTCCTTCTCTTCTAAAACCTTTATGGCTTAAGATATATCTCACACACACACACACACACACACACACACACACACACGCATTCTATATGCAAATGCATGCTTTAAAAATGTTACATTTGTCCTTCTGGAATCGTGCACTTTATTTATCAACATGAATCTCTTGATTCCAAAAACTTATAGATGTTGTCATGCTTGTTTTTTTTTTGTTTCTGTTTTGATAGTCAAAGTGAAGATGATCATTCTGTTGTTGGAGTTGGAAAGATTGTCCCTTCAAGGAATGGATTAGCTCAAGCACATGAATTTGCTTGCAACGATGCAAAATTTGTTAATGAAAGGGCTAAAGATGACATCGTACTTCTTTCCCGGTAGTATGGATATCCATCAGCATTACAGAAACAATTTAATCTGGATTTAAATTACCTACCCTTCCTTTCGATCCTGCACTGATTCCAGATATATTATGCTATCTTGGAATCTTTGCTTTGTTACTTGTTTCTTGTGGTTAACCATTTTCATAGACTTTATAGCTGGAAACTACTTTTATTTGTTTTTTTTCCGAGAGGTATAAAATGATATCCTTGATTTCTAAAACCTGGTAGCAATTTAAAATTTTCAGAAGCATCGCGAGGTTGGATGCTCGCGCACGGCAAGACGTTGCATTTCTTGGGTCAGAGTTCCTTAAGCTTGATGGTAAAATTCTTACTCCACTATTTCCTAATATTTTGTGATAAGCAAGTGTCTGAACTAGCTGAATCTGCCATGTCAGGCGGACCGCCAATATAGATTTGTGATGCAAATTAGTAACATATCCAAGTTGGTTTCTTCACTCTAGCTTAGCATCTAGATCTCATTTTAATCGTTAAACTACATTCAACTGAATGTTTGATTAGATTAATAGTTTGATAAAAGACATTCAACATACTAAACATGAGATTCAATGGTAATTCATTATCTGAATCTTTTCTGTCATGGTAGCCCGGGCAAGAGAGGATGTTGAGAAAATTGATTATGATGTAAAGAGGAAAGCTGAAAGGCTTCGTTATATTACCACTGTAAGGGCTTTCCTTTCTCAAGTAGAGGAGATCTTTCAAACTTGCTAAGTTGTAAAGTAGTTTTGGTAATGATTTCGTTGTTCGTGGCAGCTTTTGAAAAACGAAGCTCAAGATAAATTGAGAACTGCTGCTGATAAGCACTGGAGTGATGGTGCATTAGAGGTGAGTACTTGTGCAGAAGAGTTTCCTAGATAAGAACTTAGAGGCTCTATGTGATGATCTCATGCTTCGACTAACACCTTACCTTTTTCAAAATTAAAAATAAATAGAAGGAACATCAGAAGGATTTCAACAGGCTAATTTGTAATTTACCCTACATATTTGCTTGCATTAACTTTTGTTGTTATTTGCTCTTGATCTAAAAAATATCCAAAACAACCTGTTTGTTCTCAATCAGGCTGACTTGAAGCTAGCCGATGTTGTTGCCAAGCGGCGTGCAATGGAGGATTCTTTAATGGCTTTGGAGGTATTTTTGTTGTTCCTTGTTCTTCATTCAATAAAGCAAAGATTTGTGTCGTCCGGAAAGGTCCAATGAATCCTTTTTATTTTCCATATTTCCATCCTTATTTAGTGACTAGAAAATTCTGAATTCTCTTTCTTGAGTTTTCAGTTTGTCAAGAACATTCATGACATGATGGTTAAGAAAATGTAAGTTTCTATTACAACAATTTCTTTTTTCATACACTGTTTTATTCGACTAGTTTCTGACTGAAATGCTTTCACCTTAGCAGGAGAAGAGATTCCACAAACACCTGTAAGGCCATGAGTCACATTACACTCGAAAAGAATGGCGAAACCCTCGACTTCATTCCTGGTGAGGTATCTCCCGCCCGAATTAGTGCTATCGAGGTTAGTTTCACCTTAGTAGAGTGTACTATATTCATGTTAGAAAACTTTATTTTTAACCATTTATATCTGCCAACGTATGTATGTTAGGAAGCATATAGAAGCATAGCTTCTGCACTCTCTGAAGCTGATGGAATCGACTATGCTGATCCGGAAGAGGTCTGTGCAAGCTAAGCTGCATGTTCTTAATTATCAGAAGCTTTACCACTACTTCGATTCACAATCATCTGAGATATTTTAGATATTTAATTTATGATTTAGATTAAATTATCGTTATTATTTGGTAATATTTATTAAATTATGTGGTTATTATTTGAGCGTATCGTCTTGTCTTCTTCTTATTTGCAACAGCTGGAGCTGGTGGTGGCGACACTTATTGATCTCGATGCCATGGATGGTAAAAGCACCGTTTCTCTATTGGCAGAGTGTTCGAATTCTTCGGATGTCCGAACAAGGCATGTTTGAAAATCTATTGTTAACCTTATTTCTTGTTTTATGATTCGACATTCTTTGATTTACATTCTTTGTCTGTTTCCTCGACAATGCAGGAAGGCGTTGGCCAATGCATTATCAGCTGCGCCGTCGATGTGGACTCTTGGAAATGCCGGCATGGGAGCTTTGCAAGTAGCTTTGTTTTTTTGTTTCTGCTTTTGCTTTTGCTCTTCAATCCTTACAAGAAGTGTTTTCGACTAAATGTCGCAATGTATCGTGTTTTGCAGAGATTGGCGAACGACAGCAACCCTGCGATTGCTGCTGCTGTGTCGAAAACAATACTCGAGTTGAAGAAACAGTGGGAAATTCAAGAGGGAGATACCTGGAGGTTCATGATGAACGAAAAATCGAACGACGACGACGACGAGGGAGATGACAATGAAATGAGGACTAAGTAGGAACGACTATCTTGCTCAAAGGGGTAACTTTTAGTTTAGTTATGTTATCGTTTCTATGCTTATAATTGTTTGTTTGTTTTGATTTGATTTATTATTGTTGAAAATCCATTTGAACACAAATTTAAGTGCCTAATCGAACGGATTGAGAGTGTGGGTAAAACGAAGAATAGAGACCCCTCCAAAACATATCTGGGTGTTTACATTTGTGATTTGGGTTTTGATTTTACTATTATATATATTTTTTTCTTTTAAAAATATTAAAATCAAACGTCCATTTTGTATTTATAAATTACATTAAAATTTAGTTTTGCATTGAAAATATTACCCAATATATATATTTAAAACCTTCCAAATATTAAATCAAATTATTATTATTATTATTATTACTTCAAAAATTCTAGGTTAAACAAATATATAAGCTTGTTTCCTTAATAACAAATCTTAAAATTTTATTATTTAAAAATTTTAAATCTTCAAAATAATTTTTTGTAAAAATATACACCAATATACTATTAAAATTATTATAGTAATTAAAAATTAAACTAAAAGTTGTAAAAACATATGGCAAAACAGTAAAAACACAGGTGCTTGGTTTTGGTGGGTCGGAATTATGCGGAATCTTTATCAGCTCTACTCTGCTCTGGAAGACTTTAGGGTGATAAAGATTCCGCCCCGCCCAACCACATATCAATTAATAACATACATTCACTGATTCACCCCACCCCTTGGTTTGGTTTATCTGGTTGTTGTTTGTCGTCTTCTTTAGAGAGAGAAAGAGAGAGATAGAGAGAGGGAGAGGTTCAGATTGGCCCATCAACTCCGGCCGCATCTCCCTCACCCACTCCCATTGCCCTATTATTATTATTATTATTATTATTATTTTATTTTTTATTTTTTATTTTTTATTTTTATTTTTATTTTTTGACTTGCCTGCCTTCTTTCATTGTCCCCCTCCCTTCTTCATTTCTTATCACTCACTCACTCACTCTAACACCAACGTACGAACGCCTTTGTTCTTGGAACTGTCGTCGCCAATCCGCCCGCGCGCCGCCCCTCTCTTTCCTTTTTTGATTTAAACCAAAAAAAAAAAACTGACCTGATTTGATCTGTTCCCCTTTTATTTAGGTTAGGTTTGGATTTGGTGTTCATCGATCCCTCCCTAATCTGTGGTTTGGTTTCAGATCGCAGATTGTATTTGTTTAATCTCTCTTATTGCCTGCCAAAAAAAAGAGAGAAAGGTGACTTTTTTGTTTTCATTTTTTCGATTCTTTTGCAAGTATCAGTAATCAATCAATCTGTTTTTTTGATTCTGTGAAAAATCATTCATTATTCATCACACTGGATTGATTCGTATGCATCGATTTTATTCATGTATATCTGTTCTTATTTTGAAGCTTGTTTGGATCTTGACTGCAATTGTGTTCTTAATTTATGCACTCAACAAACACACACACACACACATATATATATATATAAGTTCTGATTTCTCTGTTCATACTGCTGCTTGTTAATGGCTACCCTGCCTTACTTTTCTTTTTCCACTAACCCTTTACCTTGTTTCGATGTTCGAGTTCTTCTATGAAACCATTGTCGATTGATAATCGAATTGCATCAATGCTCCTGTAATGTAATAACATCAATCAAATTGGTGGTCGCAAATCGTTGCATTACACCCTATGTGTAAATGTTTTCAATAATTCTCCTAAAGTTTGTGTACATTTTGATTTGCTACGCCAAGCTTTGAAGTCGTATAGGTGATTTAAGTAAATCCACGGTTAACTTGCGAGATAAATAGATATTTGATGTTACATTTTATTTTAAAAAACGTACTATCGATAAATAACATTGGAACTTTTAAAATTTATTTGTTTGTGATAGAAATTTGGCTCTGCTGTCGATCTTTTTTTGCGCAGATGGGTGATGTAGCTAAAGATCTCGCGTCGGGGACTGTTGGAGGGGCGGCGCAATTGGTCGTCGGGCACCCTTTCGACACGATCAAAGTGAAGCTCCAAAGTCAGCCAGCGCCATCTCCCGGGCAGCTTCCAAAGTACTCAGGCGCGATCGACGCCGTTAAGAAAACAATAGCTGCGGAAGGGACCGGCGGATTGTACAAGGGGATGGGAGCTCCGTTGGCCACCGTCGCTGCGTTCAACGCCGTGCTTTTCACCGTTCGAGGTCAAATGGAAACGTTGTTGAGGTCTGCACCCGGTGCTCCTCTAACCGTCGACCAGCAGTTCGTCGCCGGCGCCGGAGCTGGCGTCGCCGTCTCCTTCTTGGCTTGCCCGACGGAATTGATCAAATGCAGGTCCGATTCAGGTTTTTGACTCTGCTTCGTGTTGGATTTTCGAATTTGTATGTTGGGATGGTTTGGTACGATATACCGAATGTTATACTGCATACCGTATACCGTATCGAAATGTTCGATATAATAAATATCATTTCGATACCGTACTGAAAATTCGGTATGACATATATATAATCGGTACCGTATCAATAATTCGGTACCGAATAGCTCGTACGGCATCGGTATATACTGTTTCATACCGAAATTAAGAACAATAATTTTGGTATCAACGTACCAAATTATTGATATATATTGATATATCAAATACCAATATCAAAACGATATGCTTCAATAAATGTTAGAATATACTCCATTTGTCTCATATATGTCTGTCAATTTACTTTTTGCATAAAATTTTATTAGTACTGTACTATAAAAAAGTAATGACATCTGTGTATTTGTAATGTTAAGTAGACAATTAGTAAAAAAAAGAAATTTATACTTTGTTATGGGATGAACTAAAATAAAAAAATAGATAGATTGTGAAAGAATGGAGGGAGAATATATCTTTTATCATGCCGAAAAAGTACCAAATTTTACCGTATACCGAAATTTTGGTATTTTCAATAAGATATGTGTTGTATTTCGGCAATTCGGTATTTTTTTTCTCATCCCTACTTATATGTTCTTACGCATAACCATTCGATGTTTCGACTATTTGACGATGCAGATTGCAGGCGCAAAGCGCACTCGCGTCGTCCGGCCCGGGTACATTGGCTGTGAAATACGGTGGGCCGATGGACGTGGCGCGGCAAGTCCTCCAATCGGAAGGCGGCGCGAGGGGTCTCTTCAAAGGGCTTTTTCCGACGATGGCGCGGGAAGTCCCCGGGAACGCGGCGATGTTCGGCGTGTACGAAGCCGTGAAGCAATACATTGCCGGCGGGACGGATACGTCGAGCTTGGGACGAGGGTCGCAGATTTTGGCCGGAGGGGTCGCCGGAGCAGCATTTTGGATGTTGGTTTACCCGACGGACGTGGTGAAGAGCGTGATTCAGGTTGACGATTACAAGAACCCGAAGTTCTCGGGGTCGTGGGACGCATTCCGGAAGATCGTGAAATCGGAAGGGGTGAAGGGGCTTTATAAGGGGTTCGGGCCGGCGATGGCGCGAAGCGTGCCGGCGAACGCGGCGTGTTTCTTGGCGTACGAGATTACGAGGTCTAGTTTGGGGTGAATCTGGAGGGCACGTCTGTCTGGGCGTCTCGCGTCGGATCGTCCCGAGCTCGAAGGAATTAACTCATTGATTATTGCATTGTTGTATGAGAACCATTGATCACAAACTTTGTTGACTGCAAGCATGTTTATGTACTTAGTTAAGGGTGTGTTCTTTTATTGAATTTTTATTTTATTTTGTTGTTATTTACATCGTACTTGCATGGTCATACATGATTTCTCTATAGTGTAATTTATCTTGTCTCTTCTAATTTACAAGGTATTATATTAGATTGAAATTTATTTATATTAAAAAGATAGTTATTATTTATTAAAATAAAAGTAATAAAATTATTTATAATAAATAATTATGTATAAATTTAGCGGATCATGTGTATATATATGGAGTTTTTTTCTTTTGATTCAAAACTTCATATTTCTATTGATTAGAGTTTGTATTTCTCGAAAAAGAAAATACATTTTTTTTTTCATTACAAAACATCTGATTATATATTATTTCAGTATTAAATTCAAATCAAATTTTTATCATACTCAATAAAAGAATCATAGCCATATTCTTTATCCAAAACAACATTACTACACATCTAACATTTTCATTGTTTTTTACTTTGAAATTGTACAAAAAAGTTTTCATTCAAGTTCTTTTACCATTTTCTATTATGAAATTTCTTTACTCAAAACAACATTACTTCATATCTAACATTTTCATTGTTTTTTACTTTGAAATTGTACAAAAAAGTTTCTATTCAAGTTCTTTTACCATTTTCTATTATGAAATTTCAACTAATATGGCTTTATATATATCCTGATTAAAATTTTGGCACATTGTATGGACTCGTGATTGTGAGGTCATGAGTTCAAACCTCCGACGCCTTCAGGTTTTCTGCTATACATGGTTCGTCTAGTGTGACTTACCTTATGGAGCCTAGTTTACAAGATATTAAGTTGAGTTGGAGGTTTACCCGGTGCGCACTTTCAGATAGTTGACACTTTTGTGTAGCGGCTGCGGTTTCCCACGTTATAAAAAAATTATGTACATCGTTTTAGAACATTAAAAAAAAAAAATCACCATTTTTTGAATAAATTTGTTTAATATTTCTAAATGTTATAGGGTTAGGCATGTTACTAATTATTCATTGGTGTTTGTTTCTATACCACCACTTAATTAGTATTTTTTTCATAATAAGATATACTAAAGTTATGAACAAATAATTCTCTTAAGAAATAATAATTACAATAAGGATGATAATCAAATTATAAAATGTATCAAATTAAATTCAAAAGTTATTTTAGTACCATATATGCTTTTTGGCCAATGAAATTGTAACACGAGACTCATAATTATGGACAAAAAGTAAAATAATAAATTTAAAAGAAAATGACAATAATAAAAGCAGGAATAATATATGCATTATGTTCCTTTTTTATTATTTTTATCAAATAAAAATGGTACACCTTTTTGGTGGCTTTACCAGCCTTGCAAGGGTGTTATTTTTATTTTAATTCTGCTCTTTAGCTTTGTTCCCACAATTAATTTTTTATAATACAATTTTCAATATATATATATAGTCATAATATATAATATTTTATTAAAAAATAATATTTAATATAAAATATTATTTTTTATAGCATTAATATCCTATTATTCATACCCTATACATATATAAAAAAAAAAAACTTAAAATAAAAATACTAAACAAACAGATAGTTTATAATTTATAATAAAATTCAAAACATTCTTATTTGAAAGGTTTGTCTATTTGAGTTTTTATTAATTTGACTTAGAAATAGTGGTTGATGGAATATTTTAAATAAAAAATGTAGTAAATATACTATATTTTTAAGAAATTTAAAATATTCAAAATTTATTGGATGAAATCACTTTATCTGTTTATTATCGTATTAGATTCGTATTGATTTGTATATAAGTCAGTGTATGTGTGACAAAGATTTCTTTATTTTTACTTTTATTATTTTTGTTAGTAATATGAGAATCCGCCATGGTTAGTTCGTTACTTTTTAAAGTAAATTCTGATCAAATCTAATAATCTACAAATTAAATCCGACAAAATAAACTATGTTTAAAATACAAAATTTACGAGCGACGGAGTTGAACCCATGATCGTAAGCTCTATATTTTTTATTTGTTGAATAGAATGTAAAGGGGCTTTACTTTAAAGGAAAAAAGGGTAAGATGAATACCATTGCCAGCATGTGGGGAAAAAGCTACAAACCCACTCCAAGAATTTCTCCTATCCCATCACTATATTTCCACAATCCACTTTCTATTTTTCACATCGAATGGAATCAGTATCACCAATCACTCACCATTTCTCCTCCAAATCCTCTGCTCTTTGTGACTAATTCCGACCTCATCCATCAATGGCGGCCAAGGTGTTCGACGAAATGCCTCAAAGAAACTGCAGAAGAACAATCACTCTCATTTTAGCCTACGCAGTCCTCGAATGGATTCTCATCCTCCTCCTCTTCCTCAATTCCTTCTTCTCCTTCCTCGTCACCAAATTTGCAGATTACTTTGCCCTCAATCCATGCTGCACTTTCTGTTCCAGATTGGATCGCCTTTGGGGCTCGAAACGGCCCCCGAATTTCGACCTCGGCCATGTCTGCGCCGCGCACGGCGCGGCCATCTCTCGCCTGAGCTACTGCATCACTCACTGCCGGCTCACCGCCGCCGTTTCATCGTGCGGCGAGTGCTCGTTTTCGAGAACAGACGTTGCGTTGAAGAATTTCCATGAGTCGAATCGGTGTTCTTGCTGCGACGAATGTGTAAAAAACGAGGGGTCTATTGCGGAAGTGATCGATGCAGAAACGGATGGGGAGGAGGCCTCGGCGATAGGAACAGATCGAAGTAATTCCGATCGGATCAAGCCATGCAATGATCGCGAATGGAGTGAAGAAGACGAGTCAGTTTATATTACCGACATGCTTCTTCAGAATGCGGACTACGTCGATTCCGATAGGTTTATATGCATAGAGCTTATCGATACGGATACTCAGCCATCGACGGCGGCCGACTCGTCGGAGGCGCAACAGACCGAAGATCGAGCGATAAACTGCAAGATGGATGACGAGCGCGGCTATTTTACGATGGATCGGTTGAAGTTCAAAGTGAAAGCTCAAGAAAAGGCTCTCAAGGCATTGTACGACGAGCTAGACGAGGAGAGGAAAGCGACGGCGGTGGCGGCGAATGAAGCGATGGCAATGATCGCAAAGCTGCAAGACGAGAAGGCGTCGATACAAATCGAAGCGCTTCAGTACCAACGGGTGATGGAAGAGCAAGCCGAGTACGATCAAGAAGCTCTTCAGCTGTTGAACGATCTGATGACGAAACGGGAGAAGGAGAAGCAAGAACTCGAGCGCGAGCTAGAAACGTACCGTAGCAAGTCTTTCGATTACGACACGCCGGAAAAGTTTTCGGCAGTCGGAAATCGAGATGGGAACTCGCCTTCCGACATGGAGATAGACGGATTCGGATTTGATCTTTGTCACAAGTTCGATTTGGAAGAATTCAGCAACGAAAGGCTGTCAATTATTGAAGAACTGAAGGCCTTGGAAGACAAGCTGCTGTCATTGTCCGAAAACGGAAAAATTCACGACGTAGAAGGCTCGTTGGAGAAGCTCGACGCAGTTGTTAATCGATCGGAGAGCGAATTTTCCGCGGAAACAAATGCAGTCGTTATCCGGGAGGAGCTTCGACATGTGTACGAGAGATTACAAGCTCTGGAATCAAACGAAGAGTTCTTAAAGCATAGCATAGCGGCGATGATGAAAGGCGACGAGGGACTTCCTCTGCTCGAAGAAATTCTTCAGCATCTTCGCGGCTTGAGGTACGACGAATTCCCTGTAAGAAACTCTCACGAAATTCCATCAGAAAATGTATCGTAAACTTGCGATTATCATCGACGTTTAGGGAGTCCGAAATTCAGTATTCTTTCATGTTCTTTTCTACTACTACAACTTCGAATGCTTTTCCAACCCTTCAAGAACAAGAACCAACTCCATACCTTGCGGATCGACATCGTTGCGAGCCACAAACTCGCGCAATTTGCCCTTACTCCGAATCCAGCTTCTGCCGGGGAATTTCGCGGGCGTTCGTATCCTCGATTCCCGACGAACTTCCATCACTCTACCCCATTGGTACTTATCCGCATACATATTCGACAAAAGCACCGAAGCTCCCCCTCTCTCGTCGAGCAATTCGATCTTCCTCAAAACAGCTTCGCCGAGTTCCAACTCGCCATGAAGCCGACACCCGTTGAGTAAAGATCCCAACACGGCGAGATTAGGCTCCACCGGCATTTTCTGAACTATATCGTAAGCTCGTTCCAGCATCCCGGATCTGCTCAAGAGGTCGACAATGCACCCATAGTGCCGAAGATCTGGCTTGATGCCGTGTTTCCCGCTCATCGACTCAAAAATGATTAAGCCTTCTTCGACTAGTCCTGAATGGGCACAGGCTGAAAGAACAGCAACGAAAGTTACGTCATCGGGTTCGATCCCCGACTCTTTCTCCATCCACAAGAAGACATACAAAGCATCTTGCCCTCGACCGTGCACGCCGAGCCCTGAAATTACCGCTGTCAAAGAATACAAGTCCCATTTACCGCTATCAGTTAAAAAATTTCGAATGTAAGAGAGATCGCCGCATTTACAGTAGGCATCAATCACCGAATTCACAAACATCATGTCCCGATTGAGCCACCCGCCCTTCTCGAGCATAGCGTGGAAGCATCGGGTTAGGTCTGTATACCCGAGATGACCGCAAGCCGACATTGTAGAAATGATAGTAACATTGTTAGGCTCAGGTCGAGAATCATTACATACCAAGTTCTTGAAGACATGAATCGCTTCGATGTAATGAGATTGCGAGACTAGCCCGGAAATTAAACTCGTCCATGAGACCACGTCTTTCTCGGGCATTTCATCGAACAGTTGGCGGGCATCCGGCGTGGAGCCACAAACCATGTATGAATTAAGAAGAGAATTCTGCACAAACAGATTGTGATCAAGCAACAGTTTCACTGTCTGGCAATGAACCTGTTTCGCGAATTCGACATCAAATGTAGCCCCGGAAGCTTGGAGCAAGAACGGAAATGTATATTCATCAGGAACCATTTCTTCGAAGAGCAATCTTCTGTAGTAATTTGAGGCAACCACTGGATCGAAGGACGCGAAGAATCTGATCATTGTGTTCCACGAAAAGAGGTTAGGATTTTCGATCCGATTGAATATCTTAACTCCGAACTCTGATTTTTCAACCATATCGACTCCTTCCGATTCAACCAAACCCAAATAAAGAACACGGCTCATGACGAAGGGATTTGAGTTCAGACCAGAGACAATCAAATAAGAAACGAGAAGTTTGAGCTGATGAAAGGCTTTGCTCCATTGTTGCTCGAAGAGGTACAATCTTCTGTGCCTTTGGTACAACTGGTTGTTTTCAGCCCAGGCAGGAGATGTGTAATTGACTGTTTTCGAAAGGTTCGATGGTGGGGATGATAATCCTCTGATGCATTTGAAAACAGCGATGAATAGCATCAACGATTGAAGAATATTCGCGTTCTTATTCTATCTATAATCCACACTCCAGAGTCGATTTCTTCAACTAACCAAAACCCTCGATCAAATTTACAGAAATACGAAAACCATATCTACCACCATCGCCATAGAGCATTCAAATCAAGCCATATAAAAATCAAACAAAAATCGAATTTACCTGAAATGGAGAGATCGTTGCCTCGCAAGAAGAAGATAGAAATTCGCAATTTCGAGCGACTAGAAGAACAATGCCTGTTTTTTAAATTGCTTACCTTTTGAGGTTCAATCCATTCAGCACAATGTACAACATTTTTTTTTTATATCGTACACTCTGCTAATGTTTTTTTTTTTTTTTATATAATATAAATTCAAATACTTATTTTTTATTTAAAAAAATTATATCGAAAATTGGACAACATTTCTACAAGATTTTCGGGTACGTAAGTACCGACATTACGAAAACGTCACGAGCCGTCGCGGCAAGCCGGAGCGTCGCGATTCAGGTGCAGCTTGCCGGAGTCGCTTCTCTTGAAAAGCTTCTCGACAACTTCGTTCCAGTTGGTCCGACCATTTCTACCCGGCGGGTTTTCTTTCGCTCGGGGAAGCTCGGCGTCATCACCCGGGCTCGTCTCGACGTCTTTTCCCGGCGATGATTTTTCTTCTTCGGCATTGCCGGATTTTTCTTCGTCGGCGTTGCCGGAGTTTTCTTCCTCGCCGGATCCCACAGCGTGGGGAATGTTCAAACTCACGGCTCTTTCGAGCGCATCCTTGTGCTCCTTCTCTAATGTCACCTTCCGTTCGAATTTCTGCACCATTGGCGGCGTCATCGTGTTTGAATTCTTCTCCTTCAGACACTGCGCCGCGGCCGGGGAATAGTTTTGTTACTACCGAGGTTGTAAGAGCATCGATCGAAAGGAATTAAAAGACGACAAGGGGTAAATACTTACTTGTAGAGCCTTTTCGGCCTCCCGTTCTATCCAAATAATTGCGTGGTCAGAGGTAGCGTTGCACGACAAGACTATGTGCTCGAATCTTCCGTCCACGGGAATGGCTGTTCGAACCTCAGGAGGAAACCTTCCACATCTGTTATCGCCAAGCAGATGTCTTAGAAAAAATACGAGTTTTTGGACAACTCATCGGTACAAAAGCATATTATTACAACATAGGAATATGAAACCTGCAAAATTTTCTTTCGACGATGTGATACATCCGGCCAGGTGCGTATAGTCTTCTCGGGTCTCGGAGCTTTCTGCCTTCGGGTATGAAGGTATCTCTCAGACATACGAGAAACAACAAGCACGGCAAACTGTCCAAAGCATTAACGCCTGGTTTAGACGACAGTAAAAGAAATCACTCTGTAAAGAGGCAAACGCCGAAATTGCAAAATCATCGAGTGTAATAATTAATGACGACTGACCAGAAGATGGACTTGAAAATGTCTTGCAGCGGGGTCGCTGTTCTGGGCAAGAAATCATCCTGTACAACGATGTGTTAGAAGAGTGTTTGTTAGTGTAAGAAAATACAATCAATTCGTCGAAAAAAAGGTTTTAGCACAAAGAAATGCAAATCTAAATAAAAGGTAGGATGAAAATATATTATGAAAACTGGAAAATTGCATTTTTATTGATCATCAAAATAAGAGGTAGGGTCAATACAATGAATCAATATCAGCATGCTTAAATCTAAATAATGTAATCTATAAAAATCTCAAACTTAATAGTTAAAATATCTCAACACTTTATTTAGTGAGCTTTTTTAATCGAAGATATCGAGCAAGCCTAAGTGAAGTTCTAGCAAATTGATGAACTAGCATAAAGACATATAAACACGAAAAAATGCGACCAATATAGACGGCAACGAATCAAATCAACATAGTATAATCAAAGGCAACAAGAACACACACCTGCAGCACAACGGATACGATAATATCCGCATACTTAACCGCCAAATTGAGCGACATACACCGCGCAGGCGCCACCGCATAGCACTTCACCAAGCTCCTCGGAACGCCGCCTAACTTACTCCCGTGATTCGCGACGATCACAGCCAGCAATGCCGCGACTCCCGACCCCAAAGAATGCCCTGCAAACACCATCTTATACTCCCTCCCATTCTCCTCCCACAACCTCCGCAGCGTCTCCGACTCCGCATTCAGCACCCATATCGCCGATTTCAGCAGCCCGTGGTGCACGTAGCCGCCGTCGAACATCTGCATTCCGATCCGGTTATCGAGCAGCAGCTTGTAGTCACTTTCCTTAACTAAATTCAGTCCCCTGATCGCCAGAACCAGCTCGCGCTTGTCGTGATCAATGTAGATTAGGTACGGCGGCGCGTGGCCGTCGGTCTGCTCGTAGGCCACACGCTTGATCACCCAATCGGGGTTCAGTCTGTAGCCGCCGGGAGGGGCGAATTTGGGGCATCGGAGATCGGGCTCGTAGACGGCGAGGATGATCCGGCAGATGCGTGGGACCGGCTCGAACTCCTCCGCCGTGGCGGTGGTCCACGTGGCGTTGTCGTCGGAGCCGATGTAGGTGCAGCGCTTCCACGCCCAGCGCATACACCCGAGGACCACCACGCATTCAACCCCACACGACACAGACATTTCATCGAACAGGTTTTGTGCACCTCCTGAATTCAGAGATTTCCGATCAAATGAGGTGTGATTTGTTCCAAATCAAATTGAAATTAGGACTTTTACATATAACGTGGAGAGATTAAAAAGGAATCAAAAGCAGAAGAAACCTTGAGATTTAAGTAAACGCTTTAAAAATGGCGACTGATTCGGGATTAATTTCCGAATCGATGGGCTGTGGAAAGCTGTGGAACTGTCTGTCTGTCTGTACGCCTTAATTGTTAAGGCATTTCGCAGCGATTAATGAATGAATCACAGGTGGGATTTCGAATCGCGGCAGCTGACATCGACGATCGCTGTCGGTAGTTACGGAAATCATAGAAATTTTGCCGGAAAGAGGTGGGCATTAAAATGGGTTGAAGAAGAGCAGAAAAAACAAAGTATATTCGATGCTTGGCAATGGCCGAAAGAGACGCGGATGATGAACTGGGCCATCTCTAGAAGGCTCAAAGCAACCAAAGCACTTATTGTTAAAAAACTGTATTTGAATTTGGTTAGAAAAATGAAAAAATGAAAGAAAGCATGGCAGCATTCACTAAGGAAAAAAAAAAAAAAAACAAAAAAAAAACGTGTTCTTTTAAACTTCATTGTTCTTTTACAATAGATATGATTAATATATTCATAATATTAAAAATAATACTTTTCCGTCCATAAATATAGTCTTAATATGAATTTTAAAAAATATTGATATTATATTGATAGTTGATAAAAAAGTATGGATAAAAGATTTTTTTGGAGTATATTAGTATAAAAATAGTGACAATTGTGTAATAAAAATAAAAAAATATCGGTAGTTTTAAGGTGATATAGTTATTTATGAAAATAAGACTATTGTTTTGAGGTAGACAAAAATAACAAACAACACTAACACTGTTGTATTGAGACAGGGGGAATATTTTATATTAAACATTAATTTTTTAATAAATAAATTATATCATTTTTATCGAAAAAATTATATATATTTTTATTTTAGAATTGTTCAATCATAAAATAATTATTTTATTAAATATATTACAATATTTATTATCATGTATGTCATACACTTTTTATGGGAGAATAGGCATATGTTTGTTTTGGAAAATAATTTGAAATATTTTTTTATTGCAAGGTATAGAAAATTATATATGTAATATAAAAATAATAAATATATATAATTTATTAATTTAAAAAAAAAATATGTAGAAAAAAAAAACACAGCATACAACTTTTTATTTTTAAGAAAACATTTCTATACTCATTCTTCATTGTCAAAAAAACATTTTTGCTTTATTCTTTACATTTTCTTAGACAAATATGATTCTAAATGTTAACTTTATTTTTGTAGTAATATTTTTATTTTATTTTCTCAATACATTCATTGAACATCTATTTATATTATATTTAATATTTATTTTCATTTTAAAATTTACTATTACCAAAACTTGAATCTATAATTATGTATATACAGTACATGTAATATAGCATAGGGGCGGTTTATTAATTAATATTCTACTAAAGAAAATTATATTTAGGTATTAATTAATAATGATAAAGAAAACAGCATATGTGCTTTTTTTAACTTTAAAACTTGTATTTGACCATTCCTTAAAAAAATTGCATTTTGAAAATCACGTAGGTTAAATTAAAAGACACAATTTCATGAAGCCCTCATCTGCAAAATTCACCCACAGAACATTCAAGCGGGCAAACTTTATCAGACACTAAGAACCCAAAATTTCAAAGAAGTCCCCACAGAAACACCTAATCCAACTACTCCCCCAATAATTCCTCTTCCAATTTCTTATGTACACATACTTCTTCCTCAACCAAAATCCACATTTCATCAATGGCTCTAAAATTTCATCTCACCAATAAATTTAACCATGAAATTTCCAATAATATATATTTTTTTACCTATTTTTTTCTCTCGCAAATTCAAAACTCGAACCCGCGTAGAAAACTCTACGCAGGCGCTCTACAGCAACACGACGGCACACAACAAGCAAACCGCGGCCCAAACCACATTGTCGTAAACGAACTTCGCGCCGGTGCCCGAGCTTCTAGAATCCAAGACCGGGATCGTGCCGTTCAGCCGGGACCTGTTCCTGTCACTATCGACAAAAAAACGACATCTTAGTCATAGTCGAAGCGGGAAGATAAAATTATCGCAAAGAACGATAAAGAAATCGACTAGATCGTAGGTATAGAAGGTAAAATAGCCGAATCAAAAAGATAAAATTATCGCAAAGAACGATAAAGAAATCGCTAGATCATAAGTATAGAAGGAAAAATAGCCGAAGCAAAAAGATAAAATTATCGCAAAGAACGATAAAGAAATCGACTAGATCGTAAGTATAGAAGGTAAATAGCTGAAGCGAAAAGATAAAATTATCAAAGAACGATAATGAAATCGACTAGATCGTAAGTATAGATACCTTCCGAGGAAAATGCAAGAACCGTGGCCTGCAACGACGTCAAAATTACACAATTAGCAACTTCGATGGATAAAGCAATGTAAAGCATTCGATCTCAAACAACTAGTTTTACGAACTTACTCGGATTCGTAGTCGTAATAGTAGCCACTCCGTTGAAATCGCAGCTTCCGGAAGCCATCTCCATCTGATGGTAATACGCATCGAACGCATACGTCGCATGCGCGAACACGGTGTCCGGTTCATAACATGGTTGCCCTTGCTTCATCGACGAACAATCTACTTTACCCGGCCCACAAGCCCAATCCAAAGCCGCCTGCAGCATTTTTACGTCGACCCCGTCCTTCGGAATGCAATAAGTTTGATTCGTCGTATCATTAGCAAGAATCGAGCCCGAGCCCGTCAACCGGAGAATGTAAATGGGAGCGCCGTCGGAGTTAAATAAACCCCAATTTTTCTCCGACAACGGACCCGGCTTCTCGTCTTCGTTGTAGAGCTCATAAATGTACGTCGGGACGGCGACTCCGGGATGCTTCGGAGTTCCGCCGGTCCTGTTCAACACATGCTGAATTAAATAACTGTTGTAGGTGTTGGCGTTCTCCGGATTCGCGTCGGGCTCGTTCGCATCGCCTTTCGATGGCCATCCCGTCTCCGTCACCATCACCGGGACGTTGGTGATGTTGAGTTCGGCCATGGCGAAGTACGCGGCGTCAACCATCGCGTCGAAGACGTTCGTGTAGTGTAGAAGCGTGTTGGCGTCGACAGCCTCTTTGTTTGGGGCGAGCGGCTTGAAGAGCGCGTAGTCCAACGGGATTACGCCGTTGGAATTCACGTAGTCGAAGTACGGGTAGACGTTGAGCATCAAGTACGACCCCGTCGACTGCAAGAACTTCAACATCGGCGCCAAAACCAGCGTCAATGACCGGTTGAAAAACGCCTGCGACGGCGGGAACGAGTCGAGGATTACGGTCGACGCGAGCGGGGTCGAGACTTTGATTTGCTGCTCCAGGTTCGACGCGACAAGCGCCGATTGGATGTACTTGAGGGCATTGACGAGGAGAGGGGTGGCGTTCGGGAGCGACGTGAAGACCTCCGACCCGACGCAGATCGTCGTGATGTTGGTGGCCGGGTAATGGGCGACGACGTTTTGCGAAATCCAATTGGCCGCCGTCGAATTGGATTGGCCTATGCCAAGAAGCTGGTCGTTGGGCACGGTGACGGCGACGTGAATTCCCGAATTGGCGAGCGCTAGAAGCATTCCTCGATCGGCATTGTAGAGACGGACGTGGCGGATTTGTTGAGCTTTGAGGAGTGCCACGACCTGCGTCGGGTGCGGAAAATCGGAGACATCCGTCCCGATGTTCACTCCGACGAATCTATCTGTGGATAGGCATGAATGTAGCCGGAATTATTCGCGAGTTCTATTCGATCAATTCGAGCGTAATCGAAGAAATTGTATGTTTACATAGATACTTTTGAAATGAAATACACTATTTACCTTACACAGTTTCTAATAAAAATACACTATATTCTTTCGTAAAACATCGCATCATAATATTATTTAAACAAAAATTCAAATTTAACCCTCCGTTTTAAATCAATTTCGAACCACGGCCAAACAATCCGCAAAATTTTCTAATTTTCTCCAAAAACATTGAATCAAAAACATAAACTTTTGAAACTTACGAACACTATTTACTAACAATTATAAGGTGTGCTTGTTTAGGGGATTTTGGAGAATTCTTTGCTATTCCTCCGAAATTTCTTAAATCAATATTAAATCATTATACATTACATTCAATAACTGTTCTAATTAAAAATTTTATTTTTTCAGACACACAGACAAACACTCGATTCAATCCAATAATTGCAGAATAATTACAAAAAAAAAGCAGCCAAATGTAGCACAAAAGCAAAAGATGTTCTAATGTAGGTCCAAAACCAACAACAGCCATTAAAGGAATGAGGAATTTCTTCTCTTACTAAAAGCCAAGCAGCAAACTTTCATTCGGACAGGACAAAGAACAAAAAAAAAAAGGAAAAACAGAGCAAATTAACTCAGACGAAATAACATGAAGGGGTTCTTCAATCAGAACAAATGGCATTAGATTAATCAAAAAATACCAACAAACACACATCAGAAATGAAGAACTGTAAGAAAATTAGAATCGACACCATTAAAATAACCTCAAACCTAAGAACAAACAAAACCCCAAAAAGGTAAGAACTTTACACACGCTATATATACCTTCATCAGCAGAAGAAGCCGAACATGCCAAAACCAAAAGAAAGGAAACCAGAGACACTTCCATGGCGACGAAAGATGAGGAATTGGACAACGTTTAAGGAGAGGTCTGGTCTACAGAATTAAGAAGAAGAAGAAGATGTAATAAAAAAATTAGGGTATTTAAGGCAGGAGGAAGAGGAAAAATGGTTGAGCTAAGCTGAGCAGAAGTGAATCATCAATCACGAGATGTTCTTTGTCAGATTAATCCAACGGCTACAATTTTTCTGTTCTTCATCTGTCTTATTCTGTGTTCCTTTTCAATTTTTTATTTTTTATTTTTTATATATAAAAATTATTTTGGGTTCTTTTTAAACCCACCTTTTTACGTGCCCGTAATTTGCTTCACCTACGGTGCCTCGAGTGAAGTAAATCGCTTTGTTGGTAGCCGTTATGGGGTGGCTGTTGTTGCTGTACTAATTCGTGTACTGCTTCCATGCAGAGTTTTATTAATGGCTGCTGCAGTGCTCTGGGTTTTGTTTATGGAGGCTCTGGAGTCGAACGCTTGAGTCAATCTGCAGCGTTCATTTTTGAGAAGTGATGGTGTTAGATTTGTAGGGAGTTTAGGTCCCGGGAGTTGTTTATTGTTGAGTGGATAGCGAGGGCAAATGTGCCAGCAGGGACACAGTCTCTTAGGTTGTCGGAGAATACAGCTGGTTTCAACGGTCAAGTAATTTATTCCATTTCTGTGTAAGCATTATTTGTATTTATTTAAAATACAATGTATTCCAATTTTGTAATTTTTGTATTTTTTTTTTGTTTTTTATCATTCATTTTCTATTATTTTTTTAAAAAAAATATATTTAATCCGTTATATAGAAAAATTATTTAGTTTTGATACGAATTTGAATATGATATGTTTTTTTTATTTTATTTTTTTATATATATATAATAAAAAATAGAAAAGCTAATAAAAAATAGTATGTTTTTTTTGTTAATATATACTTACTTCTTTTATGAAATAAAAGTGAATTATTTTTTTTGTAACAGAAAGTATAATATTTATAAAATATTAATTACTATAAATTCAATATTAAAATGATACTAAAATTCAACAATTAAATGCATGTATATTGATATTATAGAATTTAAGGGTGTGTTTTTAAAATTTTGAAGTTAATTTATTGGAGTACTAATTAAAGTTTTTATTTTTTTTATTTTTTCCTCATAAGATGTTACGTATTTTTACATAAAAAATGTAAATATTCAAACTCAATATAAACTTGGAAGAAATACACCCTAAAACCTAAGTACTAATTTATTTATTTATTTATTTCTAATAATTGTTTTAGGGTGTGTTTCTTTTGATGGGCTTGAAAAAATTTTGATCTGATATTAAAATAATGTAGGATGAGATATTTTGTGAAAGAATTTTTTATTTATTTTTTTCAAAAAACGCAAAGTCCATTACCCGACCACAGGAACCTTGTAAAAAAAATTCTCAAAATAAAGTCACAAAAATCCGGTAATCGGAGCCGCCTACACGCGCCACCAATGCAAATTGGCGGCGAAATGCCTCATCAGCATGTGTGGCCGTTCGCCATCATGCTTCAATGGGCGATCGTTCTTTTTACAATGAATATGATGGTGGTCGGTGGGGGCGGTGTTGATCGGAGATGATCGAAAGCGAGAGAAACAGTGACAACAACGGTGTTGATTTTTGCGGAAAGAAAAGAGAGTTTTGAACGGAATCAAAATCAAAATCAACGGTGTTCTTCCTTCTCATCTCGACCTGGCCATTCATATCGCGTCAGGTCGGTTCTTTTCCCTTGGCACCCTGTTTTTAGCCAATCTGTTTGAAGGACTTACTAGAGTTAGCCTTCGTTTAACAGATAATGATAGTAGAAAATTAGACACTGCTGCATCAGGTCCTTTTTGGTTTTTAGAACTTTGGTTCCGTCTCTACTTCCCCAATGCGTTCAACTTAGGATCTCCGCCCACTATGCCAACATTTGAAAAACATTTGGGATTAGCCCTCAACCGACTCTGCTCAGGACGCAATAAACTTCAATCTTCCGATCCAATAATAACCGCAATTGTAACGGATACCCGCAGTAACTCTCGATTTTCTATGTATAAAAAATATGCGGGTTATGCTCCCGACCATTTTTGGCCCTTTCCAGCACCAAATCCTCTTCCGACTCCTGAGCCTTGTCCTCATCCCACCTATCCTTTTGCCTGGGACGTTGCCCTCAAACCCAGGTCTCTTTTTAGCAGCAAAAAACTTGATAAAAAAGGGCAGAAAACCTTTTACACTTTTAATTATGAACCTCAATTTATGGCGCGCCAGTTCGGCTGTTGCCAAGGTATCCCTGGACCCGTCGTTTGTCCGCATATAATTTTCCAAAGTCCTGACCGACGAGTCCTACCTAATTCAATCCCTTCGTATATCTCCCAGCTCACCACGTATATAATTTCCAATTCTTATATTCCTTTCCGCTCCAACCCTGAGACTGTAGATACATTCAATGAATGGTGGTCGGTTGTATGGCCCCTGATTTCCCCTAATGAGGATCGGTTGCTGAACATACTCCTTCCCCCCAAGGATTAGTTCTAGGGGCGGCTAGACATACTAGCACTCAACAACAAACAGCCGCCCCGGGAATCGGATCTAGTGTTCCCACGCGAAAAAGGAAAGCTTCCCAGCGGCAAACACCCCCGACCTCTGGGGCCGACCAACAAGCTCCAGCGGACCGTGGAACTACTAGGACGTCAGCGAGGACCCGACCCCGAATAGGTAATTTTTCTTAAAACTGTGAACCAATTCATTATATCTTAACTTTGATATCACTTCTTCCATTCACCAGAACCGACCTTGGTAACACCGACCACACAACCGACGCCACCCCCAGCCGACCATTCAAACGTACCTTTGGTCCAGACTGAGACATTTCCTCTCCAAACCCCTACTCCACTTCTCACTTTGCCAATGAGTAGTCGGGCGGAGGACCCGACGAGGAGGCAAACTCTTCCTCCCGTACCGAGGAGTGGTCGGGCCAGGCACCCGAGCAGGAGGCAATCTGTACCAGCAGTGCCTATAGAACCAGTAAGTTCTCGCTTCAGCAATACTTGGGATTCTAATGACCAACCTTGATATATTTAACAACAACTTTTCCATGATTTTTCACAGACACCTTCACCCATCGCATCAGCAGCAGGGGTCTCTTCTGACAGCGAGGGGACTACTTCCCAGATGGGTCGACCGCCATACATGGCATCAGACTCATCCATTTCAAAGGAAGGACCAACTGCCCATGCCGAAGCTGACCCTCAAGATGACATCCTTGATGCTGCTGATCTTGAAATCGTCCAATTGGGTGCAGCCGTGCCGGAAACCGAAAGTGCCCCAGCTGCGGCTATCTCAGGTGCTCCAGAGATCCCGGCTGCAGCGGCTCTAGATGCAGCCGCCCAACCTGCAGCCGCCCAGCCAGCAGCGGCACTCCCTCTAGCAATCGAGTGGCAGGCAGAAGAACCACCTGTGGCAGCCCAACCTCCAGAAATGGAAGAAGTTTCTTCATCCGATTCGGAGACTTCCGTGAACTTGGTAAGATTAAACCAATCCATGCCATAATGTTTCTTTCGGAAAACACTAACTCTTTTATATACTACGTTCCATAGGGACCCAGGTCGGCACCTCAGCGACCATTCGCAGCAGCCGACGAGTCGGCTGCCGTTATACCAGCTGTCTGCCCTACTCGACCGACCTCATTGCTGCCCCCCTCACTGACAACAGTCCGCCCAGAGGTGACACATATCTTATCTGAATAAATTTGCACCTCCCTTGGAATACTTATTGACATTGTAGGACTTGCAGGGGCCTTCGGACTTAGCTGTCCTATCGACTGTTCCGGTTCCAGCGGAGGCCCAAACTATATTCACTGAGGCCATTAACCGTCCCCTGTCAGAATTAGGATCCGACTTATTGGACAGACTCATTCAGACGGTTGGTGGCCTTCTCTTTTACACTCCGACGGAATCGCCAGCCGTCCCCATTCTGCATCAGCTGATGGAAAGACTTACAGAGCTCAAGACTGAAGTGCTAGTTATTGGACTCCTGTCAGCCGAAACCCCCCAGCCTGTCTTCGATCAAACAACGCTGGAGAATTCTCTGGCTAAGACCCGAGAATCTCTTCAGCAGACTACTGGAAGGCTGGGCGGTCTCCTTAGCACGAAGGCTCAAGTTGATGAAGCCATTCAGAAAAAGGAGGCAGAATTGCGGGAACTAAGGAAAGAACAGTCTACCCTGGATAAGCAAATTACCAATGAGCAGCGTCTGCTTGAGAGGTATACCAAGAATGAAGCTGAATTGGATCAAGAGCTGAAAACCCAAGCCCGATCCCAATTCATCATAAGATATCAGACGGCTGCCAATACCAGAAGGCTATCCAGGGATGAAATCAAATGGACACATATAAAAACTGCCCTAGGGGCACTGTTGTAATATTTCCCCCTTTGTAACAACATTTGACTTAGTAATATATATTTTTTTCTTTCTTCTCTCAAAACAAGGATCACCTTTTAATTTCCAAATTTGTAGGAGTCGAAACAAACTCCTTCTTTAAAAGAACACTGTTTCTCACATTTTAAGAAACACATTCGAAGGCATATTTTGAAAATCAAAACACTTGAAGTGTTAACAAACATGGTGAATGACCGACCTCATGTTCCATCAAGCAACTGGGAAGGTGTTCTTCAACCTTTCTTTGTAGGTAATCACCCTATTGGAGGCCATGCAGAAGACTTGTTACATGTACTCAAGCAACTAGACTTCAAATTCCGATTCTCCCAACGAGGTAGAAGAACCATTCATCGCGTCATCCGCCTAATGGAAAAAGTCATTGAAGGGTATGAACCTCTTCGTGACATCCTTAGTCGCATTCCTGATCTCCATCATCACATGGAAATGATTGAAAATCACGCAGCAACCATACTTCCAGATCTTGGTTGGGATAATATTTTTTCCAATCACCGAAAAGTCTTTTCAAGATTGCGTACCATTGTTGACCGTGAACATCAAGCCATAACAGACATGCAAGCACGTACCAATCAAGATCTAGACGACATGCAAAGCCAATGGGAAAGGTACCGACCAGATTTGGAAGATCTTATTGAAGAAGAACCAGAATTAATATCCACTCACTGGAATGAAA